ATTAAATAGTAGTTTTTTATTATTATATCTCTGGATTATTATTCTGCAAATATAAGATTATCTCTTAAAATTTAGAATTATATATATCTGAGTATAAAACTTCTATAATATATATTTATAATATTATAGATTAGAAAATAAATCTTTTTTAAAATAAATTCTTTTAAGCAGTCTAGTCAGCTGTCTTTATATTAGTTTAATTATTAAGATTCTTTAAACTTAATATAATATAAGTATTAAATCCAGAATAATTCTGTATATCTTAAGATTTAAACTAGATTTTTTCTTTAATAAGATCTCTTATTATTAAAAATAATATACTTATAAATTATACTTAAATCAGAGTCAACAGTTTCTCTTAAGAAGTAGATTTTATTTAAGATTTAGAAAATATTCTAAAAAGTCTATCTGCTAGATTTAATTTTTTTATTTTATATTTAATAATAAAATTATAGAGAATTAAATTTATAAGTTATTAAGCTTATTTTTTATTAATCTAAATTTAATATATAAAAAATTACAAGTTTGAATAGTTTAATAGAATCTTAATTATTTAGAAAATATCTTCTAAATATTATTATTATTATTTAAAAGAGTAAATAATAGTAAATAGCTCTTAATCTAAAATATTATAATTTAGCTTAGTATTAAAAAACTTATAGAATTAGAATATAACTAGATAAAATATATTCTTAGTATTAAGTTAAAATAGAATATTATTTATTTTTTCTTTTAATATATCAGTTTCTAAACAGCGGGGTTTTATAGAATTAAAATATATTAATAAAAATATTTATTAAAAAATAGTAATAAGATAACAGAAAGTAATTTATTTAATTAAGATTAAATAAATCTTTTCTAACTTCTGTCTGTTAATTATTTTATAAAGCAAAGAAATAAGAGATAAAATAATATAAAAATAATTTTAAATAAATTATTAATAAAAATTATAGAATCTAAGAAAGATCTGGATATTATAATAATTTTCAGAAATTAATTATAAAATAATATTATTTATTTATTAAAAATTTATAAATATTTTATCAGAGTTAATAATATATTTCAGAAATTTAACTTAAAATTAATAAAATAAATATTTTAATAGTTTTATATAGAGCTGAGCTTCTCAAAGTCTTTTTAAAATTTAATAAATATATTTTATATAAGATTTTTTATTTAATAAAAAGATAAAAATATTATTCAGATATATTATATAAAAATTATTAAGAAATTCTTAAAATATAGTATATATATAATTTTAGAAAGTTACTAGAATATTAGTTAATCTAAATAATATAATTATATATTTAAAGTAGTTATATTAGATATAAAATATTATTTTCTATTTATTATTTTTTTTAATATAGATTTAGTAGTATATATTCTTAATATTAATTTTTAAAAAGTAGATACTTCCCAAAATTCTGTTAAGAATCTCTGAAATAAGAGATAAAAAATAATAATTTTTAATAAAAATCTTATTAAGATTTTTATAATTTATATAAAAATATAAGTTATTATTTTTTTTAAATATAAAGAGAATAGGAACTCCAGCAGGGCTCTTTAAAAATTAAATTTAATCTAGTTTTAGATTTTTTTTAATATATTTTTATAAAATCTTAAATTTAGCTTTAAATAAGAGATATATTAAATTATAAGAGAGTATTTTATTAGATTTAATATTAATAATATAATCTGCAGGGCTATAAGAAGATAGCTGTTAAAAAAAATCTATAGAAAATATATCTTAGAACTACTTAAGTTTAATAAAAATTATCTTAGAATTTAATAATAAATCGCGAGATTCTTCTTCTAATAGCTAGATATCTTTAAAAAACTTAATAATAGTATATATTCTTACTAAGTTTTAAGTTACTTTAGTAAATTAAATAATAGAAAGCAGTAAAATAGATAATATATTAAATTATTATTAATAATTTTATACTGATAAAATAATATATAAATTATAAAGTATAATTATTAAAAGTAGTATAAAGCTATTTTTTAGTTAGAAATTCTAATTAATCTCTATATAATACTATTTAAAAGTATAGATATCTTCTCGCAAATTAATAATAATAATAAAGATTTTTTATATATTATAAATAAAAATAATAATTTAATTAATAGCTTTAATCTTTGGTGTAGTAATCAGAATATATTAAAGATTATAGACTTTAATAAACTAATAATTAATAATATCTATTTTAGTATAGTTATTCAGATCCGCAAAGATTTTAAGATTATTTTAAATATAAATAGAAATATAAAAATAATATATAATCTCTATTATAAATAAAAAAATTAAAATTATAAAATTTATTTTAATTTCTCTACTTTTCTTTTTAAATTTAATAAGAATTAATAGATTCTAGCAGATTAGATTCTTTTATTTTTAATAGAATATTAATTTATAAGATATTAAATACTTTTATATATAAAGTATTATAATTAATTATTATTCTTTTTAATAGAGTTTTTTTTATAATTTAAGATATCTTTCTTAATAGTTTTACTAGTAATTTCTTAGAAGTGCTTGCATGGCTTATAATTATTAAATTAATTATTATTTTACTTATATTTTTCTCTATTTTCTTATAGTTTATAATAATAAGTAATAATAGCTATTATTTTATTCTACTTCTCTGATAGATAAGAAATATATTCTTAAATATAATAATTTAGATTTAATAATAACTTAGCAAAGTAGAATAAGACTTTTTTTTTTTTTACTTAATAAGAAAAGTATTATTTTAAGATATTAAGATAAGTATAGAACTCTCGCGGATTCTGATTATATTATTAATAAGTCTGTTTAAATTAAATTATAATATCTAATTAAAAAATAATAATATTTTAAATTAATATAAGAGTCTAATCTTTAAATTAAGATTATAATTTCTTAAGAAATTATCTCTCTTTTGGATTTTTATTATTTATAAAATAATACTATCTTTATTTATATACTGAATTTATATAGCTGATAGTAGTAAGAATTTTATATTTCTTTAATAAATATTTCTTAAATATATCTTTAAATATATATTCTAAATCAGTAATCTATTTTTAATATTTTTAGAAATTAAAATTCAGAGCAAAGCAAGAAATATCTTTAAATTTAATCTTTTTTTTATTCTTTTCTAATTTAAAAAAGAATTAATAATATCTTAAGAAAATTTCGCTCGGGAAGCTATTTTTTTAAAGATAAGCTATTTTTTATTATAAGTTAATAGCTTGTTTTAATTAATAAATATAATCTTCTAGCTATTAAATCTTTTTAATAATAAAAATAATATTTAGTAAGAATTTTGAATTAATTTAATTACTAAGTACTTCTATTTTTTTATTATTTTTAATAAATAATATCTTTCTTAGATAGTTGAAAAAAGAAAAATTAGAATATAATAAAATTTATTTATTAAAATAGAAAGCCTGTTAATTAGATAAAAAATTAATTATAAAATACTATATATTTATTTAATAATAATAAAGATAGTCTATATTTATAAGATAGACTGATTCTTGAAGAATCAGTAGCTTCTTATAGAGAAATTAATATTTTATAGATATCAGAGAGATATAGAATTACTATTAATAATCTTATAACTCTTATAATTATTATAATATGTCATCCTGATAACACAATTCTCATAATCACTATAATATATTATCCCGATGATCTTTATCCCGATAGCTGGGTTATTCTATCACAATATGCCCCTATCATACTAAAGTCACACTGTGGCACCCCGCTGTACAGTTCTACCACTATTTTGTACGCGCATGAACTATAAAACTCTACTCTTGAAGGAACAAACAGTTATAAAAAAGATAGTTTATACTTTGTAAATATTCTTATATTCTGGTTCTACTCTGTAGTCCTATATGACCTTTTCTTTGAAAATAAAACTCCCGACCTCTTAGCATACTACAACCATCCCAATAAACACGAATTAACTACCCTAAAGATGTATATGTAAATGTTTAAGCTTTAATTGCGAAAACAGTGATTATTCTGTTTACCCGTAGAAAACAGGTGGAGTAGCCAAAGCACGGCCAAATAAGTATACATGGTGTGCCAAAGTGCAACCCATATTGTAGTAGGGGTGCAAACGCCAATTAGCGCCTGTATTCCTTAACTACCAGGAATGAGTACGATGACTTACGAAACTACCTTGGTAGTACCTACCAACTCAAGAGATCACTAACTAGTACTACACCGGAGTACTAATATCTCCATTACATACCCCTTGCTCTTACAATCGCATTTGTTCTCCGGGAGGATCAGGACTAGAATGGTAAATCTTATCTTTTATGAGACACTTGGTCTGAGAGATGTGGAGGTTGCTAGCTAATGACTAATGTGGTCATATATATAACTATATGATTTTATATGTGTAGGTCCCCATTGTAAACTATTATTACCCCCAAACTAGATTTAGCGGCTGGGGCTTTAGCTGTATAGCCCGTATCTTTTCAAGTTGGTATCCTTTTTCTTTGCACAGAAGCCTACCAAGTAGTTAACAGCCTGCGTGTGGTCATTATTGTAGGCCCCAATGCAGCAAGGAGTACAAAGTAGGTATCTACACAAATGTACGGAGTACTCCGTACTAGTAGGCAGAATGGCGGATAGGCGCATATAGTACGAAATAGTACTTCGTAACCACTCTATCAATGATAATGAATTACCCACGAAGAAGTCTAACCAGTATTGTACTGTTTGCTACCCAACCGAGAGAGACCCGACGCATATGTGAAGTTGATAGAACTAAACAGAGGAATGAGAAATAGGTTTCGACTTTTGGAAATATCTGCCCCAAAGCGGGCAGCTTTGGAGTACCGACTAGATACGGAGCGGAGTTTATCTGCCCGCCGATTCCCCACAAATCTGCCGCCACTCGAAAGCTGTTACGGCCAGAGTCAAGTCGGGAAGAAAACCTCTTAGACAGAAGAAAGCTGCCGTTTTCAGGAGCGCTTTAACATATTAGCCTAACAAGGCCTTTAAATTGGAGTATCTTCCTTTTCCAAGCTTTCTTTCCCTGCGAGCTCGTTTCCTTTCTATCACGAGATGGAGACGGAACTACAGGCACAGATACCCGGCCTCGACCATGTTATCTCAGAATACTCCGTGGCAAGTACAAGCCACACGCTGCTTGTTATACTTATTTTGCTGACGACATACAGGGTTATCTGACACATGCATCAAAGGCCTATGTTGAGGATGCCAATACCCCATCACCACTGTCGGAAGCGGCGGACATGGTAACCGAGCTCCTGGTCTCGGCATCGGGGGACTTCACTCTCGAAAATGAGAAGGCCATTCGCAACCTGGTGAACGGATATATCTCTTCGCTGAACGCTTCTGATGGTATCGATTCAGAGCGCAGACAAATGCCCTTCACGGCTAAAAAGCTCGACCAGGCTATTAATGTGGGCTCACAAAGGAATATCTCATCAACCCTGGGACTTGCCGGAGGTAATGTAGATTTGGAGTCTGCTAACTCCCGGAAAGTGGAGTCTCGTGTAGACCGCAAGAAGCTCGAGAAGGCAGAACGCAAGATTCGTGCCAAGCAGGAGAAGAAGCAAATGAAGACGGTACAATATGAATCGTCTCGTCTTCTCAACGAGCCTGATAGTACCATGTCTTACGAGGAATTTTTCATGGCTGTTAACCCTCTCCAGTTGGGCTCGGACTCGCAGTCGAAGAGCAAGGACATAAAGATTGACAGTATCGATATTTCTGTTACCGGCCACCGTATCTTGACCGACGCTGCGCTCACGTTAGCCTATGGCCGTCGCTATGGTCTGGTAGGTCAGAACGGTATCGGAAAGAGTACCCTCTTACGTGCTCTGAGTCGCAGAGAGGTGGCGATCCCAAGTCACATCTCTATTCTTCATGTCGAACAAGAGGTATGTCCTTTTTTCTTGTTGAATTTGATTATCGCTTACTCCATCTGCCAGATCACGGGTGATGACACTCCGGCATTGCAAGCAGTCTTGGACGCCGACGTGTGGCGCAAGCGCCTTCTTGCTGATTTGGAGGTCAGTTGCCTAGTTCCTATGACTGAGGGTATCCAACATATTGACCAAATCGTAGAAAATTACCAAGCAGTTGGCGGAAATCGAAGCAGAAAGGTCCTCAATGGCAGACACCTCAAAGGATGCTGCTAGGCTCGATCATGAAAGAGAGGGTCTTGATATTACATTGAACGACATTCATGCAAAATTGGCGGAAATGGAGTCAGATAAAGCAGAGTCTCGCGCAGCTAGTATCCTGGCTGGTCTTGGCTTCTCGCCCGAGAGACAACAATTTGCAACGAAGACCTTTTCTGGTGGTTGGCGAATGAGATTGGCTTTAGCACGAGCTCTGTTTTGCGAGCCAGATCTTCTTTTGTTGGACGGTGCGTCATATTATCCTTTGGCCTCAAGGCTACTGCTTTGAGATGATTGCTAATTGCAGACAGAACCTTCTAACATGTTGGATGTGCCGTCCATCACATTCCTTTCTAATTATCTTCAAACGTACCCCAGCACAATCCTTGTGGTTTCACACGACAGAGCATTTTTGAACGAGGTGGCTACAGACATTGTACATCAACACTCTGAAAGATTGGACTACTATAAGGGTGCCAATTTCGGTCAGTTGACTATCAGTTGAACCCCAATAATACTAGCTGACAATTTTTAGACTCCTTTTATGCAACCAAGGAGGAACGAAAGAAGAATGCCAAGCGTGAATATGAGAAACAGATGCTCGAACGAGCGCACCTGCAAGGTCTGTTTTTCTTGCGTTCCTATCTTGGATCTGTCATGATGAAGCTAACACACATCATCAGCATTTATTGACAAGTTTCGTTACAATGCTGCCAAGTCCTCTGAAGCACAGTCAAGAATTAAGAAATTGGAAAGAATGCCTGTCCTTGAAGCTCCAGAGAGTGATTATGTTGTGCATTTCAAGTTCCCGGATGTTGAAAAACTTTCGCCCCCAATTGTGCAGATGGCAGATGTGTCTTTCGGATATTCGAAAGACAGGCCCCTCCTTACTAATGTGGAGCTTGATGTGCAGCTTGATTCACGTATTGGAATTGTCGGACCCAATGGTGCTGGTAAGACCACTGTGCTCAAATTGCTTACTGGCCAGCTGCAGCCCACGGCTGGTTTCATATCGCAACATGCCAGATTGCGAATTGGGTACTTTGCTCAGCATCATGTAGATGCTCTAGACCTCACAACCAGCGCTGTGAGCTTTATGGCAAAGACCTACGCAGGAAAAACCGATGAAGAGTATCGCAGACATCTAGGAGCGTAAGTCTAAGCCTTACTGCCTCGAGTCGACCATGTTTGCCATTACAGTTACTGACAAGCGCCTGGGTTACAGGTTTGGTATTACCGGCATGACGGGCCTTCAGCGAATGGAACTCTTGTCTGGAGGTCAGAAATCTCGTGTTGCCTTTGCATGCTTGTCGTTGACAAACCCGCACATTCTCGTCTTGGATGAACCTTCCAACCATCTGGATATCGAAGGTATGGATGCGCTATCCGAGGCGCTACAGAATTTTGAAGGAGGCGTGGTAATGGTTTCTCATGACGTCACTATGCTGCAAAATGTGTGCAAGAGCCTTTGGGTTTGTGACAGGGGCACAGTGCACAAGTTTGATGGCACTGTCAACGCCTATAAGAAACTGATCAGTTCCCAAGCCAATGAGGCCGGGGTAGCAGCACCTCACTAAAGGAGGCAGAGCCTGGATCGGTAATATTGTGACTATTTCATGGAACTTATTAGATGTTCCAAAAACTGTTACCATAATATATTTACTGAGTAGGTACCACCTAGTAGGTAGTAGTCTACTACCTTATGTGGTATACACAGTAGTACGCAGTGGTGTCTTGTGAGCTCCATATTATGTAAAAATACGGAGTGCTAAAAGCATAACACCTCTCCGGATTCCGGAGCCCCTAACCTCCTATAACAAGGTTGACCGCCTTCCCACCATCACAGACTTTGTCCGGGATAAATTTAAATGCCTGTCTGTGTGGAACTACAGTTATGAATGTTTTTGTGGATGGTGAAGAAATCTAAGTCATGAATGATAGGGATGGAAATGAGCCCGACTCCAATGCGCCTTTGCTCCCTTCGAGCCCCCTGGTAAACCGCCACCCCCATCATGACAGCGGTAATGGATTGAGGTCTACACTGGACACGAAACACACAGGCGGCTGGTTCATATGGGCCCTGACTTTTTCTGCCGGTATAAGCGGATTGCTGTTTGGCTACGAGTATGTATAGACCTTCTTTCGTACACGTCAAATTCAGAATGTAGTACTGACATTGATCTACTCAAAACAGTACAGGCGTCATCTCGTCAACTCTAGTCTCGATTGGCTCCGACCTCTCTGATCGCCCTCTTACCACTTTAGACAAGAGCTTGGTAACGTCCTGCACAAGCTTATTTGCCTTGATTGCGAGCCCGCTAGCGGGAATCTTGGCGGATAAGTTCGGTCGCAGAAGGGTTATTCTCGTTGCAGATGTGCTTTTCACACTGGGCGCTTTGATACAAGCTATCACAAGCACAGTATGGGGTATGATTGTGGGCAGAAGTATTGTGGGCTTGGCCGTTGGCGGAGCAAGCCTGGTCACCCCCCTGTATGTGAAGAAAGGCAGACAGAATGTGTGATATGCGATTGACGTTCCTTCTAATAACTGTTTCTGTAGGTATATTTCGGAGCTCGCACCGTCTCTTGTTAGAGGCCGCCTTGTGACAATCCTAAGCCTCTTTATCACTGGTGGCCAAGTGATTGCTTACATAACTGGCTGGCTGTTTTCCCCTGTCACTGCAGGCTGGCGCTATATTGTCGGAATTGGAATGCTTCCGGCGGTCTTTCAATCTGTTATAGTTGTGGTTCTACCGGAAACCCCTCGATGGTTGGTGCAGGCAGGTTTTGAGGAACAAGCTACACATGTCCTTTCCAAGGTCTACGCAGAGCATCCTGAGGGTGACTTGATTGTTAAGAGGGTAATGCGCGCGATCCAGCAGGAAGCAGCTGAAGAGCGGGAAGAATTAGACCAAGTCAACGCTTTTTCCGCAGGCAACGTGCAATGGATCAAGAACGTCACGCAGCGTGCTCGCAGTTTGGTTCTTGACGGTGGTAATCGGCGGGCATTGGTCATCGCGGTTATGCTGCAAGGAGTACAGCAGCTGTGTGGGTTTAACAGCCTCATGTATTTCTCGGCAACTATATTCTCTTTACTTTCTTTCTCATCGCCAACTCTTACCTCTCTATCGGTGGCAATGACCAACTTCCTGTTTACATTGCTCGCATTCGCCCTTATCGATAAGATTGGCCGACGTCGCATTCTTCTCTGCTCGATACCAGTCATGGGTCTCTCGCTTCTTGCTTGCGCATTGATATTTACTTCGATGGGCTTGCCAAAATCATCGCCTGGCTCCATGGTACGAGCAGAGGGAGACAATGATCTAGCTAAAGGCCCATCCCCGCCTGTTTTGATCCTTCTGTGCCTTACTGTTTACACAGCATCGTACGCTTTCGGCTTAGGCAATGTACCTTGGCAGCAAGCAGAGCTATTTCCATTGAATGTGCGTTCTTTAGGATCTGCTCTGGCCACCGCCACAAACTGGGGGTCGAACTTTATTGTCGGTCTTACATTTTTGCCAATGATGGAGTGGCTGTCTCCTGGGTGGACTTTCACGACCTATGCGGCCGTATGTGTGGGCGGCTGGTTTGGTGTATGGACCATCTATCCCGAGATGAGTGGACTCAGCCTGGAAGAGGTGAAAGGGCTATTGGCTGATGGCTGGGGAGTTCAGGAAAGTTTGAGGCGAGGCCGTCGCGATGTGGATGCGAGCTGATGTTCGCCCTTCCGCGCTGGGAGATCTGATCCATCATGCATATGCATTATCTCGTTGAAAGCTCTTGGATTAGTTGGTGAATAGTGCTCTCATACCCGATCTGTTCAATATGTAGACTCATTCATATATTTATCAATGTTTCCCTGCCAGATAAATCGGCTTTCGGGACCCAGGTCTCATCGGCCTGTCTTTTCCATTGTTTGGAATCTACTTCTGATCAGTTTCAGAGTGATGATAAGGTAGAAGCGGCACCAATTCCAGGCGGCTGATTCACTCACGGTCATCCTCTTCCTTGGCTTGTCATCAAAGACCAAGCTTATCTTTATTAAAGCATCAATTGATAGCTGTGATCGAGGTCAACCGGGAGATTTTCCCACGCTTTCCAAGTAAGGTGAGATTGCTGTTTCAAACCCGTGCCTCAGTTGGCTATCCAAGTCAATTTTCCCTCATTGTATACGAAGATTTAAGAGCACTTCCTATAACCGGGCTTGATCATACAGGAGACTGAGCGAACGTTTATTATCTACTACGTGGTATTTCTTGGCCGAGATTAGATTGAAAAAGTTGGGCACCTCATAAATGTATGGCACCAAGCTCGACAGCCTAGCGTCGCGTACCCAAGAGGGTGAGAAACATGAGCATTCGAAGGTCGATCTCCGGGGACTCCTGTTCTACAGGGCCGGAGAATTCATTACTTCGACTGCCTCCAGAGGTGATTTCCCTTGACATGATAATGTATACGCAGCGCTAAAAACCGCCTTAGTTGATTCAACACATCACTTATCTGCTTCCAGACGACGCAGATATTGCACATTTCTCCCAGTGCAGCTCGTCGCTGGCAGCCCAAATACTCACAGATCCGTCCTCCATTTGGCGAAGATGCTTCAGAGATCTTTATGACTCAATGCCATATCGTACTTCCGCCGAGCTCAAAACAGAATACCAGATCCGCTCCATTGTCCTCTCACAAAACATCAGTTTTAAACACGGCCAGAAAGAGGAACAGACGCTCTGGCTGATGGTAATTAGGGACATGCTTTTAGAATATCATGAGCTTGGTGGATCGAACGAGCTGTTGACTTCCAAGAATCTTGAGAGAGTCCGCCATGTCCTTTCAGGATCCGACTTTTTAAATAGGCCAGTTAACGGTTATGGCCAGAAGGACACAGACCGTCCTTCTGACCTCTTCTGTACCGTACAATTAGTATGTTTCATATCAATACGTGCTGAAGAGTAAGTATCACTGACTTTTGATAGTGCCTGACCGAGCTAGCCCTAGATCCTCTAATGTCTGTTCGTTGCCTAAGAACGGATTATGATATTGGGGCTGTCTACTCCTACGGAACTGACGTTATCAGACCCCTCGTCAGTCCAGAAAAGCTGGATTTGGAGAGAATCCTCCATATACGTAATTTCTGGCTTCGTCATCTCCTAAATCCAGATGAGGCGACATTTTACCCATCTTTCTCTAGTTTGCCTTCATGTCAGAGGCTCAATACACGGGGCAAACTTGTTGCCAAAGGCACGCAAACCAACTTCTCTTGGCTGGGATACAACTGTCAGTAGCTCTTAAACTACTCTTTCCAGTCAATGAGCAGCTAACAACTCGTTCTTGTGTAATAAAGCATGTGTCCACCCATACCCAAAGTTGTTAGGTAGTCTCGAGGACCGTCAAACATGCGCAGACCTTGATACCCATTGGACAAAAGTTGAACCCATGGTGCTAACCCCGATGCACATCAAAGCTAGATTAGAGCTAATTTGGTGCCGCGTTCGCAGTTTCTTCATCTTCAATCGGATCCTAAGCCTTTTAATTGGCCACCGGTATTCGAGACTACACTTCCCGCGATGAGCCTCGATTCTCAAAGATCGTATTTTCACGGTATCCAAGAGTTCCCAGGTTCTCAGGAGGAGGCAATAAATTTTATACGAGGATTCTATGAGCCAATACCCATTCCTCAGGGGGGTGTCCCTGGCTGGCGTCGTATTTGTTTTGTGATTTATGAGCTAGAGCTTGAGCAGTTCACCCCTGGTGATCATGCAGAGACTGTACCGCACGAGAATGACTGGCTTTTTGAGGAAGCATGGCCACCTTCTGACCTGGAGGTAGACTTCCGTTGGATTCATGGTTACGAGGGCGTGATTCTCCCAGGAAACATAATTATGATGGGCCGATGGATCGATATGGTGAATACAGCGGATAGGGGCCCTTTTCTCTTCTGGAAGCAGTGACTAATTATATACATTCTTTCGGATTATCTTGATTTTTTTCTCGAAGCAACATCTCGGTTGGATGAAATACACGGCGGACATCCAATTTATCCATTATCGCGCGAGGAATGAAGAACAGAAGTTAATGAAACGAAGATAGAAACTCTACTCCTCGATATCCTTTACCTTCTCCCATTGCCCCTTAAGATTTTCTTTCCACAGGCTGACTTTGTTATCGCCGCCACTCACCGCAAGAATATTTCCGCTGGGACTCCAGCTGACCCGCCAGAGCACAGTATCGAATTCAAGTTGCTGGCTGGCCCACTGACCAGGGTTAGACGCATCGGATGTCCAAATTCGGACTGTTTTGTCTTGAGATGCAGAGGCAATGTAGGACTTGGAAAGGATACTAGGTGACCAAGCAACATCTCGAACCCAGTCAGAGTGGCCTTCTAAAGTGTGTGTGAGGTTGTAGGTCTTGGATTCGGCGCTGGAATGGGAAACCGAGTCAGCACAATTTCTTGAAATTACGAGGTTATGAATGACGAATTGAACGTACTTGTAGTCCCAGATCTTCAGCAGGTTGTCACTTCCACCGGTGACGAATCTCCGCTGCTGGCCTGGTCCAGGATTGGAGCTGATCAAACTGCCAGGGGAGGCAGCAGGTGCCCAGCTGATTGAATTCACTCCCATGCCATGAGCATGAAAGATCTGGTGGGTCCAGCTGTTGTCGCGGAACTCAAGCACACTAACATGTCCATCTGAGGAGGCGCAGGCCAAGACACAGCCACTCTCATGCGGGGCCCAGGAGACCATGTTCACCGAAGCAGTATGGAGAGAGAAGTCGAATACCTTCGTCCAAGCTCCGCCGCTAATGGGTGACGTGGCATTCTGGTGTTGTTCGCGCCAAATGAGTACCTTCCCATCGTATGACGAGGAAGCTAGAATGGTGCCAAATTTGGGGTGCGCCTGGAGAACACAAGAGTATGAGACTTGTCAGCAAATGACCCTCTCCTTACCCCCTCTCCCCTAGAAGGACAATAAACGCAACCATAACATACCCATGCGACGCACCACACTGCACCTTCATGTCTGTTTCAATGGTACGGTGATCAGAATTGACAGCCGCGCCGCGAAGTGACGGTAAAATATAATGCTCACCCTTTCAAGGTCTCGATCAATCGATGTGTCTCTCCTTCAATCTCAAAAATCTTTATTGTTTTGTCCGAAGAACATGTCGCCAATCGGCGGCCATAGTAGTCCAGACCAGCGTCGTGCTACGGTCCCAGGTCAGTCTCAGGGGGCGCCCGCCAAAGATCGCGTAATGCAATCGCAACATGAAGCGAGGATTTCGGTTTCGAGTCACATACAATCATGTCATCGTGCCCAGAATTGGAGATTACTTGAGCAGCCGCCTAGATTCCCCAATGTAGTGATGTTAATAGAGCACGGGGCGTTTGGAAGTGGGAGGCGCACCATGTTGACCAGCTTTCTGCTCTGAGTGAAAATGACTTTGTGAAGTGAATAAGAGCTCCAGTTCGCAGGTGGCCCTGTTGAAAAGGTACAACGAAAGGAAAAGGGGATCTGGGGAAGTAGGCGATCGTGGAGAGCCAAATCAACACGCAACAAGAGAAACAGCGAAACACCGCCAGCTTGTCCGTTTCGCAGTCAGCCGCAGTCCGAAGTCCGATCTTATCTTATCGGCTAAGTCAGCCATCTACGGTCACGCTTCTAGCACGTGAGCTGAGCCTCGGTAGTCCTCAGTCGCCCTGCCCCGCGGTCTATTTATCGCTCTCTCTACGGAGTACTCCTCAAAGTCCTCTGAGCGTTAGCAACTTTGCCTCCCTCCACCATTTACTTGTTATCATACGAAGAGCTACGTCTTACCTCTGCATCGTCTTTTCAACACATAACGTCGACGATCCTTTATCCACCGTGTCGCGAAACCCATTCACCCAGCACAGCAGACAGCAATTTACTTCACTTGCTCGGTGTCCTTAGCCACAAGTTAGACTTATTTGGCACCATGAGTGATGCATTATGTGGCCCCTCAAACGCGCTCCAGAATTTTCAGAAGCACGCATCTGTTGATCGAACCCTTCAGCAAGATAGATTGATACCTCGGGGATTCCCTTCCCAGGTAGGTTCCCTGCATTTCTTCAAGGAAAGCCTTACGCCTTACTGACATTGAATCTGTCAGAGCTTCCGGTCGCAGACCTCTAACCAAGGGACACTTGATCCTGAATTTGCGGCCTTCGAATCTAACTCGGCAGGAGCACCCCTTCCTACTGTACAGCATGCAGGCCAGTTTGCCACACCCACATCCAATTTCGCAGTATCAAGTCCCGCAGAGGCGTCAAGCTGGGCGGCAGATTTTCGAAAAATGCATATTTCGGGGCCCACAGATCCACTTATCCAACGTCATGGACCTTCTGCTTCTGTAGCAGCGATGTCGGCTATTTCGCAGCAGGACTGGCAGAATGAGTTTGCTAGGCAGCAGATGCATCAACCCCCTGACCAGAACATTCAACCACAGGTCTCAGGACTTCAGTCATCATATTCGCCTCACTATCCTATACATAACGCTATATTTGCCCCCACTCAAGAATCAAAGGCGAATCAACAACTCCCGGCAGAAGCATTTGATGAACCGGCGTTCGAGGCGGCATTTGAGCAGGCAAGGGTGGATATGATACTACAAGAAGCGCAAACTACGCAAACACAAGCGGAATATGTCGAGGAGGGAGTTGAACCCCTTGCAGTCACTGAAGAAACCGCCGAAAAAAATATCAAAATCGGATCAGATACCATCTCCCAAGCCGACACGAATGACCCGCAAGGACGTGTGAACAACGCAGACGAACTTGCCCGAACTGCGGGGCAACTGCTAGATAGTGTAAAGCATGACCAAAGCCAAAAGTTTCGCGAAAGCAACTTTCTTGCCTTGATGCGCCGCATTCGGGACCGCGAGGTCCACATCGATGGTGACAAATTCCGCGAAGTCAGTACCAGTCCGTGATAAACTCAGAGTTCGGCTGGCGTGGAACGAGCGCTGGTATAACCAAGTCTTTATAAAATAGCTTTTGTTTCTGCTGATCACTGTCTAGACTCTACAGTCACTCCACCCAGGCGGGAGATTTTATCCAGAAGGCCAGCGACAACGGTCGGGGTAGACACCAAGGCCCATGGATCATAACGACCACAATGAAGTTTCATCCAACACTATCAGTAAGTCATTTGAAGCATTGTAGAGTTGGGATGAAAGGCTGGATGGGCTGATCAAGCAGTGCCGATGACCAGATACTACGTACAAGGATTTGCACAGACAAGAGACTAAGCAGGCCCCTTTTATGGGGGGCCAACCATGCGACAAACTCGTCTAATCGACTTGGTGCTGGCGATGGCTATTCCTTGTACGAAAACTCGAATCATATGGATCGCTGGGCTTAAGCGATTGTCCGACATTTGGCTTATACTGCCTGCTTGAACAATTTTTGTCCGAAGAAGGCGGAAAGAGGAGAAAGTGGTTGGCTACAGGCATCAAGACACTTGGCTAGAAGGGGTTAATGTGGGAAGGCTCTTAGGTGCATTCGACTAAGTTTACATTGCACAAGTGTCAATCGGTGTTAGATGTTTAGATGACTGGGAACCATTCCATGAGTTACACGACACCTCTTTGGAGAAGTTTCCTCTATTCAGATGGGTCATTTTGTTATCGGAGGGGGGGCTCCCAAACATCCACGTGACTTTATTCTGTCTATTGATCGGGAAGAACAATATGACGTCCGAAGCACCTCAATTCAGGAGGCGATGGCATTGTGGCAGACCAACACTCAAAACTACAGGGTTCTAAGTGGCCGGGAGGTATCTCCTAGCTGTCTTGGTCAGATGGCGTGCTGCCTTGGCTTATTAACCTATTAATGGATATTGTTGGATGCCTGTTGGCCTATTGATGTATACTTTCTTCCCTAGATCATCGAGTACTCCCAGGGGATATTTGATGTATTTTACTTTGCATGCTATTGTTCTCAACAGCAGCAATTGGTATCTGCAACATCTTTCCATCATCCCCTGTTTTGCTCTATATCTTAAAGGGCAATCACCCTGCCCCTGCAAAACATTGTTTCATAAATTTTACTTGTTCCCATCATTCATTCTGTCTATGTTCCATATCATACGTTGCGTATTAGACCCATCAGTATACATTTTCCACGATGCTGCCCCCGTCTGAAAGCATTCTTCATCGTCTGCAGAAGTTAGCAACGGCAGCGCGACAAAGCCCACAGAGCCAGAAAAACTCGACGCCTCCGCCTCCATACTCTCCGACAACACCAGAAAGTCTTCCTCGCCAGGAACCCGCGAGCAAGGCCGAAAGCAAGGACACCATCCAATGGGAGACCTGCCGACCTGTGAATATCTACATGGATGCATCCATTGCCGTCTTCGGAAATGGGAACAGTGTTCTCATATCATCCATGAAAGGACCCGCCGCTCGCAGCCCTAACCCAACGGCGCCACCACCCCTAACTCCAGCCTCCGTTCCCTCGTCATCGACAGCTGTACTGGAATCCTCACAGCGACAGCATCAGACGAAGCTGACTGAGATGGCCACGTCTATTATCTCAGTGCTTCACCGCACAGGAATCTTGAATCTCACCGACAACGATGATCGATCATCATCTCTAACACTCAACATCAACACCGGGATCAAGGTAGTGGGAAGTGGAAATGTCATCTGTATTGGAGCTGTGGATAGTGTGATGCGCCGAAAGATGAATATTAGTAATAATAATGGAGGGCAGGAACCTGTTGGCATGGAGAACAGAAAAAGGCGTGCCCAGTCGGTAAGTGACAGGGATTTATCATTATCACCTCCGATGCTCTCCTTCCCAAACCGGCACGTGTCTTTCCAGTATGCAGAGTCTAACGGGATCCAGGAGCCACTCGAAGTGCCACCTACGAAAAGGGGACGTCAGTCTGTCTATGGAAAATGACGTGACCGGAGTGGAAGTTTCTTTGTTCTTTTTTCTCCCCACTTTCCTCCATATTGTTTGCGGTGGGCCTTTTGACTATTCACGCCGAGTGGATCTTAATAATATTTGAGTCCATGGCATGGACAGGCAGGAAGGAGGGATACCATTCTATCATTTTAGCTGCGAGAAAATCGAAGCATGCCGCCGAGGAGCAGGCTTCACTCAGCGAAGCGCATATACAGGATGGACATTCTGGAAGTAATTCAATTACATACTTTCGCCTGTAAAACCTCGGAGCCACAGCAGGCGGCGCCTTTCCTGACATAAAAGCTGCCCGTACCAACAACTGAAAGCAATAATCGACCACGCCCACCAAGCTTGAAAGCTGCCCGGGCGAAATTTTGAGTACAGTGATTCTAACTCCATCCTTGCCTCCGGTTTCGCCCTGAGTATTCAGATAAATAAAACAAGATAATGGAAGACAAGGAAAATGGGAAGGGGGCATCGCCCATCCAGCCATTGTAGCAAGTATGCATGTCTGTAGTACAACAAGCTCAGAGAAGTGAAATATGGCATAGAGAGGATAGACGGGATAGGGATATAGAGAGAGAGAGAGACAGAGAGAGGGAGAGAGAGAGAGAGAGAGAGAGAGAGAGAGAGAGAGAGAGAGAGAGAGAGAGAGAGAGAGAGGAAAAGTGAAGTAAGATTGGGGAATGTCATACCTAGAGCGAGGAAAAACTTCCTGCCTCATAAAATGGAAAAAAACGAGAAAAATATTGGGAATAAAAATGCTTGTCCCCACTATAAAGGTTCATTAGAGAGATATCATCAATCAGATAGTACATAAACTGTGTTCCGACACAGAAACAAGGTGTCTTGACGAGATTTCACCACGTCAAGATCGTAGGAGTACCATATAAAGCTGGCCCTGAAAAACAAACAGACGTGCTGTCTGTTGACCTTGGGATATTGCATCAGCTCAGAGTATTATTATCTCTGTCGTTTGAGTACGAAGCATAGAGAGGGGAAGATTGGCTTGATCCATCTGCTGGAATCCTCTACCGACCGATTGGCATATCGTGACGGTGCAGATCTCTTGACCATTCGGGCGCCACCTTGTCTCGTTCGTACAACAGGCCACAATTGTGACAGAGGGTCTGGAATATCCCAAGTCAGCCAGAAATTCATGTGGGGGCCTTTTGGCCGAGTCACGTCGCTCTTACCCTTGGGCCTGTCGGGCCATCTCGCACGGCCCAAACTGCGGTACCCCATACCATGCAGTTGCTGCACCTCCAATTTTGTCGCTCCCTAAAGAACAAAGGAGTTTGGTTAGCAAAACATACTGGCGAGGAAGATCATTTGAGGGAGAAACAAACCAGTCAGAGAGCGTTCCACCCCCTCCACCATATCCAGCTCCTGAACCAGTGTCAGGAGTACCTCGTCCACCTGGAGTACCTCCTCTTCCCGCCGGGCTCAGACTCCGGAATCGCCTCTTTCGTTTGCTCCTCTCACCTCTACCCAGAGGTGTCTCGCTGTCAACATCAAAATATCCACTGCCGTGTCGGGAGGTATCCGGCGTTATGCCGGTAGTCGACGAAAATCTAGCTGTCTCTCGACGCAGGCGTCTGATCTGACGTTCACGATCTCCTTCTCGCTTCTCAATTTCCTCCTTGGACAGCGTTTCCACCTTTGGTTCCCATTCGTCGCCCAACCCTTCGGGGTCGTAACGCCAGCCCGCCTCAGCACCATTGGCGGCCTGATTATCAATCTCATTACCATAACCGCCTATGCCACTAATGAGTCCGCCACTTTCACACACTTCCTTCTTCAGCTTCAAAACAGCCTCGAAGATACCATGTGCAATGGAGCCAACCCATTCTCCGCCGAGGCCAAGGTCCGCGCAAGTAATCCTGGCGAACTCTTCAGCCATGCCCGGGGGATGCAGCAGAGACCATTCGAATTTGTCCGTGTATAGCTTGTTCTGCAAGTTGATGTTCAAGTTGATCATGCACCGATACGCGTCGTCCGGGTTTAAGATACTGTCATTGACTAGCGGCTCTTTAGTTACCATTACCTGATTGGCTCTGCTGTCGGGCGTTGCGGCGTGAGTAGAAGCCGGGGTAGCAGACACGTCCCGCGACACACCGGGTCGTGGAGCAGAAGGTTTCGGTTGCAAGCTCTGAAATAACGGATGTAGTGCAACACCAGCATATTCTTCCAGCTGTTGGCGGATCTGGTTGCTAATGGCCATTGTCATAGCCTGTGGATTTGGCAGGTCCATATCGCGAACAAAACCAATGGCGAACTCTTCAGGTGTTGCGAGAGCTTCGTGGAGGTTCCAAAGAAATGTGTCTTTGATTCGATACGCAGGTAATGGTTCCGGTCGTCGGTATGCGGGTAAAGTAGGGTTGATTGTAGGATCAAGGACCGTCCGCGGTAAAGGGAAAGGTTCTAAAGGTTGATGCGCTGCAACCTCCAAGTCAATTCGAATAGGAATAAGGGTAAGAGGAAGCTGCGCCTGAATTTGCAGTTGATCGGCACAACTGGTGGTGCGATACAGGCCAAAAGTCAGCATCACTATGATGAATACACAAAAGCAAGTTTCGAGGAGATAAGTGGCGGGCTGATATGCACATACGCAGGACGCAGCATCCTCTTGATCATCCAGTCACGAAATACCCCTTGAACCTCGACAGGAGCGTGGATTTCTTTCCCCAGCTTTTCCGCCGATGGAATCTTGTCGAAAGTTGATTCCTCTCGCCGCAGGCTTCTTAGACCAGTGGGCCGCCGGAGCCCTTCGCTGTCGTCAAATTCATCATCATCGAAGCCGTCCTCCGCATAATTGATGGCAGCGGTGCCTCGTTTCGTCGTCCGCGGAGTGGGGCCGACCTGGCTCGGTGGAATAACTGGGGTGAGAAGCGCATTGCCATATTGGCGCACTCGTGGCGGATACGATGTGACATAACCTCGGAGAGGGGACATGTTGGCCATTTAGTTGGTCAGGGACATGTCCCTTTCAGATACGGGCGGAGATCGGTCGGCGAACGGGCGGCCTGGAATTCGAATGAGGGAAGGGAAGGGAAGGGTAGCCAGGAGCAGAGGAATCAGTGGGGGGTTTTAGTAGGGAGAAAGAGCAATCGCTATTGGAACGAAAAGCGCGTGAGTAGGTCAGTCACAGCAGGAAATGACGCCCAGGTGGTTGGAGTCAGGTCTTTTATGGACTCTGAACTGAAGCCAAAGCTCCTTCCTTGACGGTGATCGCGGTCGAGCTTCCGCCTTTTCTGTTCGTCGCGTTTTGCCAGACATTCGGCCAGATACGCTAGACCTCATTCGGCAATACTATCACGTGATACTCTGCCTACCCGATGTTGAAACTTGGAACTATGGCAGACTGCGAGGATGGCATCTTTTTCGGGGGTGGATGTTCATGATATAGTATTATTTATAACTGCAGAATAGCATTATATGAGGGTCAACTCAACAACAAAGCCTTTGGATCCAAACGTCTCGGGATCCAAAGTAAGACGACAATGGAAAATGAAGATACAAATCGAGGCATAGGCCCAAGCCAGCTGAGGGTAACTATAAACAAGATGACACAATACCCAATGATTATTGAACACGCCATTCCTCTTGTCCTCTGGGCCGATGCGTGCGGATGCAGACTCGGGATATAGGGGATATCATCAACTCCGCAAAAATGTGCACTGAGCAACTCAAAACGAATGTGCTGATGATGGTGCGAATCTAAAATGACGGGAACGAGGAAAAAACAATGACGCCGGGGAACCAGCACATGGTTTGGTTCAGAGTACAATCGCCGGACGCAGGCTATCGAAGCCCAATTACGCTCTGTAAAATGGTTAATTTCGGAACGTGATAAGGACAGCGACAGATGACACACCATTTCTAGAGTCCAAACTCTACGGACCCAGATCTTCACTTTTCCTTCAACACCCTCAACGTCATCCAGCTCTATGCCCTCCCACCAGCACCTTCTGGCCGGTTTTCTCCAAAATAGGAGCAGTTTCTGGGCCATACCGACGGCATTGTTATTCGGTAGGTCACCCCGAATGTCAGTACGCAATTTGGCCAAAGCTAGGCTACAAATTACTGCCTTGTTAGGCTCTGGGGCACGGTGGCCCCAACGGTCATCGCGATCAAATCCACTGAGATCGGTTAGTAACTCAAAAGAATCACCCAAATTTCCGAATGCCGTGAGAGTCGAAAGGATAACTCACCCTGCAGTAAGCATCTCAATCAGATGTTGCTCGGTTGAGCCGACCTCATCACTCTTCCTCAGTCCAGAGAATATTCCATCTTGTTTCAGTAATGCCCTTGCCGCTGCGCGCTTAACCTCAATCATCTCAGGATGGTCTATATCGGTACGAGGCGGTATCGCATAAAAATCAAGATCCTCCCGGAGAACAATAATACCAGCCCGGTCCTGGAGCATATCTCTAGCGGTTCCTTGCATAGAATCGGGGGCAACTTCTAAGTCCGGAGATGTTGACGCAGATGGCGATGATGATGGAATTGACTGAGCAACAGAGCGGAAAAAGTCTAGCATGTACTGTAGAGAAGCCGGGTCGTACTAGAGGTAGATATCGTGAGACATGATCTGAACACTACCGCGAATAGTGTGGGTCAAACTGGGGGGAAACAATTGATCACTTACGTCGACTGGGTAAATGTCACCTTCATGAAAAGTGCCCATGTGTCCGTCGGGAAGCAAGCCGTTCGGAAAAAGCGATAGAAGGACAAATTCCGGTAAAGTCAACAGTTCATCTCGAGAGAGTGTGAATCGAGTGCCCCTGCGTTTTGATTAGCCATATATGTCCCCTTTTGATTGAGGTTGAGACAGAAGAGGAAAGTGCCTCACCGGAGGTCAAGAGTTATATGCTCATCACCACCAATATCTTCAACTCACAGAAACCATTAGCCATCAAAGTGTTCCCAAGCACGCAAATTTATGGGCTCTAGTACCTCCTAGTGTATTGATTGGTGGTCCTCCTGCCTGCTGCACTTGAGTGATAATACTCGACGCGCCTCCCGCTGCAGCCATCACGTAGGTGAATGATTCGATGGGGCTAGATCCTTCAGTATAGGGTGGAGGAGGCTCTCCCTCTTCGGCACTTTTCCCTGGGGAATCTGACTTTTGGTCCCGAGAGAAGGAAGCTTTCGTTTCCGCGACCAAAGATAAAGATGCGTCCGGCTCCAGGGGCTCTTCGGGTTCTTCGTCGGGGGTCAGAGGCGTGGAGGTTAGAGCAGAGGCCGACTCGAACGGAGAGAAAGGGACTTTCCGGCGACTCGACTCGGTCGCAGGATCAAAGACAAGAGACGAAAACGAAGGAGGATGTGACGAAGAGAGACTAGAGGAAGCTTCCGGGTACTGGGAAGGCAGCGGCGAGGCGGTATAGAAGTCGTTGTCGTCCTCCACCACGGAGTCTGTTAAATGGTGCGGCCGCGCCGTGAGAGGCGAGCCAGAAGAGTTCAGTGACCACGACAAGGTGCCGGAAATCGTGCCGATGCGCAGAGAATAGCGTGCTGGCTTTTATGCTTGCCGGAGGCTGCGAAGATGACACTAAAAGTGGCTGGGTGGTCGGAGGGAACCAATACTCCAGTTGCACGAGGTCGATCAGGAGCCCACCGTCATGTCTCTAGAGACGCTCAATCATGCGATCATAAAGGGAGGTGACGGGTCCGAGAAGTTGAAATCTATCGGGGACGATGTGGAGCAAGAAAGGGGAGAGGAGCCGGGGGGGGGGGGGGGGGGGGAAGAAGGAACAATGGTGATGCAAGAGAAGCCGTGTGAGTGGAGTGTACTCCGTACTAGTAGTAGTTGGAAAGAGGAGAAAGACAGACAGGATGGAGGAAGCGCTTAGCGGGCACGAGGGCCTGGAATCAGCAGCAGCTCTTCAGGAAACAGGCCCGTCCATGGTCGGCTTCGGAGATTGGCTCAACCCTCCCGGAGACTGCGCCGACAGAATAGGGAAAAAGCACCACCATCGACGTCCACCACTCCCACACACTCGACCCCGGTGGGATTTATGTCGGATGGTATTTCCTTCCTTAACATGATCGTATCTAGTTCGTATATCTTACTGAAAGCCCAGAGTCGCCCGGTCAAGGCGGCAATCTCACACAGCTGGAAATCACATGACTCGTGGCCGCTCCATTGTCTGGGGGTATGACTCAGCCAGTACAGAGTAACTAAGTAGATGGGAAAGAATCCACGTAGAACCATTCATTTATCGGCTAGGTACAACAACCCTTATCCCACAGGCAATGCAACATCCTCGGAAAGAAATGCGCTATAACCCTCCTCGCTGAACGGCTACATCTAGATGTCGCGTTCAACGAAACTCTGGATCAGTCCCTCAAGCGTAGGCTCGTACTCTTTGAGCGTGACTTCATCCCCATTCAGGATGGTGTTGCCTTGGACAAACACCTTGCGAGGAACTTTGTTCTTTAGGACAATCTCGCGCACCTCGGTGCCCCACCAATCATCAACAGATGTGATGTCATCGTAGAGCTTTTTACCGGCCTCAAAGTCGGCAGTGCTCTTGTAGACATGCAGCTTTTGCAGGTATCTCTCCACGGCAGGCCGACCGTGGGTCAGGATCTTGGAACGGTCTAAGTGAATCTCCAGATCGGAGAGGTCTTCCTTCGTGTATGCAAGCCTGACAAAGTCGTCTCCAGCGTCAAGAAAAGTGCGCAGAATACTATACCGAGCTTGCATGTGGGCCTGGCCCCATTTGTGAGTTTTGGGGTCCCAGAACTCCAAGGCCACCAAGCCTGCGCGAGCCATCTGCAGGTATCCCGCAAAAAGGACGTCACCTGCCTCATTCGCAAGATCTTCCTGGCCGTTACCAAAGCCAAAGAGCTTCAGGATGTTGAAGTCACAGCTAAGTACCATTGCGACGCATTCCGCACGGCACTCTTCGTAAGAAGAAGCAAGAGCCCCAAACACTGAGCCCCAAGTCTGTCCAGGCTTATACCATGAAGAGATAGGCTTGTTTGTCACCGGGCTTACGGGCGGGTTTGATACGTCGAAATTGTATTCCCCCGGGCCGGTTTCCTGCAACAGCTTTCCTGTTCCGTGACCGAGCAATTCATGGATGCCAACCTGGACTTCAAATGCGGCATCACGGCAACTGCGATAAACCTCCAGATCATTCGCTGAGATGAAGGGGACGGGCTCATTAGGGGCTTTGGCACTGAGGACGTTTCCCAAGGAGACATTTTTGAATCCAAGGTTTTGCCGGATATCGTCGTAGTTGGGCAGATTGATTCCAGCGGGAATGCCGGAAGACTGGAAGCTTAGGACCTCAAGGGATGTGAAGTCGGGACTGAGAAATTTGTCCTTCTCAAAGTCTTTACCCCAGGGAAGCTTGGGGATCATGGACTCAGCACTGTCCACCAGCTTACCGAAAGCTCGGGTTCGTTCCAAATTAACCTGCATGGATCAATTTATGATTAGTGGCAAGTATTGTAGAGATTCAAGCTTCAATGTTACATACCAAAGCAACAAACCCCTCCCATTCCCCTCTTACACCATGAGGGTCTCTGTACGTCTCTACAAATCCCAAGTTCGTTTCAAGCGCCGGTTTCTGATCTTTGACCCATATCCTCTGGCTCTCTTTGAATGCTTCGATTGAGCCAGAGCCGAAAGAGAGCGCGTATGCATCCAACATTCGCTTTTGGTTATCGTTCGCTGCATGAACCCCTGCTTGTTTGGCGCTGTGAGCGATCTTCGCCATTTCTTCCCGGTGGTCACCGAAGACAAGGCGAAGCTTTTTCCCTTCGAACTTTCCACTCAGGTCAAAGGTGTCTGTATCACCGAGATCTCTATCCCGAACAGGGGGCGAAGAGACACCTGCGGCAATCAACAACTCATAGTCGCCAGATATCGTCTTCTTGAGTCTGGTGTTCTCCAATGGCAATCCTTTCTGCTCCATCAAGTCCCCAATAGCCGTGATCTCTTCCTTAGTGATCAATGGCGACTCCGGGTAATACGTGGTCATGTGATTCCCTTCCGAGTAGCCAAGGTGCATACGCGACTGAGCATCTGTCTCGTATATGCCACCACCAGTCTCAGTTGCCAGATCGAAGGCAGACTTGGTGTTCGGTGTCACAGAAGCCAAATCCCGGAAGGCTTCGACAGGCAACCGGGGAATGAACTTCGAGTCACCGAATCCTTTGTAATTGCCACAGTTCCCAAGGAACTGGGCTGCGTATTCTAAGAAAAATCGCAGGTTCTCATCGCTGACCCCTGTTTGCCGAGCGAGGTCATTCCAATCACCGTCACAGGCCCGGTGTAGTTCAAGAATGAGATCGTAAATAGGCTCCGACTCTGGTGAGACTTGGCGCAGTGTGATACGAGTGCCTTCGAAAGCAGCTCTAAAATCAGACCAGGGTTGTTAGCGGGACATGCCTCAGCCAGAATGCAGCATGCATGGCTCGGGGTGCTGTAGCGAACCTGCTCAAATAGTGCGCGTATTTCCGCAACTTGGGATCCTTGAGGTTGTCAAAGTGTGGCTTGACTTCCAAACGTACTACCGTGGGAGGTGAGTCAGCCAGGTAATGCTGCCTGACCTTGTCGTCCATTGTCGATATGCAATAAGCCGCTGCGGTCTTTATGAGAGGGTTAGAGCAAGAAGAGTGGGAAAAACGGCTGTCTGCTAATGAAGAAGAAGGCCGGCCATAGACTGGAAGAAGGCGGCGGCGGGGTACTCCTGGTACTAGTAGTAGTAATGACGAGGGGCGGTGGGGGAGACCAGAACACTTGGCCGACGGAAAGCGTCTCAAGGCGTAGCGAAGAGGAGGATGTTGCATTCTGGTGCTTTCAAGCTGGGCAGCCAGGAACCCTCGGCCATTACGGAGTAGTCCGTACGTCAGGTTGCCCTTCCTGTTATCGGACTGCTTGGCGGAGTGGAGTCTGCACTTATCGACTTCGTAATCATCACCGCCGGAGTACCGGACAACGCCTATCGTGTGACTAAGTTGTTATTGTCCAGGTTCAATGGAGGGTGGATATCCGCATCTCTCCACAGTGCTGCAATAATGATGAGGAACAGAACACACTAAATGTTGGGAGTCCTCTTCTAAACCACGTCCGAGGCAGCAACAGAGTGATGCATTATCGTGTATGCCCAACCTGTGACTACGATCGAGAAGGAGAACCAAAGAACGTCGAAGCATAGTGGCTACAATATGCACATAATGATCAAGTCAATTGTATATCTTACCCCCAAGTCATAGCAAACTCTCATATTTGTCAAGGCCTTGCTTCGGTGTGCCTTGTGGTGGGAGCGAAGGGTTGTTCCGGAACGGACTGGGCGTGGCAGTCACAGACACCCCAGTGTTGGCGAGTCCACCAGGGCCCCCAAATGATCCTATGGAGCCATGGATTGATGGGGGTGGGGGAATAGAGAAAGCGGAATAGTTAGGGACGGGCTGGGGGCTTTGGCCTGACATAGGAGCATTTGCCTTCATGCTGGCCAGCCCACCAAGGGAAGGACCGGGAACGTTCGACTGCTGGGATGATCGTTGGTTGTTTAGAGCAGTTGGGATATTCCAGGAAGAGGGAGTTGGATGTTGTAGCGTAGGGAATGCTTGCGCTGAGGGGGACTTGGTCATGGTAGCGGGGTCCAGGGATGGGAAAGAGCTCAAGTTATAGTCAGGAGTTACCGACCGCACGTTTAGACTCGAGACCGTGGAAGTCACGCTTCCTTTCGGGGTTGGGATCGCAGTACTAGACGACCAAGAAAATCCAAGAGATGCCGATTTTTGAGCAGTCGCCTGTGTCGTTGAAGATCCCTGAGCGAGGTTCACCCACGGGTCAGTATCCTGGTTATTTGGAGTTACCGCTCCTCGTCCCAGGACAAGACGCTCAAAATTATCTCTTGTATTATCCATGCTAGAGTGACTTGAGGTATTCAAGGCTGTAGACGAACCTCCGGCGCCGTTTGAAAATCCGCCGGAATCTCCCCCCGAAGAAAGCTCTTGGAGCTTTTTGGTCTGTTCACGTTCAATCTTAGACGAAAGACTTTTAATCAATGTCATGAATTCCGCAAATTGGTGAATGTCAAGGAGAGGGCCCAGGCTAAAGCTCCATAGGACTGGCAGGACTTCTAGCGCAAGGAAATCGGTGTCCGCAACAGTCCCGATTTGTCGAAAGACTCCAAGGGCAGCCATCATTACGGCCGGTTCCTTTGTTTTAATTGCCCTCATTGATGGGACGAGCTTCTCTTGTATCGTATACTTGTCCAATATGGACGATTTGGCGGATTGCGATTTGCTTTTTTGGACCATGCCCGACAGATCATCTTCATTTGCTTCCTTTCTATCCAGAGAGCCGCCGCAGAGAACAGTGAATGCCTCCAAGCAACGTACTTTGATGGCAAGACTGTTTGTTCGACTAAAGGTAGATGCAATTGGAGGGAAGACTTCATTTTTTACGGTGCTAAAATCAAGAACCGGAAGAATTACCGGTAGGCATTTGATTGCACCATCGGCCAATGAATGTGTTGAGGAATCAAGTCCCAGCCGGATCAATGGTAGAATGTCTGTTTAGGTTAGAAGAATAGTCTTCAAAGCCAGGCAAGTTTGATCTTTCTCCATTCCAGTTCAACTGACCTTCTTTGAACTCCTTCCCGGAGCAGTTATCTGCCACAACTTTCATGTTGTCGAGCACGACCATAAGACCCGCATCTCGCTTAGAGTCGCGTTCATTAGGAGCTCCTTTCCCTGTCGGAAAAGCTTCTTTCAGTTGAGGAATTACTCTCTCCGGAAACGTGCGACGTGCATTCGGGATGCGCTGTAGAATTGCGAATACATTGCCCAGGATAAGAGGCAAGAGCTCGCGATCCTTCATCTCTTCCAGCAAGGCACCGAGAACTTTCCTTTCCAGCACAGAGACTGGAAATTCGGGTATGACCCGTTGCAGTCCGCGCATGAATTGCGATTTTTCATTGGAGTTCTTCGCAGGTAGAGATTCCATAAAACGAATAGTCGAGACCAATATATTATCAAAATATTGGGACTGCTGGAATTCTCGAGCGTTGAGGCGTTGAGCTGGCCTCCTTGTTATCAACCTAGGCAGAACGTGCGAAAGGACATCCCTTGGAATTGGGCCCGAAGACAAAAAGTTGTTGCCTTGCGACGGAGTACTGGATGGTGAGCTTAAAAGCTTTTTGTACGTATTTAGATTCGAATTAGTTTGCATGGGAGAAACATGAGGCGAGTTGTAGAGGGCTACAATTATAAGCCCAAGAGAAAACAAGTCTGCAGCAGGCGTCACGTGGGAATCCAGAATAAAATCAGGCGAAGTGAAGTCCAGATTCAACTGAACGGATGGGGGTAGTCGTGGGTCTTGGTAAAGTACTTCTGACAGGGCCAGAGGAGGAAGAGAAGATCGTGATCCGGTAGAATCAGGAGGACCTGCAAATCCAAGCCCAGATATTTTCCAATCGGATTTGGCGTTGATGTAGATGGCTTCGGGGTTCAGGTTCCCGTGGACAAGTCCCGCGGATTCGTGAAGAAATTCGAGACCTTTCGCGACTTGCAATAAACCTTTTTGGATCTCTAATTCGTCAATGTCGAGGTCTCTCCGCCTCCGCGTTCCATCGATCTCTTCTACCATGTAACGGCTAGACCTCGAACTAATCCTAGAAGCATTCTCATTCGTATCTTTAGCCTGCAGCAATCCAGAGAGACATGCAGTGATATGTTCTGTAGCAAACATGAGACCCCCACTGCGTGTTTCTTCCACAGGCTCTAGAACCTGAAGGATTGATGGATGTCGGAGCCGCGCAAGATTGCTGGCCTCCCGTTTCAGGCGTTCAACAGCATCTTCTTGCGACTTCTTTATAGAAGAACTGGAACGACCCCCAATTCCGCCTGACCGCGGTTCCAGGACCTTCTTGTCAAAGATAAATATGGACGCGGCAGTGCCGGTCGATTTCTTCTTTCCGTCATGGATTTTCCACGGACCAGAGACCACGGTGGGATGCGGAGAGATCTGGTAGTTGGATGATATATTGGAGCTCAGGGACTTGAGAGCAGACGAAAACATCTTCCTCTTCTCAACGCAAAGGATGATATATCAGAGACAGGAGAGACGATGACCAGTAGTTTATTCCATCCAAGGTGGCAGTCGAAACACTGGAAATATGCCCTGGCAGGATGCGATTCAACCCAACGTTGCGGAGGAACAAGACACAACAGAGAAAGTAGCCAAAATTACATGAGTAGTAGTGACATGGGGTGAATTCAGGAAGGAAAGTATGGGAGCGCCAAGGGCGGAAAGTAGGGGTATTTTGAGGCCTTCAAGTGTACAACAACGTAATCAGCTTCTTCCCTATCATGACAGCTCTCCGGTCCTTAATGGTGTCTCGAATTTAGCTGATCCATCGGTGCAGTGGCTGCGAAAGGCATCACGTGTAAGGGGGGGGGCGCACGCCAATCAAAGGCGCTGCCGCGGAACATCCCCACAATTCCCTTCTTTTCCACGGGCTCACCGCCTAGCTGGACCCGCGAATTTACTGCCGGGTACTATCTGAGGCCGACGTCGGACGCCGGACCTGGACCGTACTCCAGTCTGCGGGCGCGTGATCAGGAGGGAATAATAAGTTGACCGACTACTGCGGAGTAAGAACGCCGTATCATTATACGTCGCCTGCAGGTGGCGGTGCAGATAAAGATCTGGCCGGCGTCTAATGAGTGCTCCTGCTGCTTGTTGTGGTGCGAACCCCTTGTCGGATCTGTTTATCAGTGGGCGGCGGTTCGGAGTTGTCGCCGCAGTCCGGGGGAAAGAGTCATAGACCGTCTTTATCCGCTTTTTAATAAAGCTCCACAGCCGCTTCTGGTCCTTCCATCGCAACCTCCGCGTCCATTCTTTTCCAGACCCCTGGCCTTGAATTCATACATCTTGCAGCATCATCGGACTCGGCAATTAGCCATGAAACCTTTTCAATTCGCTCGTCGGGGGGCGTTGCAAAACTTCGCTGCTCCTCGGGCGCTTCCAAGTCCCACAAGGGCCCAGTTATGGAAGAGATGCTTCAGTGTCACGCCAGCCACTGCCTCTCAACTAGCTAGCCTTGATCCTGCGAAACTTGTGGTTACGAAAACGACTACCCCTAAAGAATTGACCGCTCCGAAGGACCTAGTCTTTGGAAAGACATTCACTGGTATGAGTAGCTTCTCAGACGACGCCGTATAGTCAGCTACTAATGTATCTTCCCACTTTAGATCATATGCTGTCCGTCGAGTGGACAGCCGCCGAGGGCTGGCATGCCCCTCGTATTGTTCCCTACCAGAATCTCAGCCTCGACCCATCGGCTTGTGTTTTTCACTATGCGTTCGAATGTTTTGAAGGAATGAAGGCCTACAAAGACAAAAATGATCAGATCCGGTTATTCCGTCCAAACAAAAACATGGAGCGCCTGAACAAGTCTTCCTCGCGCATCGCCTTGCCTTCCTTTGACAGCGATGCGCTGACTAAGTTGATTGGGGAACTCGTCAAACTGGACAGTAAATTCATTCCGAAGTGAGTCTGATATCTCTTACCCCATTGTTAGAATCCACAACTTATCATTGTCTTTCTAGTGCCCGAGGATATTCTTTGTACTTACGGCCCACAATGATCGGTACACAGAAGACTCTTGGCGTGGGACCGCCAGGCTCTGCTCTTCTGTTCGTGATCGCAAGTCCCGTTGGCCCCTACTATCCCACTGGATTCAAGGCCATTTCTCTGGAAGCCACCGACTACGCTGTTCGCGCTTGGCCTGGTGGTGTTGGAGATAAAAAACTGGGTGCAAATTACGCTCCTTGCGTCCTCCCCCAGCTGGAAGCCGCGTCGCGTGGCTTCCAACAGAACTTGTGGCTTTTTGGCAAAGAAGAATACATTACCGAGGTCGGTACCATGAACCTCTTCATCGCATTGAAGAACAAGGAAACTGGACAGAAAGAGCTGGTGACAGCGCCTTTGGACGGAACCATTCTCGAGGGCGTCACTAGGGACTCCGTGTTAGCTCTAGCCAGGGAGAGACTGGTGCCTAAGGGTTGGAAGATTTCCGAGCGCAAGCTCAAGATGTCCGAGGTCGCCGAGGCGGCTGAAGAGGGGCGGATGATTGAGGTGTTTGGAGCCGGCACTGCAGCTATCGTGAGCCCTGTGCGGACAATTAGCTACCGGGGTAAGCTGGTCGACTGCGGTTTGAAGGAAAGTGAAGAAGCTGGTGAAATCGCTCTTCAGATGAAAAATTGGATCGAGGGAATTCAATATGGCGACGAGAGCCATCCCTGGAGGTGAGACAACCCTTTCTTTTCACCGCATTACCGTGGGACTTGCTAACATTTCCCATAGCTATGTCCTATAAGTCAACAATACATGGTGCCTAAACCATCAAATCCACGCCGCTGCATTTAATTGGTTGTCTTCTTTGATAGACGGATACAAAGGCCTGGTCTAGTACTATTATTTTCCTGATATACTCCGATTTCAGTTCTTATCTCTTGGTGAGCAAAATCATAGCCTCCACACGTGCGAATGTCTTGCGTCTTGCAGCTTATGGGAGATTGCTTCTTCCAAGTAATTTGCGAAGCAGCCGCTTAGCGTCTTTTGCATGTGGGGTTGAATAGGAAGGAAGAGCCTCGATTAGGGTATCCCAGAGATCCAACGACATCAGCCCCGGGCCAGATGCACAGCATACAGCCGTCTAACAGCCATGATTGATTCTGGAGGTCTACGCAAGGAACTTGTAAATTCCAATTCCTGGCAAACGCAATCACCCACCTCCTAAGAAAGCCACTCGCTGTCTGCATAAGGCAAGTTTCCTGCCTCGGTTGGCTATCCTACCCCTTGAGAGATGGATGACGATGGCGTTGGACGTGGCAGCAGCAGAGATGCAGGTCGTAGCTGTGTGGGCTGGCTCTTGCGCAGTTGCTTCTGTAAATAGCGAAGTGCACAATACTTCTACCAATCTGACGTTAGAAATCTACGGCCGGTGGCCGTGTAATCCTAGTCCCGATCAATCAAGCGGAAGACCGATCTACGTTCTATACAGTACTCTGTAGCGTTGTGATTACCCGTAAGAGCGCCCATTTGGCCTAATAATCTTGGTCCTAACTAAAGAAGAAACCAGTAAATTCCCAAGCCTGTAAGCCTTTGGTATCAAAGGAGGCATCGGTGCTATTGCTGGATCAACACTATGCCGGCAGAATCCATCATATATTTCGGTCAGAGACTCCAATATTTGTCCATTCCATTTCGAGATGGGTGACTCGACAGGCACTTACGAAGCGCTCCGTCCGATGCAGAATACTATATTTCAACTCCACACGAGACCAGTAACGCCTTTCTTGCCCCTCTCGTACAGCCATGACCAATCGACTGACTAAGTGGCATAGCTCACTCTCTGTCTCTGATCTCACACATTATGGAGGGAGCTTTAAAGACTATATAGTTGGAAGTGACAAGCAATAAGAGGTAAAGCTGAGACACCTGGGGGGAAACCTATCCTACGAGATAACCTTTTATACCTATCGTTCCTCGTTCCTCATTCTTCTTTTCTCTTTCATTCTTCTCTCATTCTTCTCTCACTTCTTCTCTCACTTCTTCTCCTCCTTTAACAGGTAGACACCCTGCAGCCCCTCCCCCACCCTTTCGGGCCCCGAGCAACAGGAGGGGCCTGGTGTTTAGAAAGACGTCTTCAGAGGCAGATGAGCAGCAATCGAGGCTGATAGGCGAGGCCAAGAAGGATTGAAGGAAGTCCCACCGAAGGCTTGCCCCATTGACAATTAACATCTATCTCGCAGTGACGGAATGAACACCTGAAGCTGGCCGATGACTGTTTACAGGCAGAACAATTGGGTGGAGTTCGCACTCTTATTTACCGTCAAGGGCTCCAGTCCTTTCCCATCGCGGTAACAAGACACTTGCGGAGAATGAATAACTACTAGATCCAGCTATACTGCGCTTACATAAACTAATATATGCTGTTCAAGGCTCAAGGCAAACAAGATATGTAGTTTATATTGTGAAATCGCAGTTCAGCCACTGTGAGTTTCGACTTACCTACTCTGCGATTAACTACTAGGTACTATCCTAGGTATCTGGAGTGTATTGTCCCATCAGGACAATACAGCTTACTGACCGAACTATCTGTCACACTCCTGTCGGACAGGCCGACAACCGACTAATTACCATACTACTAGTAGATCTTGCTACCTGGGAAGGGAAGCCAAAGCACGGCCCACCCGCATGCACACGCACCCGCATCTGCACCCGCACCCGCACACGCACACACCTGATTGAGGCTCTGTTGCTCTGACAGGCAAGCACGAGCGGGTGTCCATCCCATGAGAGGTACTCGCAATGGATTGAACGCCATAGAAACACCAACTCATAGTGGTGTTCATTGGCACCGGCTGACAGTTTCAAAACAGGCTGGGTTTACAACCAGCTCCAGGTGCACAGGCAGGCAGGCCCAAATTACATCCTTGCCAGCCTGGTTGGTTTCTGCAGCAGGGTATCTCCGTCGCCCGTGTTGCGAAGGTCTATTTTAACCAGGTTGCAGACATACCAGAGTCTAGTTGGTTCACGGACGGATCAAACATGCAGTGTTGTCTGTTATCATATCAGTATGTCAAGGCTTCATAGAAGAATAGTGTTCTGTGCACGGTATAGGTCGGCGTAGATTCATGAAAACCCTAGGACTCAAGGAGGACTGGGGTATCTGTCAATGTTCATTGGCGCTCTCGTTTACCACCGCTTCAACAAGCATATGGTATCTCCAGAGCCATCCGGCTAGAATACTCTTCCTGTGCAACTCATCTCTGCGCTGATTCTCTCTTAGGTTACCTTCGCGTACTCACTTCGAGCTTGCAAATTGGCGGGAGCCGCTAATGATATGTAGGCCAGTGGCCCGCAGCACCCTCATGTGCTAGTACCTTATCCAGCTGGTGCAAATGGTATAAGTATGAGAATTGCCACATGGTCAATAATTCGCAATAAGAAGCAGGCTGTGGCAAGGGGAGGCGTAGATGGGGGCGATTCCATGATATTGCTCAATTCTGAACCTAGTCACCCCTAGAGATGGGGCGAGAAACAAAGTTGATGGTAGTAGTAGTAGTAGTAGTAGTAGTAGTAGTAGTAGTAGTAGTAGTAGTAGTAGTAGTAGTAGTAGTAGTAGTACTTCTTCTTGTTGTTGTTGTTGTTGTTGTTGTTGTTGTTGTTGTTGGAATCTCGTGTTAGTGAAGCAACACATGGCTCACTTGGCACGATGGGGCCAACAGTGCAATATCCTAGGTGAAATCAAAATTGGCAGGAAGCCACCAGTCAAACAGTGAATGAGACATCATTGTCTTGAGTCTTTGATCCCTGGGGGTAGGACGGTGTCAATGCGCCCCTCGAAATGTTACCAAGACGTGTGATGGACTACAGCGATAATAATAATAATAAAAATAATAATAATAATAATAATAATAATAATAATAATAATAATAATAATAATAATAATAATAATAATAATAATAATAATAATAATAATAATAATAATAATAATAATAATAATAATAATAATAATAATAATAATAATAATAATAATAATAATAATAATAATAATAATAATAATAATAATGATGATGATGATGATGATCGCCAGAGCCACGGAAGTCCGATTGGGTTCCTGAAAGCTTGAGGGAGATTCTCAGGCATCTATCCGGTCGTGCCGCTAACCCGCCGCTCGGATTCATCGGCTTGACTGCTTATCTACGGAGTATCTACCTAGTCCTGACCAGGTACTATCTACTATACGGGAATACGTAGTACTACGGACTATGGAGACGGGTTTGTGTCTGATGCCTGATAAGGATAACACCACCACGCCTTCCATCCTTCCCGCACTGCCCGTCAGACGACGTGACTTCTGCACGTGGAATCCCCGTACTTTGTCGAAGTGGGTTTCGTCATCTCTCCCGCCAGCTTGCGGGGCTCCAAGATAACCATGTTGCCATCATTGGCCGAGATGATTCGCGGAGACGTGACTCATGGTCGCTCAGGATGGACATCCGCGGAAATGAGGTAGTCTGGCTCTGGCCACACACACGGCCAGGCTACATACCCGGAAAAGCTGCCCTTAAAACAACATATCTACTCCGTATTTCGAGGCAGATTGTCTGTCTCTCCCAGAGTCCCAGGGAGTAGGCATTCCCCACTGTAATAGGGCGTGCGTTGTGCAACTATGAAGTATGGGGTACGGCTTACAGAGCACTCATCGGGCTTAATAAGTACTACTTCTTAAGTTAAGTAGTCTATATACAACAACATACATGGCATGGTGTTTATCAGGAACGCTGACATACCACTAGAGTCAACGGTCAAGCCCACTGCGCTTGATGTTACTATTATTATTATCTCAGATGCCGCCACAAAGGCTGGCTAGTCGAGGGACAGCCGGGCAGTGATAATCAAGCAAACATACACCTACAGAACGGAGTACTTCCATAATTATCCTGTCCCCTGCGCCAAGAAAGAACGCGGGTGCTTCTAGACATGTGCCAGAAGGTTCGATTCCGTATCTGATGACTCTTGGCCGCCAAGGGGGCCCCCAATAGATACTTGTCACAGGCGAATCAAGCGACCATTAGGCAAGCCGCCGGCATGCACGCATGCCTATACGAGCATGGCCCCGACCAATGATGGTTGTAAGCGCCCAGCTGCGGTGCCCATGTTCGACACGCGAACTTCTTTGGGGAAGAGCACTGCAGGATGACCAGGTACACACATACGAGATAGGGTTACATGAATTGGGGACGGGTAAAGTCATGGGTCACCATTCTTGTATCAGATGAGTATGTACAGACATGCAGGTGCAGACTCACACAGAAGGACGAGCCAGGGCAGGCACCTGTCTAGTCGCGAGTTTGAAAATACGTCGCCGCCTTAGAGTCCGAGCATTGCAACTGGAGCATCCTATGTATAGCTCAGGTTGGGGGCCCTTGCACGAATTAACAGTCTGACCAATGAATCATGAACCATGAACCATGACTTCTCTCGGCCCTAAGCCGGATACTAGCATTGAGGCAGTGTATGTATTAAAGGACTGCCATCTGCAAGCGATTGAGCCTCAAGGGCATATTGATATACATACTATCTAGTCGGCATCTCCAGACTTGGACCCTAGACGAGGAAAGTGGTTCGCTGAAAGGGGCACCTTGGGGCTGAGAAGCCTCGCTTCCTAAGATTATGATTGGCCCGTTCGTCTGCCACAGGCCTCCCCTCGTTCCGTCCGTCCCCCATACTAGGATTACAGGGTTTCATTTTGTATGGGCAGCCGCTAATGTAGATACTAGTACCTATGTACTGGTTCCCTAGCACCAGTCTCAGGTTGGAATCCAGATCGGGCAATGATTTTACAACGTATTACTGGGGGCTATTCCCTGGTAGCACAGCGTAGTGCCTCTACAAACCCGCCGTACCCGCTATTTCATAGCCACCTAGCAGGGGGGGCTGGAATGTTGTATGCACCCACTTATGGGAGGGAACTGAGCACATGGAAACGCATTTGCGGGCGAGATACGGAGAACCTACATCCGCAAGAGGGGAAAAGAGAGGAGATGGAATCCCCGTTACTGTCAGATGCACACATGTCAAGAATGGCTTGATGCAAATCAGAAAGTGAAGCCCGGGGTTAGCAGCCTCCGAGGCTCCGAGACAAGGCTGTCCTGTCGTGCCGTCCGCCGTCCATCTTCAGCCTGCCCACTATCTACCTATCTACTCGCTGGCTGGGCTGTGCTCGTTCAGCTCCGGATCAACTGATCAACTGATCAACTGATCAACTGATCTGCATGCCTTCTCCATGTTTCATTGCGCCCGCCTCGACTCCTTAAGTACAGAGTAACTACCGGGCTCACGGATCAGTAAGCTATAACATCGCTGACAATCGAGATAGATGAAACACACGATCTGTCCAAGAAAGCAGGTAGTGGCCGAATGGCTGTGGCTTACCTACAGACCAGGAATGTGACTTGCGAAATAAGGTGGGTGAGCCCCGTCACTTCCACCACCCGTTCGGAGAGTGAGATCTTTATCCTTAGTGTGCTGCCAAGATCGAGGGGTGCAACGTGGCAGAAGTCGAGACCGTGCACTAGAGACGAGGTGCTCGTGTGAATCGAGGCACCCTTTCCTATGTACGAGCCAGGCGTCCCTTTTCTTGTCGTCGGCCTGCAGATAGGCGACGCAGTTGGTCAGTCGGAGACGCACAGTTGCCTGCCTACCCGTGGTCGGCAATAGTACTCTGCGCCCGATTTTGGAATCGGCTCTCCCCGGCAGGATTGGCTGGGAAGCCAGGCTATTTTGAGAGTTATGCATGGCAGAAGGTTTGTACGGAGCAAGGTAGTAAGTATTATTAGATACGCACAGAGGAGTACAGTTTTCTAATAGAATCTCAATACCCAAGTATGCCAATACTACTAGAGTTCCAAGAGAGAAAAGACGGAAATTAAGTAATTGTGTACAGCGTTATGTGCCTATGCTACCGTACTGCTTTACTACTACGGAGTAGGTAGATAGTCTGCGTGTACTCCGTGCCTTGACTGGCAGGCTTGTTGGGGCCGAACTGCCCCGTCGACGCTAGCAGCAAGCAATCGGACATCGATCGATGTACATGCGGCCCCAGGTAAACAAATAGGTACTACAGCCGGACAGGCTGAAAGCGACCGCTGGAGATTTTGCGCGTTGCCGATGGTGTGGTTAGTCTGCACAGTGATGGATAGTAGGCAGCATTAAAAATACGATATGAGGGGAAAACCGCCGCTTGAAGGATGACGCCGCTAACCGCTGCTAAAGTATGGTGACATTAGCTACCAATCGGCCAAAGGTCGAGACAGATTTCTGCCTTCCATGGTTCGCCAGAACCAGCCGGGCCTTGAACAAAGAAAGAAGCGGAAAGGATAGTATAGTCGTAGACGGGCAGCTACTAACGTAGCCTAGTAGGTACAGGCTACAGTATACTCCTACCTAAGGTATAGTACCTACCTTCCTACCTTAGGGAAGGTGGTGTACGGTGTATATACTCCGTATCAGCAAGAGTATGCGGATCATCAGTATGACCTCAAATACTTACAAGAATCCAAGACACTCTCCAGAGTCCATTCAAGAAAAATGAGACAATCGAAATCCTGATGATCATGACAATTAATTCCTTCCGGCATCGTGCCTGTGTAACCACCGCCATACCTGACCTGGAATCAACTAAGACCAGCGATACTGTATCAATACCCCCCAACATACCACTAAGTCAAAGCCGCGCTTTCAGCCCCCTCCTTGCACACCAACAACTTCCTCTGAAGCCACGCACACTACCCTCCATTCGTTTCATGCCCAGGGAACGAATGTCATTGGGCCACTCGCTTGAAACTACTGCTAATTTAGGCCATCCATTGGTATTACGGTGTACAGATTTGGGACATGAGCAAGCCTTCGACGCCTTTCCATTTCCCCCACATACAGTTCTCGGGGTGTCACTCACTTATCGATCTCGGTTGGATGAATCGGTATTATCGCTAAGGGTCGTTATACTAGGTTAGACGGTGCCTATTATGGCCCGTATCTGTTGCGCACCCCCCCCTCCCCAGAAGCATTGCGCAATTCAACAGAAACCGACGATTGAGGAATTCGACAGGACGACATTCAATCCAAGATTTATAAAGAGTTGGGGTTCGTGTATCCCAAAGGGAAACAAAACACACGCACAAAAACCAACGAGGAAAAAAAAAAAAAAAAAAAAAAAAAAAAAAAAAAAGCAAAGCCCCTGCCAATTGCAGTACCGAGTCAAAGTGTCTACTCGATGCGGAGTAATGCATTGCTCTTTATGAATACACAGTGCCCCTCCAGCCTAGTCGGTATCTTTGGCATCTCGATATGGAATTGGAGCCACATGGTTGAGATTGGTGGACAAACCCGCAGTTGGTGCTAGCCTAGCACTGCCTGATATCGTCCTGTGCAACCCTCCGCCCCCCCCCCCTCTCGGCCATATCGGCCATCGGGGCCCGCTAAAACAGCCTCACGCTCCCAAGATTCCTTGAGCCCACACCGGGAATTAGTGACGCAGCCCTGCACATCTGTGATTCCATTCGGGAAAAGCTCCCTACCAACACATGGTCAAGCCATGCGTACCCTGCAAGTGTCTCCCAGGGATTATTACTACCACGTCCCGCGGAACAAAGAGCCATCCGGAATTTGTTATTCCATTTACAGAAAAACAAAAGCGAGAAAATAAATAAAATGAACAAATCAAATTAACAAGGGAAAAATGCTAGAATAATTGACAATTAAAAAAATCCTGTCGGAGCACGGACTAACACTGCTATCGCAACGGTACAATCGACTGTCACTGGCGGACTGCTTTGATTCGGACCCGGGGCTTAGCAGGCATAAGCTACAGGCCTACTATTCTCCAGCTGATCGACCCATGGCTTAGCTTTCTTTTAAATACTGACTGCTTCCTGTGTCTTCTTAGTTTCAGATGTTGATCATTCCTGACTCGTGAAGGCTACTTGGGTCCAAATCTATATAGTCAATCCAGATCCTCCCTCCAGCCTCTCTTCTCTTCCAACCTCCCATTCCAGCGATATCAACACCCCCCAACTCTGGTCCTTTTATATCTGCTGCTTCCTTCTCTAAAGACCGCCCGCATTGGATTGCTTTGTCTTCGCCCATCATGCATCGGTCCTCCAATTACTCATACCATTCCTCCAGCTCCAGGAGCTCAAGCCATGGAACCAGCAGTGCTTTCAGTCCTAATGCCAACCCGAACGAGGATTGGACAAAGATCTCGGATCTTGCTGAGCGACGCCGGATACAAAATCGAATTGCGCAGAGAAACTACCGTAAGTCATCGTCGGTTTATGCAATCACTGCGGCTTGAGCTGATAGGATGCTTCTCTAGGTAAAAAGCTAAAACGTCGCCTGGAGGACTTGGAGAAAAGAGCTGCTTCAGCTTCGACGTCCCCGGAACGATCCCCCGAGAAGCCAGAGCTGCCGAAGGTGGTACACAATGTCAAGACTCGCACCAAGCAATCCCGGGTATCCAAGTCCAGCTCGGGTACGAACCGCCACATGTCCACAGAACGAGGCTCCTCCTATGAGAGTTACTCGGCGCAAGATGATCGGGGATCGATGTTTTCACATCAGTGCACCCGGCAGCTCTCAGCATCGCCTCCTCCAGTGTTCTCTTATCCCTCGTACTCGCACTTGGATACATACGGACACTCAACCTACGGACAACCACCTGCATATCATTCAATCGGAAGCAGCTACAATGAAATGCCATATAATGGGGAGTACGGAACCCAGTTGCCTTCGATCCTACCCCTCACGATGTCCGCCTCGGGGCCGTCAAGGAAGCACCATTCGTACGTCGACGACGAGATTGTCAGCCCATTCAGCATGAGCTATGCATCCATGGCTGGCATTGATCTTGGCCCGACACCTCAACATCTTCCTGAGCCTAATATCCCTGTACATGCCCCTCTCTCTACATGACAGCGGTCTGTCCGGAGTTCCAGGGTTAGCGGAGCTAATACCGTCTCTCCAGATGCCACCCTTGTCTTCCGTCTACAGCGATGATCACTCTTCCCCGTCCCCTTCCACGCCAGCAGAACCACTGATGGCTGGTCCTCTTACACCCGAGTCAGACCCATGTTCTCCCCATCTGTATCCCTTGCTGTGACTCAATGCTGTTCCTGGCGGAGACTAGAGGGGGTATCGGTTTTCTCTCCGCTTTTGCCATGTCTTTTTTACTTCTGATTTAACGACGGTGATGATGATGCATTGCAGGCTCACGACTGTCAACATGTGATCCAGTTGCTTTCCTTGCTCCTTCCGCTTTCCGGTACTTGTTTACTGCTCTTGGTTTCATTTTTTGTCCATTTTCTTCGTTTAGAGGGCGTTCCCCGGTTCGCTTTCGACAGAAGTCGTGCCAGGTCAGGCACAATGTCTTCGGGTTGGTTATATTGGCACTGTGGCTCGGTAGAAGCATCTCTGGTGGCGTTCCTGTTTCTGTTGTAGTAGGACTACTGGTGTATCTGTGGGAAATTTGGCTACTATGGGAAACATATGTTACGTTTGTACTGAACTATCGGCGATGACTTATTGCTATTGTTATTGCTATTGTTATTGCTATTGTTATTGCTATTTTTATTGTTATTGTTATTGTTATTGTTATTGTCATTGTTATTGTTATTATAATTGTTATTGTTCTGATGATTTACCATACCACACGCACCTTCGTATCATCCCCGGAATCGCGCACTCCGTGGTCTAGCTGGTGTCTACCTAGCACTAGATACGTAGTGTCTGTCTCCTATCTAGAGTACTATGGGTCCAAGCCGGCCACTCCAGAGCCCACCCATCCCGAATCCCTGTGCATCGCGCCAAGTGGGGGCTGCCAACCCAGACGGGGAGGCTTTTCGCCTCCCGTCGCTGCTGCAGCCGATGATTGGTGGGCTCGTGTGTGTACTTAGCGTGGCCCCCAACGGAGCCAGCGCTATGTATCTAGTGTGTATTTACATGGTATCTAGTGTGTAGGTATCTACCTAGGTAGACAGATAGTATTAGACTGTCTGGCACAGCGGAGAGCAGGCAGGCATCATGGATCGATCCATGGGTAGAGTGCACAGTTTGGCGCCCTTTCAAATTCAATGAACAGGACAGTCAACCCAATCCGGGCCCCCACGTTGACAGAATCCATTGATTGGAGTACGGCTGGAATGAGATGTTTGTCCTGCATGAGTCGACTAGTACTAGCTAATTAACAATTACTAGCTACCACTGCTATTCCGTACTGTAGTATTACGGACGCGCCTAACTAAGTAGATAGTACTCCTGATCATGGGAGGGGGACGGCCCCAAGGCTGCCGACAAATTGACCGCAAGGCTTGCCAAATCGGGACCGAAAGTTGCCCATTCGAGCGAAGGATTAATTAATTCCGTAGCAACCCCGTCAAGGAACGACGGGAAGCATGGCAGCATGGCAGCATGGCAGCACGGCAGCATGGCAGCACGGCAGAGGAATGGACAGTGTTACCTGGAAGAACCACTGCTTTCCAGAAGCATTGAATGCCCCCCCCCCTTTCTCTACCCATTTCCATTCGAGAGAATGTTGAAACTCAAAGAAACAAACACAGCAGGCCGGTGTTATCCGACCGGAGATAGGCCTTAGCAGTGATTGGAAACCCCGCCATCAAGATACACCACAGCAGTACTAGCAGATGGCTAGGCAAGGTATCTAGTCCGGTAATAATCGATGGTAATTCCGTACAGGTAGTAACGGAAACAGGACTCCGTTCCGTCCGTACGGACGACAGCCAGGGCCAGGGCCAGAACCCTGCCCCTGCGACTGTCGAGCCCGCTTCCGGCCAACCCGCTTTGTCCTTCTCCTGCCCCATGAACGACGGGAGAGGGTTGAAAGAATCGCTGGAACTGGGAGATCCATCCGTGGTCCACGGTCCGGACGTGTCTTTCCCTGGTGGGGCTCTGCGAGAAGATGGCTGTCCATCGCTTCGGATTTCTGAGGTTGCAAATTTACGAGCATGCATACAGCATTGCTGCTGCTGCTGCTGCTGCTGCGCCTCCACACCTCTCGGCACTGACGTGGTGCATGAACCGGGTAGATAGTGTGCATCAACAACAGGTCATGGACTTATTATCATCGCGAGACAGGACTCTGTTGGCGGTAGACCACTGCAGAAAGATGCGACTGGCGAATCTATCTGCTCTGCTGTCATGGATCTTCAGCGCTGCACACTACCTATCCACCATACCCACTGACGGGCCTGGCTGGTAACTGACTGACTAGATCGCCGTTCACTCATTCCGTACATCTGGGCAACAATGTCTCGGAATACCATCCCTGCTATATGTCCCCGGCCAGTATGAAGTAATATCTGTCCGTTTCTGCAGAACAGAGAGAGCAGAACTCATCAATTACGCACTCCAGGGCTATGCTATCTTCTCCTCAGGTACCTTTCCAGTAACGGTACTGCTAACCCGTACTGTTGCTACCGGCTGGGCTTCATCTCATCCCTATCTAAGACACCCTGGTCGATTCGAGATAGCATTGTGCGTTAAAGTCTACTGGGTTACCGGGGCCATCGTTTGCCACCATCGTCAGTTCACATGGTGTGCTGCTACCGGCCTCCTTTGGCTTGTTTATACTGGTCCAGGACATTGAGGGAACTCCCGAGAGATTGCCGGATGGGTACATTTGGGTGCAGTTGCCTTTGTTCGTATATCACTTGCTGGGGCGATATGCGACCCTGTCAACGGTCTACCGGCACTGTTACAGCCGAGGGGGATCTCGGTTTGCGTTCTGAACCCCGAGAACCCAGGCGCGATATGCCCGATAGCGTGGTATACGTTAAACCGGCAGGTCATACGGAGTACTGGACATATGTATACGAGGGCTGCAGCCAATAAGGCGGGGAAACTGGATGTGACAGTTTGAATAGATGAGGAAATCGCGAATTCCTCGGGCTTTCCATCGCTCTCATTCTCTCTCTCTCTGTGTGTGTGTGTGTCTGCCTTCTACTCTCCTCCTGTGCAACGCGCCACGGGAGCGAAAAGGGGAGGGATGAGGATTGTTCGTTGGCACCAGCCAGGCGCGTAAGGGCGCCCACCTAGCAGGGCGTATCGACTGCCAGGGCGTTCAACCCCCCAGCTGAGGCTGAGGCCACGATTGATTGTGCGAGCTGGATTCCCCTTAAGGTTGCAGTGACCCCAGAAGCCGGGTTGGGTTGCACGGGGGAGCCGGCGGCTCGGACGTCAGGGATTCCGATGGTATCAAACATCCTGACTCGGTCGGAGCTCGTATAGGCTGAAAGCCATCTGGCGGCACTAGGATGCGACCCCCAGCATCGGGGCACGGATTCGTCAAGCATGAGTTACATCAGGCGGCTCAAAGAGGACTGACTCCAAGTCCTCGAGTCCTTCTCCGCCCGTCAGTAGTCTCGTCCAGTCCACCCTCTCCCTCGAGTCCCTCCACAGTGGCACAACCCGGTGGAGTTGGGCGCACGTCCCGTACGGAGACGGCGGACGGTGAGACCGGCGAAATCCGAACCCCGGTCGCATACATGATGCCTATCTGGGTAGGCAGGATGCAGCAGGAATCGAGTAATTTATTCCTGTCAATTGCCAATAACGGCAGGGTTCGTTGATTGGCGCCGCTGGGAACTCCAAGGTCCAAAGGAGGGCCCCATGACTACTACTGAGTGACTGACTCACTCACTCACACAGGCGCGCACCTCCCGTCACTCAGTATCACTCATCATCCCAGCCGTTGGACGCCTAATCGACATTCTAGGTTCTCATTTCGTGACGCCACGCTAGTTAAGGGGGATGACAAATGACCCGCGGAACAATCAACCAGACCCGATCCGATCAATAATCATCAGCTCTTGCCTCAGCCTAGCACCCTCTTCCCCCATCATCACTTTAATTTTCTCACCAGGGTCTGAAGATTACAGACGGCCGGATGGTGGTGCCATTCTGGACCTGGACCCGCCTATTGTGGTATCGGCCTTTCCTGCACTCCGAGGTTGGTGCTTACTTCCTGTCCTCTGGATTTAAACCCACGTGTGATAAAAAAAAAGGCCCGTATCTACGGATCATATATACGATGATACAACGTGGAAACCGCCGGTTAATACCCAACTTCCAGAATGTGATCACATGCGGTTGACATATCCCTCCTATCACAGGGGAGTAAGTGCTTCCTGGTTCCAGTCATAGTGACACCCATCAGAGTAGCGTAAATGCGGATGGGCACACGTATGTGGCCAGAATATCACCTCCTGACCATGCAACCCCGTGCGTGACTCTGTTCGCAGCGAAGACTTCTGGAAGATCATGAGAATAAATAATAATGCCCATGCAGCGCCCATTGCTTGTGTTGCGGAATATTTATACTGCTAGTACTAATATACCCGGCTCCACGGAGTAGCTTGGATGTTTTCAAGCGATCCTTTTTAACAAGACTAGTAACGAGAGCTTAGCAGGCTGTTGTTATAATTGGATGCACCGGGAATGTAGACGGAGACGGGGGGGAAAGAGGAGGAGGAGGAAGAGGAAGGAAAGATGGCAAGAAGGCTCTTAAGAGCACGATATACCTGTTTACTTTCTACACTCGCCATGCATGCATGCATCCACACGCACGGCAGTAGGTCTATGTCTGGTGGCAGAATGGCTAGGAAAGCAAGAGACAAATGCATAGAGATGTGCTCTTCGACCAAACAGCAGATAGCAGACGGATGGGACAAAAAATCTACATCTCTCTCTTAATCACACCAGGATCAAATAGGTCATACATATCATACTTTATCAATGGTTCCTCTGTACTGTATTCGAACGCGAATCTGTACGCCAAAGACGAAGAAATTCGACTCAATGACGCCTCGATGCAGGTCAACGGAATGAGCTGAAACGAACATAGGAAGAACAAACAGGATCAATAGGCAAGAGGAGGAGTAGTCGTAGTCGTATATGAGTTGCGGGAATGATGGGGGGATGATGGATGATGATAGACTACGAATGATGAGGAGGCAGAGAGCTAGAGGGTTTGGGGAGGATTCAAAACTTCACTAGATAGAGCACAGACAGGCAATAATGAAGTGAAGAAAGAACAAAAAAAATGAGAACAAAGAATTAAGAGAAGCGGGTAAAACAATCCTCGGAAAGTTGAGAAAACAATAACACAACAACACAACTTAAGAAGAGACGGGTTATCCGGCCTCTGCTCCGTTGATGCTCATCTGGTCAGGGTTGTATCGCCGTCTGCGCATGGGAGCCTTTTTTCTTTTCGCGATAGCTGCGCTCTGCGTGGTGCCGGAGCCGCTGCCCATCTCGGTGTCGCCGTCGTTATCGGCCTCCCCGTGCAGCGCTTCGTACCGGGCCATCTCATCCAATTCTCGAATGTCCGTGGGTTTCATCCGTAGCCACTTCATGCGTGGACCCGACCGCGACCGCTCCGAAACGCGGAAGCCATAAATTCGCGACTCGTAGATCCGGCCCGGGCCGAGACCTGGGCTGAAGTTGACCGTGCGCACGCCGTTGATCTCGGCTGGCTGATTGGGAGGTGGCACATCCGGGGCCACCTGGTTGTTGATCGAAGAGGAGGTCAGGGACGATGAGCGCGTCGGAGACAGAGCAGAGAAGGAGCTATCCAACCGGGGTCCGATGTCAAGATCTGGGAAGGTCATAAAGAACAAGCACCCGAAGGTAGTACCGAAGAATGCCCCATCGACCGAGTGAAACCGACTGTTGGGGGGCGTGTACAGATCCTGACAACTGGGGCAGAACAGTTTCACCGTCTCCTGGCCGGGCGTGTCGGAGCGTCCCACGGGCAGGACCTTGCATCCGTTGCAGTAGACTCGGGGACAGCCACCAAAATGTTGCATCTCGTACTTTTCCAGCATCTGTTGGATTCCGGGTCGCGAAGTGATGTATCGCTGGTGAATCAGCCCGTACAGTAATTCGGCAGAGCTCTCGATGACGCTCAAATCGCTCGCCACGCGTGCATGCGTCCGCGCGCCGGCCCTCCGATATCCAGGCGGCTTTTCATCCCCCAAGATCTCGTCCTCATCTTCTTCCTCTTCCTCTTCCTCCTCGTCATCCTCGTCATCCTCTGGTTCCACGTCCAGGATCATCTCGAGCGCCTCCTTGTACATGGGGACTTGCGATTGCAGACCCGTCAGATTGAAGTCATCCTCGATGAAATCTTCCGACACCTCCGCAAAGAACTCATGGCCCATCAGGGAGCAAAACGAGGAGATCCATGACTCCGGTGCACCTTCCGACGACGACATATCGAAGGAATCGGACGCGGATGAGGGCGTTGATTCAGACAGTTGACTCAGATCCAGCCTGTCTAGGCCGTCGGCCAACGCCGAACCTGTCACTCTCGACACGTTGCCGAGATACGTTGAAAAATCGATTGGGGAAGATCTCGTCCGAGATGGAGCGCCAGTTAAACCTGCACCAGCTGTAACTGTTCTGGTACAAGTTCCGAGGCCGTGAACCCTCCTCGCGAAGGGAAGGCGGGATTCGAGAGGGTTAGGTGGACTGCCGATGGCGTCCGATGTAGGGCTAATGGAGGGACCGTGTCTTGCTGATAAGCGGCGCGGTCATGACAATATGCGGGCAGGTGGATTGTGCGATGAGGGTGCGTAGACGCGATCGTGTTTTGAGGATGGAATCTTCCCCACTGACAAACAAATTCTCACAAGAACATCGACTGGGAGTGCGAAGAAGCTGGAGGGTGGGTTTAGCCAGCTGAGCCCGACGATTTGGGCCGAGGAGGAAGCGGAAATCCTTGACCCTTCTTTCCTGGATCGAGGGACGGAGGTTGTCGAGGGGCTTCCGAAATTAGGTTCGTGGGGCGGTCGGAAAGGTGGGTGGTGGACAGAGAGGGTCAGATATGAATGAACGATGGGCAGGCAGACGGGGCCACGGGAGGGATGGCGAAGACTCGAAAGGGACAAGACGAAGAGAGAGGGAGGAGGGGGTTCGGATCACAGAAGGGGTGGCCACATCAACAGCAAGCAATTAATTCACGGCCGGAACATGTTCTGGGGTTGGCTTTGGAGGATGGGATGAGGGAGGTTGGCGACCGAGAAGGCGGCTATTTCCCTCCTCCCGCACGGTCACGTGCCCGGCGCCCAAGGGGAACCCGGACGGTCTGGATCGCATCCTACACTCAACGTTTCTGCTGCTGAGGCCGTGAATTGTCGTGGTATCTATGGTACGGTATAGCTGTCCCATGCTGTCCCTACTTGCGGCAGCTGTCAGGTCAGCCATACAGATAAGCTACTTCATCCTAGAATAAATCCCTGATCACCCGTGACCACTCCCCTTCATCGCCAAGGACACCCGAAAGTCCCTCCCCGGTGTTTTGGATCTCGCCATCGTGGCCCACAAACCCGCTGATACTATCGGAAGCCGCACCCGAAGCCATAAAGTTGCCAAATCCACCCACCGCTTCAAACAGGTTCGTGAGCTCGTGGCTCATCTGGAGGCCATTCAGCGGACTGTTACCCAACTCCGCGACGCCATTCATCGGTCCATATACCGACAAGTCATCGATCGGGTGGCCCGCCAAACCTGCCATGGCGACCGCCGCGGTTGAATGAGGGTCGTTGGTGTCGGATCCAAAGGGCCGGACGAGCACCCCAAGCCGCTCGCCGATCTTGCGAAGACCTTTGATAGCCTTCCACAGTCGCTTGGAGACGTAGGATTTGGTGCTGAACCCACTGATCAGGTTGAGTGCCATGTAGAACTCGTCTCGCACCTGTCGGTTGAATTCTGTCGGTGCATGGCATACAGCAAGAAAGAGGACCGCCAGAGCGGCAACGAGGAAGTAGTTGAAAGTAATTTGTTGGCTGCGATAAATGTCAGAGGTCTGATTAAGCCGGGCGAGCACTCTGATGGTGTCCTTGGCCACATCTATCACTGTCTGGGCATGACCCTTGTCTTCGGCAATGCTTGCCGCGGAATGAAGGACTGGCCGATAAATAAGGATCCGGAGCTGGTTCATGCGCAAATAAAGAAGAACCCTTAGCCGCCGCAGACCGCGGTTGGTGGTTTCGCCATGGTTATGCTTCGGAGACTCAACGGGGTAGAACTTCAGCCCTTCTGGGATTTGCTTGTACCATTGGAGGATTTGATAGTCCAAATAGCCGATTTCATCCCGACGTATGTCTGTGGCACCCTCGGATCCAAGCCCGGAGTACCAAATCTTCGAGCTTATGCGATTGTATGAGATCATACACCTCAGATACGGCAATGAAGCGTCCTACAAAGGCAACTTAGCAACCCCTCCAGCGCATCACACCAAATAGAATAACGTACCGGCTCAGGAAGATTCGGATCTATATCTTCATCCTGAATGATAAATGGCAAGCCTGTGCCAAGGCTCCAGCGTCGGTCTAGACTGTAGATTGTCCAGAATATTTTGACTACCGAAGCCCACTGTTCCTCGTCAGGGAACATCTTGATCAGTGCATCGCGCCGATGGAGCCCCAATTCAAGACACATGCGCGTGGCTAGGCCTATGATGCGATAAGCCATGGCGTCATCATCCGTATGGAAATGGAAAGTCGCCTGTTGCCAGAGTTATCAGCCACAAATCTATTGGGGGGGATCGGTGCACCTACAATTATGCCAAAGAGCTGTATCGTCTTGATGTCGAGCGTTTCCCAGAGTTTGGACTCGGCAACTGGTTTCACGCTCTGGTACAGCCGCTGACCGAGTGCACTCTGGCCACCCCCCTCTACAACCAGTGTTGTGGCAAGTATCATTTTCAAGAGAATCGTGTTGTCGTCGGTGAGACCATCTGCACCGGGTAGGCCTCGTTGCGCGAACCCGGTTCGCATCGCGGCCTCCATGAATGTGTAAAGCAAATTCACCTGCTGGGCCACTTGGTCTATATCCACAAGGGGATACATGATTCCAATTTCTTCCTCGTACACGCGACAGAGGCGGAGGGCTTCATCTCGCTTGATGGTCCATATCGGATCCTTTTGGGGATGTATCGAGGTGACAAAGGGGCCTATGTGTGGAGGCGAGCCAGCCGGGGTGGCCTGTGCCGTAGTCAAATCATCCGTTATAACCTCATCTGCCGACGCAATACCCATATTTTGAAGGCTAGACCTCGCGACATCGAAGTTGAAAGCAGAGCTGGTAGGACCCTGAAAGCGAGGGTGCCGGCTACGAGGTTTGGCCAGCGGGGGGGCATGCATAGGCGTGAACACCGACTGCGAGCCATCGCGGGAAAAGCCATCGAAGTTCGGGGAATCGAGAGATGACCTTTGCGACCGGAGATCCTTCAAGTTAGTGAAGAGGCTATTGACCTGGTCCTGCAGTGTGTTGATCTGGTCTTTCATCGACCGAAACTCCCTATGAAAGAAAACCGATCAGCCGTTGAACAGGGATGCGCATGGAAAGTATGTATTGACATACTCCGAATCCTTGAAATTGTTATTGCAGCAATTCGGAGCATATCGGCCTATCGAAGCGGTCAGTTGAGGCGGCTGCATGCGTTGCGGAGAAATTAGGGGGTACTACTGCCCGTGCAGCGGACATTGACTGACATTCGAGGTTAAGGTGTCCACAGCGCTGGCACGGCACCTGGCCATTGCATTTGATCTTACGTCGCTTGCATTCGTTACTAGAAGAAGTGGCTCAGCGTTAATCGGACTAATATCTTGGAGAAGAGATCCAAGGGTTATACGGGTAGAATAGAGGGGGGGGGGGGGGAAAGTTCAAGGGCCGGGTCATACCACGCGATGGAGATGTAGCGATTCCGCTTGGAGCGAGTATGCGTTCCGTTCGTCTGTTCCGCTTTCCTCTTCGCAGTATCAGTAGCGGAGGCGGCACCCTGATCCCCAGACTCCGTCGAGGGTGGTGCCATATCGAGCTGGGGCGATTCTGAAGCCATCCTGGATGATAAACAGACTTGGGCGATTGGTTGTTGGCATGGAAGAAGGCAGCGACCGGTGCGGAGGAATTCCTTTCGACAGTTGGAGGGCGCGCGGGGTTTCCGTTTCCCCAGATGACCGGACCGGGTAGGGATCGCCGGGAATTGGAAATCTGGCAATCGAACCCGAAGAACAAAAGAGATCAAGCGCAGCAACTCTGACTGGACCGGTCAGCCGTCAGTTCTCTATATGGGTTATGGTGGTGGTGGTGGTGGTGGTGGTGGTGGTGCCGGCGCCGGGTTTCCAATGGGGTTGTTGGGTAAGGCTGAAGTTGCTCCCTCCCTCTATCCACCGTCGTTATCGGCGGCTGACAGGAGTCGACTCGACTTAGTTGCGGTGTGCGACTTACATCTTGCCTGTAACTTCCTATGCAGGATGGCGTTTATCCCTCACAGGCCTCGCGGGGCATTCACATCATCTACTATTTACATTGACTGCTGGAAACTCAATCAGGACTCCGTGCCTTGGGGAGATCCCCCATCCAGCCAACTGATCAATCCGGGTCGGAGCGGAAATTCCCCGACCTGATGATCAGGGCGGCACGGGCAGCAGCGCCAACCAATTCTACCGCCGATCCGGAGCCATGAGCCATCCAAAACAATATCCCCAAGTGGTCCAGCAGACAACCTTCTGAATGAAGCTTCGACAATGGATGCGTCACAATAAACTCCAGGGCTGGCCCTGCTGGCCATCTGCCGCCTTCAAATATAGCCTCCCTAGCCAAAGACAACAACAGCAACGCGGCCTCACCTCCCAATCCGGATCCGTCACGGCCTCTCCTCCGTACCGCCCGCCAGAGACTCTGAGAGATGTTGACATAAATCATTTTCGTGACGGCTATTTTACCCGTGAGCGCCCTGTCATCCTTCCTCGTCGATACTTTCACGATATCCCGGCCTTCGAGCGCTGGTTCCGGCCCTCCTTGATCGACCCCGATGTATCTCAATTGAACACGGCATACCTCAGCCAACATGACGCCGGCTCCTTCGTCCCACTCGAGCTCACACAACCGTTACCAGATAACAACACCTCCGAACAACAAGCAGATGGGCTCACCTTTCGACAGTTTCACGCACCGCTCAGCCTATTCCTAGAATGGATCCTCACCGCAGAGACGCTCGAGACACAACCAACGCGGCTCTACCTAGCGCAGTGCCAACTTCTGGATCTGCCACAAAAGCTTCGCGATGATTTTCCGACGCCCCAATTGGTAGCGCAAGCGGGGAAAGGAGACATCTACGATACAAATGTTTGGATCGGATATCCGCCCACGTATACACCTCTTCATCGGGACCCTAACCCGAACCTTTTCGTTCAGCTTGCCGGGCAAAAGATCGTGCGGCTTCTTCCACCCGATGATGGGCAAAAGGTCTTTGGATCCGTGAGGCGTGAGCTAGGCAGGAGCGCTGGTCGCGAAGCTGCTGCCATTCGCGGTGAGGAGATGATGCAAGGTCAGGAGAGGGTGTTACTCGAGCAGGCTGTTTGGGATGATGCGAAAGCTGCTTTGGGACCGTGCGGATACGAGGCACGTCTGGAGGCTGGAGATGGGCTGTTTATACCTCGGGGATGGTGGCATACCATCAAGGGAGTGGGAAAGGGTGTGACCGCTTCTGTAAGTTTCCTGATCATCAACATATGTACGCATACTTACTTTCAACAGGTCAATTGGTGGTTTCGTTGATCACCATTCATGGTCAGAACCAATGATAGCGATATCATGTAGACAAGAATTATATCACATTAGACCTGTATTCCAAAGCCAATCTGTTTGTCGCTACTGAATAATCGGCCTGGCCGAATATGGACCTACAATAACCCCCTCACTAGAAAAACACAAACCATAAAATTTAATCCATCATATGTATAACCCAAAAAATAGTTTGCACACTATGAGAGGAGGACAAGATAACCTGTTCCGTGCTCTTCATCTATCAAACCGGCAACGTTCCAGAATGCTCTCGTTCCGCCTCCGACACCCCATGAAATCATCCACCGCACCTAAATATTCCACACCCACCCGACCGACCGACTCTTTCTCAACCCCAGCGCAGCCAACCCCCCAAAGATATAATATAATGTACATGTTTACCACGATTGCACGCGCTTCACTCGTCAACCTGATCCTAAACCCACTCTTCCCCGGTCCTCGCGTCGCCGTCGCATCCGCAGTCACAACCAACGTCCTATTCAGTCCACGAATCCAAGCAAACCTACCAATCCACCCCCGCTGCTCTGCCTCCCACCTATACTCCACAATGCCTTCCTCGCCAGACCCCCAGCCCACCTCCAACCAAGATCAGAACCAGCAGCCTCAAGAAGAACGGAAAGAATACCTTGCTCTCCCGGACACGAACAGCGCGGCCTCATCGACTCAGCTGGATGTCAGCGGGGACGGGTCGACAGTGAAGCTGGACCATCTGGGACCGCTGGTCGTGAATCAGGATGGGTCGTTGTCGCGGATCTCGAACTGGGAACAGATGACGGAGATTGAACGGACGAATACGTTGAGGGTGCTGGGCAAGAGGAATAAATCGAGGTTGGATGCTTTGAAGAAGAACCAGGCGGAGGCGGAAGGTCAGAACTGAGGCTGTTGACCAGGGTGTATTGGTGTATATGGGATATGAGGTCAATTGCTTGGAGGAGGTTGAAGTTTCATCTATGATAGAGTGTAAAATATATTTAATGTCATTTTAAGTAGATTCATGCTGTAAGAATAGTACATAACTCCTGGTCTACCGGATGTTCTTTATACGATAGGTAGTCCGTGGCTTCCATCCATTTGAACAAACAAGTCGCCTGCTTCTCTCTAACCATTGCTATGTTATGCCTAAGTTCCTAACCAAATAACCAGTCGTTGAACCTCGAGAGCGAATTACTGTAGGAGTTAGCTTTCCTGATCTCTGATTATGGTAGCGGACATGCCTACCCTGAGGGTATCTCGATGTAGTTTCTGGTATATTGATCCACTTCGTCAACGCCGGTAAGTATGTCGATTTGCTCAGGGCTCAAGAACTTTGTGCGGTGCCAAAGTTTCCATCCGATGAAGATGATCGGGAACACCCCGATCATCGTGTACGAGAAGAAGAAAGTTGGTACGTCCCAGCTCCCAGGCAAAAAGACAGTATATCCACTCACGAAAGTCATGATGAAGGTCGAGACTAGCGCGATGTAGGCGACATATGGCTGGCCTCGGCTCTGGTATGGGAGCGAGTCGCGGGAAACGCCTTGCGACATCAGAGCCTTCCTGAACCGGGTGTAGGTGAACGTGATGACAGAGAAGTTGATCAGTTGTGATGCCGTGACCTAGATAGCTGCGAGTAAGCGATTTCGATCGGGGGAAAGTATGGCCTGTTCCAAGCATAAACATACCAGATTGACAAACCACTCCAGAACAACTGCGGATCCGTTGGAAACCTGCAGGAAAGATAGCAGCGCGACAAGGAGCACAACCGTCACACAATAAACCGGCACACCGGTCTGGGTACATTTGGTTAGGATGCGCGGGGCCTTGCCATCCAGGGCAAGTCCGTACAAACTTCTGCTAGCGCAGTAAACATAACTGTTCCCTGCACTGAAAGCAGCAAGAAGGATCATTGCGTTGACGATGTGCGGGAGGACTGAAATGTGCAACCGGTCCATTGCAATTACATACGGAGATGCAGCCGCTCCAGGCAAGTCCTTCTCGAATGCCGCAGCCATCACGGGATCGTTGTAGGGAACTAGGATACCGATGCACAGTACACCAAGAATGAAGAAAGCCGTGAGTCGGTAGAATATCCCGTTGTAGGCCCGTGGCAAAACGCCGCGGGGGTTCACGGCTTCACCGGCAGCCATTGAAACATAGTCGGGGCCAGCAATTGTGAAGCTGGCCTGGATGAGGCACGCAAGAAAGCCCATCCATCGACCCAGGTCTCCGGTCTTGTAATACTCAGCGAACGATCCAGGGTTCCTCCAGTATCGGAACCCGAAACGATCACCGAGAGGATTACCGCCGAGCATAGCAATAAATGTGAAGAATATCAAGCCTACGCTGAGCAAGACCTTGCTCAGGGAAAGCCAAAACTCGGCCTCGCCGTACCACTTTACTGCGAAGATGTTGAGGAGTCTAAGGGTCCATTAGTTCGAACAGTTCCAAGATTCATTGAATGTGCCGGAGACAAATGACGTACGAAAATAGCACAAGAACGATGACAATAATACCGGCTACTGGAACCGCATCGCTCCAGTAATTGATGATCAAATTACATGCCGTGACCTCAAACGGCACCATGGCGGCTTCGAAGATAAAGAAGTTGTACCCAGCAGCTACTCCAAAGGCTTCGTCAACATATCGACCTGCGAACCGGATGAAGGGCGAGGATATCGGCAAGTATGTCACCATCTCGGCCAAACCTAGTAACACATATTCTATCTTAGTAGATGCTACATCAGAAAAGGGCAGAACTAGAGCCATGGGTAATCGTAGTCCATGTGGTTGCGCTGGGCCATCAAAGACGATTGAAACAATCGGCGCTCGGCGCCCTGGAGTCTGGGATTTGATATAGAGCAAGGCCCAACGGGGAGGGCTATGTTTGCTGTGCAGGAAGGGGAGAAAGTGCTTCAGGTATTCGTACAAACTGTTATACATAGAATGACCGCAGACCTAAAACCAGACATGTATAAGATTCCGTGATTCATTCTAATAGCTGCAGGCACACCCAAGTAGACGTGGGGGTTCGGAAATTTGCTGTCTTTGAGGCACAGCGCAGAATGTGTTATTATTAAGTTATTTAACGCTTGCTGTCCCGAGGCAATTACCACTGGTTACATGATCGAAGCCTCATATGATGTTGTTCCGCATTGGTCCCCGGAAGCTTACCCATGACAGAGATATTTTTTGGGAGAGTCGCCCGTTTCGTTTGAGACCAAGGCGAGGGATGATAGTAGATCAAGCAGAAATTGGACTAACCAGATTGCAAATGCCAAAAATAAACTGGCAGGGCCACCCTCTATCAGGGCTTTACCAACTTGCACATACAACACCGTGCCAATTGTACCCCCGATCCCGATAAGCTGTATATGTCTAGGCTTTAGCTTGCGGTGCGTATGATCGAAGGCGAGGATCTTCGAATCATCCCCGATGGCCTCTTCACCGTCATTGACAATAGCAGCCTTTGCAGGGACATCTGTGGAATCCTCGGCGTGTTTTTCTGCTGACAATCCATGGCGACTGGTAATAGAGGATTGTCCCTCGTTGTTGATAGCCGTTGCAAAGGTCATTGGAAAGCGGAGGCTCGGCGACGGTCAAGACACCGGTTGGAGATTACGACAACCTGGAGAAGTCAAAATAACGGAGATGATATACTATGACATGAGGAGAGGAGGAAGGGAAGTAAATCAGGGGAGAACCGGAGGAGCATGGAGGGGAATTGTGGAAGGAAAAGCGCGACAAGGGAACAGAGAGTGCGGGCGAAGGGAGACCGCAAAGAAAGATGGCAGACTAGCTCAGCTAGGCAAGATTTGGCATGAGACTATGGACGGGAATATTTTCTGATCGCGCAGCTTGATTCGACCCTGTAGCTTTTGAGGCAAGGGTCTTGCGCCGCGCACGGATGGCAGAAGCAAATCACAGTGCGGAGGAGGGCTTTCCTCCAGGACCGGCGACTCCATCCGGTCTCCCCACATCGGAGGGGGGGCATATAGCGAATTTGGTACGGCTTTGAGAGTAGACATTCGTGTCTTGAGGCCTGCCAATGGATTGCTTAGTAGCAATGGTGGTGATGTCAACCCGAGCATAGCGGAGTTGTCATACAACGGCGACGAGGCGTCATCTCTTCCTGAATCGAAGGTTGCACGAGTTCGAGGGCTGAAGACTCAAGGGCTGGATTTCAGGAGCAAGGGAGGAAGAGACAGAGAGGGGCAGAGGGGCGCCGGAAAAGTTGGGCCCTGGTTGAGATTGTCCCCGCCCTAACTACTTCCAGTAATTGCCGTACCATTCCCTCAGTATCGAGTAAATACTATTCATCATTCACGAATAGAGGCAATTGATGCATATGAGACTTGTAGTACCCGATCTGGGTATGTTCTGTTTATATCTCACCAAGACTTAAATAGTATTAATCGGGTGTACAGCTATGCAAGGACCTTAATTTCAATTCATTGAGTTAAGTGCAGCTGACTGTATCACACCGCAGAAACCATGTACGGTACCTAGTACACTCTGACACATGGGAGGCCTACTACCACTGGTACGTAGCAGTAATGGGCGGGGGAAACTAACTCCATATTGGGGAAAGGATGGGAATGCACTCCATTTTCATATCCAGGTATTTAGGGACCCCCCTGACTTTTTGGACGCCCATTTAACAATGACATTATGCGATCTTATTGACTGTGGGAGCACAGATAAAGGCTGTAAGTGAGTATCGATGGCATGGATTCGGACTCCTATAGACAGAACGTGACGAGCAGAATAGAGACATGTCGATTTGCCTTCATAGGAGCCTGTTATGATCTGACAGATCCAACCGGTTAACAGCAGTCGTTCCAGGTCATAATACTAGAAGGAAGATTCGCTGACTGGGTGGCATTGCTTAAAAGAAAGAATGGAAGAGAAAGAGTCGTATGAGTCCATGTTGATAGCTCGTCATATATTATGGAAATGGTAGAGATGAAATTCCCGGCCGATCATGTTCGGATTGCTTTTGTCTGCATCTCCTTGGCCGATGAACTCGGTTCGCTGCCACGTTGAGCTGGCGGCTTCTTCCCTAGCCAACTCGGCGGGAAGAAACAATCGTTGTCTTCATAATAAAGGTGGTGTGATAAGTCGGATTCGACAGAGCTTGACCTGCGATGTCTCTCGCTGTTCGTGAGTTGGGAGCCTTGTGCAAGAGGGTTTGAGGACGACACATCGACGGTTTCCGATTGCTGGTTCTGATGGGAAGACATTTTTGCCATCTATTGCCAGCTGTTTAGACTGTACTCAAGCTGGGAGCTGATACTTGAAAGGCAACAGCATCCAGGATGGACGACAATGTGGTGGAATCCGTCGCATTTAACCTCGGGTTGGATGCGTCCTTGACGTCAGACTGCCGACCACGGGACCTCCCATATCTGTCAGAGTCGGGGCCAGATCTGAATGGATCGACCATTATGGATCCAGCTGTCAGGGGATGACACAGTCCTACTACTGTGTTGTAGAAAATAGACAGATCTTATCGAGCCACCAAGGCGATCCTAAGTCTGGGGGGGGCGAACCTAACCCAAGCTATGTAAGTTCAGGAGCTGTGGGCCCTTCGAAGAGGTGCTTTGTACTGTATTCAGGCTGTGAAGAGCCAATGAACGTGGCCCTAAACCAAAGCCTCCAAGGTGCAAGCAGGACGATAACATCACCGACACGGGCTCCCCCTCCGATCCACGGTAGCGCTGCTCCGAGCTTCCCCTCTCCCCGCCTGCCCCGCGCCTGTCTGACCGCGACCGAACCTCGACTTTTCCGACCGACCGCCAAACAACAACCGTGAATTCGAAGTCCTTCTTCACGTCGCAGCTTTTTCAGACCTGGAAGGGACGCGATCTTCCCCCCCAACAACCGCCACAATGGTCGAGCACGAGCCAGAGCCCAAACGCTTTTCCCCCAGAGTCCCCGTCCAGCTCGACTCCCCGAAAGATGATCCTATAACCGTCGAAGAACTGTCCAAGTGCGATGGTGCGTGAGTCGCATTGCCATACTGCATGGATGCATCTGTATGGCTTAGGGAAACATGCAGCTAACCGAGTATCGTGCCAGGAACTGATCCCAACCGTCCCACCCTGGTTGCGATCAAAGGAGTGGTCTTCGATGTGAGTCGGAACGAGGCTTACAGCCCTAGCGGACAGTATCATGGTAAGGCATTGCCCTCCTTTGAGCTATTTGCCCCGCGGTACATACGTTTCTGGGTATACTGACACGTCCGATTTACTAGTCTTTGCCGGAAAGGATCCCTCTCGCGCCCTGGCCTCCTCATCGCTCAAGCCCGAAGATTGCAAACCCGATTGGTATGATCTTGAGGACAAGGAAAAAACAGTCCTGAGTGAATGGTTCACTTTCTTCAGCAAGCGGTACAATATTGTTGGAAAAGTGCAGGATGCTACGAACTATTGAAGAGGAGGATGGAATAATAGCAAATTAACCCCTCCTATAATCTCTAAGACAATAATCACTTATACCCGTGCCGTGGACTCGACGCTGGCTTCGGGCTTCTACAATTGTCTTCTAGGGCAAGCTCGCCGTGATGCGCTCAATATGGCAGTGAATTACTCCGTAGTTTCAGACGAATATACGCACAGTAATCATTAGCTATCTATGTATATAACCCACATTGACTTTTATATATGTACCCGGTTTAAGCCGTTCACTTCCGAGATCGTCGCTGCATTCTCTTCTTCGCGATGATCCGATTGCGCTTAGCAATCTTGTTTTGTTCCTCGGCATCCTCTCCCTCTCCACCTTTATCGCTGGTCTCGGAGCGCTTTCTCTTCTGACCATTGGGAGGCCCCTCTTTGTTGGAACCCTTATTGGGAGGGCCTCTGTTGGAAGGGCCTTTGTTGGGAGGGCCCCTGTTCTTCGGGTTGTCTCTTCTCGAGCTGCGTTCGCCGTCTTGATCCCCGTTCCTGAAAGTGCGTGCTCTAGCTTGTTGTTCATCGCGGCGCTTGACGACCTGTGCGTTTTCAATGGCGAACTCGACGATAAGCCGCTTCTTCTTGTCAGCAATATCCTCCGTGCCAGTCTTAGGCGCCTCAACGGCATGGCCATTGAGCCATCGTAGCCCCATCAGCGCATGACGATGGGTATAGTACTCAATGAAACCATAACCTCTACTTCTGCCTGCACCACTATCCTCATTGACCTTGTGGCCATCTCGGCTTTCAAAGACGATCTTAGCTTGTCTCACGACACCGACACCCTTTTGCTTCCGCTGCCTTTCAGCCTCCCTCATGATGTCGGACGCTCTGTCGTTTTCCTCCTTGGATAGAGGTTGGCGGATCCCCTTCTTGACATCCTGGGCAAAACCAACGATTCCTTGGCGGGCGAGTTGTTTCAAATCTTTTGTGGTGACATGACGGGGGATATTACGGATCGATAAACGTGTCAAGCTGAAGTGAAGATCCGGGTTTTTCTTGATAAAGTTCTGTCGCTGCTTAAAACTGTCTTCTCTCATCTTGATCTCGGACGGAGAGAGCTTCTTGTACAGAGGCGAGCTCGGCCCAACGGTACCCTCGGAAACAAGGTAAAGTCGACGCTTGTCGGTGTCACGAACAAGTCGGCGAGAAACCCCCTCTTCTTCCAATTGTGTAGCACGAGACCTACTCACGGCACGAGCTACCTGCAGCACACGACCATCCAGTGTATACCGTCCGGTGGGATCGGCATTCTCATTCTGTAGAACCGAATGTTTGTATGCGGTGGCAGCTTTCTTTGCTTTGTCTTTGTCCGCAGCAAGGGTGTCCTGCTGCTTGGGGCTGTCGCGCACACATGATGCTGCATCCTCTGACTTCCAAAAGCAAACAAAGCCAGTACCACGAGGACGCTCAGTCTCATGATCGACAACAATTCGCGCATACCGAAGGGGTCCGAACTGAGTGAAGTGTTCGTAGAGCATATCGTCGTCGCAGGTGAAAGGAAGGTTTCGGATGAAAATAGTCGAGTCGTTTCTGTCGTCTTCCTTTTTTTCTTCATCTTCCATCTCGTCGTCCTCCTGGTCGGAATCCTCCTCCTCCTCATCATCGTCGTCCTCGCCATCACTCACGCCTTCAATATCGTCCTCCTCAGCAGAGTTGGCTTCATCGTCTGAACCCTCTTCTCCTGCCTCCTCCTTTCCATCTGTCATATCGACATCCTTCGGTTCCTGATCTTCGGTATCTTCCTGATCCTTTTGTAGGTTCTCCCAAACCTCCTTTTCAACAGCCCAGTCAACGGCCAGTGTTCTTCCGTCAACCTCCTTCCCGTTCACTGCCTGCAACGCCTTTTCTGCGTTCTTCTTTCCGCGCAAGACGACGAATCCAAAGCCCGCCAACTGAGTGCCTTTCTTCGGAAGGGTAGCTTGTTTAACCTTTCCAAAGCTGCGGAAGAGAACGGCCAGATCATCGGGCTCCTTGATACTCCAGGGCAAGTTGCGAACGATCAGCTTGGGGGGCTGAGTCGCAGCCCTCTTTTCTTCTCTCTTCTTCTTAAGTTCCAGAGCTTCAGCCGACGGCTTGCTCCGTCTGAGGTTCTCATCGACGACACGATGACGCGGTTGCGCATATTCAACCTTGATCTTTTTTCCCTCAAAGACGGAGCCATTGAGTTCTTCCAGCGCGGCCTTTGCGTCCTCCACATCGGCGAATGTTACGAAACCGTAGCCCTTCGACAGTTTCGTCTCCGGGTCGTTGACAACAATGGCATGCTTGATAATGTAGGATTGCGAAAAATGTTCCGTAAGGCCCTCGGTTGTCGCTGAGGCGGGAAGCGAACGAACGAAAAGCTCTCTTCTTGGTTGGTTCGGGTCCGAACTGTCCTTGGTTGCTTTCTTCTTCTGCGATTCAGGCGCAGTATCGAATTCAGGGCTGCTTGCAGCGTCGCTGGCCTCGGGGGAATCCCCCTGGAAATCGACCTTCTCAGCCATGATGGGTGTGTCTGAAGTGACTGTTGTCTCTAGCAAAATCAGCGGCAGAAAAATCCCGACGCCGATTTGAGTTTTGGAAGGCAAAAGCGGGTCTCTGGGCGGTGAGTCGACATGGCAGTCCAGGTTGTCCAACACGAAGTAATCCTTTTCGTTTGCCGCTAATAGGGTGGCAGCAGCCAAAGCTTCCTACCTATACAACGTGTCGTTGTCTCTTTGTCACTGCCTTTTTGACTGGATCATGCAATTAATAAAGTTTAGGTGTACGGAGTAGTACTATGGCAAGAGTGGCCTATACCTACTCAAATCACGTGATGCCATTACCGATATCTCGTGCGGATCGCGGCCGAGCATCATTGTCCCCCCGATCAGAAACATTACTACTGCCAAGACTTGGTGTAAGCCGGATTCATATGGCAATATCACGACAAGAGCATCTGGTTTCCTTCCATCGTGAGGGACTTGATCACTAAAATAAAAATTGGACAACTTTCCCTCGAGCAATGGCGGAAGAGTCTGGTGTAGGGAGTAGTTCGAACTCGATAGCTACTCCTGGAGCTTCAGGACCCTCTACACCGCAGCCTCCGTCGAAGGTCCAACAGCCCAAGCCGCAGGCGCTTCCCAACCGATCTGGACCATCAGCCATACTCGTTTCAACAAGGCAGAAGGGCAATCCCATTTTGAATCATATCAAGCTACTGCCATGGGAATATGCAGATATACCCGCGGACTACGTGATCGGGAACACGACATGTGCTTTGTTCCTGTCGCTAAAGTACCACCGCTTACATCCCGAATACATATACTCCCGGATCCGACTTGTATCAGGCAAATATCTGCTCCGGATTGTATTGATTATTGTTGATATCCCAAACCACGAAGATAGTCTGAAGGAACTCTCCAAGACGTCCGTCATCAATAACCTCACGCTGATTCTTTGCTGGTCCGCGCCCGAAGCCGCCCATTATCTGGAACTGTTCAAGTCATCTGAGAATTCCCAGCCAACTGCCATCCGCACACAACAGGCTCAGTCGTATAAGGAGTCCCTTGTCGAGTTTGTCACGACGCCCCGAAGCATCAACAAGTCTGATACGGCAAGTTTGTTGTCGACCTTTGGGAGCTTGCAGAACGCAATAAATGCCCAGCCGGACCAGATCAGTGCAGTACCCGGATGGGGGGAGAAGAAGGTCAAGCAGTGGTGTGGCACTGTAAGAGAAGGCTTTAGGGTGGATTCAGTGAAAAACACACCTGCCTCCCGACAGTTGGCGGGAGCCCAAGGAATAGTATCCGCTGCGGATCGCAGCAGGGAATTAACCCCACCCGAAACCTATGAGAAGGATGACGAAGACCCGATTTCAGCAGAGGCAGAAAACCGTCGTCTGGACTTATCGAGTCAAGCCGTTGAAGATCCACGGCCACAGGAGTTAGGTCAAGAGGAGCAACTAAGCGAAGGTATCATGGCGGCGCTGGCAAAATATCGAGAGAATGGTAGTTGATCGGATGCCGGCTACATTCATTCTGGCAAAATGGATAAGGCCTGCTCCAGAGCGGGCGGCTGCATGATAAGTCATATTGGATTCGGCACACGAAGCATGTATTAGCTTGCATGTCGGGAAAACCGTGATCATCCGAGGATTTTGTGACGTCCAAGTCAAGTTCAAAGGTCCGTTCCTCATTATATGCATTCGGGTACGCTCGGATATTGCCCATCTGGTCAAGTCTTAGTCAATTATCTTGATGGGATAGCTGTTCCGCGCGCACGCTCGAGATCAAGATTCAAGCTACTGCGAGCACTGCGACTGACGGACAGAGGGCCTCTCGTACCAAGGTACCTTTCTTGGGTTGGGTTGCAATCATCCGGCTTACTTTGCCCCTCAGCAACTGGGTTGCGCGGCTGAAGTTGACATGGGAAGTTCGGAGGGTAATGAAGCTGCATCGGCCACTGGCTCGCAAGGATGGAAGCCCTGGGCACTAGCGACCCTGCAGCATCGATAGTCGGAAACTAGGGGCTTGTCGTGGATTACGTGTATCGATATCAGTTGAGGGTCTGACTGGCCAAGCTTACCCCGTGGGGGAGGATCCGGAATAATCTTTAAGTCGGTGGAGTACCAATGCTTGTTTCTGAAAGGCCTAGGTAGAATATAGTAGGGAGCTACCTAGATACATAAGAGTACTACGTAGATACGTGGTAGTATCTATCTACTGCTTCGAGGTGAACCACTCCGTAAGACAGTTTCCTGCAAGAGCCTCCGAGCTGGTATACTATAGTACCCACAAATAGGGTGCCTCAGGAGCAAGCACAAGACAAACCTGTCAAACTGGAGGAGCTCGAAGCAGCCCCGGCGCTGAGTCATCCATGTGACTAACTATCACGTGGGGCGTAGCGGTGGGGCGAGGTCGCCCAAAGGGGAAATCGGGCTGACGGCGAACATTGGAAGTTTCGAGAGTCCAACGACACCCTCTGCAATGCGCCATCTCTCACGGACACGGGCCTAGTGTTAGTGACATGAGAGCAGCGTGTGATGTGTGATGAAGGCTTGATCCCGATCGAACCATTCGGCGTCTGGCATTCCCCACTGGCATAGCTGCAAAGCCCCTGGTCCCCCCAGTCCCCACTCGACCTCTCCCCAAGTCCCCAACCCCAGGGCCTGACCGGTGCTATTTGTTTGCCGGTCCCGGTCGAACAATGAGATGATGGGGGAGGAGGGGAGCCAGAAACCTAGACCAACCGCCGAAACAGACCTCAAGTTCCAAAATGTGAATATTGTTGGTCCCTCGGGCCCTCCGCATGCTCGTCCAGATTCCAATGATCATGCGGGGGACCGCCCAGGTTCCTCTCGAGGCCGGTCTTCTAGACCGGCCCAGCAGGCAGCCGGGTCCAGGAACTTCGAGTTTGTCCTAGTCACCGATAACGAGTCCCGGCGCCAGGTTCGCCGGCATGCCATGCGTCAGTACATGCATCAACGCCGTTTGGACAGCATCGCTCGACTTGGGACAGCTCGTGTACCTGTCGGTGGTTGGACTACCCGCTCTCCTTCCGACTCTCATGCAACCGAGTCCTCTTCTCGAGTGGAGGAGGTCCAGGATGGGTCTCCAACCAAATCAGAAAGAGGCTCGCCGAGTAGTGAGGAGGAACGATCAACTCCAGAAAAGCCCAAAAGTTCTTCACGGTTGCTCATTCCTAAATTGCACAAAATCAAGCACGAAGATGCATCTTCGCTTGTGGTCGACACACATAAACCCAAGATCTCTGATCCTCAGGCCACTCCTGGAGAGGGCGCAGTTCGAGATCCTTTTAGCTGTTATCCAATCCCTGTTAGCAATGTCGATCATGAATTGATCCAACACTGTAAGTTGTATTCTGCCGCAACTATCGCCTGAGGGCTGAGGCGTCATGTGCGCTTCAGATCCCTTGCAAATATTCCTTACCCCTGGTAACTAGGGCTTACGTGAATATGTGGACTATAGTTGTGGTAACGTACCCGTCTATGATGTACAAATTTGCCTATTCAATCGCAAACAACCCTCTGATGGAGATATTTCGACAATTCGCTCTGCACGACGTTCTTCCATTTCAGGCTATGCTTGCCATTGCCTCGAAACACCGCGCGGGTGTAGAAGGGAAGACCGACTCTGTGCAGAGTCTAACACATAAAATGCGGGCGCTGAGATTGATGAACGAGCGCATTAAAGAAGACTCGACTGGGCAGCACGATGGAACTATTTACGCTGTAGCCACAATGGCTGTCATAGAGGTACCACATCCATTGTGTCCTGCTGTATATGGACTCGGCTGACCTCCCGAAGAAATGGTCAAAGGATGCGTCGGTTGAGCGGATGCACTTCACAGGGTTGGCATCGATGATCAGAAACCGCGGAGGCATGCAAGGCATGCGACTTTCCAGCCCTTTCCTGGAGAAAGTTTTATATTGGTAATTCACTGTCTGTAAGCATAAAAGACATTTGCTGACAGTTCTCAGGGTGGACTTCAGTTGTGCTTCGAAAGCGATCGTCGGCACCTCACTACCCTGGACTGGCACGGTACCGGACGTGCCTCCTGCGAGGGACTTCCTAGACCCAAATCTACATCTGGCTACATGTCATACCCCGACCACGATGGAAGATTCTGAAGTCTACTGCGAACGTTTCCGCGCCTGTGAAGACTTTTTACGGTTCTTCCGTCAGCTCCATGAGTTGGAACGCCTTGCCTTAGAGTCCTCTTGCACTCTAGCCGACGACTCTTCTCAGCGCGTCAAACATTTCAGCTCCGGCACACAGCTATACACAATCCTCACTATGCTTCCCGATTATGACCATGGAATCCGAGATGTTCGGTTTATCGATGAATATACATGCATGGCCTGTCTCTTTTTCATCGCAGTTTCACTCTACGACTGTTACATGAATTCTTCCAATCTTGATGAATACCTCGAGTGGCTGAACCTTGAAATCAGAAACATCAACCCATACACAAACCCAAGTATTACATCTGTCCTCTGGCTCTTCCTCAACAATGGCGGTTACCCCATGAACGATGCAGGCGATACTGGTGCCAGATGTTGGATTGTCTCCCGTATGGTCCGAGTTGCTAAGCTCCTTGAATGGAAACGCCATGGTACCACCTGGGACAGACTCCGTCAAGTGCTTATCGACTTCATCATAACGCAACAAGAATGCGCCCTCGGATCCGACTATGTGGACCCCGAGGCGCTCGCAGCCCGACAACAAAAACGCCTTCACGGCGCCGATTACTTCTGGAATGAGGTCCAGATGCGTGAGGACATTATGACTTTTCCCTTGTCTTCTGGTACAACCCAGAGTAAAGGAGATATGAATATACATGTTTTCACGTAAACTTTCCTTTCCGCTCTCCATATACGTCTCTGTACGTTAAGCTTAATTTGTGTTGACTTGAAATTGGGCGACTTATAATGAGCTATGATGAATGACGATGGTGTTTAGGTATATAACTCGGGGTATACAGGCAGGTGGGCAAGTTATGCTTGATCAAGGTCTTATTCGAAATTTTATTCAGGCATGGAGTACGTGGGTACTAGTATAACAACCGCAAATGGGGGGAACGGAGACAAGTTGATCTGGTCGAACTTATCTTGAATATCATTCGTTAATGTGTTTTCATCAGAACCACCCCGAAATAATCAACCAGGGAGCTTGATCGATGGTTGGAGGATGAAAAGATCAATTGAAGTTCAGTTCATAAGCATCTATTTCTCGCTGAGACTATCATACAAATATTCATCGACCAGTGGGTATTGTATTACGCCCCTAAACCACAAGAACAGCAGCCATAATGCGAGATCAATCGACCGATCCTAAGTAGGCAGGTATCAACATGGATTGACCAGCAATATCCTCTAAGGTAGTATAAGTGAAAACAGAAGCAATGAGAACAGCATCAAAAGTATGGAGGTTAGGTTGTCGTGTGCTCCGCATCAACACGTTTAAAAAAGAAAAGAGAGAGGGGCAAAAAATATGAAAAAAAAAAAATAAAAGATAAGAATAGACCGCAAACAAAAGCAAACCACAACCAACTAAGTGCAATGGTATCAAACGTAAAGGTAAGATGAGAACCTGCGGATAACTGGAAGAAGATATAAGATGAACTTTTCCCGGTTTGAAATTTATTCTCCTTTCTTTTTTTTTTGCTGGCAAAGTGATTGATATTTATTGATATCAGCATCTCAGCATGTCCATATCCATATCCGTGATATCATTAGAAAAGAGAAGCGCAAAGTCAATGAGAATGGTGCTTAGGAGGGCTTGTCGCATCCGATCCTGCCCAGCAAGGCCTTGTGGTCGCTCTGGTCGCCAAGACGAACTCGTCCGCGACCCCGAGGCCGCACATTTGATGCATTGGCGCGGCGCCATTCCGCGCTGGTGCCATCAGGCACCCCGGGAGTACCGTTAGGGCCATCCTTCTCCGCCGAATCCTCTTCTGCCTCATCTTCGTCATCACTGCGAGGCTCCTCGGCGTTGCCAGTACGGATCACTCCTACTGCCACACGGATAACCATGGTGAACCAGATGAGAGACAGTAATTGAAGGGCCAAAAGGCTGGACAGGAAAATCCACTTGACGGTGCGGTTCATGCAGATGGGTCCTTCGATGTTCTTGAACGGGGAGAGAAGGTACCTCCACGAGTCGGGATATCCGTTGGTGGAAGTCATTTCCGCAGTGGTGCCCGAATAGCACCCGTACGCCATCTTGGCAGGAACGTCCTTGTAGATGGACCAGCACAGTTGCGGGTAGTAGATATGACGCGTTACCAGCCACGCAACCATGAATACAACGAAGGCGATGTTGCAGCTTGTCTCGAATTTCAGGTATTTGAGGATTTTGGCCGTCTGTTTATCGCATTGATATTAGCTCTCATTTCCTCCAATGGACGACCGGGTTTCCGTTTTCACATACCGGGAGCAAGAGGTCCACAACATCCATCAGTGCTAGGACCACGTTTGAAACGTTGTAGAAACCATAGACATAGGCCGATCCGAAGAGGGCGATAGTGATGATGTGGTGAGTCAGCATTTGATAGTGATCCTTCCTGCGCTCCTCAATGTTGATGACCAGGACCTGCTGCACCCAGAACGCCAACTGTACCAAAAGGTACCACTTCAGCAGCCCCGAAACGTTGCGTGCGGGCCATTGATCCCATATAGCGCTAAACTCGCGCCAATAGTACGAGTTTGACCAAAGGTACTGTTTCCCATGGTCAGCATGTGTAGCACACAATCGCGGCAGAATGTAGACGGTGCGGGGCACGAACAAGTCCAAGTGAGCAGAAGAACCCATAGTACAGGGTGAGCCAGCCCTGCTCGGCCAAGCGGACAGAAGCCTTCCTTTTTAACCCATAGCGTTGCGCTGCGGGCTGGAGAATCCACTCCATGACAATTGCCCGGATGGCCATGAAAGCAATGGCGGAGCTCACGACGAAGTAGATATCATCCCATCCTTGCACATAGTCCCCGGTGGCGGGTTGGTAGTAGGAAAGCTGGAAGAATGGGGCGGTGTAAGGATTCAGGGAAGGGTAGAGATGGTGGACAGCCAGTAACATGGACAGGATGGTCAGCGAAATTCCTATGCGGACACCTCTGGTTAGCGGCAACATTCAACAGCAGCAATTGCATCCATCTTCCCCCTCCGCTCCCCCCGCGCATGTACTGATGCACGAAGGGACGGATTGGATCTCCAAGCAGAGACTGATTGGGTTGGTTCATACCGATCTGGTTGGCCAGCATCCATTCCTGGAATGTGGTTTCTTTGGTGGACGGGCGGTGATGGTGGTGGTGGTGGTGATGGTGGCCGGTGGCGGTGGAAACGCAGGCATTGAGCTCCGCGACGGACGGCGAGGCCGGCGACGAAGCGTCTCTGGCCATGGCGAGAGTGAAGGGGGCGAGGTGAGAGTGTCAGGATCACAAGCCTACCCTAGCAGCAGTAGCGACGGTTCGGGCAGGGAAAGGTGTGACCAATGGCGGGGACAGGGGGGGAATCCGAGGGAAAGGGAAAATAAAAAGGGCCAGAAGGGCGACCGTCAAGCTGGCCGGAGGGAAGAGAGAGGGAGGGAGCGAGAGAGAGAGTGAGCGAGCGAGAGACGGCGTACGTAGCGAGAGCGGGCGAAAGTGGTTCCCGCCCACTGCCTGCCCGTTTTTAGCAGCAACAACAAGCAGCTTAATTGTTGAGGGCTGGAACAGAAAGGGCACCGCCCGCGGTTCCACGGCGGGTACCTGGGATTGATTGATTAATGGGACAGGACGATTCCTTGTTGGGTTCGGCCAAAGCTAGCTTCGTCGTCCTTGGGTGCTCCTCTGCGGCTTAAGATTAATTTATCGAGGGAAGATCGAAACCCAGCTGAGAGAATGTCTCCCGGACCGGTCTTGCGCGGAAGGGATTGATTATTCTCGATCTATCTCAACCAAACAACAAACAACACCACCCGCCCTGCACGGCTTGAGTACGGGACACAGCGGCAGCAGCAGCAGCAGCAGCAGCAGCAGCAGCAGCAGCAGCAGCAAAAATAACAACGACAGCACAAGAACGCCCCAATTAACAACAGGAGCTCCTTGATTCCCGAGATACACAAGGAGGAGTGGCGGAATTGGAAGAGGAGAGAGGAGAGGGCGGATAAAAGGGTCGCGATCTAAAAAAAATATATATAAATTACCAATGAGGGGAAGGAAACGTATGAACGGAGTAAAGTCCTCTTCCTCCCCCTAAGATCGATTGTACTAAGTATCACGTCGGTTTCAAGGCCGCCCGGCCCACCCCGTCTGTTACGTACGCGGTGGTTCTGGCTGCCAGCTGGGGGGAGGATCATCTGGGGACATCCACACTAAGTCCACCGCTGATGGCCCCCCGACAATCACCCAGCTCCCACTGGCTGCTGCCCGGGGGGACGCGCTTCACCGCCCATGCGCCTGGGCCAACAACCAGAGTCCCCTCCCACCCACCCCTACTGTGTACATTACCTTGGCGGGAATGTATCCCACCTGTCAATACTCCGTACCGTCCTCCGTACGGGCGGTACTCCGTACCCTCCCTCCCTCAAGCTCTCTCCCTTCTTTCCTCAGTCCAATCGCCGTCCGCCTTGCTTTCACCTGCTCGGTTCAAAGGCTGTCCCCGTCCCCAGTTGTAACCACCATCTACTATCTACCAAATCTACTCCGTACCTTAAGGTACTATTATGTTTGTACTACTACCCGGGCGGCCGTGGTCAATATTATTCACATTTCACCGAGGGATCTGTTAATCCCGAACTAGGTCGTCTGATCATCGGGCTCCAGTCTCAATCAAGGGATTGATTGAAGAAGAACCTTGACTTAGCAAAAAGTGCGGAGAAGCGGCGGCATATCAACCGGCCCTATAAGCGAATACTAACCGCCACCACAGAGGCGTGTCTCTTTCTCTTCTAGTATTCATCCACTAGTTTCTTTATTGCCCTGTGACATTTGCTGATTCGGTCTATGTACAGAGTTCAGACATCATTTTGCAGTCCCTGGAGTGGAACGGTTGTGCTGCATGTGGGCCCGGACAAGATGACCAGCAGCCAACGCGCCGCAGAGCGACAGCTCTCCCGCCAGAGTGGCCGCTGCGACAATGCGAGCGAGCTGGCGGGCATTGGCACCCGGGTCTGTGGGGTGCGGTCCCCGAACCCCAAGCGCGTTCAACATGGCCCCTTGAGGCTCGAGAATGGTGCCGCCTCCCAGCGTGCCGACTTCAATGGAGGGCATGGATACGGATATCTGGAGAGATCCGTGGACACTGTCCGTGGATGATTAGAATTGCCTGCCGGGGAATTGAAGAGGGATCCTTACTTTTTCATGATAGTGATGCAGTTGGCACTTTCCACCACCTGCGCTGGATCCTGCCCTGTCGCAATAAAGATGGCCGCCACCATGTTGGCGGCATGTGCGTTAAACCCCCCCACCGATCCTGCCATGGCCGACCCGATCATGTTTTTGGCGACATTGAGCTCGACCATGGTGTCGACATCGGTCTTTAGTACACTCTTAACAACATCACCCGGGATGATAGCTTCGGCCACAACGCTCTTCCCTCGTCCTTCAATCCAGTTAATGGCCGCTGGCTTCTTGTCGGCGCAGTAATTGGCGCTTAGCGATATGATATTCATGTCCTCGAATCCGGCGGTCATCATAACATCCAGCGCGCGCTCCACGCCTTTGGAAATCATGTTCATGCCCATCGCATCGCCCGTACTGGTTTTGAAGCGGATGTAGAGGTTGGTGCCCGCGATAGCAGTGGTCATCGACTGCAGGCGACCAAAACGCGTCGTTGAGTTGAATGCCTTTTTCATTGTGTTCTGGCCTTGCTCTGAGTCAAGCCAGATCTTCGCCGCGCCTGCCCGCTGTAGTGTCGGAAAGATAACACAGGGGCCCCGGGTCATTCCATCAGCAGTCAACATTGTCACAGCTCCCCCACCAGCGTTGATGGCCTTGCTTCCTCTACTGGCACTAGCAACGAGGACCCCTTCGGTGGTAGCCATGGGAATGAAGTAGCTTTTTCCGTCAATGACAATGGGGCCCGCGAAGCCAACTGGGATTGGCATGTATCCCACAACGTTCTCGCAGCATGCGCCGAAGACCCGGGACCAATCGTAGTGTTCATATGGCAGCTTCGATCGTTCAAGGTCTTGCGTGATATCTGCCGTGGCCTTGGTCCGAGAAATAAGGGAGCGGCGAACCTTCACTGCACGGGTAAAATCCTTCAGATTTTTCTCTAGGGCATATCCAGGAATCCTTCCACGCAACGTGAGTTCGACGACCTCTTCATCACTAAGCTCATGTGCACGCTTCTCTGCTAGCATCTGTTCTATCTCTTCTTGGGTGCGCTTGGGCTTGCTTGATATTTCATTTGATGTATCAGTGAGCGGAGCCAAGGCGACGGGGAGTTGCTGGCTCTTTATTTCTGGTAGCACAGCCACTTCAGGGCCATTCTTCTTGGAGAGTCCCTGATCCTCGGACTTAACAGAGTGACCAGGATTGCTCAGAGGCTTGACGCCTCGACGAGCTGCGCTAAAAAGATGGCTATTGAGGGCAACACTTAGCACCAGGGCTGCGATAACCCACTTGCAGAAGACAGGATCATCTAAGCTCCTGAGCAAGCCACCGACCATCCGGCCACCGACACCATATCCTCCAAATTTAAGGAGCATGGCACCCCCAGCAGCTTCCGTCCGGGGGGAGCCATAGTGGACAGAGGGAAACTCCAATTCGTACTTGATGGGGGTCAGGACCGTGACCACTGTCTGCTGACTGTTTGATTTGGCCGTGTTAAGGATCAAATCTAGTCCGTTGGAAGCCACCTTGAAAGGATCAACCGGGGGAGACGTAACCATACCGCCCAGACCGCGAGCCCAGTCCGAAATGTCTGTGAGCGAGTGTGCGTTGCGGAAGGGAACCATGAACATGCTTGCAGTGTTCACCAGGAAGAAACCGCCAACCATAAGGACCTTGAACCTAGGAACTTGCGTCATCTTGCCGAAAATGGTTGTTCCTGGTTGAATTTTGCTGTGGCTCCTAGCTACGTTTTCGGCGACCTGGGAGCTGATGCCATCGTCTTCTAGTGCCTGGCGTACCTCCATCTGGCCCTTCATTCGGTTGACCTCAAGTTTGATGCAAAGGATCGCCGTGTAAAACGAAAAGAGCAGAATGCCATCAAAGAACAAGGTCCATGCAGCCAAAAAGCAAAACTGCTCTAGACCTCCTTGAACCCCAGACAGAGCCCCCAGAGTCAGGATGGAAATCTCGATGATGTATTCTTTGGCAATCTCAGATCCCTTCTCGCTAATGACAAACTCGATGGCGGATGGGATCATGCTTGAGGATTCCTCAGATTTCTCGTGAGACTGGCTGCGACGATCCATGGCATGCGACAAAACAGCCCTGGTCAAGCCGACATATCTCTCAAAGCCGACGATAACGACCAAAAATGGCAAGCCTTCAGAGAGGAGAATCATATTGACGGGAATGCCCATCTCAACGGTGACGAATAGGCCGAGAACAAAAGCGAATGTGGTTGAGAACAGCACACTCGTGGCCAGCCAGAATTTAGACCCCATGCGGTACATGGAGAGGAACAACGAGGCGAACGTCATGTGCATGAAAATGTACCCAAGCAGAACAATGGCGATATCGGCTGTCTGGGCGTTCTTGAGAAGGTCCACGAACTCGGCCCAACTGTCCCGGGCCCATTCTGCCAGGCTGCTCTGCGTCTGTGCTCGTGCAGCCTTCATTATCCACATTCTCTGTTCTTCGTCCTCTGCGTCTTGACCGGGGCCATCATTCGGGATCTCCTGAGCCATCGCGAGGAAGTCGGAAGTCTGGCTAAAAGGGAGGGAGAAAGCAAAAACATGATCCCTGGTGTACGCGCTCAATGATTTGGACGTCGATGGCAACGGCGTGATGGACAAATTGCTCGGTAAGTGAAGCAAGGAGGTCATTGGCAAGTCTTGGAAGGTGGCATCGGTTGGCATGGTCTCCGGGAATACCAATGTCACAAGCGCAGCATGGTCGACATCGGCCGGAACTGAAACATCAGAATCATCTGCCTGCCACCTCCAGTCAGAGTCCGGGCCAGCATAGAGTCTTCTATTTCCCAGGTTGAGCGACGACCAATCCGCTTTTCTCACCGTCTTGCCTCGATCAAACATACTGTCTTCCAGCAAGGCGGTGTATACGGAGCTCACGAGCAAGGCGATAACGGCTATTGTGTGTATCGGGTGGGAAGACGCAAGCCGTGAGAGGGAAAGTAGGCCCGGTGTGATATTCCTTTTGAGCCATGGCGGCGTTGTATGGGGGGGGACAGGCTGGTCCCTGCGAGAACGCGAGGGAAGTGGTGAGGCAGCCATCCTCGGAGGGCAGTACTAATAAACTAGGATCAAGACAAGAGATCGTGATTGAGTATATCTATCTCTTGACAGGCCGGCAAGAAGGAGAGAAAAGACGGACAGAAAGACGGGCTCGATCAATTGTTCTCTTAGGAGGGAGGGGCGAAATAATAAGCTGAGCTGGAATGTCAAACAGAGAAATGATTTCGGGGAAACGCGACACTCTGTTGGGCGGATCAATTGGCGGCTCGTTAGTATTGTCTAAAATCTTACGTGGGAGACAACGGTAAGAAGGAGCGGAATTCTAGTAGTCTGCTTCAAGTGACATAGAATATATATGCATCTGCGGACCGCAACTTGTACCCCGTATCCAGTCTCTGTCCCGCGAATCTGTCGGTATTATGCGTCGTGGTAGACTCCAGCTAACGAGTCAAAGTGGCTGTGCAGCGGTTAAAAGTGTTGCCTAGAGGCTAGATATCGTGCCGTGCACCGGCCTCTGTCTCTAGCTATCCAGAGTTGGAATAGGGCTAGGTAGCCGTCCGTAGTAACTGTTGCTGACTCGATCGATGTTTGCGATCTCGGACTCTGCGGGCCTATCACTTTGTAATAGTGTGATATAATCATGTACACCGCTGCAGTAGACCTTCCAGACTCGCTGAATTGGTGTGATAGGCAAGTGATCAGGATGCGTCGAATGATTGCATCGATTAGTTCTGTTTTGAGGTCTGACCTTTTACAGTAAAAGTACATACCAGCTACGGCCTACGCGTGTCAATCCCCAACACCCCGTTTCAGTAAACCCCCCCCCCACCCCCAAAAAAAGAACAAAAGAGAAAGAACACCAATAAATGTGCAGGTGAATGAGTAAGGTTCTTATACAAGGGAGCTAGTATACAAACTGTACAAACTCTATATCAGCGAAGGGAAGAAAGAGAGCAACCTATTTATTGGTTACCCTCCAAGCCGGCAGTAATACCGTTGACATACTCGGCCGCATCCACACCCAATTTGGCCAGATCCATGCCGCCCTGGCCGGCCATGGCACGGGACATGGCGCGAATGACTTCCTCTTCTTCCCAGATGGAGGTAGGCGGGGCCATCCCATTTCCATTCCCATCACCCGCCACGCCTCCATTACCCCCCTTGAACGCAGGGTTATCAATATTCATCGCCACCACAGTGCGCCAGTACGCATCGTCACGGTCCTTGAGGACCTTATCCCTGACCACGGCATTACGCGCCACGCTCACCGCATGCAGCTTGGAGGTGGTCCCGGCAAGCGCCGACAGCGAATTCGAGACGAGCTGATCGACCTGCTCGGCCCTCGACGGCGGGGAGAAGAAATACCGACGCGTAGCGGAGAGGTAGACGAGAAGCGCACAGAGGCCATCAAAGACAGCGAACGCCAGGGGCCGCAGCATTCCAATTTGGTAATACGAGCTCGGCGGCACAGCGACGCCAGCGCGGACAGCCGCGGATGCGAACTTGAGAGGCTCATAGGTCAGCATGACGTAGGCGTCAACGAGGGCGAAGCCGATGGCAGCCATGGTGAAGACGGAGCGCCATTTACTGGCGTCGAGGCCGGCGAAGGCGGCGGAGGTGACGAGGCCGATGACAGCCAGGTGCAGGAGATGGGGGACGAGGACGTGGAAGGGGATGTAGTAGAACGCATAACTGCTGGGACTATCGAGGGAGCAGAAGAGGCAATTTGTGATTGCGTCGGGGCCGAAGCGCAGGTAGAGGGAGCGGGCGGCGGCGGCGGAGAAGTGGGATTTCAGGAGGGTGTCTGCGGGAGTGAGGGTCTCGTTTGGGCGCAGGCGGGCGAGACGGGCGAAGATGGTGTCGGTGGAGGTGCTGAGGCGTGAATGCGTGAGGGTGAAGATGCTTTGGTGTGGCGCGTGCGGGTTGAAGGGGAGGCTGAGGCACAGGCATAGGGTGATGGTGAAGAAGAAGACGTTCAGGGCGCGCGTGGCATCTTGGGGGAGAGGGCGCGGTGCTGGCCGCGTGGCGAGGGATACTCGGAAGGTGCGGTAGTAGTTGATTGCCCGCGGGATGATGATGGGCGCAAAGAAGATGAAGAGGGATTTGAGGCTATAGCGGGTGAGAGCGGGGAGGTTAGTGGTGGTGGGTGGGTTGTCTGGCTGGGGGAGGAGGTAGCTGCAGCGTACGTGGAGAATAAAGATCCGAGGTCAGCCATCTTTCCGGCAGGTCAACGTTGGGATGGCGCTATTGCATTGCCTGACAACAGCTAGGTTGTGGTGGTGGTGTAGTGGTGTTGATCAGTCCAAGAAATCCAAGTTGGCCTCAAGGACAGCGGCTTTGTATCTTATCGCCGGCGGGCGCTAAGGGGTGGTTACGCTACGGACGGAGTACGGAGACTCTACTATATACTCAGGAACAACAACAGGTATGTATAGATAGTAGGCAACAAGCATTCTGTTATATTCTGCAACGAAGAGGGAAAATTGTGTACAGGAATAAAATCCAATAACTAGGCAGGAGAACTTCCAAACCCCATCATTCTGAATGTCTGATGCTCGCTAATTTTCATTCTGCTAACGCTTGGCCTTCCGGGCCATGTCACACCTGCGCTGCGTGCATTGCCGGGTGATGAGAAATATCGGGAATCGTCACCCCTGCCGAGTCTCTTGAGTACTTCGACGACGCTGCATCGTTGAGGTTGATCGGGTCTACAGGCGAAGAGATCTTCAGGGGGAATCGGGTATTCTGTCGCATAGACATCTGCCTCCTCAGAGTGCCCTGTGGGCTATACGTGGGCAGAGTCTCTTCCTTCTTCACGCTGAGCTGGAATGTGCGTTGACTGCTACTTCGAGTCATCACTTTCTGAGGCGCGACAGCTCCATAGACCCGCACATGTCGTGCACTGACACCAAGATCACTATCGGCAAAAACAAAGCTCTATGTGAAATCCCTCTATTAGCACCGAGACAAACAAATGCAGAATCGAACTCACTGCAGCAACATTGACCACGCTCATGATCATGGCTAGAATGCCAGCCGAGAGCACGATTCTCCAGAATGCCAGCCCAAGAGCGTCCTGGCTAGTGGCCTTCGTGTTCAGGTCTCCCAAGACACCGACACCCAGCATCAGCATGGGGACCGCCAAGGTGATGAACCCAGAGTCCTGCCCCAGTAACGGCCAGTTCTTGTCAAAATACCCACGGTAAACCGGGAGCTCGGAAACGATGAGAAATACTATTGCCACCGAGGGTTAGGCACTGTGTATCAGGGAAGGGGTCGTGAAAGTTACTCACTGCTAACTCCCACAGCTACGACGTGAGAGACGGCCTCGAAAAAGAAAAAGCTGGTCAACAGCGAGATCTTGATGAGCATGACGACGCTGGCAGCAATGAGGTCCAGAAAGACAATGATGTTGATGACTCGGATCGCATTAAGAATTACGAATCCTGGCCCGGCCAAGGATTCTTTCAGGGCGGCCATCATGATATGTTTGGGAGTGGGATGTGAGGCTGCAGCTCCAGGGCGCCGGTACTTTATGTCAGTCTAGTATGCAAATTATGTAAATGTCCCCTCGTAGGTACGAGCCCCTGCAAAGATATGCTTTTGTACTCTGGAGTAGGAACAACGAGGTTGAAAGAAAGGACGAGGTGTGTGCTGTCCAGCAGCAAGACGTTTTCCGATATGGCTTGAATGAGCAAAGGAAAGAAAGAGCCACGAGGTCAACTCGAGAATTAAAGAAAGAACGGAGAGCTGGAGACCCAAGAAGAGGATCGAGAAGGGCCAGCAGGTGTTATCTGCTCTCAGTCAATCAGTCGGTCAGTCCCGCTGGCCTCAATGGACTGCCCAACAAAGACAAGAATAGACACAATAGGCGGGACGCTGGGGGTGAAACACTCTTGGATCTCTATTCGACAGACGAGAGCCATTCATCCCCAGTCCTGAAGGACCCTTCCTACCCGTTCGGGACGCTTTTGTCTCTTGAATGGCTCGATGAATGACCTTGTTGCCTAGGGTCTCCCGATGGACCCCTTCCCCAGCGCCTACACGAGGCTGTTGATGCTGCCAGAGAGACTGGTGGCGCTGAGATTTGTTACAGACCGGCGCTTATCTCCATGATGCCTGACGGCAATAGCAGATATCTTCACCCTCCCCGAAATAGATGGATGCCAATTGACGGTCGAGGCTGGCAGCAATGGGATGAAGCGGCAGGTATAAGGCGTACTAAGGCGTAGAATCGCCATTGTCTCCTTCCCTTTGTGTCCTCCCCACTGCCAGTGAATGGATGGATGCCCCAGGAAGCCAAGCGCCCACGGCGATTTCTTCTTTCCTTTGCCAATGTTTCGATCTTTCTTCCTTGTCCGCTTCGCCGTCCATCCACCGCCGTGTTCTGACCGTTCTGACCGTTCTTCCCAATCCCACACAACTTTCTTATACGATGTGTAACGGGCTTTCGAGCAAGCTGACCTAATGATAATATTTCTAGGCATCACCTCTGATACACTGGTCCAAGTGGTATCCTCATTGGCGCGTTGCTCTCCTCCTTTCGGGCGGCTACAGCCCGCCTCGAGCAATGATCGGCCTTCCCAACATGCATGCGAGGCGCTAAGCACCACAGAACTACAGGGATTCTGGCCACTGTATACAATCGCCCAATCATGCCGGCAATACAACCGCCCCTCCAAGGTAGCACACGTTAGCACACGTTAGCACAAGTTGGACTGGGATCGGAGATAATGCGGCGCAGTAGCGTGCATGGCGTTTGTAATGAGGGGTTGCCCGTCGCTGGGAGATATTTCTTTCATATGGAAGACTGGCTGCGGCTGCCTGTTTCAGCACTTTCCTGGGTTATGGATTCTGTGGCAGGCAGCTTCATCATATCTACTGCTCTCACAGATACTATACCTGAACAGTCATAACTCTGCCATTCCTAGTATTGTTGCTGGGCTGGTCATTACTCCTCCCTATTGACGTCCGGTACCGGAGGGAATGACTCGGCAATGGTAAGAGCCCTGGTGGGCATGTTCCTGGTGCAAGAAGGTGAAATCTAACTGTCTTCAATGCGAGTATTATTTGCGTATCCTTTCGCCTGGAATGGATCCCAATGTTGAGTCAGCTGCTACCTCCACCCTATTAGGAAGCCCTGCTTGCTAATATCGAATAGCATCGTTGCTGTCCACGGACTGAACCCAAAAAGCAAACGCAATCATGCTGAGAAGACTTGGGAATCCAACTGCATGCTCTAGATTAGATATTTCCTCCCCAAACAATTGCCACGAGCGAGAATCTTTCTCTTCAGTTACAACTCCAAAGTTGCAATCCAGTCGTCTGCAGCTGGAGTGAGAGAACAGGCACACGTTCTTCTGGATAGGCTAAGGTTAGAGAGAGATGTAATAAACAACTGATCTACTCTTTTTGGCAGACGGAACTTACATTCTATGTAGAGCTGCAAATCTTGACCTTTGCTGTTCATTGCCCATAGCCTTGGGGGAGTTGTCGTAAAAGAGGTATAGCTTCCAGTATCGGAGCCAATATCAAGCTTTCCCTGATGACATATGGCCGCAGGCACTTGTACAAGCCAAGCTCAGCGCGATATATGGCGCAACATGTACCTCAACATTCGGAACAGCTTACTTTGGGACCTCCCATCGAGGAACTCACATGGCACGTGTTGGCGGTGTGGCTGCAAAATTATAGAGACATCAAACAACACACCGTTGAAGGCTCTGTCGAAAGGTAATCTGTATGGCCGGGGGCTCTCATCCAATTTCGATAAGCTCCTCGAAAACTATGAGTATTTGAGCTTCTATGAGACCTTACCGTTCAAAAGCATCGGCATAGTAAGCCCTTACTTTATCAGCCAGAATCTGGCTCTGCAGGACACTCACTACTTGCAATAGATAGTTGAAAAGGAATCTGTCATCCTTGGCTTGCCAGACTCGCGTGAGAAAACGATCGCACTGAATGCCGACCACGAAGAAATGTGCAAGTTTTCTTGCGATGAAGATGATAACTATCAATATGTCTCTTCTCTGATTGTTGAGTTCGCGATCTCAGCGACGGAAAAGCGCACGGCGCTGGATTGTTTCAATGAGTCAGACTCTACCCTAATAGCCGATGAGGTCGACCCATCGTTCTGTAAGTGTTGCAAGCTGAATATACATACAGGACATCTACTGACAATGAACCGATCGAACAGTCATGATGCCTTATACTCGGAATGCCGGATTTGTTAGCCGCGGGCATACTTTCCATCAAGTAATAGAACGTCTCATGCCCCTGGGAAAATTTCACTCCCGAGTGGCATTATATGGTCTTGGGGGTGTTGGGTAACTATTTTCTCGTGTGTTCAGGGAGGCCATGGACTAACAACAACAGAAAATCTCAAATAGCCATTGAGCTAGCACATCGGATCCACGTGGAAGACCCCCGACGTACCGATATTCTGGATTCATGCTAACACGGTCGATCGATTCAAAAAAGGCTACACCGATATTTTAGATGAATGCAATATACAGGACCTGAGCGATAAGGATCACAACAATATGTCGCTTGTCAAAAGGTGGCTGGAGAAGTAGTCTAAACGCTGGCTGCTAATCATTGACAACGCTGAAGAAGCTTCGCTCTTCACCTCAGGGAGCCACCACAATCAGAAGGCTTCAAAGCCAGCTGTTCCGCTCGTGGAAGAGTCGCGTATCCTAAAATACCTTCCGGAGAGCCCGAATGGTTCAATTCTGATTACCACTCGTAACCGAGCTGCCGGTGTCAGATTTACCAGGAGCGTTGCTCAGAACATAGTTGAAGTGGGAACTATGAGCAAAAAAACAATCAAAATGCCTGCTCGAGTCTGTTTTGGGCGGAGATTGCTATACCAGATCAAATATGAATGATCTTGCTAGGCTGCTTGATTACCTACCATTGGCGATCGTGCAAGCTGCTTCTTTCATGCAGGAGAATGTACTTACCGTGAGTGAGTACATCAAGCTGCATAAGGATAGCGATAAAACAGCAATGAACTTATTGTGCGAGCCCTTCGAGACCCTAGGAAGAGACAGCGAAACCCCCAATGCCCTTGCTACTACTCTAATTATTACTTTAGGTCATATCAAAAGCCATGAGCCAAAAGTCATTGATGCTCTCTGTCTTGTTGCTTTCCTTGACCAATATGACATCCCGGAGAGTCTGTTGAAACAGAGATTCGACAAAGTGCTTGGTTTGACAAGGGCTCTGGGCGTCTTGAAAGCGTTCTCTCTTATTACGGCAAACGGGGATGGGCAAAAGTTCTCAATTCACCGTCTAGTACAACTAACTGTGCGCAAGTGGTTGCTCATGGAGCGTAACTTCCACGATAAAGCCGTCGAAGCTATGGATATTCTTGCTGAACATTTTCCAAATGCGGAATACGAAAACTGGGCTATTTGTGTTGCCTACCTACCCCATGCGTTGTCAGTTCTTAGCTTCATGCCAGAGCTACATGGGAAGCTATTGAGAAGGAGGTTGTACCTTCAAGAAGGAATAGCGTATTATCTATGGTCGCAGAACCGTACGAATGAGGCAGAGAAGCTGGACCTCCTTATCGTGGAGGAGAATAAGAAGGAATTTGGCATGGATCACCCGGAAACTTTGGAAAGTATTGCTGGCCTCTCTTCGACATATTCAGGGCAGGACCGACTAACAGAGGCCGAGGAGCTGGACTTTTTCGTCATGATGACAAGGAAACGGCTGCTAGGGAGTAGTGATCTCCTGACCCTGACCAGCATGCTTAACTTGGCAGGCATCTACAGAAAGCAGTGTCGATATAAAGAGGCAGAAGCCCTGGTATCAGAAGCTTTGGAGCAGTCAAAGTCCGTCTACGACGAAGAGCATGAAATTTCTATAGATGCCATCGGACACCTCGGGGCAATTTACTCTCACCTAGGTCGGTGGAAAGAGGCCGAAGAGTTTACTCTCAAGGATTGGAATTGGCACAAACAGAACTATGGTCCTGATCATCTGTGGAGTTTGAACCTTGCCAATAGACTTGCAACGATCTACCACAACCAGAACAAGCTGCAAGGCGGGAAAGAATTGGCCATCCAAACGGTGTGTGAAGAACAACTGGGCCCAGAGAATCAAACCACTCGAGATTGCAAACAAGGTTTGATCGATATTTATATTGGTCTCGAGGATTGGAAAGGTGCGGAGGGGTTGAGCTTAGAGGTCTTGGAAGAGGACTTGAAAATGCACGGTCCTACACACTGTGAGACATTCGACGCAAAACAGCAGCTCTCCTGTATATCATACTGGGTAATGGGCGATATCGATAAGGCTGCAGAACTAAACAACACAACCATCGCCGACTGCCTTCACACGTTCGGCCCAGAACATGCCTACACCTTGAAGTTCACTGCTCTATTTTAGAGACACCAGGGAAGGCATGCGCAGGCAATAAAGATGATTGCACAAGCCGTGAACAGGCACGAAATGTGGCTGGGCCCTTTTCACGACGAGATCTTGGGGTTGTTCCATACATTACGAGTCTGGAGCGAACCCGAGCGAGAGGCCGTCGACATACTCATGGAAGCTGAGCGCCTCAGTAGCTAGTGGTTATGTTTCACAACTCCTCGATGCAGTGCTTTTAGCCAAGTGGTTAGGGGTGAAATGCCGGAGGCAACTGGAGAGGGATTTATGCCGTGGCGGGGGCCGGCGGCTCGGGCCTGCAGACGCCCAAAAAAAAAAAGACAGGGGGAAAACCTTCCAGCCTGCTGGCAAGGAGGCAAAAAACAACCACCTTTTATAAGCCCACCCCATCATCAAGTCGCCTTCAAAGAGGACCACGCCAGAAAACCGAAATCCGAAACCACTTTTCCAACGCACCTGATCGAGTTACAATGGCCCGGGGTAACCAGAGAGACCAGGCCCGTGAACGGAGACAGAAAGAAGACGCGAAGAAGGTGAGTGAGAATTCTTCTCTTATTGTGCCATATTCCCACGTTTCCTTCCAGCTACTAACCGGACTCGCCTGGCCTAGAAAAAGCCAACCACTCTTTCTGCGGGTGGTTTACAGGCAAAAAAAGAGCACGACGCTGAAAAGATGCGAGAGAAACAAAGACTGGGTATGTCCCTTGACATAGTGTTTGCGCTGTTCTCGTCTGTTTTATTTCAGCTCCTTACTGACTTCTTTCTCCTTTCTTAGCCGCAGAACGCCAAGCAGCTGGGGCTCCGACAAAGAAATAAATATGCCCCGTCTATATATCACGAAGAGGAAGACCATACACTTCCGCGAGATGCTTGTCTATACGTCGGATGATTTATCGCATCGGGGCCTCGTTCACCATACCCCGTATATCTATATACGTTCATTTTGGAAACCGACTCGGTTCTGTTAGACGACGGATGGTTCTTGCTTTGGTCATATTTACAGAGTAGCACTGCGGCGTCACTTAACTACAACCGTGAGGCCTTCGGCCTTTTCGGGTGGGTTGAGCGTTGTTGCAACGTGTGATGAGAGCATGGTATTTAGCAAGGCGTTTATTTGACTCGACAAAGTTCGAGTTTTGCATATAAAGATGGCGCATGGGGCTTGCACCAGATTATAACCCTACCATAGATGGGTGTACAAAGTATAAACAAATCATGACAACATACCCCCGGACATGCGTCTCATCCTTTCTACGACTCGCAGGTCTCATTACCGGCTGTGGCATCGGGCGCCCAAGTAGACCTTGCCCTACCCAACCAGCTCTTCCACCCAGTCTCCGCCCCGGTGTCTGACAAGGCCGGGGCTACCAACATATCCCACGAAGGCCTCGATCGCTGGTTTCTGACCAACTCTCCGGCTCCGACAAGTTTAGTGGCCAAATCCACAACCGTCCAGAGGCTCTCACCTTCCCAGCCAACATCCAGCGCGAATCGCACCACTCGGTCAATGCTGTTGGTGCAGACATCTTCTTCATGAACACTCTCAAGTAGATAGAGAGTAAGTGACCAACCCGAAATATCGCTCGGATGAGCTAGACACCAATCCAGTACGGAATCCAGGATCGACCTTGCTAGGAACGTTGACACTCTGCTCAGGTCTGTGGTGGCTCTGGTGTCTCCACCAACACCAGAGAGGTGCTCACGGAGCTGCCTTATGTATGTAAAAGCGTAGTAGTTTCTGGGATGCCGCTCTCCCGAACGAAAGACAATATGTAACTCGTTCTTCAACACCTCCAGGGTTGACTCCAGCTCCACGTTGCTTTCTTCCTCCTCACCCGTATTCTGAGCCAGCCTTCGCCTTCGAACACGGAGCAAGCGGGTCAGCACCCATAGCCGATGACCCCATAGTGTCGGCGACTTAGTATGGCGATGCAGCGGAGAGCAAAGATAGGTCGTCATCAGGGAGAGTTCCGCCTCCAACTCCCGAGTGAGTGTCTCGGAGCGGACATGGTCGGCATCGGTCGAATCGTGCCGCTGGATCAAAGCGGCCAGCCGCCTTTTGCGCCAGTTACATGCTGTCAGGTGTTCGCAGTCGAAGAGGAGGATTATCTCGGTGGGAGTGAGGAGGGTGTCCCTTGGTTTCTCGATTTCGGATCCGCTCTGCGGGGTCTTGGGCTTGTGGTCGTAGCTGCCGTCATCGTGTAGATTGGAAGGCCCGTTTAAAGCTCTGAAAAACAACTGTCTGGCTGTCACAAAAGCCTTGACCAGGTGTTTCTTTGTGATTCCGATCGAATGTTCATCGTGTAAGAAGGGGCCGAGACCGGGAGGAAGGATTTCGATCTCTAGGACACTGTTGTCCTTGCGCCTGGCCGAGAAAACCCGGGCGAGGTCATGATATGCGGAGTCATTATCTGGGGAAGTGGACATTGGGAATCAACCGGGTCGAGTCCAGGGAGGTGTTGAGGGCCGGCGACACAGCTGCGCCGCGGCCGACGGGCGGAAAACAACGTGACAAACGTCATCTTTCCTGCAGCCTCACCGGCCTCTTTCTTCTCCTTCGTGTCCCGTACAGCATATTTCCACCTCCGTGAGTTGTCAATTGATAACTATTGTCCGAGACTGCACATACCACTTCCGCGCCTGTCGGTCGGGTTTCGTGGTCTTTTCCCCCACCTGCTGGGCCCTGCTTCCTCTCCGTTGCAATTCGATCTGCTCCTCTCTCTCTTCCCCCTCCACCACACCGTTCTCCCTCGCGCCCGCCATGTTGTCTCTCCTCTGGACCGTCTTCTTCATCCATGTTGCGATCTACCTGGTGAATACCATCGGGGCGAGCACCATCGATAACTTGGTACGTTTCGCCCCCAGCAGCTGTTTGCTGCTTACGCAGGGACCTCCGCCTCCCAACAGCTACATGAGATATTCGGCCACGTCACAGTTGAAGGAAACTAACAGCATCGTCTAGCTATGGATCCTCTACCTCAAGGCCCCGACCCCGACGTCGAAGAAAGCCCGCGAACAAAACCGACTGAAGCGCGAGGCCCTCGCGCTGAAGCGGGACATGAACAACACCAGCTCCCAGGACCAGTTTGCGAAATGGGCGAAACTCCGCCGACGCCATGATAAAACCATGGAGGAGTATGAGGCTATCAGTACGTACAGGCTCTGCTTTTACATACTTTGAGCCATTCGACGTCTTTACAACCATCTCCCAGAATGAAGAGGAAGGCTAACGGTGCGGTCGGTGTGATATAGACAAACAGCTCAGTTCCCAGAAAACCTCCTTCGACTGGAGCGTCAAAACCGCCCGCTGGCTCAGCACAACCGGTCTCAAGCTCTTCCTTCAGTTCTGGTACTCGAAAACACCCGTCTTCATGCTGCCGGAGGGCTGGGTTCCTTACTACGTGGCGTGGATTCTGTCGTTCCCCCGCGCTCCGCTCGGGTCGGTGAGCATCCAGGTCTGGAGCAACGTGTGCGCGACGACGATTACGACCATCGCGGAGGTGGTGACGGCCGTCTTTGTGCGCAAGGCAGCTGCAGAGCCTGTTTCTGTTCCTGCTGGTGCTGGGGCTAAGAAGACACAATGAATAACGCTTGTTATGTATGTTGTATGGCATGCTACGTGGAGTTGGATGTACTGTAAAAATAGAGGACTTGGCAATTTTTTTAAGCTTCATTATATTTTTTTCAAGCTATCTAATGTGCGAGATTGGAACAAAAAGCAGATATTTCAATGTGTTCATCAGATATGAAGTTTAAATCGTTTATCGTCAATAACCCCAATGGGGTCTCTGTGCTTGACTCTATGATTGGTATATCATCACACGAACACAATCACCCGAAGGCAAAAAGAAAAAAAAGAAAGGGTAGAAGGTAGAGAGTCCGACTCCTTTGACAGAGCATCTGTGACACAAAATCACCGCTTTCCATAAGCTACAGACTCGGATGTGGGAAAAAAAAGACGAATGAACTCCTCGCCTCAAGAATGAGCCCCATTGAGTTACCCGCTCAGACCCAATAAAGGGTATCAAAGCCAGGCAATCGCATGACTATCCAAACACGACGAAAGGCAACCCAGATAAAGCCCCTCTCCAGCACCAGACCATGCCGCCATTGAATCCACCACCCGGAGAGAAGACCCCGGATAGCGTCGGGCACAGCACCGGCACCGTGAGGGAACAGGGCAATAAGCCGCTATCGAATTGCTTCTATGGCGGCGCGTTTCCGCATTGCCTGACTGGGTCCACGAGGGACGTTTAGACAGTCAGGGTGTCCGGGGACTTTCTCCCAAAGCAGAGGGGGAAGAGAGCACCCTCCCCAGTTGGGAAGGGTATATCTCTGTGTGTGAGCTTTGAATGCGATTCTTTGAGCGAGGAGTTGGAAGGGAAGAAGAAAGAGGAGGAAAAAATTGGCTAGGGCCTGCGGCCTTTTATGCGAGATTAGTCAGTGGAGTCCGCTAGGGTGGATTGGGATTAGCGGGTCATGTGACCTGGGGCTCTGGGCGTTGGTCTTGGTTGATGCCTTAGGCGGCGAAGTGGCATTGGATTGGATAGAGGCTGGTTTCTAATTCAGTACTGTGGTAACTCAGTACTAAGTACCTCCTTTAGATACAGTACCGGTATCAAGTAAACTGCTGCGCATGCGTATCTTATTTATAACGGGATAGAGAGGTCTCTGGGGAAACCGGTGGGGGTATCGATTCTAAGTCTCTAAGGTAAAATCTTACTGAAAATGTGGACTGATATAGGACGGATGACCAATCTGAACGTGCAGCTGATGTCCCGCTATTTTCATGTACAATTGAACTAACTCCGAATGAAACTGTTTGATGCCATAAGAAATACAGTAGAATCTAAGGACTATCGCTCTATGCCTTGGCCTTGGTCTTGGTCTTCTTCTGGACCTTCTTAGCCTTCTGGCCGGCAGGGGAGGCAGCAACCTCAGCGCTCTTCTTAGGGGCGGGCTTCTCTTCCGACTTGGGAGTCTCTTGCGCAGCAGGGGACTGGGCCGCCTTCTTGGTCTTCTTGGTCTTCTTGGGGGTATCTTCAGCGGGCTTCTCAGCCTTGATCTCCTCGGTCGAGGTGGCCTCGATGGCCTTGACGGGCTCTTCGGCGGCCGGCTCGGAGGCCTCGATGGCCTTGGCCTCCTGAACAGGGACCTCGTCCACGCTCTTCAGCTGCGGCAGCTCGAAGTCGTATCCCAGGGCAGTCTTGAGCTTCTCGGCCTTGGCCAGGCGTCTCTGTTGCTCTCTGCCGATACGCTCCGTCCACTGCTCCCTCGTCTTGCCCTTGTCCAGACGCTTCTTCTCGATGCGGTTCCACGGGGTCCGCTTGAACCGTCTGTTTGCGCCCTTCCAGATCTCCGGGTGCAGCTGCTCTGCCGGCACGTACTTGCACTTCAGGATGTGGCCGTACATGAGGTAGTTGTCCATGGTTCCGGCGACAATCTTGGCCACCGAGGTGGACGCGAACTCGATGAAAGCGTAGTGCTTAGAGCGACCGGTGATGCGGTTACGAGAGAGACGCAGACGGGTGATTTCACCGAACTGGGAGAAGTATTCGCGCATCTGGTGTTCGTAGAAACCGTGGGGAATGCGTCTAGGATCCAGCTGGTTAGAACTGCCGTCAAACAATACATATCGGGATAGACTCACCCAACGTAAACCGTACCAGGCTCCTCAGCACTGCCGGCATTCTCCCTCTGCTTCTTCAGGATCTTGCGCTTGGCCTTCTTGGAATCAGGAATCTTGGGGACGGCCTTGTTGGAGTCGAAGCCTTCATCGCCGGACTCATCCTCGTCACCACTGCTCTCGAAGCCGCGGATGAGGGCGACGGTGCGGTCATCCTCCTCAACCTCACTCTCACTAGCCTCCGAGGCGACGGGCTCATCCTCCTTGTCGGACTCTTCGGCGACGGGCGCGGCCTTCTTTGCTTTCGTGTCGGGCTTGGTGGGCTTCGCTTTCGTGGCGGGCGCAGCGGTTCCATCTTCCTTCTTCGACTTCTTGGTGCTGGGCTTCTCTTTCTCGGCCTTGGGCTTGGCGGCTTCGACCTCGGGCTCGCTGTCCTCGTTGTCGCTGAGGAAATCGGCGGCGCGCTTGCGAGGCTTGACCTGTCTGGCGGGCTGGCCATTGGCCTTCACCTTGGGATCGGATTCGGCCTTCGCAGCGGGCTCATTCTTCTTGGCCTTCTTGAGGATAGACTTGGGGGCGTCCTTGGGGGATTCGGAGGGCTTGGCCTCGACCTTCTTGGTCTTCTTCGCGGGCGAATCGGCGGCGACGGCGGCCGCAGCTGCGAGGGGTCAGTGGACGAACACACGGGCGGAAGAGGGGGGAAAAAGAAAAGAGAGGCGATTGCATACCCTTGCGCTTCTTGTCCTTCTTGTCGGGGGCCATCCTGCTGTGTGTGGAGGGAGATTGCAGGTTGTTCCTGGAGGACTACAATCGGAGGAATCGCGAACGGTGCGGGAAACTTTTTTTCTGCTCGCATTTTTTCCTCCGCCAAGCGGTGAGTTCCAGCCCGGCCGTCGACCTTTCTAAGCTAACTACTCCGTCCGGAGTACTTACTTCCCTCCTCCCCACTAACTCACCTTCCTCCACCACACATTTCCGGGGCAATGGGGAAAACCAAGAATGCCAATAAGCCGCTGACACAGGAGGAAATCTGGGACGACTCGGCCCTGGTCCAGAGCTGGGACGAGGCCGTCGAGGAGTACAAAGTACGAGCCTCTCCCCCGTGCACGTGATCCACTCTCTGACCCAGGACAACAACAGCTCTACCACAGCATCCAGGCCAAAGGGGAGAACGTCGAGGATGTCCTGAGGGAAGCAGAGGCGGCAGAGAACGCTGGGCTAGTTCAAGATGACCAGCCCGTCGATGACACGGCCGACCACATGGACGCCGACGTCGACGTGCTGGTAGTCGACGCTGCTGCCAGTACGACAGCACCAGTAGGCGCGCACCAGGTTCCACAGGTGGACACGACGCAGGTGTGTACCTCTATTTGCGGCTGCAGGGCACTGTGCTCACTTTCACTAGACGATGGGAGGGCCGGAACAGTCTTCTGTGCCGAGTATCCACGAAACTACTCAAACGGCCGGACCCGGTTCCGTCGCAGCAGCTCCTATGCCCCATCCCGCTCTATCACAGGGTAAGCTCCCCTGTTTCTTCGCCTCGGAGTGAATCTGGCTGATCTGTCTCCAGTTCAAGACGAGGGACTCAAAAACCTCATGATGTCCTGGTACTTTGCTGGGTATTACACGGGTCTCTACGAGGGACAGCAGCGAGCAAACCAGAATCAGAGTTCATAGGCGCGTTTGCTTGAAATCCCTCCGAACAGGTGACATAAAAATTCCCCGTATGAGTTTTGCCACAGAAACCAGTAGGTGTGCGCCTCGGAAACCTGGAAAGCCAAAGTTACAAGTCGGCTGAGAGTGCAAACAACATCATCTGCCCATGGGTATGGCCAGGTCTAGATGAATCCGGTGACTCCAAGCAAGGGCAACTGCATATGAGCTCGGGAAAGCAGCTCTCAGGACACAGAATCTTGGCTCTTGACTGGTTGCTGGGGGATGCAACCGTGGGAGCCTGCCTGACGACCCTGTGAAACACACCGTGCATACTAGTTTTGAACGATGCTGGACCTTCTCATTGGGAGCCCCGCCATGGCTACTCTGACTCATTTGAGGTCTAGACTTCAGACAACACGAAAGATACCCCATCCACCTTGGATCTAGCGTTACCGTCGTCTCGTCCCTGAGGACTATATCTACTCTCATATCCACCATCTCTTCCTTTCGTTCTCCAAGCCCACAAGGATCAATATATACAAGACTTTCTACTATGTGTCCGTAATATATCCCATTTTTCGTGTGAAAAGCCCGGTCCCGCGGAGGAAGTGGGTTGCCTGGTGGCAGAAAGCCATGCTGCGCGTATGCCTGTTCGTACGCGATAGCGGCAGCCAGAGGTGATCGCTTTCCCTGTTCGATTCCTGGATAGCGGAATGCCACTTGACCCGCTGCATCCCGCATCTCCCTTCAGTTCTCCACTATCTCGCCAGTCTGGCGGTCCCGGAAATCAGCCACTGATTTCCTACCGGCCCTACACATCTCACGGCCGGACATTTCGCACGAAAATGACCACTGCCGCAGCAGTTCTGCCTGACCGAATTCATCATCGACAACCAGGCTAAGAGACCTTCACTCTCACCTCTTCACCTTCGCCTGCCGCTAAATAGACAGCATGGATCAGCGAATACATCTCGGTGTTTCGAAGCGTCCACAACAAATACCCGAGGTCATCTCAACCACCTTTGACATCATAAAGTTATCTTAGAACAGGACTCTGCTATGCGTCCATGCTTGGAATTCGAATATCCTTCTGTGTACTTCTCCCAGGCAACGCGCCGGTGGTGTCTGCATCTTTGGAGTCACATCGACCGATCTAGCATTGGAATCTGGTGCCAGCAGGATTCGGGCTAGGTGCACACGGACTTGCTATATCAGTCAAGCTTGGGTTTGGTGGAACACCAAAGTGAATCGGACTCGATATTACAGACGACAATTCGTTACTATAACCTTCCCAGGATATCAGTACAAATAAAGCCACTACCTACCACGGAGCGAAGTCCCACGCAGAGACCAAACTTCAATTTCACGGGAACATAAAGAACATCCACCTGGCGCGAACGTCCTGAACTGCATATCCCACTACAGGGCATATTCACCAAAGCCGTCATTTTTGGGGCACATTCATTCGCATGATACATGATGAAGACACGGACCAAGTTGATGCCATCATAGTAATGTGATACTGGATGATTTCTGTCGGACCCCTGCATTCCATCGTGAATTGGGTGCCCCCAGTTTCTTTTTAGCTGGAGATTTATCAGACGATAATTCCATTCTGGGACGCCGAATGGACACCAAACCCGCGAGCTTGACACATGTCAAAACGACAGATTCGGCCAAGATCGACTTAGACCTGCGCGGAGCCCAGGACGTTCGCGCTCTCACCTATGTCAGCCTCTCACCGATGCAAATAGCGCATTCGGCATTCACTATTCCTCTCTGTAGGACAGCCTTCGCAATGATAGTCGCGCTCGTTCCCGCCGTTGCTGTCGCCATTGTCTTTAGAACCTGCTTCAGACCAGCTTGGATCTCAATACGCAGACGTCAGTAGAGATGCCTTCCCGCGGACGATCATGCTATCGAACCCGAAGCCCGGCCGGTGCTGGTGATAGCGACCAGTCCAATTCCAATTCATCTCCGAGATACAAGCAATGGCGGGACAGTGCCAACCGGAGGATTGGCAGTCTGCCTAAGGACGAAATATAGCGAAACATCCGTAAGTCACGACCCTCCGAGCTGAAGCCCAAGTGGTGCCTGTTGACCAAGCGTTTAGTATTCTCGACGCACAAATATTATGCAGAACCGGTCCATCTGACATATTGCCCTGACCCCCAAGCTCATGACTGATCGCCATATGAGGTTGGGATGGTTGTCCCATGGACTCCATATTTTTGTTTTATGACTGGTTCGTGGGTATGTTGCATTTTATTTCTTGGTCTGTACTGGGTGGAATTTTATGTTAATTGGCTATGGCCTCCTGGGGCTATCAGTCCACAGTCATTCCATGGATTCCACGATAAGGCACTGTGAGAAGCTGTTGATGAAGCGTTGTGTGAAATTGTCGTTGCTGATTTGCTCACCTATCACTGCCTGCGTCTCCTCTTCACTGCTCCTACATCCCTAGGTGCCTACCTTTTTCTCAATCAGAGGGTTTCCAATGCCTAAGCACTCATCAAAGACCTTTGTCAGATAGCATGGTTGTAGCAGGACTTTTCCCTGGGAAACAATATAAAAGCACCATATAAAATAGGGCGACTAAACTGAAAAGGATGTCAGCATATTCAAGCAGATACTTGTGGAAGAGTCGGTAGGAGCGACCCGTTGTACCTTCCTTTCGAAGATTAGTATTCGGTAGTGATTGTTATCCACGGAAGTGGTTTAGATATTAGATACGGTGTGTTTAATAATTAGAATCTAAGGCATGTATGTATCTTGATCAACCACTCTGGAATCTGGAGAGGGTCTTGATGTGAGCAGATCATGGAAGGAGCAGTACATCACAGTAACCCCAATTTCACATATGCATTGTGTAAACCGGATCATCAATTTCTATCTGATCTATCTAGTAGCAATTACCCCTACCACTGTTTCCCAACACCAAAAATGCACACAAACCACCACCATTGTGGTGAAAAGCAGATTTTATAAGCGAGAAAAGGAAAAAAGAAAAGGCTGTCATCCCACGTAAAGCCCAGAACGCATGGAGAAGAATCAGATCCGATCCGATCTGATTTGACAAAACCAACCACCCGGAAAAATAATCGCAACTCTCCTCACGCTCAGATCAGACCGCCACCGCTGAGCAGGCCACCGATGAGAGGGATGTTGGATAGGGGGTCGTCGTTGACGATGTGCGAGGAGCTGGCCTTGGGGGACTCAACGGGGGTGGCCTCAGAGGAGGTGGTCGGGGTCGTAGCCGAAGGCTCAGGCTGCTCCTTGTTCTCGGTCGTGTGGGCGGTGCTGGAGGAGGGAGCGGCAGCAGCGGCGCTGGAGGTCGGGGTCTTGTTCTTGTCGTCCTTGTTGGCCTTCTCAGTCATCTGGTCGATCATTTCGCTGGCGGACTGTGGGTTGTTGTTAGTATACGGATGGGTTGTAGAGGGGGTGGTGTCGTTCTTACCTGGAGGGACTGGGCAGCCAGATCCTCGGCGACCTTGGCGTCGAAGTCGTTGCCGCTGAGGGCTAGAGGGTCCTCGCGCTTGACTGGCTGGGCGGTTGCCATCAGGGCCAGGACGAGGCAGAGGACGAGAGCGGAGATGCTGAGACGGGCCATTGTGGAGATGAGATGGGGATGGTATAACAGGTTGGGTTGGATTGAGAAGAATGAAGTCGAAAGGAGTGGACAGGCGTGATAGATGGGTAGGATCTATAGCCAAGTGGGGGAGAGATTGCAGTTACAAGGAAAGTAATGCGTGGGACAAACGACCAGACCAGAGATGAAACTGAATGATTGCCTGCCTTTTGCTACATGGACGAGACCAATGGGTACTTTATATCCTACATCTGGGCTGGCATTCCCCGGCAGGGACGAGGGATCCAGGAGCGCGTTCACTCACGCCCCAGTAAACATTTCGGGTGGGAATCCAGATTGGAGACAGTTGAAGAATTTCAAGGGTTTGATATCAACCCTTGGGTTGGATCGTGTTTGTTTGGTTGGTTGATCTCTCAAGCCTGAATCAGATGCAAGGGATTGGATTCAGGGCGCAACGGACTCTTGAAGGGCATGGATGAGCCTCCCGTAGCCCTGGATTGCCCATTCACCAGGATGCGAGTACATTCCAGGTGGTAGATCGCTTCTCCTATGGACGGAATGCCCTTGATTGCGCGACATAACTTCACTCGCTGGGGCGATCAACGGGAGGCTCGCGTGTTGACTCGGCCGCCATGCGACAGGCAACGCAACGCAACGCGTCTGTTTCATCCCGACGCGCAGGGACGGACACTCGCCACGGCATCAGCGGCGCCAATCATGCAGATTGCGGACTACTTGGGAAACTTATAGTACTACATTCCACTGAAGCGCTTCAGCATGCTATACCCATTGAATTGAAGGATATGGTATGTACCTCCCTACTTTTGACACGTACCGCCCCATGTAGGATTGACAGCGGACGCAACACGAGGGAGAAGCTAAGAGCAAGATTTTCTTGTCCGCAAATCACTGTTGGCACAAATTTGACCTCGAATATCATAGACTGACGAACGAGACTTCGAAAGTGCCGGACATTTGAGTTGTCTGGATTTTTTCTTTTTTTTTTTTTTAAAGAAGGGATGGAGAGAGGGATAGAGAGACCTGTGGTTAGTTCATGGAGAAAAAAAAAAAAGTACGGTTGAGCAACGACTGGGACGAAGGAAGATCATCTACTTCCTGCGCCAGTCCGGAACGATTGTCATTCTAAGGAATGACGGGCCTAGCAGCTAAAACTGGCATGCAGTTATCCAAGGCGATGTGTGCTCAAAGCGAACCCAACAACCTCGTATGGACGGTGGTAGCCGCCCTGGTCAGGCGATGGGATTAGAACGAGCATTCAATCACTCTGGGTCTCACTCTGAAATTTGCAGACGGAACGGACACATCTATCCACAAGGGTATGTTGGAGACCTGGTATATGTTTGAAGAAGAAAGGAGGAAAGACACGGCGGGAAACGCGAAAATTTATTGCTCGCCGTGGAGGGGCGCTGATGTAAGCGACGACCCACTTAGTTAGTTGGGGGTGGGAGGTATCTATCTCTACTCGGGTTATTAGTCTGTCTACTGTGGACAGAGTCAGAATAGTCTGGTAAACAGCTTCGTTTACTTCTCTTCCCCTCCTAGTCACTACGTATTCTGGCTGCCTATGAGCTATATCTATACCTGCTGTAAAGAATGGTTCTGAGCTTGTAGTACGACCCTGGAACCTGACTGGGCTGCGGTACTGAGCCGGAACGGAGGTAGGCCCGCTCCGCCCACGTGACCGTTCCGGGCCATCCATCGTAACAGAGGTTGGGTGGGTGGGTCCTTCCTTCAAAAGCTCTCTAGAATTAATGTCGCAATCCATCATGGGATTGTCCATGTGATGATCCATTCGTACTCACTGGGGCAGAAGCCCCCGAATAAAATGTGTGAGTGGAGCTGAGTGAGTCACTATCTAAGACAACCAATTTCACCATTGTTGATGAGGGGAGAAAGCTCGCACAAAGTACTCCGTACTCTCTATACAAAACGCAAGACAACCTATTTTTGTCCATCTCCATCCTGTACCAGCCAGACCTCAGGCAATCCATTTCCATCCCTTCCCCTTCCCATCTGCCCACCTGACACCCACACAGCAAAGCGTCGCGCCGGCTAAGAGCGCCCCGTCCCAATATGCAATACTTGCGTACGCAGTCGCCTTCTCTCCCGAATTGCCCAGCAGCTGCGCTCCAATCGGGCTCCCGAACATTGTTCCCAGCCCCCTGACAAACAGTATAAATGCATTCACCGAGGCATACTGACGAATGCCAAAGACCTCGGCGATAAGTGCGGGAAATAACGCGTAGTACCCGCCGGCTGAAAAACTGTAAAGCACGATGAAAGCCATCCAGAGAGAGTTGGAGGCGGATGAGGTCGCTGTCAGGACACTGGTGAGCCAGAAGGCGAAGACGCTGCCTGCAGCGAGGAAGAGCGTCATGACAAGCGTGTTCTGTCGGCCCAGGCGATCGCCAGCGTAGCCTGTTAGGACGCGCGATACGGCGTTAATGGCGTTGCTGGCGGCCAGGAGGTCTGCGCCTGTTGAGGATGATAGGCCAAGGCCAACGGTGTAGGAGGGGATGAAAGAGAGAGGTAGCTGGGCGCCGGCGGCCTGCAGAGGGGTGACAGTTAGAGTAATGTCTCGGGGTGGTAGTACATTTGACACCGCTTCATTGAGAAAGCTAGGTAAATGTTTCTACTGACCTGGAGGAACGCAGCCACAACAGAGAAAAGAAACGTCGATCTCATGGCCAGTTCGCGTGAGACGTGGGTTTTTGGCCTCTCCGGTCCTTCTGCAGTCGAACCTGATACCAATCGACTCCGGGGAACTGTCCAGGCAATTGGTAAGCCAGCAACCAGGCTAAAGACGGCATAGATGCGGAGGGTCCAACGACCACCGACGGAGCTGAGAAGCACTCGGATCACAGGAGAAAGTATAAGACCGCCGATGCCGCCGCCAGCTAGGATCTAAGAAGTGCACCGAAGGATTAGCAATCGTACTTCTGGAGATTCGAGGGTGAGAGGGGATTGCATGGTCTGTCTCGGCTGGGATATATTAGATAGACATCATGTGCTAGGGCATTATTTGACAAGAAGAAAAGAGAGCACCGACAAAACCCATGGCCGTAGCCCTATGGTTGGTGAAGTACTGTGGCGCAGGGGCTAGAAGTGGAAAATAGACGAACGACATTCCTAGGCCAGCCAGGAGACCTTGTGTAAGCAGAAGCTGCCATATTGTACTGCTGAAAGAGGCCAGCAAGAACCCAGCGGCCATCATGAGCACTCCAGAAATGGTGATGGTCTTAAGCGTCAACAGGCGAAGGAATCTGCGGCGCCATAGGCGCGTCGAGGGGGTGGTCGGAGCCCAGATGCCTTGCTCAATACGTGCTAGCACTGGGTTCACCAGAATCCCACCCGCCCAGGTCAGTCCATAGCACAAGGCGCCGACAAACGTGAGCAGCGCCGTCGGCGGCGAGGCTTCTGAAGCCGGAGAGGGCACCAGAACATCCTGGCTGGACGAGAGGTAATACTCTTGAAACACGCCCCAACACTGATCGTATCCTATGGTCAGGGCTATGGCCATGAAGGCCGATAAGAGCACTGCAGCCTGCTTTTTGCGGGATACTGGTGGTAAGCCTGGTGCCGGGGCTGTAGCGGCTGAGTCCGACCGCGAGTCGACCCCGGAACTGGTGTCCTCCCGGGCTGCGAGGGGGATTGCTTGGATTTGTCTTGCCATCGCTTGCTCATCAATGAACAATCAGGGTGAATGTGGAGGGAAATGAGAGGAGAGAAAGCAGGAGAAGAAATAAGACGGAAGGACTGGCATTGGGGGGGGGCATTTGGAGTGCAGAGTACAGTCGGGGAAAAGATGGGCGCCGGAAGGATGGAGAGGACTCGGGCATGTCCGTCTGCGTCCGTCGGCGTCGGCAATTTGACTTGACGGGCTCCATCCATCGCTGATTGCTGGCGGCGTCTTGGTACTATACCCCGCATGTCGGGAGCCTATGGGGGCCGGCACTTCCCGAGCCACGCCCCCACGCTGGAAGTTTCATAGTGCGTGTGACCCATCTGTATTTGCTTACTTCCTGTGATGGACTCGGTGCCTTTCGGTTCGAGCTTACAGTGTCACAAATTTGATCTGTCAATAATGAGATTGTTCCAAGTCACCACCGAATCAGGCACAACTGCGGAAATATACTATTCGTGACTGACATTGGGAGCAGTGAGAATAACTCGACCCACCGTCTACGGGGCCAGCTGGTTCACATCTCGAGGGAACAAAGTCACTTCCCGCACATCATCCAAGCCCAGGAACCCTTGCAGGAGCCGATTGACCCCCAGTCCACACCCTCCATGTGGCGGCATGCCGGCCCTGAAGGCGGTCAGGTAGGACTGCCACTTCTCGGCCTCCGGGTCCAGCGGCGGGCCACACACCCCAGCGCGCATGGCCTCGCACAGCTCGTCGTACCCGTTGATGCGCTGGCTGCCCGAGCAGATCTCGCGGCCGCCTACGATCGTATCCCACGTGTTGGACAGCCCGGGCGCATCCGGGTTCTCCTGCGAGTTGAACTGGCGCATGGATGCAGGATACTGGTCAATGGTGAACACGTCCGTCTGCCCCAGGTGCGGAGACGCGCGGAAATATCGGCCAAGAGCGGCTTCCTCTTCGTCACTAGTTATCGGTTGAGGCATTTCTGTCAACACGGGGAAACGCGGGGGAGAACTGGGGAGGATCAGGAGAATTGGCTCACGTGAAGTTCTTTGTGTCCTCCGTTTCGATGCCAAGCTCCTCCCGCAGGATACGTTTGGCCTCCAGAAACGTGACCCGGGGGATTTTGCCATGCTCGTCCAGGCCAATCTGGAATGGCCTCGCAGAGGGATAGAATGTTTGGACGATCTCCGTGAGATGCCGATATTGCTTGCGCTCCTGGAGGCCTCGGAAGACAAATACGAGCATCGACTCGATCAACTCGACAACCTCGTGGTAGTCGTCCCGGAAGACCATCCCTATGTCCAGGACGGTGAACTGGAGTTGATTGTGGGTCAACGGTTGGCTTGGGGAAATGAGGAACAGGAGAACATACCTCAGTCATATGCCTCGCAGATGTGCGAGACTTCACTTCGGCCCGAAATACGGGTCCGATCTCAAACACGCGCTCCATATCCATCGAAAGAGCCATCTGCTTGTGGTGCTGCGAGCTCTGAGCCAGCCAGGCATCCCGGCCAAAATACGGTAGATGAAAGTACTCGTTGTCGCCCGCGATGGTGGCGCTGATGATGCGCGGCGTATGCGTCCAGTGAAAGCCATTTGAACAGAGGAACTCAACAATAAGCTGGCACATGCCCGAGTGAAGCTTGAAAATGGCTCCACTAGCGGCGCTTCGCACATCAAGAATACGGTTGTTCAGGCGTCCCTCGAGACCCAGTGCGGACAGATCATCTCGGTGGCATGAAGGCAGGTTTGGGGACGCCTGTGCAACTACTGTCAACTCAGTCACCCGAACTGCATAGGCTGTGCCTGAAACTGCGTTCTTGTGGCCGTTGACATGGTCGTTGGCATAGCTGTTGTCGCCATTGGATTTAGACTTGTCACTCAGCAGATGGACATGGCCTGTCACGCGAACAATTGACTCTGGGGTCAATTTCTGAGCCTTCTCCCATGCCTCCTCCCCAATGGCCTCAGAGTCAATATTGGCTGTAAGGAAGGTTTCTTGGACTCTGAGTTCCAGGCTCAGTTGTCCCGGGAATTCAGACTTCCAGACAGAGTTGACTCTGGCATCAAAGCCCACTTTCTCCCCCTTCAAGGCATAAAGCCCGGGGTTGGCCTGGCCAACGTGTCAGTCGGCTATTATGATATGCGACAGAATTGACGACTCACCAGGTTCTCGACCATGACGACTGTATTGATATCAGATGATGGCATCGCGCTAATGAGCAGCAGAAAATTCACTGGGACTTCCTGTGATGTGGAAGAGGGCGGCGAAGAAGTAAATACCGTTGTGTCCTCTACAGAATCCCAGAAAATATACGATGGTACCAGTCAAGGAGGCTTATCCTGGACTAAACCAGCATCTAGATGCTTGTACCCTTGCCCCTCATATGCCCCCTTGTCTATGCGCTCCCATGCGGATCTAGATCTTTCTATCGAAGACCGGAGATGAGGATGGAAGCCCTACGGGACTCCGCTGGCTGCGTCATTCTCATCCTCCAGGCTATCACGCCAGTGACAGTTGTGAAAAGGAACACGCTGTAATTGGTAAATATTCTTACTATTGCGTATGTTCCTCAATTATGCTAATTGCCAACGGATCACGGAGTCGCCGACTATAGATCCTTGCCTGATGGTAATACTGGCCGGAATGGGAGGGTCTTGTTGCATGGACTTTGATGCTTGCCATTCCACCTAGTGCCGTGCAGGCTGTTACCACTAAGCCTGCGTTCAGACAGAAGGAGATGAAAGTTGGCAGCAGGAATTGACGAGGGGTTCCACCTATCACAACTCCAATGACCCCGAGACACTGTTGGTCCAGCATCAGCATGTGGGCAGACTATTGGCAGAAACACTGATCGTCAAAATCTGCAGCTTACTTGCAGTTGAGCCAGTGGGGGATGGTGTGGGGGGCTGTGGGGTGCGGCCGTTGCCAACTTGCCATCGCCATCATCTGTAAATGAACCAATCCCCTCCGAGGCACATCTTCCTTGCCTTGATGGCAATGGGCCTCTTCGGGCCGCACTATAGTACATACCCATAGAGATCGGTAAGTGGGTTCCGTCAGGGGTTTTCCCAATGTTGAGCCTTATTACCGTGACTTTGCATGGCTTCTGATTGATTCCTGATCGTCGAACGCATTCTGTAGTCCGAAGCTACTTCTTTCTGTCTCAGACGTTCAATTCTATCCCATACGCATTACTTTGAATCAGAACACTTTGATCCCAACGCGATGTCTTCTTTCAGACAGTCATGCCCTAGCCCCGATGAGTCCCGGGCCGGAGGATTGTATTTCGCTTACGGTAGCAACATGCACCTTCAACAGATGGCGGCGCGCTATCCGGATAGCACGCTGTTTGCGAGAGGCATCCTCCGGAATTACAGATGGCAAACCAATACCCGCGGTGGGGGCAACGTGGTCGAAGGATCCCAGGACGATTTCGTGGAGGGCATCATGTTCAGGGTGTCTACCAGCGATGTCCAAGCATTACGCCACTACGAGGGAGTCGCACAGCAGAACTTCACGGAGATGGAATTTGATATCGAAGTTGAGCGGTTCCCAGACACAAGATGGGAGGGTCGCAAGACCACCGATGCGGCTCGGATTCTCGCAGGGGACAGCACCGGATTTAGGATGACGGAACCTGAATCCTTGACGGATGCACCAGAGCACAATCGAGGTCAGTGAATCCCTAAGCGGTTGAAGACATGTTCAGTGTATACTAACACCAACATAAGCGGAAAGGGTTCACCGTAAGGCACTTGTGTACGTTAGTTACAAGTACCAAGTGCCCGGTGACATTAGAGACGAATACATGGCACGGATGCAGTTGGCCATGGACGACGCTCGCATGCTTGGCGTTTCCGAGTATTACCTCGAAGCCTTATTGCATCCGCAAGTTTTTGGCAAGACTCGGCCGGTTCCGGTTGAATCCCTATCTCTACAGGCAAAAATCTGCTCTCAGGCCCGGACAATGCCGCAAGCTGCATAAAAAGGTAGTGGGGCTCAAGGAAAAGCGCTACAGACACCGCCACCAACACCAGCATCCATGCGTTATCTAAAGAGGACGATGGACTCTCACGACAGGATTGCGACTTGGCTAATCATCAAATATACTTCCTGTTATTCTTAGTCTCTTCCTCTCCTCCATTTAGCTGGTACTGTCACGCAAATCCCTCACGAGGGTCGGGATGCTTACCCGAAACGGCGAGACAGTCGCACTACAGTTTAGACAGCTTCTTCGCCTTAGCCTGGATATTCTCTATAGCTGACACGTCAGCCGCAATCCTACACAGGAATGCGCGTTGATGCGCCAGAAGCCTTCCACCAGCAGAGTCCATCTCCAATGGCGATCGAAGGATCCAACCGCCTAGTCTGCGACGGGAGTCAGACGGAAGTAAACAGTCCGTGTCACCCCCAAACAATCCAAACGTACTTCCATCTCACCCCATCATTGGTCTCCCCTACCGTTGGCCCACTACGGCCCCATGTTGCTTGGCAGTATTGGCACTGCGGATGGTGGAACCGCGTCAAGCTCCGTGATCGGCAGATGCGCCAAGGCCTGCTATAATCTGACGGCGGTCGTAAGTTACGGAAGGGCTGAGATGAGATTCTTCAGAGTTTTAGACACGGGCTGTGCTGCCGCTAGATAGAAGTCTCCGGTGCCAGTGGGGTTGCTTACGTTGGCCTTGTGAAGACGTGGTCAGGGCGCTATACTTGATCGGAATGGTTCGAATGTAACCATAAGCGGGTGGAAATGGCATGGAAGAAGGAAAATGCCATGTCTGGAGTAGTCGAGCTCGACTCTTGATTTTCCCCCAGCCGACGGTAAGCGGAGCGGAGGGCCTGATAAGGGCGGGGCGTGGGGGGCTCGGGCCGCGGGCGGAGTGGAGCAGTGCCAAAGACTTAGCCTGTGCCCTGGAGTGCCACAGTAGTGACACTAGCCACGTCTGGATTCAATCAGGCAAGGTGAACGATGAAGACATCAATCAGAGGCTGACTTGGAGCAAAATGGACTGACTCTTCCCTTGAAGGCCCAAGCTCTGTCGCCAAGCGAAATCCCCCGAAGAATCCTAGTGCGCGCCTCGTACTTTGGACGGACACGGTCACGTGATCCACGGGCGTCCTCCTTCCCCCAACACCACTTACTACTTAGTTATCCAGTACTTCCTTCCACGTAGCCTTCTCCTGGTGGGATTACCAATCAACTCTGTCTTTTCTAACACATCTTATGTCCACAATTCCAAGATTTAGCCAATCCCTGCTGCGTTCCTGATCGTCGCTTACAAGCACTTCTCCAGAGCACTCCTGCCGAACCGATACCCTCCGACCAATCTTTTGTACTGCGCCCCATCCACGCCCCGCAGCTCCTGCGCACACTCTCCCAGGCTCTGCCTCTCTCTCGCCACAATAGCCTCCAAAATAACCCGGCTTTCCGGTTCCAGCAGCCCGGGCGTCCTCGCAACCGCATCCTTCAGCTCCAAAAAAGCCAACGCCAGGCCCAGAAGCAAGCCAAGGTTGGCACCGGGCCGCGCACCCCACCGGAGCATCCTGTGCGCCAGTCTGGCGCTTTCCAGCCTTTGGCCGTGTCGGCCCGTAATTTGCAAGACATCCTCCAGACTCGAGGGTGTGGCACCGGGGCCCCATCCGGCGTGGGAGACCAGCTCGAGGCCGATGTTAACCAGACTGGGGCAGGAGAGCCGTTTCATCTCATCCATACCAGCTACAATGTGGGCCTCGACGGCGAACCCGGCTTGTGCGCGCAGGAGACGCAGGATGCTGGCGTAAAGTGGGGATGCGGTCTGCGAGGGGGCGTTGATGGTGTTTTCGAGCAGACCAATGTGCGCGAACCAGAGGGCTACTACATCTGGTAGTTGGTCGCTCGATAGTACAGCTAATGGCTGATGTTCTATCCGAAGCTCGGAGTCCGGCTCCTGGGATTCGGTCGTGAGTAGGCTCTCTGCTGCGTCTGTGATGTCCGAATCGAAAGGTGGCACAACCGGATGATGACGAGTCGGATCCTGTAGCTCACCCACGGCAGCCTTGGAAGACAATGGCGCCCTGTAGGTGAAGCCCCAGTATAGCCACGCACTATTGTCTGGGCTTAAGGAGTCGATCCATGCGGTAAGAGCGGCGAGCTCGTCAAGTGTGAATGCACCAAACATGCGTCCTTCCCACGACAATTCTCGCACGAGAAGGCTTTTGCTGCTCGAGCCCGGGTAGATCCACGGCTTAGCCTGGCTCAGGGCCGTCAGGAGGTCCAGGTGTTGCTGCGGATGCGGGTCTGTCCACATGCTTGGAGCTAGCCACTGAGCTAAAGTTTGACCTCCAATCCGTGCCCGACTGTGGCAGTGGAACTGGTGAGAGACAGACGCCTTGGCTTTGAAGATGCCGATCACACGGGCGCTGAGGGGGTCGAGGGGTATGTTGGGAGTCGTGACGGTAATCGAAGAACTCGACGTTTTCCGCTCGTGAGAAACACTACCCAGTGTCTGGGATAAAGTGTACCCAACCTGGACACGCTTCCATGCCTGCTCAAGAGCCACCTCTCCCTCCGTTGCTCGCACCATGTCCAGGTAGCGCGTGACGGCGTGTATGGCCATGGCTGTGTGTCCGGAATCGGCATTGTCGATGGAGATGTGGATGAGGAAGTAGTAGGGGTTGATACCGAGAGCCTTGAGCTCATGAGCAGCCCGCATGGTGTCCAAGGTGATGAGCTCGTAGTGCATGTTGAAGCCAAGGATCTCGGGCAAGAACTCATTGGGGAACAGGGAGATCAGAAGCTGGCCAACAGCGGCTTCCCACGCACCGCGATTGTTCACCCCATCCCAGTGGGCCGGCTTGATGAAGTCGGCGCTGTGGCCCTCTGGAAGGGGGCATCCGATCTCCTTTAGCAACTGGCGGTACAGATAGACATGGTGCTTGGACAGGTCGCCATCGCCCAGCTCTTCGGACAGAACTTGCCAGGCATCTTTGGTGACGTGCCGGAGGGCGAAAGGAGTGGTGATCTTGTGGGTGTGGGCGAGCCAGGCCCCGTCGACGAACTTAACGGGGGCCTGTTGCACCAGCCATGCCTTGGCGGCTTGTGTGGTTGCGAACAGCTCTGGACTTTGTCCCTGCTTCCTCCGTTCCAGGTAACTCGTCCACTCCGTTAGGACCTTTTCATGCTCGCCCTCGATGAAGCTCCAGATACCTTTCGCATCGTACTGCTCGATGGAGAAGATACTCCCTTGTGGCCGCTCGAGGGCAAGTGAAATGCCCCGCGAGAACATGGCCAGGAGCTCATCTCGGGCGGGCTCGAGCACTGCAGGATGGTCTTCCAGATGCTGAAGCTGGTAGAACAGGTCCCGATACCACTGGACTGGCTTGGGCGCGGTGGGCTTGGACCTTGACTTTTTCACTTCTTGGGCCGGTTGAATCTTGTCGATCGACGTAAATGAGCCTCCCTTCTTACTGATCCCGAAGTAGTAGAAGACAGCGGGCAGTAATACTGCCAGGGGAAGCACAAAAGAATAGTGAGACATGATGAAAATGCCTGGAAAGTCCATGGCGACTTCTACTCTGCTTGAGGAGCCTTGAGATGGGTGAGTCTTCTTTTGCAGCGATCGTTATATTCACGGGCCAGACATATATGTATCTCCCGTCTATTACTGGAAAACCTCACATTGCGCCACAGGGGTCAATGCCCTCAGCTACTGCCATACCTGGAGAGTCTATCCAACGAGACCCGACGCCCGAGTTCCATTCCGTCATTTGTGCTGGTACTTTGTTCACACGCACGCCGACGGACTGGTCACCCCCGAGTCTCTGAGGATTTTTATCCCTGTATCAGGACGGTCTGGATCCTTCAGTTCGTTTTGTCAATGCGTGAGCTAGCGATCCGCATCAATCCATCAGGGAATCTTCATCGGGCCGAAGTTGCTGCCTCCTCGCGCATGTGGCTGAAGTGCAGCTCATAGTGAAGATCCTAAGAAGCAGGATGATGACTGCATTGCCTCCGGGTCTCCGGGATGGCCGATTGGCTCATCGCGGCAGGGCCTAATCTACACATAACATCCTAGCAATGGGGGCTTCTTGCACGGTGATCAGCTCTAATCCGAGATGCATCCGTGATCCGTGCCAGAAGATGTCGATAAAGCCCGTGCATTAACTCCGAGAACAGGCTTTGGACGCATACTTCATAGCTGATTATTTTTGTCTGCAGGTACCTAGGCAGGGTAGAGGGCCGTCGCCTGCCAACTTAGTCCGAGGGCCCCTGCTTGACCCCACGGGTCTGGGGCTACTCCAGAAGGTGGGAAATGGAGTGACGATTATCGAGAATGCTATAGATCTACAGCGTAAGCGCTAGATGCTGAATCTTAGTACTACTAGCCAGACGGCCTCCGTACCTTGCCGGTGCAGGGGCCGCGTCAACCCTGCGACGGAGATTCTGGCTGAGATGCATTCGCTTGCATGAGGATCATCTGGTTCGGACTCCGACTTGTGCCCGAAGCGGGCGGAAAGGTGGCGTGCAAGACAAGTCGCCTGTTGGTAGAACCTGGCTCTGGCCCCTGCGAGACCCTGCGTGGGGAAGTCCGGGATGAATCTTTTTGCCTCGCATCGTCATGGCAAGCTGAATAACAGTCATTCGTGATGCAATTGAGAGTCGAGGCCAACCCTCCTTTCCGAGCTCATGGCAGTACAACCGGCTTATATACCTCCAATCCACCCCAGGGAACAGTGCTGAAGTATCTCACCATCCCTCTCAATCCTCACCACCATCCTTTCTCTCCCTCAACACCATGACCGTCACCACTCCCTCAAAGAGAATGGCCTCTCTAGCCGTCATCAACTACGAAGCCCTCGCCAACAACGATCCCGCCGAGATCCAGAAGCTCGTGCAAGCCTGCCAGACAACCGGCATGTTCTACCTCGACCTCCGGGGCCCCAGAACACAGACCATTGTCGAGGACGTGCCGGCCCTCTTCCGGACGGGGCAGCACTTTTTCAATCTCCCTCAGGATTCTCCGGAGAAGATCGAGAGTCTGCGCGAGGGGATGGAGAGAGGGTGAGCACGACACATACCCTCATCTGCACGTTCACTCTGAACTAATCATTTCCACTTCTAGCTACCACGTCGGCAAAGGATTCGAGTACTACGAGGTCCGCATCCCCACCCCCTAAAACTAAAAGAAAAATCAACTCAACTAACCAATCTCCCCCCTACCCCCCTCAGATCCCCCGCGACTCATACCACCTCAGCGACTGGTCCCTCCCCGCGACATTCATCCCCCAAGCCACCCCCATCACCCGCACAATAACGACCTTCCACACCGCCATCCAAACCATCCTCACCCACCTCTCCACCTCCCTCCACCTACCCCCCAGCACCATCCCCGAACTAACCTCCCTGCCGGGCACCCCCAGCGACACGGCCCTCAAACTGGTCTATAAACCCCCCATCCACGACGCCGGCACCGTGATCCACCCCTGGCACACGGATTTCGGGCTGGCCACGTTGCTGTGGTACGACGAGGAGACGACGCAGGTGCCGGCCTACGATGAGAGCGGGAGGCAGACGGGGGAGCCGCTCACAGTTCCCGTGGTGGAGGGCGCAGTGTTGGTGAATGTTGCGGATGAGTTGGCGGGGAGGTCGGGGGGGGTGCTGAGGTCGACGGTGCATCGGGTAGTGGCGCCGCCGGGGGAGAAGAGGGTGAGGAATGGGGTGATTTATTTGGTTAGGCCGGATAAGGTGTGATGTGATTTTTTTGGGTTTGGGGGGGAGGCAATGTAAGTAGTTGGAATTATGTTGAGAGTGAGAGTCTCAGGGAATTGGGTTGAGGAGATGGGGTTTAAACGTGGAATTGGGGTCTGTATAGACATTGCCTTGGAAAGAAGGAAGAAGCTATATCGGATCGAAACATGACACTTGATTCTATGCTGGTTTCTATACAATCTACTGTTGTCAGAGTTCTACAAGGATGGAATTGGCCTATGTTTGGGTTCTTGGGTCGTGAATCCGCTTAGTATTGATCACTTGGTATTCCGCATAACAAAGGAGAATAAAAAGGCCAAGCATCAGATATCCTGTGCGCCATGGAAATGATAGAAATTATAGTACCAAGTCAGGAAGCCGGAAGGCCTCATGTTGTAGTCCGGGCAAACAACGCGCTTCAAGCTTCATTCTGAGTAATGTGGTCCCACCACTAGAAACGTGCCAAAACCCTATCCTGAGCATTGCCCAAAGCCCACTTGTCCCTGTGACTCTTGCTTTGGACTGATCTGGCTTGTTCCGCGGTAAAGCCCTTCGCTGTGACTGCCGGGTTGTAGCCCAGACCCGTGACGTTGGCAACAACGTCCGACGGCACGGGTGTTGCAACCTTGCCATCTGCTCTCTTGTACACCGTCACCACAACCGCACCGCCCAAGCCCAGATTGTGCTGCAACGCGGCATCAGTCCCGCTGACCAACCGGTTGTTAGCCCAGCCGCGCAGGTGCCAGACCAGCTCTGCACATTGCGCGAGACCCGTGGCCCCGAGCGGGTGCCCCTTGGAGATGAGCCCGCCCGAGGGGTTGATCACCATCTTACCGCCATACGTGATATCGCCCTTTTGGACCATCTCATGTGCCTTTCCGGGATCCGACAGCTCGAGAGCATCGATGGTGATCATCTCGTTGGCGGAGAAACAGTCGTGCAGCTCACACACCTTGATGTCCTTCACATTCACGCCCGCTTCGGCAATGGCGGCGCGACACGCCCCGCGAGTCATCCCGAAACCCATCAAGTCGATGGAACTGCGGTTGTAGACAGTGTTGTTGTCGGAGGCGAGCTGCTGGCCGGCAATGAGGACGGCTTGGTCTTTGAGGTGAGGGCGCGCATCGAGGAAGGCCTGCGAGACAATGACCGCCGCCGCCGCCCCGTCCGAGGTCGGGCAGCACTGCAGCTTGGTCAGGGGCTCATGGATCATGGGCGCCTTGAGAATCTGCTCGAGCGTGTATTCATCCTGGAACTGCGAGTACGGGTTGCGCTTCGAGTGCTCGTGGTTGATGCGGGCGATTTCGGCAAAGTCTTCCGATTTGGCACCGTACCTGGATTCCGGTTAGTAAGTATATCAATCGAGGGACTGACAGCCACGAGGCATCTAGGACGCACTTCTCCATATATTCACGACCCGCGTTGCCGAACATCTGCGCTGCGCCGGGGGCATTGGTGACTCCCCGCGTCTCGGCCATCATACTACCGAATAATCCCGTGGGGTTGGCGCGATCGTTGTAGACAGACTGGAGACTGCCGGGGCTCATCTTCTCGAAGCCGACGACGAGGATGCAGTCCGCGGCTCCGTGGGCGACCATGGTGCGGGCCATGGCCAGGCCGGTCGAGCCGGTCGAGCAGTTGTTGTTGACATTGTAGATGGGGATCTGGGTCAGCCCAAACTGGTAGAATACGCGCTGACCGCACGTGCTGTCGCCGTACACGTAGCACGCGACGCCTTGCTCGACGTCGTCGTAGTTGATGTGCGCGTCCAACATGGCCTTCACCCCGGCTTCGAATCCAAGCTCGTTGTAGTCGACCTTGCCGCGGGGCTTGATGAACTTGGTCATCCCCACGCCGAGGACGTAGGCGGGACCGGATGGCTTCTTCCCCATGTTTGTTGGAGTAAGTAAAAATGGGGGTGATAAGTAAGTTTACCTGTGCCTTTAGTGCCTTGATGGGATGCAGTAACGGAAAGGTCGTTTTGGGGGGGGGGGGGGGGGGGGGGGGTCAGCGAAGGTATCTCGATCAAGAAACAGGCGGAATAGAGTTAAGCCTTCGAAGGATGTTAATTGTTAATATATAAGTAAGTATGTGGTTGATGCGGAGACGCCCAATGCTGTCTTCATTTGCGGGGAGCCGTGGCAGCCGTGCCGACCGAGGTCCCGAGGATAAGAATCCCAACTGGGTAAGTCTCTCTCCCCCGTCCTCGCATAACCACTGCATAACCCACATTCATAGGGTGCTTTCTTTCCCTTGAGTGGCATCGATCGACCGATCCTCTCAACCTCAACATTCGGTCTTCTCATGTGAAGGCGTCCGGACCGAGTGTTTGAGATCCCCAGCTCTTTCTCACAGCCTGCTCCTGTGCTGGGATCCGGAAGTATATAATACTAACTGAACGCACCCGCACACAGCTACGAATCAGCGGATGACCTCGACCACCTAGAAGCAAGTCTGCTGTCTGCTACCCCGGCTCGTTACGTGGTCGCTTGCTGCGATGCTCCAGCAACCCCTACCAATCAAGAGTCCAGTTAGGTACACAATAAGTAAGATATAGCAAGGTGTCTGGCCGGCAGGGGGCCGACAGGACTACTGCTCCATCGGTGCGGAGTCGGTGCTTGGCCCAGCCAAATCCTGATCCATTGTCCGCCCGCTCTGGGGAAAGGTGGCAGAGGATCGACAATGGGCGCTGTGACGGGGGGATCTGGTCAACATAATAAGATTCATGATTTGCCCTCCCCAGACTGGGAGCGCATCACCAGGACAAGACTCTATCTTGCTCCATCCAATGAGGACGGCCGGATACTTTGCTCGACAAAAATTCGGGGGACTGGAACCAGGTCATGCCAGGTTCTGGCAACATTACGACACCATTCTCGGGGTGGGTGGCACGGGCTGGAAAACCATGGTTGTCAACAATTGCCCTTATCTGGCCCCAGACAATCAACCCGAGGCAAGTCCGGGAGGAGGGTAGGGATGGGCGTTCCTTTGTCCGTCCTCCTCAGTGTGAGATCATGCCTGAGATCCTCCTCTGAGGTATCGTATCGAGCGAAGACGGCACAGATCACGAAGTCGAAGGCCTGCAGACGGGAAGAGGGCTTAACCCGCTTGCATGTGGCATCGCTTGTTACTGCGGGGCATCCCATTCTATCTACTGATGATCAACGTCGACCATGGGGGTAGGGAGGGAGAGTTGCTATATAGGTATTGTGATTGGAGCCCGGAGAAGGTACTACTACTACTACTACTACTACTACTACTACTACTACTACTACTACTATGTACCTGGCTTCCACCAGGCGATCGACGACGGAGTAACCAGCCCTGATACATCCCGCCCGTCCGTCGATAGTGTTGATAGCGTGCGTCCAGAGTACTTTGTCCATCGCATGAAACTAAGCCATCCGCTGGGGAGGAGCCAATGGCAAGGGGCCCGTGGGCGGGGTGGCAGAGGAGAGGATGCGAGTAGACGGGCTGGCGGGGTAGAAGAGTGTACTTAGTACTCCGTAGAGGCGGGTAGTACTACCACTATCTACCACTGCGGACTGGTTTGGTCCGGTGCGGTACACCTCCCTTGCCCCCCCCCCTCCCCCCCCCAGATTCTGTGTCTGTGTTGCTGGATTGCTGTTTGCTACACTGCTGTGCTGCCGTAAAGCCCTGTGTTGCTGTCACTGAGGGATTGGGATCAATGGCCATGTCCCGCGTACCGTGGGCGGGCAGTCAGGATGCTCACGGCGCGACCGCGGTTGATCAGGCCTTCGAGAAGTCACACTGGATGCCTCACGACGACGTCAGAGCCAGGTAGCACTAGGCCTGTTCGGGGGGTGGTCCACATGCCTGTTGATTCTCCAGTGACAGTCTGTTCTAGTTTGTCTAGTCTCTGCCCGATCGATTCTCGGCCATGGCCTTTGCCCTTGCCCTTACTAAGATGGCCGGGCCTGCTAACCGTAGTGGTCAGTCACTCACTCCGTTACCCGTCCGTCGACCGTCGTGATGTCTGCTCCTCCCTCTTGACTTTCTACTCTTCGCCCGCCCGGCCCTCCATCAGCCAGCCCCCTTTCATTGGCCTTCTTCGATCCTTGAGGATAGAGGTCGTCTCTGGGAGGTAAGTCATCAGCGTCTCTCCCCGTGCATGCGAGTGCGGAGAATGCCAGTGGGGCATTGTTATGCCGCTGGTGAAAATAGAGGGAGGGGGCACAATCCAGATAGCTAATACTTGTGCGCTCTTTCTAGGTAGCTTGGACAACATCGTTTGCACACAATCAGGACCTTTGGATAGGGCAGAGAGGGTTTGCTGCACCGGCGAGCACGGTTAGACCAAAAAAATTATACCTATACTATCTGTGTTGGCTTCCCCAGCCGGCCCGAGTTCTGTTCTTACAGCTGTGCGCTGTTGTTTTCGCCAGTGATTGTATACACACCACCCACCTAGACAGATCACGTATTACCCCTTCCTCCTCGCCCCGGACCAGAGAACACCCTCCCGGCTTGACAAGGCCCGCTTCATGGACAATTGTGGGACGCTGAACGGTCTGCTCGCACGTTGAGAGACCGCTTTGCGTTCCATAGGGTTCCCCAGCCTGCGTTTCACGATCCGCCAGAACCGTCCTCGACGACTAAGCGACACACCACGGGGCGCCTTCATCTGCCACAGATGGGATACCTCCAGGAATGACTCTTGACAAACGCTCTGAACATGCACCCTTTCCCCCTCCCCCCTCCCAACCTCCTCCTCCCCTAACCATGTCGACCGGAAATACCTGGATGATGGACGAAGCCACGCGCAATCGGCTGCTCAAGAAATACAAGACCCAGGTGGCTTCGGCGACTTCGACTGTCTGCGCCACTCTTGCCGTGGTGAGTATTCCGGACGCGAAGTGAGATGAGCGAGGAACTGACGGGCCTGTCGACAGACACCTCTGGAGAACGTCAAGACTCGCATGCAAACGTAAGTGCCACCTGCAGCGCTGCTTGATTTCCACCTGCTGACTGCGACAGACACAACTTCAAAAACGTGTTCCAGTGCGTCCGCTACCTGTGGCGTAACGAGGGACCCCGCGGTTACGTTGCTGGTAGGTCGACATCACTCCCGGATTCTCGTGGCGGATGGTTAATATAATGTCGGGTCTCAGGAGCCTTGCCCCCTCTAGCCAGCGTGACGGCGGTCCGGGTGATGAACTTCTCGACCTACAATGCCGCCAAGCACCGTATCTCCGATTTTATGGAGAGAATGACGGGCGAGTCGCCTCTGGCGCTCTACAACCAGCCGGGTAGCAGCCCCACCGCGTCGACTCTGTTCACCTTTACTGCCGCCGGTCTTTTCGCGGGCCTGATCACCTCCCCACTTGCCTGTAAGAGCTGCCTCCGTGTACTCTGTATAACATAGACTGCATACTGATAAACGCCAGGTCCGTTCGAGCTCGCCAAGAATGTGGTTCAGACTTCCGTCCTGGTGTCCAACCGCGCCCAGGCGTCCCCCAATGCAGTCAGTGACCCTTCGCTGCGCAGCAAGCCGCGTCTTGGCACCATCGAAGCGATCCGCCAGATCGTCCAGAGATACGGATTCCGCGGACTCTACACTGGATTCCACCTCCACGCCATGCGCGATACCCTCGGCTCGGGCCTGTACTTTACCGTGTACGAGACAGTCAAACAGGTCGCGGCGAAGGAGCTGGGCCCGGACAAGTCACCTTTTGGAGCGCCGATGATCGCCGGGGCGATCTGCAGCACTGTCCCTTGGTTCTGTGTAAGTGGCGTGTAGCCGAGCAATGGAGTACCCAACTAACAGACAACGATAGACCTATCCGCTGGACACCCGCAAGACCCGCGCGCAGAGCGTGCTGTTGGGCAAGACCAAAGAGGTTGGAGAAGCGTCTGCGGCGGTTGCTAAGTCGAGCATGTACAAGGGGTTGTCGATTATTTTGATCCGCACTGGCGTCAACAACATGATTCTGCTGAGTATCTTCGAGTACATCAAGATGAGAATCAACCAGCTGGACTAGTGCATGTATATGGAAGGACATGCATTGGGGACATTGGGATGGACCTTTGGAGAAACGGAATTGATTTTGCTCACGGTTTCTCGTACATAGTGCATGAGCTAAGCTTCGCAAATACAGATTGATACGAATGTAGATCTGACATACTCCGGGTTATGTACATGGTGGGACTTGCAAGCAGAAAAGTGATTCTAAGGAATAACGAAATCCGAAGACTCTTTCCGCCTGCCTAAGGCAACCTCTGTTAACTTGAACACCGAGAGGGCTCCTAGTATGTATATGACCATTACGATGAGACAGTGTCACCCCTCTCCTCTTTCTCTCCTTTCTCCCTCTCTCTCTCACACACACATACCTTTACATGTTTCCCCAACTCCCCAACTCTTGAACGAGGCACAATATCATCATTCGTTCGCTTCCCATCCCAACGTCCAACGCGCCTCGGAAATCCCTTTGCCGCGTTTACCAGCCGCCCGTGTCTGTTCCGTCACTTTGCTCCCAAATCCCGCGCTGAAGGCATCGTTTCAACATGGATTCATCGGAGACCTATACCCCCAGCTTTGCCCTGGGTGAAATCGCCAATCGCCTCCGTAATCATCCCGATGAGCTCCTGGTATTTTTTTTTCTACTAATCACCCTTCGTATGAAGAGGTCCTGACTGCAACTGCAGACTGTCTGCGCGGAATTCCTGGACGTATTCTGCTGTCGACGACCAATCCGGTTAGGCGTGCGGCACTGCAAAAGATGGCCTTAAAAATGCAGTCGTTGGACGAGCCCAGTGCTAGGATTAGTAACCAGTATAATAAATCGATTCCACGGGGCTATTTTGAAGGCTAAAGGGGAGGCTGTTGACGAAAGGTTCTGGGGAGACATCATCCTGGAAGGTTACCTTGATCTCAATCACACTCTGAAGGAGAATCCCACCCATGCGCGCGGAATATGTAGACGTAGAAGAGCCGTGCGCAATGTATAACTACGACCAAGTACAAAGCTCCCCGGAGCTAGCAAAGTGATGCCTCAGGCCGCCAGAACGTCATCCGTTGCCCGGGCGGGGTTGGGCTTTTCCGTCAACAAAACTTCCCGACAATCTGGCCTGCATGTCCATGCGCTCCCTCGACCAACACCATGGCGTCGTACGTGCTGCTGCTCCGGTGTCTGTGATAGAGGATCTGCTAACCCCGTCCAGTAATATCCTCCAGGTCCCCTTTCGGCGCTCGCACCCCGTCTCCCTGTCGGATGCCATCACGCAGTACATCTCCACGAAATATGACCAACGCCCGGACATGTTCGCAGAGGACCTGCTGATCATCGACCGGCTGCGAAACGAAGCGATCAATGTCCAGGAGCCGCACATCAGCGGGATCAGCCGGCTCGTCACGTACGCGGCGCAGCTGAAGTGGCTGGGGGGGAAGTTTCCGGTGGATGTGAGTCGACCACAAAGCGATACGGGCAGTAGACGGACGGGGTTAACGCATGGCAGGTGGGAGTGGAATTCCCGTGGTTCCCCGCGTTTGGATTCAATACCTCTCGACCGGGTATGTGGGACAGATATTCAAGATGGGTCTGGTCGGTCCGCTGACAGGGCCCAGTTTCGCAGGATAACATCCGATTCGAACTCGCAAACGTCATCTTCAACCTCGGCGCGCTGTACTCGCAGCTGGCCTTCTCGGTGAACCGCACCACCTCCGATGGCCTCAAACAGGCGTGCAACTATTTCTGCCAGGCGGCCGGCATCCTGGTCCACCTGCGCTCCGATATTCTACCCGATCTGCGGACGTCGCCACCAGAGGATATGGACGAGATGACGCTGCAGAGTCTGGAGCAGCTGCTGCTGGCGCAGGCGCAGGAGTGTTTCTGGCAGAAGGCCGTCAAGGATGGGCTGAAGGATGCGTCGATTGCGCGGCTGGCGGCCAAGGTGTCGGATTTCTACGCAGACGCCGGGGATCATGCGGTGAAGTCGAATGCCATTAGTCCGGAGTGGATCCATCATATGACGGCGAAGCATCACCATTTCGCGGCCGCGGCGCAGTACCGCCAGTCGCTCGACTGCTTGGAGAAACGCAAGTATGGCGAGGAGGTGGCGAGACTGAGGGATAGCGAGGCGTGCGTCAATGAAGCCTTGAAGGAGTCGCGCTGGATCAACCGCACGGTGGTCGGGGATTTACAGGGGCTGAAGAACCGGGTGACTGAGGACCTGAAGCGCGCGGAGAAGGATAACGATATCATCTACTTGAACCCGGTCCCGCCCAAGTCGGAGCTCAAGCTCATCGACCGGGCAAGCATGGTTGCCGCCAAGGCGCCGTCTCAGGTGACGGATGCTATCTCGATGCTGGGCGACAACGGGCCGTTGGGTCAGCCGTTGTTCTCCAAGCTGGTCCCGTACGCCGTGCATATCGCAGCCAGCATCTATTCGGACCGTCGGGATCGACTGATCAACGAGACCATTATTGGTGAGCTGGAAACAATGACGGACAAGCTGAGAGAGTAAGTTGAGGCTACTACAAGGCTAGGCTACGGACGAAGCTAATTGGCTAGTTTGCTATCATCGTTGAATCTCCCGGGCTCTCTGCAGGCTCTCGAGAAGCCACTTGGGCTGCCGCCGACCTTGGTGTCCCACGCCGAGGAAATGCGTCAGCAGGACGGCTTGTACCGGTTGCGCAAGTCGCTTGAGGATACCGCGACGGTGAAGGGCAACGACCGGGCTGTGTATAACGAGGGCGTGGAACTCCTGGCCGCGGAAAAGGCCGAGGACGATGCCTCAAGGCGGAAATACGGAACCGATCGCTGGTCTCGGGCGTCGTCCGAGGAGGCAGCGCGGAAGCTGTACACAACTTCGGGCGAAATCGAGGGTTACTTCACGTCGGCGCAGAGCAGCGACAACCTGGTCGAGCAGAAGCTGAAAGGCTCGGAGGCAGTGTTCCGGGTCCTGACGGGCACGAACCGCGATCTGGAGATGTATGTGCCCAGCAGCCGGTATGCGGCGATTCCGCCGGAGGTCGAGCGCGAGGTGAGCCGACTCCGGGGGTGTCTGAGCGAAGTGAGCCGTCTGGAGAGCCGCCGCAAACGCCAGGCCCAGGCGCTGAAGGACAAGGCGCGGGCGGACGACATCAGTGAGTGCACGCCAGCGAGGGAGTTGAACAACGGCTAACAGTACCAGGCCCCGCGCTCATCAAGGAGACGGCCCGTCTGGAGCGGGAGTTCCCCATGCAGGCGATCCAGGCGAGCCAGTTCGAAGATCTGTTCGAGGAGCAGCTGCACCTGTACGACCCGGAGCTGGAGATGGTCGCGCAGGAGCAGCAGGACCAGGACGCGATCGCAGCGCGGGTGCGCGAGGCCAACCGGGCATTTACGCGGACGCACACGGGGGATGCGTCGACGAAGGAGCGGGAGAAGGCGCTGCAGGACCTGGAGAACGGGTATCTGAAGTACAAGGAGATCCTGTCGAACATCGAAGTGGGCCGCAAATTCTACAACGATCTGGCCAAGATCGTGGGGAGGTTCCGGGACGACAGCAAGGCGTTTGTGCACAAGAGACGCATGGAGGCCAGCCAGATGGAGGGGTGAGTTTTCTTCCTTCTTCTCTCCTTCATCCGTCAGATAACTGACTCCAGATAGGGACATCTCGAGTGTGGCCGCGATGGCGACGTTGAACATCTCTCAGCCGCTGCGACAGGCACCGGCGCCGCCCACGCCGCAGGCGTCGTACTCGGGCGGAGGTCAGCAGTACACCGCGCAGCCCAGTTACAGCGCCGCACCGCCGCAGACGTATCCGGCAGCGCAACCCCCGGCGGCGACGCAGCCCCGGCCAGAGCCCATGACGGCGCCGCAGCCCACGCGGGCCAACGCCCGGCCGCCGATGTCGCCGGGCATCTGGTCGCCCGAGATGGGCATCCGGTTCCAGCCGGGCCAGTGGGATCCGAGTAAGGGGGTGAAGTTTTCATAGGACTACATCTATCCATCTGGAGCTACGACAGACCATCAAGCATACAATTACAATGGATTACCGGGTGCATATAAACATACATACACATACACACATACACATACACATACATATAATGGCACGCCTCCTCTACCTATCTAATAAAAGCACTTCCTTGCATGAAGCAAACCATACTAGCGATCCTCGACAGGTCTACCACATCACTCCGTTTCTTATGATTCCACGGCGGCAAGTATAGGCGCCACCACGCCGTAAGTGTACAGATACTGGATCATCAGCCTTGTGTAGTGAGTGCCCGGACCGGAGAGAAGAAGAGACTCTCGTACCAAGCTGAGCGGGATAAAGAAGGGGGCCGTGAACACGCCCGCAACCCATGGATGGGAGCCTGTCGCCATTGCGGTTGGAAGGATTGGTTTGGTTACGAAAGAAGGTCGATAGTGGGCAGGACTGGTTCAAGGGAGATGAGACAACTAGCGAGTACCACAACCACACCATTAATACTAATATTAATACTAATACTATACACAGCCCAACTCACCCCCCTCGCCCTCGCCGTCCCCCCACGCCCTCTCCATAACCCCCGCCGCCTCCGCCGCGACACGCCTCGTCTCGACCCTCAACCCGCGCATCTCACTAAACCCCCTCAACCGCCCAATCCACAGCTCCCACCGTTCCCGCGGAATAGCCAGTCCCTTCCCCAGCCCCTCCCCTTCTTCGGCTTCTCTCTGCCTCTGCCTTTCCGCCGCCGACGTATCCAACGAGATCCCCACCACCAGATCCCGATTCAGGCCCGTCTGGCCCTCCCCTCGCCTTCGCCAAAGATCTTCCCCGAAGACCACGCCCCAGATGCCTGCGCAGGCGACACCGAGATCCATGACCATTTGGCGGAGGGGCGGGTTGTCGTTGGAGTTGTTGAGTGTTAGGTTTGTGTGCGTGTCTGTGGAGATGGACGTGCTTGCGGGTCTATCTCCACCGCATGGGGAGGAAGAGGATGAGGGGAGAGGCAGTGGGGGCGGAGGCGGGGGAGGGAGAAGCGAGAAGCCCTTCTCGATGGCACCACCTAATACGCCGCCCGCTACGTCCTCGATGACGGAGCCGGTCCAGATGCCCTCCGCGCCCATCAGGGCGAGGAAGGTCATCAGGTTCATCCAGGCTTCGGTTTCCGGCGGGGAGAAGCCGGTGAGGATGATTTCTCGGTGGTCGGTGTCTTCGTCGATGTGCTCGTTTGGCTGGTAGGGGTAGGGGTAAGGGTTGGCGGAGTGGTAATAGCAGAAGAGACCGCCCGGGGAATCGAGGAATGCTTCGCCGACTACCGTCCCAAAGAACGGGAGGGAGGGCCAGAGAATGCCGCGCTTGTGGCGGACTTTGGTTTCGGGGTCCGGGTGGGCGTTACGTCGGCTGGGCCTGGTGGTGGTGGTGGACGAGGAGGAGAAGTAGGAGGAGGACGAGGAGGACGCGTGGGGGTGGCGGAACGGGGAGAATACGGTGGAGCCTAGGTAGGGGGAGAGGGAGGGGTGGTAGCGATAGCCGTAGCCACGTTCGCTGTCGCTGTCGCTGGCATCTTCATCAGGCGTGGTGTCCTTGGTGGGGAGAAGGGTCGAGGGGATGGGGTCGGTGGTCGGAGTCTCGGTGAGAAGGTGCAGGAGGGCAAGGAGCTTGTGTTGCAGGGGGGTGGTTTTGGGACAGGGACAGGAGGCATTAAGATTAGGGGCATTGGTCTTGATCTTGATGGGGGCGGAAGTGGTGGTGAGGGGATCGTGAGGGTGGGGAGGATATGGGTTCTGATAGTGCAGGGAGCTGCATATACATCGCGGGAGGATGCGCGATGTATGCACGACGGACCGCCACAGGTCGAGGAGGTTGTCTTCTGTGCCTGGTCAGTCACCGAAGGACATCACACATCCAGTAGGTACATACCCACGAGCGCACTCTCGCTATTGTAGTAGACTTCATTGACAACGCTGACAATCTCCCGGGCTGCCGTTTCCGCCGACAGCTGATCGGCCATGTACAGCCGGATGATGCCCGTGAAGGGCCGGGTCGGCGAACCCTGGGTCCAGTGGTTTTTGGTGGCGAACGTGTCGATGTGGTGGTCCATAATGGTCGGTCTCGTGGGGAGGCCGTCCGGGATTAGACATTCGACATTCGACATTCGACATTCGAGGCGAGGTGAGTTGAGTTGGGGAAAGATACTGTCTGCCGCGTGCTGGTATGCCGTCCCGCATGTCGTGATGATGTCATGTCAGGTGATCCGCCAGCCAGCGGGCCACGATGGAGCGATGAAGCTGCGCCTGCTATACGCATGCAGTGGTAGGGCTATGTACGAGCGAGAGGTAATGTACAGGGTAGGGTATCTATCAGTCGGCGTCCTCCAATCCATCCGTCATGCTCAGGCCGGCTCCGCTCTCCGCCTCCCCCGGAACCGCCACCGGCTCCAGTCCCTCCGCCAGGAAGAAATCCAGCTCACTGGGCCCGCCCTGCGAATGCTCGTTCTCTGCCAACTGCTCCAGCAGACTCAAGAACGGGTCATTCTCGCCATCGCCGGCCCCGGCCGCCCCCCCGCTCCCGTCCCCGCCCCGCCCGAGCTGCCCTGGGACGGCGCGTCCGGCGTCAATGCCGGGCCTCCCGGCGTGGCCTCGAAGGGGAACGTTGCGTATTGCGGCTGCGTCGGCGGCGTCGGCGGCGTCGGCGCTGTAAACGTCTCCGCGAGAAAGGCAGCGGGTGAGTTGCCCACCCCCGGGGAGAACCCAAGACTGCCGTCGGGGAGATTCAGCTCTGGCTGAGGCCACGGTGGGGACGCCTGGAAGCCGATAGATGCTCGTCCTTGCGCCTGCAGTGCAGGCACTTGAGGGTACAACAGTCGGCCCGAGAAGTCTGGTCGATCCAGTACGAGCCTAGGCGATTGTCAGAGCGAGTAAAACCAATAACAGACATGAGCAGCCCACTTACGGTTCGTCCGCGTCCACGAGTCGGACGTGCCCTCCATCCACAACCAGCCCCGGATATCGATCCATGAAGTCCTCCAGGTGAAACACCGGTGCGAACCGCACCGGCCGGACCGCCATCGTGCGCACCACATCCGCGTGGCACACAGATATGGTCTGCAGCATCTCCCGCTGATGCTGCACCCCCGCCCAGCACTGCCGCAGCCACGAGAGTTGGTGCATTTCGCGCGCCAGGAAGTCTGCACTCGATGCAAACACCTCCCCCTCTCGCCCCTGGTAGTGCACGCCGTGAATGTGCACCGTGCCGGCCGTGCCAACACAGTACGCCACCAGGTCCGGCCACTCGATCCGCGGGGCGTGCCGCGCCAGCTCCACCAGCTCGGCAATCGCGTTGGCGTGCGAGAAGCAGAGCGTCGTCGCTTCGATCTGCCAGGACTGGTGCTGCCCCGTGCCCCGCAGCTCCACCAGGTCGATCGGCAGGAAGGGTCGGTAGAGCAGGCAGTGCACTTGATGATAGATCAGTTTACTTAGCAGTAGCAGCGTACTCTCCGGATGACCGAATAGCGTTTCGATCGACGCGAACAGATCCTGCGTGCCGGCTGCCCAGATGTCCAGTTCCTGGCGGATCTTAGATAGGTTGGAGAGTGCGTGCCACGGGAAGTGAGAATCCCCCTTGACGCCCCCGGCGGCCAGATACCGGTTGGTGACGCCCAGAATGCGTGTGATATCGACCAGAAGTGCTGGACCACTCGGGCCTTTCCGACGGTCGGAAGAGTAGTGGATGTTGGGACCGACCGGGTTGAAAAATTCCCCGGGCTCGGATCCGATGCCTGGGAGGCGCAGGACGATGGAGTGGTCCCTGACGAGGCCCGGTCGCCTGGAGCCACAGGTGAGGAAACGATCCATCACGTAAACCGTCCAGAACAGACGCCGTCTCGTCTCGCATTCCACCGGGGAGAGTGTTTGAGCGGGCGCCTCTCGATATAAGTCCAAGGCCAGAGCCATCGAGATAGCATTAGCTGGCAAGTCCATCAGTCCCTTGTCTTTAGAAGCCGGTATCCCACATACCTAGGACCATGTAGGCCGTCTTGCCGCAGCCGTAGGCGAAGAAGGTCTGGGAGAGCAGTAGTAGAGACTGGGTTCCCTCGATGGACGGATTATCGATGTCCACCAGTCGTCGGGCTTGTCGAGCATGATCCAGACTCCCCTGCGGTGGATTGGGAGTGGTGTATCTGGAGCCAGTCAGCCGGAGCACTCAACCCACGTTACGGAGGAAGAGAGACCTTAAGGTGAGCGCGTAGATAGCCATCGACAGATGAGTCGGTAATTGGCCATGCTGATGCCGTTGACGCGTCGTGTTCTCGTCCAGAATCCAGTACGGCTTCCCATGTAGACGAGCGAAGTAGGTGTCCAGCATGGCATCCGGCAGGCGAGGCTGCGGCTGGGGCGGCGGTGGAGGAGGAGGAGGTGCTGGAAAGCCATGGGGAGGGGGTGGTGGCCGAAACGAGGCAGAGCTGGATTGGAGCAGATGCTGCTCTAGCGACTTGATGGGCGAGGTGGAGGAGGTAGGCGAGATGGGAGAGTCCTCTTGCAGGCGTTTCTCCAGCCCGTCGACGCGTTTCAGCAGGGCCTCGAGGACGTCCGTTTTGGGCCCACGCTTCTTGGGAACGGCGTCTACCGGGGATCAGCAAGGCCCACGCTGTGATGCGGGGTGGAAACGAGGAGGCTAACCATAGATGCACGGGCACTGGAAGACCTTGCAGGCCTCGCAGCTCGGGCGCAGGCGGTTACATTTGATCTGGAGGGTCAGCGGAGGTCGATTGAGGGGTGGAGCAGCCAGTCGGGGGGGGGGGGGGGGGGGGGGCACCTTTCGCTTCCTGCAGGACTTGCAGTTCATCGACTCGCGGGGTTCGGCATTGGCGCGACGGGGGGTGAGACGGTCGATGCTGACCTGGGGGCGGGACATGGCATTGCCTGTGGTGTGTGGACATGAGAGGGGGAGGGAAGAAGGAAGGAAAACGATCAGACAGGAGGGGAGGGGAAAAAAAAAGAAAAGAAAGAAAAACAGACGGGGGAGGGAGTGTGGGGAGGAGAGGATTGGAGATGGGGGAAAACAGGTGAAGAAGAAGAAGAAGAGGCGGCGGGAAGAGGGGAAGGAAAAGGAAGAGGAAGGGAAAGAAAAGCGAGTGACCCCGGATTTAAACAAACGTGGAGAAGCCGGTGGACTAAGGCCTAAAGGAGGCTAGCCGGGGGAATGCGGGGGATGCAGCAATGAGACGATCAGGAATCAATTGACAGCGGAATCAATCAAGCAAGCAGCGGTTAAATGCTTAAATGCTTCATCATTCTCCCCGCGGCGGGGTTTTCCCGCTTCGAGCACGGATGCCCGTCCGCTTGAGCCACACTTGTACTTGCAAGGGATCATAATACACTCCCCCTGAAGACTCGAGCGAGCGAGCTGATCGCCTATTCTGCAGCCGATTGGATTTTTTTTTTACTTGCTTTTGCTTATAGTGCAGCCGGAGATATGACTCTAAACCAAACTAGCAGCAATCCCAGTCGTCTTAGGCAGGCTAACAGCCGTTTAAAGGCCTGCACAACATTCTACCTATTCTTAAACTGCCCAGCCTGCTTGCTACTGCGGTCCCCACTATCCTAGTGGTTGGGGAAGGATCAGCCTTGTCATACGGTGCGAGCATATATACTTCTATATCAAGATTAGAACGGAGATGGGAAGGATGTAACGGCAAGATTCACGCTTGTGTATGGAGTCATGTCGTCACAGTTTCATTGACCATTTACTTGTTCTATACATCCATCCCTCCATCCATACATCATGATCATCACCATCATCACCATCAAAACACCCGTCCCGACGCCATGCGCACAAAATCAAACGGCACGTTCTGTCCCACCAGCAGTCGCAGCGTCTCGACCGTCGTCCACGCATCGACATCCTCGATCCCATACGCCGTCCATCCGGCCCGCACCGCGACCCCCACCGGATCCCCTGTGCGCTCGCCGCGCGTCAGGTCCAGATACACCTTCCCCCGGGTCGACGGCGGCGACGCACGCCCGCTGCTGCGGTAATGCCGCAGCAAGGGCTGCACCAGCAACGACTTCTCCGGCGGGAGCGCCGACACCATCACGAACGGCTGCTCCACCATCTTCACCGACTGGATCGACGTGAACGGCTCCAGCCCTTCCGCCAACGGCCCGTGCGCCCGGAATCCAACCGTGTGGATCGCGCCCACCCCCAGGCTGCGCAACGCGAAGATCGTCGCCGACGCCTCGCTCTCGCTCCCCGCCAGGATGATGGCCGCCCGTCCAAGGTACGCCGACGGTACGTAGTCCCGCGTCAGGGTCGCCCGGATCCCCTTCCACGTCGCGTTCTCGCCCATCAGCGGGGGCTGCGGTGCCGGCCCGCGCACCGCGACAATCGTGTCGACCAGCCCGATCGCCCGCGCGGCCTCGCTGACGGCGGGGATACATGCTGTCCCGCTGGTGATCGGCGGGTGGACGGACGCTCCTCCGAAGGTCGGTTGTGTAATCACCCGCTCAATGGACCCCGTGGGCCCCCGGTCGATTGAGGTCAACGTATGCGGCAGGCTGAGCTCGTTGAAGCACTTCTCCATAAACATCGACTGTGGAGTCGATCGGAAGGACCCGATCGCGTACAGATCGCGCTTGGGAAGCTGCCCCATGATGTGGAGGGCCTCGTTGATCTCGGCCGCGGTCAGCTGCCCCGGCGCGGCGATCATCGGCAGCAGGGGATGCGTGATGGGCGAAAACACGGTGTTGAGCGCACGAGACAGCTGGCCCATCTGCCCCATGTTGACGGCCGATAGCAGCGGGTACGAGCCGTGGCTTTCTTTGACCGTTGACCGGAAGTACTCGAGTTCGTAGTTGGCCTCGATCGTATTGACCATGGCAATCATCTTGACAATATCCGCATATTGGGCGCTCTCCGCAAAGATCCGGGGCGCGTCCGGAGACGTCCACTTCCACGTCCCCGAGAAATCGTGAAAGGCAGACATGATAATGCTATTTCCCTTGACCTCGGACAGTCGTTTCCGAATATCATCGGGTAGCCAGAGCTCGACATCGATATATTCTACCCCCCATTGGATGGCCCGACGGAGATACTTGTAGAACAACGTCGGGTCATCCATCGGAAACTTGCCGTTCTCCTTCGTGCACCGAGTGGTGAAGATGATCGGCAGTTCCGTATGCTGCCGCAGTAAAATCAGCTGCTGTCCCACATAGCGCAGGCTCGGGACCGGGCTGGACATCCCCTGCGGAGAGGGATCGACCAGTAGATCGACGCGGATCTCGACAGCATCCGATCCCACGGAGAGGATGTCGAGGTTGGGAAGAGCTGCATGGACGTCCGGGAACGTAGTCGAGATGAAGTTGGTCCGACTCTTGGTCTTCAGGTCCTCGTGCGGTCTTGTTTGGCCCAGTATCAGCGATAGGAAACGGGTGAGGTCACGGCGGAAGAAGGGACTCCGGAGAGAATAGAGGAATTCATAATGGCAGCAGTCGCTGAGCGCTTCGACCGGAAACGAACCGTCGTCGACACAATGGGTATTGACCAGAATGCAGGCCGTGTGGTCGTCATCTTGCAGACTCCGAATTGAATCCTCCGTAGCCAAAATCCCCACAACAACCGCGGTACTACCCCTGCCCAAGGTGGACAGCGACGCTTCTGTGGTCCATGGCTTGCCGAGGATCTCTGCAACGACTTGAACGATAGCCTCCTGTCCTGGCGTGTAGACCGTCACTACCGTCCGCGCGGGTTCAGGGGGGAGGATCTGGGAGGTCGAAGCGAAGGCCGATGAAGTGGAGCCTTTGATAGCGGTAAGAGTTGAGGCAGCGGCATCAGCTAGAAGTGTCATGCCCAAAGGCTGATGAAGGGCCGTCTGCATCATCTCATTGCATACGCAGTGTACTGCACGTTCTCATACTTGATCCCAGTGGCGGTCGGATGCCGGTGATCGAATGCGACTTCACCGCCTGATTGTTTAGCAGCAGTAGAATGACGGGATGTAGGGCTGGAGTGGCATTGATGATGGCCAACCGATGTCGGAAAGGGGAGGGAATGTAAGTAAAGGCTGTCTGCACGAGGGCCTGAGTACACCGACCAGAACAGAAACAGTGAGGATGTCAAGTACCACAGACGGGAGCGGGCGGAGAGCGGGCGGGTTAGAGCGTAGTGTTTAATAGCCGGACGGGGGAGGCCTGGGGGGGGGCGATACTAGGGGACTAAAGCTGACCAACGAAGTGGGAGAAAGCGTGGAAGAGGGGACCGGAGGACAAGGGGGGGGGAGGCGAGAAAAGGGACGACATCTGCTCGGGACAACGCGAGAAGATTAACCCGACAATGGATGGATGGGATGGGAGGAAGATTGGAGGTTGTGGAGGTTTGGATGACGGCTGAATTTCCCCGGAATCCCAACTCCGCCTGCCGGGGGGCGGAGTCCATTTCTCCGCCAATCACCGGCGGGCCCGGCTGGTCCTCTCCCGCCTCAGGCCTCAGGCCGGAGAATGCAGCCCTGAGATCTATCTACTAAGGTGTCTCTGCTGGGGGATGCTTCTCTTCATCCGGACGGAAGACGCAGTACCCATACCGAGACGATCGCCATGAGCGGGTTCAGGGTTTTGCAGTTACTGCCCAGATTGACTTTCGTCTACCTAAGTAAAACCTACGAGGTACCTACCAGGGAGGCTTGTAGCCCCGGACAGTACCCCGTGCCCTATCTGACAATAGCCTCAGCCAAATATCCAGGCAGCCAAATAGGTGGTTCCAGCGATCACCATCCCTCATCCCTGTCATTGGACAGAGCCACGTCTATCAGGCCGATCCTTCTACCGTCCACGCTCCATAAGGCTCCCATGATACGAGGAAAAAACCCCCATAACGTTATCTAGGTCGCATCTTGTTGGCCCGTACCTACCCGTCTATCCACTACCAGCGCCCGGGTCTACACAGTAATAGCGGTGACCCAGCGTAGTACCCAGGAGGCCAGTTGACGTTGCATCCCTCGGATTGGCCACCGTCTTCGTCGTGGCTCAGGATGTACCCGGAGACTCCGGACGGTCCGCCGCAACGGCCACATCAACCAGCCTTACAGCCAGGGCATCTGATGTTACTCCAATGTATCCAAGGTGCAGGAAGTGGTCAATTGGTACAGGCGAGTCCTTATGTAACATGACGACAGAATCCACCAATAGCTCAGACGGCATTCAAAATAAATTAAAAGAAAATACCAACCAATCGAAAGGGGTATTAGAAATCAGAAGTCAAAAGGGCACGACGAAGAAGGGGAAATACAGTAAATAACATCAGGGAAGAAAGTAGACCTGCTCCAAAACCGGTGGATGCTCGTTCATGTTCAGGGGAATCGGTGCGACACGATGTATGTATGGGGGAGGGGAGGTATGTGAAGGTATGTGTACAGGGATGCCCATATGCATGCGATGACTGATGTATGTACTTGAGACTGCAAGGGCCGGGGGTGAGTGGCACGCCAAAAGATCATCAACCTGCGAGACACCAATTGAGATTCGTCATCTCCACGGGCGCAGGATCAGCAGCCCCAGAGCAATCCTGCCCGGGAGACGAGCGGGAGACTGGATTCTGTTCATGTGAACCTGTACATGCTCCGAGGCCGTCTATCTTAGCCCTCTGCTGTACGAGCTGCTCAGTTTTCAGTATGAAAGAAGCTCCGACTGCAGTTTGTCATGGTCTGCAATCTAAAGGAATTTTGTTGTACCGGCATTTGGCGCACCGTGCGACGAGTGTTTCAAACGTTGTGACGGGCCACTCGCAAGTGCTTTTCGTAATAGCAACCCACAGCACGTATCCACAGGACGGAGCTATCTGCATGCAATAGCAAATAGGCCATAGCCAAGAGAGACGTAAGAATACGTGGCAAACGTGTGTCACACGGGGCGGTGCTATATCCAATAGTGATCGTTCGGAATGTGCACTCCACCAATGTGATCTTTCATCTTTACGGAGGTGAAATGGCGAGGCCGTTCATGAGTTTGGGGAGCGGCTTCCTGCGTGCAGTATTTGCCGTCTTCGAAACCCGAGGCGCCCCATGGATCATGCGGGGTTCTTTCATCAGGCTTGTATCGAGCTTTGCCGGTGCTGTCAATGAAAGCTTCAGCGTTAGCCAAGGTCGCCTGGGTGAGCGGAGAATAGACCACACAAACCTCTTGAAATCACACGGGTGTAATCCCCGGAGATGCTCTGCTGGCTTCTGCTTCCCCCTGCAAAGGAGGTGGCACTCGCCGTTCGCCAGAGGTGGTTTGACGTGTCAGATAGGAAGTCGGTCATACTACGGCTGGAGAAAATGGAGGACCGGCCCCGATTGCGCTTTGATAGGATGATCTCGTCAAAGAGTGCCATCCGAGGATCCCGGGATTTGGGGTTGATCCGCTCCCTTTCGCTGATAAACTCGTTGAAGCCTAGCGACATGTCAGACATTGCAACTTCACATGCGAAGGGCTAGTTCGCCTTACCTTGGGTCTGTTGCAGAACCGCGATATATTCCGCGTGTTCCCCCGGCAAACTCTTCATGAATGCCTCCACGTTGAAGTTGTAAGTCAACCCAGCTTTCTTCTTGTCGCCGGTAGCCGGCTGAAGGAACTTCTTGTAAGTGTAGAACAAACTGGCAAAGCATCTAACAAATGCGGCACGGATTTGCTCGGGATGGAACGCGGCCGGGCATACGATGCATATCTGGAGAGCACAACGGTTGTGCACCACGGTCTTGCAGGCAGTGCACTTGTACATGTTATCCTCAGCCCGGTCATCGCAGATTGCACAAGTGGCCTTGTCGTCCCACGGCTGCACCTGCAAGCAATGTCCCTCCACCCAGCAGGTACCCTCGGAGTTGTGAATAGGCTGTGCGGAAGCCGTGGGAACAATTGTCGACGCGGCCACCGTGGACTGTGCATAAACCGATGGCGCATAGGTAGACCCGGGGTTGTAGTCGGTGTTCAGTGTCGTAACAGACAGGTTGGGAGCGTGGCCCAAGAAAGGAGCGCTCGGCCGCCGAGGAACACCGGTTCGCATCTCCATTCCGAACGAAGAACTACGCCGAGAGGCCGCATCAAAGTGACCGGAGCGTTTCTCTCGCAACGATGCCTGCAAGGCCGTTCCGGAGGAGCCAGGACCTGGTGGGAAATGTCCGGACGTTGGGGAGATGTCTCTAGGGGACGGGGGAGAGCCAGTCTTGGATGTCGATCCAGTTCCCGGTCGGTCGGGACCCCTGGATGAATACCCCCTCGAGACAGCCTGCTCGTAGCGGGCGTGCAGATAGGCGTTGAAAATCAGTGGCTGGTACGAACTCGGATGGACGGAGCTCTGTCCGAACGCACTCGAATTCAGACTGACGTATTTCGCCAACTGCGTCGATTGTGCCTTGGAGGTAAAGATGGAGGAGTTCTCCGACATGAAGGAATCGAACGGGTACGTTTCAACAGCATAAGCAGGCGGCCCGGTGGGAACTCCGCATCGGCTATGGTGAGGGGCTGCCAGCTGAAGAAGGGAAAGCAGCTTCCTCCGCTGGTGGCGTGGGAGAGGAGTCGGCCGAACCGTGCTTTCAATAAGGTCGGCATCCAGATCTACCAGCACGAAATCATCCGAGGGTAGTTCGACCTTCTCGTATCGGCGCTCAATACCTATGATGTAAGGACAGGGGGCTTCGATGGCCTGGACCAGTCGTGCGGGGAGGATGGGGATCAGCACTCCAGTCCATTGGATCGGGAACAATAGATCGACGAGTGCTTTGGTTGCCAGGTACAGCATCGAGGTGTGGGATGACAAGAAGATAATGCGCGATTCGGTGAGAGCGTACTCGAACAGGATGACGATGTTCGGTAAAGATAGCGCCCGAAACAAGGCATAGATATCGGTGTTGCGAGCACCTGGCAGCTCATTCGTCGCCTCCTTGCGGGCAAAAAGACGAAGTTCGCGCACAGAGAGCTCCACCTGGGTTTTGGACGAGTTGGGGCTGAACGCCTCGGTGCACAGATTCATCACGTATCGCTCCAATGGCTGCCAGATGCCCATCCGCGGGGAACTTGGGGGGATTCGTTGGATGCTGCCGTCGGTCATGGGGATAACGACGGCCTTGAGCCACTCCTTCCAGAAACTGGTCATATTCTCCTCCCGTCCAAGAATACCGTAGGCGCGGGGGATCCAGAATCCGGTGTCTCCATCAGTCAGCCCCTCGATTTTCGATGCTGCGCCGTGGCGCACCGGCCGCAGGAGGTCGGTCATCAGCCCGATCTTTTCTTCGACCGCACTGATTTCATCCTCCAACTGTTCTCGCGACTCGGAGCCCGAAGGGACCGTGGGAAGCTGAGCCAGAAGTCTTGAGAGCTTGGCCCGCTCGCTTGCCAGCCTCTCACCAAGACTTGCTGCCAGCTCTCGTTCCTCATCCGTCATGTTGTCCTTTCTCCATTCCTCGCAACGCTTCTCCAATTCCTCGGCCGCTTGCTGGTTCAACGGGATCCAGATGATAATGCAGATGGCGTGCAGGCGCGAACCGTTGTCGGTCGTCATGACGAATCCGTGCCAGGTGGAGCGCGGCCTCTGATCGGACGAGACGATATTGATGTCGTTCGGGAAAGCAAACATAGGCACGTAATCTGGGAAGTTTCCCCGCTGCTTCAATTCGTCCGACATTCCCTTGGTGGGATAGCGATCGAGCAGGACAGGCTCGAATCTTCGTTTCAAGGGATGCATGGTGGGGGAGATCTCCAACGGCTGGGGGACGGGTATGACTGAGTTGTAATTGCTAAGGCGTCGCGAGGTCCGGATAGAAGCTGTAGATGCCTCCAGTTAGCAATCGCCGCCTTTATCCCTTGCCCCATACTTTCCCCTCGACGGGATCACGACTTACCTTGGCGGGCGATCGATGGCTGTCTTTTCATACTGTTCATATCCCTAAATGCCATGTGTCGCCGCACGCTACCAATGCTGGACCGGATCAAGCCCGTAGGCTGGGGAGTCTCCTCGGAGACGATCTTCTGGGTGCGTAGTCTAGAGCGGGGACGTGACGAGGGGGTGATGGCACCTGCGCTGAGGCTAAGATCGCACAGGAACGATTCCCGCTCGGACGCAAACTTGACCAATGCTTGATCGAAATCGAAGTCATCTAGGAAGGAGGAACCTCGGGGGGAGGGGGCACCCTTGATGGTCATACTGCTCCGGTTGCTATGGGAGCCATTCTCGTTCGGCTCGGAGTCTCCTGGACGCATGGAGAACCGCTGGACGGAGCTGCGGTTCCCAGCCATGGAGATGGGACGGGAAAGGCTGTCCAGATGGAGATCGTGGGACTCGGCGTCCGCATCTTCCTCGATGGTATCGGTCACGGCGGGACCCGGCGAAGTGGCATTGTTGGCCCGGTATTCCTCCCCTAGCCTGCGATATGTATCCAGGACCTCTGTGCCATCGACACCAGCGATCCAAAAGTAGTCTGCGAGCGGGGTGGTGGGCGCCTCGGGGGCGGAGGAGGAAGAGGAGGAGGAGAAGGAGGAGAAGGGCATCTCGTCGAATGATCGCGGAGGAGAGGGCGCAGGGTTGTTCTCATCAATCGTCACAATTCGTCGACTTCGTCACAGCATGAAGCGAACACGATCCCAGGATGCTCCTAGTCTGCGGCGAACATCAATGGGCAGGGTAATTTTCAGCAATCAGGGGCTCTGGAGGGGACGGGTGGTGGGTAGGGAAGGCAGTGGGAGCTAGAACGCATAAGTCTGGAAATGCGACGCTGTCGCGACCGCGGGGGGGAGGAAGGCTGGGACGGGGACGGGGAGACTCCGGCGTCGGCGGTACAGACGCAAGAGAGGGGAACGAGAGGATGGAAGGTGGAAGGGCAAGGACAAAAGGTGAGAAGGGAGGAAGAGGAGGAGGAGGAGGATGCGGAGTGTTGATCTGCGCATTGACGAGAAAAAGGAGTACCGGGTCAGTAGAGGAGAGACAGGTGAGGGGCCGGAGAGGAAGGACGAGACAAACTAGAAAAGGAGGAATGCTTTGACAGGTGTCTCTTTGTGTAGAGGAATGGGAATGGGAAGAGTGACTGACTCCGTGGTGGGTTCGTCGTATTATTATCCTGCTTCTTAATTATTTCAGACCTCCTGGGCCTGTCGTTTCTATTTTATTTGGCAAGATTGAACATCCCGGGTTTCTTTTGGCGTTGGGATATTATTTTTTTTTTTTTCGAACTAGAGCGCAGCATGCAGACGGATGGTTGCGTAGGCCGTCGACACTACTACTACGGAGTACTAGAAGGGGGGGGGGGGGGGGGGGAAGCGAAACGGCTGCCAAAAGCCCAATCAATTCCAGCCCAGGCGCCCCCCGTGTGTCCCCTCTTTCCCTCCTGCTCGGTCCCTTCACTAACCACTCGGTATTCACCAATACTATCAACTACGGAGTACGACTGCCTAGTATCTATTTAGCAGTAGCAGATGCTTGACTCCCCGCTTCCCCTGCGCACACGCACGACTGACTGTCACCGCGACATTTATTATTATTATTATTGTTGTTCCTCAACTAAGTACGGAGTACTACCACACTACCACTGCCAACTACCGATCGATGATGAAACCTCCCTCAGGGAATTTCAATCCATTACTATTCTAGACCCCCCCCCAAAAAAAAGAAAATACGGAGGAGCAAAAAAGAAAAGAAGAAGAAAAAAAAAGACAAAAAGGCAAAAAGACAGAAAAAAGGCGGTACCAATGGTTGGGATATCAATTGCAGGTGGATCACCATGTCAAACAAAGAAAGATCAAAAGGAAGAAGCTGGCAGGGAAAGAAAAGAAAACCATCCCAAATAAACGTGCAGGCCTTCCTAGATGGGAAACGGGAACATCCCTGCTGCTGCTGCTGCTGCTGCTGCTGCGACGACGACTCCTCTCCCTCCCACAGTACTACTTACTGCTACAGTACTACCACATCAGTACTACTACATACAACCACATACACAGTACATAATCGTCCTCGGGCCCCAGATGGGTATTCCGTGCTCCAGGCAGCCAGGAACGAACTACTGCAAGTGTGCATGGATGGGTGCATTCACCCAACCAGCCAGCAACTCCCGGCATCAGCGGTGGTACCAGGATCTTCTGTTCCGCCCGCCTTGTCCGGAAGGTCAAAAAAAAAAAAAAAAAAAAAAGGAAACACGCAAGGTACTGGTACCACCGCCAATAATAACCCCCGAAGCTTACCTGGTCCTGGCTCTATTTCACGACCACTCCAGTACAATGAGGTAGGTAGCGTATATACTGACCGGACAGCCCTTCGACTCGAGGCACCCACTTGCTGCTTGCATCCCCCATCTGTGAGGGACAGGGACGGGAGCATATCAATCGCTGGGCCCGGTGGAACCCGTCGCGCACAAATGGCTTGGCTCACCGGCGACTCTTCCTCCTGAATGGCCCTCGTTGCATTGAGGCCAGAGAACTACCGTTCGGGACAACCATGGAAACACAGACCATTACGTCGGCTAGGATCATATATCTCCGAGTGCTGAACTTTTGGGGCTGAGAGAATCAAGGTCCAAGGCCATGTGGGCCAGCTCACGACTCACTGCGATGCGAGTCTTTGCCATGGAGCCCATCCATTATTATTCCCATTATACATTCCTAGGACACATGGTCCGATCATTATCGTCCCCATTGGGACTCCGATCGGGAATCTTGATCGTGCGGTGGATTGGACCAACGGAGGGGTACCTATGTACTTGCGACCTACGCCCACAATCCACGCACGCGCACAGCCATCCTTCTTACGACTGACGCTTTTGGGGGGGCATTGAGCCACGCGGTGCGAATAGTAGTACACAGTACCCCGTACTTATGTCGCCCTCAGAGGATGTACAGTAAGTTGCTTGGTACTCCAGCATTTCCATGATTGGACGACCAGCATCGCAGCCATGGAACCGGCGGTGCTAGAGCTGGAACTGGACAATGGTTCCTGAAAAGGGGAAAAGGATGCCGATTGCCTCCTGCGGAACATGGCTGCCGAGGTCCAGTCCGCCGCCGCCGCCATCACTGGCATGGTGGAAGAGTTTACACGGTAACGGGAACAGGAACAGGAACAGACTGCATTTACTTTGTACAAATCTGCGACAGATAAGCAAGCAAACTCGAGTGGGGACGGAAATCCCCAATCAATCCCCCAGCCTCTACCTCCGACAAAAAGGAGTGGAAAATGATAGGACGGATATTGAGAGCCACCCGACATGATCCTCTGGGCCACCACTCCCGACCACCCAGAATTCCCAGGGAAATGGCCCGGGGTTGGGCTGATGATCCATGTGGAGCCGAAGCAATGACGATAATGCGGTGCCAAAAGCTACACTTCGCCGGTCGACACCCCGGACAGGACCAGATATTAAATTTGAGAGGATAATGATGAATCCTAATCAAATCTTATTGCGATGAACACCCTGTCCATAGTGCACACCGATTCGCGGTTTCATCCCCCCCTCCCCCCCTCCCCCCCTCCTACCACGAACCCATTCCGACAGAACAGATAAGGCCGATGCCGATGATTCCGTTTCACCATGCCTTCAAACCTAAATCCCAGTTGTGCGTCCCACCCAGTGGAATAACAAATCCCATTATGTCTGATCAAACAGAGTGGCAGAAAAAGAACAAGCCACCAAACACTAACCAAATAAGCGGTCTCCCTCCATCGCAGCACACAACACCACCATGCAAAAGAAAAAAAAAACCCCCCAAACCAAAACCCAAACCCAACCAGCCTCAACCCTGCAGATATTATTATCTATACGGAATAATGCATTTATTTTTAAATTTTAGGTTTTATTTTTAACCCTTGGATACTCGCTGCCATGGGAACTTTCAGCCCCTCGAAAAAAGAAAGCAAGAAAGAAAACGAAAGAAAGAAGAAGAAGAAGAAGAAGAAGAATGAACGAGATGATGGTGATTCCAATAATGGTTCCTTGCATAGCCCTACTTCCCCAGACTGCTGCTGACCCGCAGGACTCTGCATCAACCTATGTACGGTCTACATGAGGGCCAAGAACCAAGCATCTCACCTGCCTACGGACCTACGGTACATATGCCCGTCTGAGTAGTGGTGTTACTACTGCTTCGGGGAGCTAGAACTGCTTCCGATCTGTTCCTAGGGCTGTTACAACACTCGCCCAGTGCGGTCCAGCCTGGTCCAGTCCAGTCCATCTGTCGACCAGGTATGTACATACTACCTACATTAGGTACGATATGTACGGAGTACACCGTCCTCGACAGTACAAACTACAAACAGACCAAGTGGACAGTGGGTTAAGTGGAAACGTGCCGGTGACAGGGACGGTAACTAAACTATTTTCAATTTGCAGGATGGATCACACATGGGATAAATATTATGTGATCAGGGAGGGGAGGTGAAAGAAAGGGGGTGGTGGGTGTGAATAAGTGGGTACTATGTACTAAGGTATGTGACACTCCGTATGGTATTGTTTTCCGTCCATCCAACATCCATAATAATAGGGATGAGATGGGATAACTATCTCCTCTTCTCAGTCTGTCACTACTAGCAACTCCGTCCCACATCCAGATTTAGCACTCCTTCAGCGCAGTGTTACATGTTCTCTCGATGTTCGAGATGTCGTGTCCAGCCTTCGGTTTCACATCCATCCTGACTGAATAGTAGTCACAGTCATACCCTTATTAATAGTAATCCCAGTCATACGGGTGTTCTAACTTCTAACCAACCTAGCCTGTGAGTAGTAGGGTGAATGACATTGTCGGTGTCGGTGACGGTGTCGTTGTCATCGGCATGCAAGGTCCAAAGGAAGGGCTAGACTCTCAGATGCAAATGCCGACCGACCAACCAACCCAACAGCACAGCAGCGCCAACATGCCGTTTCACCCATCCCGCAGTCTACACTCTTACTGGTAAGACTAGGATGGAAGGGGCCGAGGGGCAGACGCACACGACACGACACACATGCACAACACACGGCTCGTCGTCCCATCCCATCCATGATCCATCCGGGAGATGTGTGGGCTGAGTGAGGTAAATTTAGGCTGAGGGTGGGTGGGTTGTGTCTCTGCGCAACCCAAAAATAATATCTATGTATGGAACTGCGTATGTACAACAAAACAAGGTAACAGATGTCTGTCCTACCTACCTAGATATCTCCTGGGCCAGAATTGATGATCACCTAACTAGATATTGTTTGTCACACAAATAGCACATGGCTGGCCCTGGCCTGGATCAAACTAACTAGGCTATCTATCTACTACCTATCCCTCCCCAGAATTAAATCTATCTATAGAAAGAACAAAAGAAAGGCTAGACTGCCACCGAAGTTCCCGTTGCGTCGTACCTTTGCGCGCCCTCCTCCTGCTCCTCCTACCGACCGCACCAGAAATACTACTGATGTACCTAGGTACATACATAGATAGGTACGTACATATTTTGATGTAGGTACATACAGATGGGCCAAACATATGATGTTCTTCCCGTTATTCCCGTGTAACCACTACCACACATGCCGGAAGCTCGGGATTGGCTGCCCTGGAAAGGGTTGCATCTGTGCTACACATCTCGACTTGGCTTCATGCTCATCCATCCTGCAAGCGCGGTGGATGGAGGGATGGATGCATGGCTGATTGGCCGGGTAAATCACCGCTGGGTTGTGTGTGTATCAGGACTGCAGTCCGGTAGGTAGATGTGTAGACGGTACATACTTGTGATCTGCACCGGTCGGCGTTTGCTGTTGCGGTGTCCGGAATGGTATCTAGATAGGTAGGTACTCCGTAGGTAGGTGGTGATGGTGGTGGTGGTGGTTACACAGGGGACAGGGGCAAAGGAACCACTGCATCTCTCAGGTACACGGTACTCCGGACATGCATCCGTACATTTTACTCCTTGTCTGACTGACTCTCTCATGCGCGTCTGCGCGTCAACAAATTGCCCGTGGTCAGAAACCCCTTGTCTCCCATCGCGCCTCGCCACTCGATTGACAATTGGCCCAGAACCGCTCGTCCGTCACGTTTCATCTCCTTCTGGAGTGTCTCAAGGCCTTCCTGCTGCCCTTCTTCCTGCTCGACCAGAAACGCGACCTGCAGGACATCGCGCGGGTGTAGCGTCGGTGGCTGCGGATCCGTCTGCTCCGGACCCTCCTGATCCCAGTTCAGGGATACCGATTTGAACGGGGGTTTCGGGTTGAGCCTCGTTTGCTGTCAAAATTAGATTCTTTACACGCTGCTATAAATATCCACCCCCGCGACCTACCTTGACCACAACAGGCCCATCGCCCACATTCTCCAGTTGCGCCTCCAGCGCGAATCGGAGCAGACGGGTTTTCCCATAAGGACCCAGCGCTTTATTCTCGACCTCCAATGGCGCTAGTTCCGAGGACTTCGTTCGCACGCTGAGACAGGGCTGCGCGACGAACTGGTAGAGCTTGCGGAACGTTCTCACTCGCCCACTGGCGGCTTGCGCGTCCGACCCGATCAGCGTTTCCGTGTAGCTGACGCTGACCGCCAGGATGTGATTTCCCTCCTCCTTCAGATCGAACCGCACGATCTTCTGTAGAGAAAAGCCCTTCTGTATCCCGTCCTTCGAAGCCGTATCTTCGGCCGGCTCCAGGTCCAAAGCCGCTACCTGCGATGGTGTCTGCATCTCCGCCACTATGCGGACCGACGTGACGACCCGCGATGTCTCTTCTTCTGGCAATTCATTGTTGGCGCTCAGGGTGCATGCAAATGTCTCCCCGACGTATGCGGATCCGAAGGCCGGGGGCAGTGTTAACTAGTTGAGCTGTCAGCGAAGAGACGGGGATCGGCCGGGAAGTCCCGCATACATTGGGCGTGAGGATAAACTGATCATCGATGTTGTCCGCGGGATAGCTCAGCGAAGCTTTATTCGAGATCTTCGTCTCCGCCACCGGGAGGGGGTACTGATAGGATAAAGAAGGCCGTGATAGCCTTGCAAGGTCAGGATTCAGGAAGGGTCGACGGCTGGTGGAAGGCATTGCTTACCGCAGTACTGGACAGAGGTCAGCCAAGGGCCCGCGTGGGACAAGTCCTCCGGCAGTTCCTACCTTTCAGGGAGACGGCATGTGGTTCTTTGGGGGCGTCGGCGCCCGAGAGAGCGCGAGGGCGTGCCATGGAGGGGAGTAATTGTCGATTGAAGCGAAGCTGGAGGCGGCGTCATTCCGTCGTTATCGCGCAACGCTAAGGACAGGCAAACAGGCCAAACAGGCCAAACGCTGCAAACCTCCGCATCGACCAGGATCTCGAAATGAACCCCGGAATGCTTCGATCTCTCGCCTCCACACGAAAGGATCGTGACGACGATCCAAGATGAACGTTTAAATGAGGCAGACTTATTGCACAGACTTACTGCACGGCGTCTGACATCTGATGCTGTGGCCGTTTGCTCTGCTCCGTCTCCCCTCCACAGGTACGTGATGATTATGTCATCCTGGGGCCCCGATTGCTTATCGATTAGCGGTGGTCTACACATCAACTACACCGAAATCGCCACCGCGACTCGCATCCAGGAACGTCTTTTTCTCTCTCAAGGCAGCTGTCGATTCGAGAATGGGGATCTCAAAGATGACTGCTGCTCAACGGCAGTATGCCAGCACCCTCATACCAGCCAACCCTCGAGCTCCACGTTCAAGACCCACAACACGCATACCCGCGTCATCGAGAAGACGGCGAAACGTACATGAACTGACATGTCCCCCCGGTCACACTCTGGTTAGTGGCTCTGCTGCCCCCTGGAAGAAAAGGGCGAAAGCGAAAGCGAAAACATCATCAGATGAGCCACCCCCTGAACGTCGAGCGAAGAGGTTTCGCACTCATCCTCCTAAGACCTACCTCGAGAGGGCCGCGCGTGCTTTATCCCAGCGGTATGCTGCATCTACCATCTTGGTCATATCCGAAGCTGATGTTCATTGCCGCGTGTAGAATGTTTGTGGTTGGACATACAGCCACTAATGTTGAAGTTGCCCCCGAGATGAGTTTCGACATTGTCGGGACAACTGGTAATATCTACAAGACGGTGATAGGGAAGGTGCCGACCTGCAGCTGTCCGGATGCTAGAAAGGGTAACCAATGCAAGCATATCTGCTACGGTACGTCTAACACACTAGTACCTATCTCCCTACAACCATGTCATTATTACCACCATATGCGTGCCCGTTATTCTTAATGTCCGTGACGCTGAGAACCGTGGCATATGAAGTCCTAGTCAAGGCCCTGAAAGCTCCTCATCATCTCCAGTACCAGCTAGCATTCTTGTCGTCGGTAAGTAGCCAATGTAGTATCCAATTAGACTCGTGATGGTAACTGTCCATACCACAGGAGCTCCGGGAGATGTACAATGCCTCCCCCATCAGCCGTGAGCAGCCCAAGGCCACCGAGAACAACGATGGAAATAGAAAGCCAGTTGAAGGAGACTGTCCGATCTGCTTCATGGAATTTGAGCCGGACAGAGAAGAGACAGTCTGGTGCCAAGCGGCATGTGGAAACAATATCCACAAGACTTGTTTCCAGCAGTGGGCCGCTACCCAGACCCGGCAACGGCAGGAAGTCAGATGCGTCTATTGGTATGTTCGATTCTAGACGTCTTCTCAGAAAACATCTCTCTAACGCCATATCTACGTTCCTCAGCCGTTCCCCCTGGGAAACAAAGCCCAGCAACGTGGATCTTGACAAGCTCGTGCAGGAGGGCAACGTCTCTGCTGACGGATACGTCAACGTGGCTGACCAGTTTGGTCTTTCCAGGATGCGCGGTATGAGACCGACACTGTGACTGCCCCTGTCATAGGTTTGCGATTCCAGTTAAGGATCCATGCTGACTATGGTTTTCCTAGATTATTCAACCTATCATCCTTACTGGGTGCACCAGCAATCGTATCCCTATGGTTCGCACAGTGGTAGACATTCATATCACTACGGCGGTTCATAAGTATGGAATTGGGTCATGTCTCAATGGACGTTCAACCCATGCAACTTTCCTTGAACCCTCAGCTTCCGTCCGGTACGGCTGGGATTTTGCTGGAGTATTCTGGGTAATGGGGAGTGTACGACTAGGGCGGTTCAGGCATTTTCAGCACAACTTGTATCATACAGGCTTTTGGGGTATTAATATTCAACTTAATTTCACTCCAGCGCTAGATGGTAGTTCTCGCTTCGTAAGATAAAGAAGGCTCAATGTTCACATCTGGTCCAGGTATTGGACATCTAAATTGCCATCGTATTTCCGTTCAATGCTAGATGCAGGGTCCTCTAGCTTCAGGGTCCAAGACACTGAACCCGACACCCCATCTCATACTATCAAGGTTGTTCTCGACATGTCTGCTCTGCACCATAAGAACCGACCACCCACGGCCCGTTCAACACATCCAAGTGAGGAAGCCTTTTAGGGGAACAAGCTCACAAGCTATATACCGCCCGACGAACTAATCCTCCAGATAAGCCGCGTGCACGCCCACGACCAACACGGTCGGGATTGCGATACCACGCCCGCCCGCCCAAGCGCAGCGCGATACCGCGGGTTGCGACACACGCAGCCGCGCAGGTCATATATATCCATCCCACCCACCACGTATGAAGTTTCATCTCCAGACCGCAGCACAGAGAAGAATCCAAGAGCAACCAGCCCATTAATTCCTTTCCTTTCCGCTACCTTCATCCACTGTCCTTGACGACCCGACTGCCCTGTCGCACCACGGCCACACTAACCGCTTCTTCGCCCGTCATCCAGGACGGCATCCGTTTCGCGTCGACGACGCCTAGCTCGGCGAGTTTGCGGATCCCCGAGATTATGTCTGTGCCGGTGAAGGTGAGGGATAGGGATGGGGTTGTTTGTGTTTGGGTTTGGGTTGGTGTTTGCCTGGAGGCGGGGTTTGATGTGGGGGTTGGGGGATCGAGGAGTCGGACGTCGAGACGGTCGAGAGGAGCAGAGGATAAGGAGCCGGAGGTGCCGAAGCGGGATTGAACGGCGAGGGAGCGCTTTTTGGAGACGTGTGGATCTTCGCGGGGGTCTGTGTGGGGGTTTGGGCGTTTGGAGAGTTTCTTTTCGTCCGTGGAGTCTGTTGGTTCGGATGGTTCTGTGGTCTTTTGTTGGTGGAATTGCTGGTTCATGTGCTCTTCTGGGGAGACGGTGTTGGATGGACGCGGGTCCAGGGGGCTGCCTTCGAGTGCGGCGTCGGCGAATATGCTGAAGGCGCCATTGGATTGGTTGGATCGGCCGGGGCCGCGGAGGGCCAGGAGAGCCTGGAGGCTCTTGGCGGTCAGAGAGGTGGCTTTGAGGGTGTAGCGCTGGTGAGGGAGGGAAAGGGCTTTGGGGATGGCGTCTCGGACGAGACGCTGCAGACTGCGCGGGTCTGTTGCGACGGGGTGGGGGGTCGCGGTTGTGCTGGCTTTGGAGCCGGTCGTTGAGGCGATGGACGTGTAGATAAAGGGGCAGCTATCCGGGAAGGCGATGTAGATGACTCGGGATGCGTCGGTGAGGGAGTCGGCGGCCTGGCGCGGGTGTTGGTAAGGGGAGTTGGTGACGAAGATGCGGAGGAAGGTGAGCGGGAGGGAGGTCGAGCGGCCGAGATAGTAGTGCGCTTTCACTAACGGGGCGATCTGTTGCTGGAGGCTGTTCAGGAAGGTCGAGGCATGGAGGCGCGGGAGACATGCGGTCATGTCGGCGGAGGAATCCGGGGGATATTGTTGGGCGCCGATGCGCGCGAGCTCCAGCGCTGTCCATCGCAGACTTGCGGGGTGGTCGTCGATGTAGCGGAGATCGACCATGGCCAGCTGGCGCAAGGTGATTCCGTGTCGCCAGTCGCCTTCGAGGATGCGATCGATGACTTCGCGCTTGCCGCCTTTGCGCAATTGCAGCTCCTGGTAGGCGTTTCGGACATCGTTGATGGTGCGCTCGGCCGGGTAGGGGCTGAGTCCCTCGTCCTCGTCCTCTTTCTGGTCTTCGTTCTCTTGGAGGTACGGCGGGAAGGACTGGACATTGCGATCATCGAGCCATTGGAACGCGAGATCCAGCAGGGCCTGCCGGGTGAGCTTCCCAAAGGATTTGACTAGCGACGGGGTGGAGGAGGGGAGGCGGAGGTTGCTAGGAAGACTGGCGGTGGTGGGCGCGCGAATGGACTTGGGACGGGCCATTGCTCTTGCGTCGAAGGTTGGCCTAGCGGATAGGGGTGTTAGGCATTATCGCCGCGGTGGTTGATGTTGCGGGGTGGTGTTATTGTGGTTGTTGTTGTGGTTTTGCTTGGTGGAGGAAAACAATCTCATGGGCCGCGGAGCCTCGGAATGCGAGCTGTTGGTTGGTTCCTGAGGCATCAACAGCAGTTACGTAGTCACGTGGTGATTGGGCGCGGGCCTACACTAAATCACTAATACAGTCAGTCTCTTAGGCGCTTGGACTCCCGCATGGTTTCCTTTCAACAACAATAATGAGGGCCCCTCAGGTTCCAACATGGGATTCATGCGTCGGCCTGTGTCTAATCTCTAGTTGCGTCGCTGATTCACGGGCGTTGCCGATCCTCATAACGGTCTCATGACTGGCTACATGTCGACACTTTCACTCCAAAAGATGCAATCCCCTGCACGAATGGACCAATTCATTATCATACGACGAATGCTACTACTTCACGCGCAGCCAGTGGTCAGGAAGCATGAGAATGCAAGTACTTACAAGTGAAAGTGAAAGTGAAGCTAGCGGAAACTCTTACCCTTTTGAACCCAATAGGCTTACCTCTTGGGGGCATGCCAGTCAATAGGAGACGGGGTTTATAAGCAGGGTGGTGATTATTCCTCGCAACCCGCGGAAAACCCCGTGGTTGAACCCACCACCAGAACCCACCAGCCCACCACAACAATGCATTCTCCGGGCTTAGTCGCCGAAGTCGTCTTCCCCCGCAGACCAACCAGGGTGTCTCCAGCGGGCACCCTGCACAGTACCAGGAAGGCTTTGGCGGAGACTCGGGGGTGCGACCCTTAGGATTCGGCCTATGCTCCAAGTGCGAGGTGTCTATCTAGCATCGTGTAATTTGCTCAACCGGACTTGCTTGGTGGTTCTAGTTGCTGGGTTGGTCCCTAGGTTCACCCGGTTGGCCCCAAGATCCGAACCGGGCAGGACGGAAGGCCTGAAGTATGGTTCCGCAAGCCCGACTTCGGCCACCGGAAGAGGGATGGATGACTCGGCTTCGATGTCATGGGCGGGAAAGGCCTCTGGAGGGTGGCAACGTGAGGCTCCCGGTCACCCAATGCAGGTACTCAGGGCCCCAGCGGTCGCTCTGGAGGGGGGGGTGGGGGACACAATCAGACCAGGATAGAGGACAATATTAATGGCACAATTCAGTGATGATGCAGGCAGACAAAGGGAAGTGCATAGGATTAGTGTGGTAAGTACACGGTACGGAGTACGGGCAAGTGGTGGGAAGGTTAGTCACTCGTATTACACACGGCGACCGCCGATAACTTCCTGCCTTAATAATCCAATCCAGCCCTCGCTCCACCCCCGCCTGGCGCAAAATCCCACTCTTTTCGACTCCGGCCACCCGCGCGTCCCACATTCGAACGAGACTCTCCCTCTCTCTCCCTCTCTCTCTCCTTCCCTTTCATCTCCATATCGCCCACCGACCACCCAGCAACCCACCACCCACCTCGCAACCCCGACTCCATCCCCATCGATTGGTCCCCATTCTACGACACCCTCGTGGCACGCCACTCCCCGGCGGAATTTATACTTGTCGACACACTGCCTTGTGGTAGATCGGACGAGAAGGCGCCTCGGTGAAGAGAGGCGTCGGCCAGAGGCTTTGATTACAACGTCACATTCGAATACCTCGACCCCCTTGGATTGTCAAGCCTTGTGAGAAAGAGGCCCCAGAAGCCTTATCGCCATCATGTCCGAATTCAACGGCCGCCGGCCCCCCAACTTCTCCCAATACCTCGACGATCTGAATGCCATCCCGTCGCCCTACGACCAGGCCCTGCAGCAGCAACAGCAGGAATCCTACAACTTCGATTCCGAACTGTCGCTCTTCACCAATGCCGAATTCTTCGATTTCGATCAGTTTGGCGATCTCAACCTGCCGTCGTTTGACTCGTTGGAGGACAACAATGTGAAGAGGGAACCCTCTCGTGATGCCAGTTCGGACATGGATTTCTTGAACCTCCTGGGAGGTGAGTGAATACAGTTTTCTTCAAGTCATCCGTTCGATACCCTTGGAACCGAGCTGGGCGAATGCGGGCAACTACGGTCGCAACGGTAGTACTATGTTACGAAGTGCTGAAAAAAGCCATTGCACCGTTCCTGGATGGCTGTGGATTTGACCGTGTTGTATCTGTCTCCATATCCGTCATACCCCATATCTGCCCACTACCTTTGATTTCCATCCCTGCCATTGTGTGCAAAAATCCCTTCCTCGTGGAGCCTTGTACTAGCGGTGGATGAGGTACTATATTTCTGAGACACCGGCTGCTCCTCCCACTGGCATCATCTGCACGTGTTTTGATTGGCCCGCTTCCTGCATGAGACCCCTTCGTCTGTGCGGCGATCGCAGAACGTGCAGCGGCTTTCCATTGGCGTGGAATGCGCCAACTGCTCGCCTTATTGCGCCATACCACGTGACCTCCATCTGGTGGAAGGGTGCATACAGCCTTGGGTCGTGGCACATCATGAGGATCTGGCCGCGGTCGATGCCAATGATGCCTTGCTTTATATCCCCTTCGCCCGGCTTGGGCATCTATTCCCTTTCCCGAACACTTGATCACATCATTCCAAACGATTCGATTGCAGACCCTTGACTAACGCCCCCTAGAAGGCTTCGGCAATGTCAACAACGTCCCCTCTACTATGAACTCCGTCAACACACGGCCTATGCCCGTCCAGAACAACCAGTTCCCTGCCATCCCATCCCTGTCGAATGCTCCTCTGGAAGTCAACACCGCTCCCAGCCAACCCGCTTCGCAGCACTCTCCTCAGTCATCGGTGACATCGCCAGTCGAGGCCCCCACTCCTGCCCCTACCACCGCTGCGTCTCCCCCCGCACCGAAGCGCAAGAACACACAGAAGACTGCGGCTATGAGCGTAGAGGAGGCCTCGCGCCTAGCTGCCGAAGAAGACAAGCGCCGCCGCAACACCGCGGCCAGTGCCCGGTTCCGCGTGAAGAAGAAGATGCGCGAGCAGACCCTGGAAAAGACGGTCAAGGAGACCACGGACAAGAACAACGCCCTGGAGGCCCGAGTCACCGCCCTGGAGCTGGAAAACCAATGGCTCAAGAACCTCATCACCGAGAAGAACGGCCAGACCTCGGAAGAGGCCCGGCAGTCGGAGCACGACATCGCTACCATGTTCAAGAAGTTCTTGGCTACTCACCAGCAGAAGGACAGTGCGTCGAGTAGCTCCGAGTCGAAGATCGGCGTGGGCACCGCTTAACCTTAGTCCCTTGAAAATATGGGTTGGTTGGTTTGTCTATTTTGCCTCTTCTTGTTCATTTGAGCTTTTTTTTGTAGATGATGAGATGTTATGCAGAGTCATTGAATCTCCCCTTCCTCTTTTTTCATTTTTATCCCCCCCCCCCCCCCTTCTGTTTCCTGTTTTTCTCATATCCAATGGTGTACATGAAGGGGATGGCGTCTGTGGTGCACGGAAAGTGGAGGATACCCGCCTGCCTGAGGTCGTCGGAGGTATGAGTGATGTTTTTACTTTATTTTTACCGTCTGAAGTAAAGATCCGATATGATCTGATCAGATAGCTGCGATTGTTATGCAGCCCCCTGTTTAAAAGCACGATAATGAATGATTATACCTATTTGTTTACCTTCCATTGCTAGCTTTATTTTATGGTCACTGCATCTTTTTACTGGAGTATCTCATGATATTGATAGTCGATTCTACATCGCATATTCGTAGCTGTATACACGACCAAATCCCTATCGCGTTATTTAAGGGCATCTATCCATCTATTTATCGTATCAATTCAATCCATCAGGCACCACCAAACCAACCAACCAACCAGACAGGCAGGCAGAGCGATAGGCCAAGCCAAGCCAGGCCAGACCAAGTTGCCCCACGGACCCATACAAATGACCCGCTTGAGCACCAGAACCAGACCCAGACCCAGAACCAGACCCAGACCCAACTGTCTCGTACGGGATACACAGTTAGGTACATATCTAGCCTAAAATGCAACCCCAGTCAGTCCGTATGCAAAGTTTTGATTTTTGATTTTTTTTAAGAGAAGGTACGATGGTGCTTGTCAGGCACAAGAAAAGGGAAGAAGGGATACTTTGTAAATATGAATGATACTCTGCAAGCATAAATAATACTTTGTAGACACCTCTGTAAACATAAACATAAACATAAACATAAACATGGACATAGACATAGACATCAATTCTCAACACCATGCATGTATGGGATATCAGATAGGTAAGCGCCTCGATTCCTTATTCTGTTTGTCCATCCATCCTACCGAATAAGAAGAAGAGGAAGAGGAAGAAGGAGAAGCACGCGTGCATAAAACAAGCCAGGAGGGTGGTGGTAAACGCTGGTTAACGCCTCATAGGATGGGTAGGTAAGATGAAGTAAGGTGGGGAGGTAGGGAGGTAGGTAGTTAAAGTAGGTAAGTAGGTAAGTATAGGCATGGTATGTACCTAGAGGGGGGAGGGGAAGGTCTCTATTCACCCTCCTTGCATTAGTCATTACTGAAGCCGAGTAAAAAAGAAAACACACACACACACACACTAAAAGCAATATGTAGCGGATCCGGTCACTCAATCTGTCATGGAATATCTTATCTTGCGTAACTTCGTTGCAGTAAACAAAAATTGGATGTGGGTAGGGAAGAAAAAAAAAGATTCGGCTTGAATGGCTGATGGAGATGGATAACAAGCCAGAATCTGATTTTAGATTCCCCTCCCCCCCTACTCCTCAGGTGACTCCTTTGTCCCGTCGGTTGGGTCGGCTTTGGGCTCGGGTTCGTCGTCTTTCCTGTCGGCTAGCTTCTCCTCGTCGCTTTCCTCGCCGGTGATTTCTCCCCATCCTGAGCTGCGACGGCTGATGCGCCCCGTGGCGGGTATTGTTTGGTTGTTCGACGGACCGGGCCATGCGCTGCTGATGCCGGTTCCGGTGATACTGGCCGTGTTGCTGTCGTGACGGCTGTGCGATTGGGCCGCACTGATGATGCTAGCACCGTCTCCTGCGGTGGCGCCCTTGTGGAAGCTGCCGCGTTCACCGCTCCCTGGCAAGGGCGCAGTGCCAGAGGCCGAGTAGACGCTGGCGCGCTCCACACTGGCCAATCCCACCAAGCTGGGTCTGTTGAGAACACCCGGTGTGTTGAAGGACGAGGCGGTTGACGGCTCTCCGACGTTACCGCTCAGCACGCTCAGGGGCAGGCTCTCGCGGCTACCCCCGAACACCGAGGACGGGGCCAGGGCCCGAACCGAGGCATTCGTGTCCAGTGAGTTTCTCCGGCGTCGCTTGGAGGACGAGGCAAGGGTCAAGATGGACGCGTTGTCGGTGAGGAGGTTGTTGGCCGTCGCAGTGCTATAGGTGACCGACTGGCCATGAGGGGCAAGGTGGGGCGGCACTGCCGTGGCTGGAGATGAGGGAAATTGATGGGAAAATTGCACTTGTTGAGTCGGGTTGTGCAGTGAATTGGAATGAGTCGTGTGATGTGGGTTTTGCGCATTGTAGAGATGTCCCGACGGCGCTGCCGACTGCACCGTGGTCAAGGTCGTGGTCAAGGACCGCACCGAGGGCGCGGGCGACGAGAAAGTGCTCCCCTCACCCCCGCCCTGCGAACTGATGCCGCCCCCCGCCGTGGCCATGGTCCCTGCCTTGGAATACGCAGCATCGGAGATGGCTGTGTCGCCGTTGGTCGAGATGGTGGGGGCGGTTGACTTGGCACTGGTGGCGGGGATATGTTGCTCGTAGCCGGAGTACGCGAGGGAGGGTTCGCTCTGGGAGCACGATCTCTGTTCGGAATCGCCGCTCGCCTCGGAGGGATTGAGATCGCTAGTGTAGTCGCCGACGAAGTTGGGGGTGCCCGACAGCGGGTAAGGGTTGTTTTTCGAGCTTCGGCTCTTGTGCTTGGGCATCGCATGGCGCTTGTTGGACCAGCGGTTGGCGCCCGAATCGGTCGAATGTTTTAGGCTGGCGAGTCGCTTCATCCAGCTGGAAAAGGGGTGGCGGCGTCCATTGCGATCTGTTTCCCACGCGCGTTAGACAGCTCAGAGAACGTATAGCACTGTAGGGGTTGTCAAGCAGAGCAACGCACCATGCGCCCTGGCGGGCCCCTCGGCGGTAGCCATCCTGGCCTTCCAGCAATACACAGGTAAGATAGCCAGCGGGACAACAGGGGGGGTTGTTTCTGGCCGACCACCGGAACCGTCAGTGTCGCAGATAATTTGAGTAGGCGAGTGGAGAGTGGGCGATTAGGCGGTTGATCGATCGAGAGGATGCCCGAGGAAACGAACGGGGGGTGGTGGCAGCGTGGGAGCAAAGAAAGGGAGGACGGACGGGCAAGGGGGAGAAGGGGAAGGGGAAGGGGAAGGGGGAAGGGGGAAGGGGAAGGGGGAAGGGGGAAGGGAGGATTCAAGAAGAAAAAAGAGCCACAGAGAAAGCCGCGGAACAGAACGAAGGGAAATGGAGCGATGGAGAGAGAAGTGAGAAAGGGAATCATGACTGAGGCCTTCCAAGTCAGGAGTTCCTCGGGAGGGAGGGGCACGTGATTGGCGCCTCCATGCATCTATTAATGTAGGACTACGACGTACTAGTAAGTATAGTATACAAGTACTCCGTATACTCCGTCCGTATCTCCATTCTCTTGTCTTCTGCTGTCTTTCCCCGTGCTTCTGCCCTCACCCTTCCTCCCGACAATCATCTCCCCGCCAGTCTCCAGTCTGGGCTCTGAAACTGACAGGGGCTCGGGCCAACAGCCTACAGGACCTGCCACCATTGACCATCTGGGCTACTGCAAATGCAATGATGCGATGGCGCGTATCTCGGGTGCTCGCTTACTCGACCCCCCTGGTCGTGGGCATGCCCGGCGAATCATGGCCGCGTGCTCGAGCCATCATCCATGGGTGGCATGGACTCCTGCTTACGGATCCCACCTAGCCTGGTGCATGTCATCCCGCGCGATGCCCTCGTGTCCAATTGCCTGGCCCTTGTGAAACACTCCCGACGGGCACGCAAAAAAGCAAATCATGGATGGATCGACTGCCTGCATGGAGATTTAATAACCAGGGGCGAGATGTCGAACCCACTTCGGCTATGTTGCTCTATGTTGTTGGGGGGGGGACTGCTAGATCTGGACATCAAGCTCGATCGGCAATCCATGAACCGAACACGGGCGTACAAACTGTAAACGGGGGCTTTCCACGGTGTAGACTTTTTGAGTATGGGTCATCATCGTCTCTTGTCTTGGTGCATAGCTGTTTGTTTATTGACTCAAAAGGCCGACTACCGACGATATCAAAACAGGCCAACTGCATGGGAAGGGGAAGATTACTACTACTAATTAAAGTACTTAGTATACATAGTATCCTTTGTAGAGGAAGGACCTTTGACATGTCCATCGCTCCTGCTCTTTTCGTATACCTCGTCTTGGCAAGAGCTCCCCTCATCACGTGACCTGCGACATCATCGGCCCGCCCGCCGCTTCCTTCCTGAGCCTCGCTTCTCCGCCTTCCAGCATCAACAATTCAACATGGCAACCACCTCCACTCGGCAACCTTAGTGCTTCGTGCTTTTGTTCCCTGGTTTCATGCACTCTCAGGTCCCGACCTGTCTGTCGTGTGACAGACTTACGTGTCAACCCGCCGGGGTCTACCATCCGGGAGCGGTTCCGCTTCATGCCAATATGACCCTTCAAAAGGACTAGCCGATTCCTATACCCCTTGCCATGCCCCCAATCGACTCGAGGATCCACCCTTTGCCGCCAGATGTAGTGGCAAAGATCAAGTCCTCAACGGCCATCACTCACCTCAATGGAGTCATTGTGGAGCTAGTCAAGAATGCCTTGGATGCACATGCCCGCACCCTCTATGTCACGGTCGATTTTCTGCGTGGCGGATGCGTCGTCGAGGATGACGGAGATGGGATTCCGCCATCTGAATTCGAACTAGGCGGAGGGCTAGCGAAGGCACACCGTATGTTGGACTGTCACCTGATAACCTCATCGGCTCACTGACGATGGTGCAGATACTTCGAAATCCCATTCGAATCACGACGTACTCAGTCGCAGAGGGCTCTTCTTAGCCTCACTTTCTGCACTTTCCCTGCTTACTATCACTTCTCATCATCTCCATCATCCGAGTACAAACACGGTCACCTTCCATCACTCGACGCCTGTTGCCAGGTTGATGCCAGCCCCAGTATACCAGGAGCTGAGGTTCAGCGCCCATGGGACCAGTGTCACGGTGAACGACCTATTCGGGAACATGCCTGTGCGTGTAAAAAGTCGGGCTGTGGCGCTCCAGCGGCCGGATGAACTGGAACGGCAGTGGGGGGAGCTCAGGCAACTTTTGGTATCTTTGATGATCGCTAATGACCAAATGGCCAAATTGGTGGTCTCCGTCGGTAGAGAGAGAAGACTTACGGTTTGCCCCCGAACACGGGGACGAGTGAGTAGCGATGAGCTGGACCTCCATCGCATCAGCTCCATCCTAGCCCAGGCGGGGCTGGCTGATCATCAGAATACCAGCAGTTGGGATGCTGTGTCAGCCAACGTTTCTGACTTTTCGATCCATGCTGCTCTTTCACTGACGCCCTGTCCCACCAAGAAGGTTCAATTTGTTTCTATGGGTCCAGATCCGGTGTTTTCCAGGAGCAATGCGAATCTCATCTATAGCGAAGTCAATCGCTTGTTCGCTCTGTCCGATTTTGGAACTGCGGGAGGGTTTTCGACCTTAGCGGGAAGTGGTATGCCATTCAAGGATGATTATGGCCATGGTTTGCAGGCTATATCTACGTCCAAAGCGGTTAACAAGTGGCCTATGTTTTACATACGTATCAATACTCAAGATCCCCGGGGCATCGATGGCGATGCACAAGACTTGCCAGAATCGGAAAGGTCGCTTCAGCGTATCATCGACGTTCTTTCTGCCATGATCAATGAGTTCCTGAGGCAAGGTGGTCTACGCCCGCGTTCTAGGAAGAGGAAACGAGAGGCACCGAAAATATCGAAACCAAACACGAGTTCCCACAGTTCTATGACTGGAAGGTCTTCAAACACGAAGAATCACCTTTCTAGCACGGAAGATGTCTTTCGTGGGAAATTAAAACTCCCTTCCCTTCGGAGACCCTCCAATGTCAGTCATCATTTTGGGAACTGGTCCAGGATCAAAAGTGCCAAAAACGATCCGTTCACCAAACGTTCGCCCCTACGTGCAGCGGAACCTAAGTTGACGGTCCCCTCGGAAATTGCTCCTGTAACGCCCGTCAAAACTTCTCCGTTGCAGCAGTCCGAACCAATGTCCGGAGTTCGTCACACTAAGGGCTCTCCTACCGAACACCCAGACCTTCTGCCGCAGGATGCAGATCAATCCATTGCGACTGACAACCAAGATGCGACACAGGCTGACACCATGGTGCCATGGGTTGATCCCTATACTGGGAGGAGCCACATGGTCAATTCCAGAACCGGGCAGTCAATGCTCCTCGAACCTTCGGCGGTGTCAGCTTTGGAGAGGCCCCATTCAACCGGTGCTCTGTTAGGACCAACGATGGCTGCGAATGGCGTGAAGCGGCCAAGGTCGGCTGCTTCGGGTAAATCCCAAAACGAATGGGTCGAAAACATTTTGAACAATTGGAAAAATCCCATTTTTGAACGCCCTGAGAAGCCTATTGGCATTATAGACATCAGTGCAGGTCATGATGCAGCAGGCCGCCCTGGATCTAGTTCCAATGACAGATCAGGTGAGCTCTTCGGAGTGGATAGTTTGGGAGTGTCGAAGTTCAAGGGCAAGCTACAAAAGCAGGGCCTAAGAGATGCAAAAATCATTGCCCAGGTGGACCAGAAATTCATCTTGGCGAAGATGCGGGCGGTGTCCAGTAGTCCCGGTGATCCTGGTTCAAGTCTGGTCTTGATCGACCAGCACGCCGCTGACGAGCGATGCCGGGTCGAGGCGCTTCTGGCAGGGTTGTTCGCGTCCAGCGGTGACCCTGGACGCATCCAAACCATCAATCTGGAACCAATCATTTTTGAGATACCAACCCCGGAGGCGTCCCTTTTTGGACAGTATAAGAAGTTCTTTGCATTTTGGGGCATAGAATATACCGTGGAACAGGGGCCCAAAGACGTCAACGCCTTTATTTTCGTACGCACGCTCCCAGCCCTCATTGCAGAGCGTTGCCGGACCGAGGCCGGTTTGGTGACCGATCTCATTCGCGGAGAGATCTGGAGACGCGAAGAAGAAAATGGCCAGGGCCGTTCAGTCGATCTGGACGACCGGGTGGACCCTGACAAAAACGGCTGGGTAGAGCGACTGGATGGATGTCCTCGAGGGATCATTGACCTGCTGAATTCTCGTGCGTGTCGCACGGCAATCATGTTCAATGATGCCCTGGGCGTGGATGAATGCCAGAGCTTGGTCGGCCGAGTGGCGGACTGTGTCTTTCCCTTCCAGTGCGCGCACGGTCGGCCTTCGATGATCCCTATCTTGGATATGGGCGGTGCTTTGGATCAAGATCCCTCGTCCGAGTATGACGAGTATGACGGTCCCGGGTTCATCGACGCATTCAAATCCTGGCAGGATACACAGGTGGATTGATTCAACCGTACAAATTATTTCTGGCACTTAGGACCAACCACAACTACAGTATATGATTTTACAGTTACTGTTATGTTATATTATGTTATGTCACTGTATAGTCAGATTACCATGCATGAACAGAGAGCGAAATGGAACAAGATCAGAGTGATCAATTAGTCAGTCAGACACTATGTTATGTTATAATATGATATGATAGATGTTGAAACATGGTATATACAGAGATAGTACAAGGCTTTCCTCCCAAGATCCATCCATCCATCCATTCCGGGCCCAGATCCATACCAAAACCAGGCCAATCCAAATCAAAATCCAAGTCCAAGTCCATTCCAAATCCAATCCAATCCCAAGCAATGCATCCATATAACCCTCCAAAGTCAACCAGTAAAACAGTGATAAGAATGTAAATGTTAAAAAAAAATAATAATCAAAAACAAAAAAGCAACGGCAGTCAGTCGTAGACAGTAAGTAGTGAGACAGAAGGCTCGCGAAAACGGGATCCAAAAGAGAGAAACAGGAAAGAGACGCAATCATGAAAAAGCTGAGCAATCAGGTCAGGTCAGGTCAAGTCAGGCATCAAAGCATCTTATCAATGACAGCAATGACAACAACAACATCAGAAGTAGGAATAAGAATAACCCAACTCTGCTTATATCAACGAGCCGCGAGGCTCTTTCCGACCTGTATATAATAAAAACGAAAAAAAGGGAATCACGCCTTTTTTTTGACCATGCTCACCCCTGTTGCATGTATGCATGTACACACATTCCCGTATGACGAATGACGAATGATGGATGATTTTGCAATCCCGCTTTTGGAACCAACCAGACCGATATGATGAGGAAAGATCACGAGTGCCGCCGCCCAGAAAAAAAAAGAAATAGAAATTAAGGGATGGGGATGGTGGTAGAAGAGAGAGGAAAGCAGGTAGCAGGTAATAAGGTTGAAGGTATACACAGTAGAAGGAGGATGGGGGGGTGTTTCCAAGGGTATGTGTGTGTGTGTGTGTGTGTGTGCAGGAGAGTGGGTGAGAGGGTAAGAGTAAGATGAGAGAGTAGGTGTGATGTGAGAGGGTAAGAGTAAGATGAGAGAGTAGGTGTGATGTGAGAGGTATCAGGGTAAAGCCGTGGAAGACATGAAGAGAAGTGACTATCATAAATCGTGAAGAGGCTGCCGTTAAGAGTGAGCAATCGAGCAGCGCGGTTAACCATTTGTTGCGACCGACTTGGCCTTGGAGGAGGGATGCGTCCAGGAGAGGAAGTCGAACTTGTCCTTGGCGTTCTCTAGGATGGACGAGGAGCTGGATTCGGGCTGGATGTTGCGTTGTTGGGGCGCCTCCCGGGGCTCCAGGACCAGCGAGCGACGGTAGAAGGTCTGCGCACCCTTTTCGCCGCTCGATCGCACGCGGATCAGCTCGTTCTGCATCCACGCCTGCAGCTCGGGCACTTCCGCCAACCGGTACGGGATCTGGAAGCGCTGCAGCTCGCTGATGATCTTGGCGGTCTTGACATGCTTGTCGAAGTTGATCACCGCCATCTCGCCCTCGTCCGTGGGCAGGTTGCGCAACGGCTGGTTGCCGTGGTCCACGAAGGTCAGGTCCGTGAGGTATGTGCCCACGAATGGCAGACAAGGGGGCACGTGGTTCTGCAGGCGCTGTCGCAGAACGGCGTAGTTGCGCGAGACGTCGACAATGCCACGGAGAAACTCCAGGATTGTCTTGGTCTTCTGCGACACCACCTCCCACGTCCGCTTCAGACGGGAGATCATCGACGAGTTCAGGGAGCAGATGATGGCCATCAATGAGTCGTAGTTGCTGAGCTCCAGGCACTTGTTGGCAATCTTGACCCAGTGCTTGATGATCGCCGCACGCTTCTTCGGCTCCTCCAGCTGAAGGATCGAGTCCGCCACCAGATGCGCCAGGTCCGTCGACAGAGTCGACATCGCCCGAACGTTGACCGCCAAGGACCCCGATTTCTTCATCCATTCGGTCGCCAACAGCTCTTCCGGAAGAATGGTGCAAAAGATCCGCGACTCCTTGATTGTGAACTGGCGGGCCAATTCCATCGGATCGAAATCCAGAATGGTGATGGTCCCATCCCCGTTCTTCCACTGCTTCAGGAGGTTGATTTCCTTCTTGCCCAGAATGGGCGGTGGCAGGGGAGTGTCGGGATGCACATACTGTGCGGTCGCAGTGTTGGTCTTTCCCATGGAGGACACCAGGCGGGGAACAACCGGGCCATGCACCATGGAGACCTTCTCTGCAAGCTCGGCCAGTCGCCTTCCTGCAGAGGGAAGGTTGTACATGAGCGTGGTGTTGGCGAAGTGGACGATATACTCCAGCGTGTTGTTGTCGCAGTCATGGCGCCAGTGCGATTCGAGCCAGCCCTTGAAAACATTGTAAACCCGAAGACGGACGGGCCCCGCCGCGTGAGGGGTGTCCCCGATGTAGTTGAATCGATCAACGAGGGTTTCCGCAAAGTCGAGGGGCGTGGCAAACAGACGGAAGGTAAGGTAGAAGGTTGACACAAACAGGGCGTCTGGAGTGGATTGGTGAGCAGTCAGCTTCTCAACAAGGGCGCGCAAGCTTCCGCCCATCACGGCGCCATCTTTAAAGATCAGCTCGTGTGCGTATGTCTTCTCCAAGATGTTGGCTTCTGTCTCTTCATTCTCCTCCGCGAGGGTGGAGTGGCTGATGCTACCCTTCAATGAGGGAACTTGGTAGTGGTTGCCAATGTCAGGCGAGGTGGCCCGAGTCGACGTCTGAGATACGCCACTCATCTCCGAATCGCGCAGGCGGCTATTGAAAGTGAAGCTACTCCCATTGCTAGTCACGCCGCGACCAAAGGACTCACCAAACTCCGACTTGGGCTGGCTGTCCCTGTGGGGGGTGGCTTCGATAGGCTGGGTGTCATGGGAGGAAAAGGAGAGTTTGTCGAGGCTGGTGCAGAGATTGGTGGTGGAGGGGAAGGAGGACATGTCGGTGTTGATAGTGGAGGGGAAGGAAGACTGGTCGGTGCAGAAGGTGGAGGGGAAGGAGGACTGGTCGGTGTTGGCGGTAACGGGGGTGCCGGCTCCCCCGCGGGACTGGAAGGACTGGAAGGAGGAGGGCGTGTTGTCCTCCGTCAAGCCTGGGGTGGGAGGGGAGTAGCGGTTGTTGGTCTTGGGGATCTGGATGGGCGGCGGAGGCAGACGGAGGGAAGCCTCCTGGGAACGCGGCGGCTGGTCGCCCGCAAAGGTGCTGGTCTTGGGCGACTTCGGGGTCTTGTTGGCGTCGGGGAGCGGGCTGGCCGCCACCGGGGCCACCGGGGCCACATCCTGGGGCATGGCCTCGAGCTCAAAATCGCCGCATTGCTCCAGCATCAGGCGAGCCTTGGCCAGGCAGTTCCCCGCAGCGCGCACGCAGTCGGTGGCGGCATCCACCAGACGCTTCCCCTCATCGGGCAAAAACACCAGCTCATCGTCGGGGGAATGGGCCGGTCGGAAGGCGTCCCGCGCCGCATAGACCAGCTCGGACAACCGCTCGTACATGGTGTCCCGGGCGTGCTCCAGAAGTCCACTTCCCTGCGGGTCATGCTCGCAGGTGGCCTCCACGACGGTCAGCAGAGCCCGGCAGGAGCGCACGGCCTGTTCGGTCGTCACCACCAGCTCCGTGGAGGAGCGAGAGTGCAGGTGGAGGCCGATGAAGGAGCCCAGGACGCCCAGGAAGGCATCGTAAGCGGCGTTCAGTCGCTCGGACGCTAAGTTGGGGTTGCGGACCGCGGCAGCTGGAGCCGAGCAGGAGACCCGGTGGGAGATGGAAATCCGCTTGGTCGTCACGGACACCGGGCGGGGCGGAAGCGCGTCGTCCAGGCGAGTGGAGGCCCGGCTCATGTCCAATCGGCTCCGGTTGAGAAGTCTCGACTCGTTGCGCTCGGTATCGGCCTCTGATGGGGCGGGTTCGGCTATGGGGCATGTCTCAGTCCCGAGTGGGACTTGGTCCTGCTGGTGCTGTGCCGATTGCTGCTCTAGCTCCGCGATCGTCCTGCTCAGACCAACATCCTCGTTCCACACATCCAGGAACCGGACGCCTCGCGTCACAATGCGAAAGGCCTTCAGCAGCATCTCATCCACCATGTAATCGATGTCATCCTGCATCGCCGCGCCAGTACCGACCTCCTGGAATTTTTTGGTGGTCCGGACCAGGGACGAGAGATCCGCCAACAATGCCTTGCGGTTCCGGCGCAGGCCGTCGTGGCCGGTTACCAGCATACAATCCCGGGTGAGACATTCCGATTTTTGCTTCCAGCACATCAGCCACCAACCGGTTCCGAAAAAAAAAAAAAAAAGTTCAGAGGGTGTCAGAGACTCACCAGCAGATAACGCACGCCCGCAATCAGGCCTCGCACGAGGTCCTGGTTGCCAGCGTTATTGAGAGGGAACCCACAGCCTCCTCGGATGATATCCCAAAAGTCGGTCAACGCCTTCAGGAGCGGACGCATGGGTTGTTGATCATACGCCTCGCAGTAGTTGGTGGGTAGCCAGCCCCGAGCGCCGGTGTCTAGGAGTGTGCCGTCGGCCCAGCCATTGGTGTGTACCGAATGCACCAAGATGACGTCCCCCTGATCCAAGGGCAGGGTGACTGTCGACGGGGACAAGTTTCCGGATGGGTGGTAAGGGTAGAATGCACGGAGGTAGTTGTGGAAGACGGCCCTCGGCGTTTCCGTGGGTTCCATGTTGTTGTCTTTGGAATTGTAGGGCGTCAACGGAGGGCTCATTTCCAAGTGATGTTGAGCGTGGTGGTAGCGGTCGGTGTGAAAGTTGAAGTTTCCCTTTTCGATCTTCAACGGCGCAATGTGTCGCTTCATTGGGTCCATTTCTTCTTGCTGTTCGAGTTGATGGGAGATCGTCCTCGGTTTGGATAGGCCCAGCCGGACGCACAACGGTCATTGACCAAGGCTTAAACGAGGGAAGATGCAGCGATCATTCTCATCACTCTGTTCAATTGCTAGATTCGTAGAAGGGTCGGGTCTGTTCGAGCCGGCGGTATAGACAAAGAAGATAGTCGAGCTAGTCGAGCCGCGATGATGTCGGTGGCCGCAATGTAGTCGAATCCTGTCGGAGAGGTCAATGGGAGGCTTGGGCCAGCAGGAACGTTGATGGTCTGCTTTCTACCGGAGGGCGTCTAGGGGTGTTTGGAGGATGTTTGGGAGGGGATGGGTTCTGCATGTCTCCCGGGGAATGCTCGCTTCTAGGGGAGGGAATGGAAGGAATGCCGGGGAAGGGCAACCGGTTGCTAACGTACCTTGAACGCGGACCTAGGGCACGTCGGATAGCGACGAAAGGAGTTCGGATGCCGTCGCGTATACTAGGAGTAGCACAGGAGCAAAGTTATATACCAGTTGCTTTGTAGCGAGGGTAGACACGTTTCCTGGTGCCGGGGCAAAACGAGGAGCACGGTTGAGCACGAGGGACGGGAAAATGTAGGTTGGTGGGAGAAAAAGCGAGCGAGTAACCAGGCCGCACAGGACAAGCAAGCTCGAGGGGTGGCAAACAACAGCAGCCAGTGAAAAACCGGGATGAGGAAAACCTGCCTCGACGTCGAAGGGACTGACTCGAACGAGGATCAAGTGGGTTGGTTGGGTTGCACGCAAGGATCCCGATCCGACCCCGGACTAGATCTCGAGATGGGCGTCCCACAGCGGCGCGAGGAAGAAGGAAGCCGGGACAACGGAGGGGGAGCTTTTCCTCCAAACAAGACCGATCGACGGGGTTGCAGCGGCGATGACGACAGGGCGGACGAGCTCAATCTCCTGGTGGTGAAGGAGGAGGGGGATGGGATGGTGTCGGCCGCAGGGAAACACGCAAGGGCCGCGACAGATCCAAGACACGAGCGAGCGAGCGAGCAGGAGGGAGCAGGAGCGAAAGGGCGGGAATGAACGCAATGCGGGCCGGGTCGTTCACGGGGATGTACTCGGTCGATTCCGAGGACGAGGTCAATTGCCACCAGCAGCAAATGAATGAAGGACCGAAGGCTCCAGGGTGGGTTGGTGGGGAGTCGTGAAGGGAAGGGGGAGGGGGAGGAGGAGAAAAGGAGCGGAAGTGGGAGAAGAGGAAGGAGAGGAGAGGAGAAGGCGGAGGGGAGGTGCGGGAGGGTGGAGGGATGTCTGTGTGTATATACGGATAGAGAAGGAGGAGGAGGATGCCACCCCCATGAGGGGAAGGGAACGCAGGAAAGTACCAGGCAGGTACCGAGTGACGGACTGACGGACGGACTGACGGACTGGCCAAGCTAGTTGGTTAGGTGATGGGCCTAGTGATGGTTATCCAGTATCCACTGGATGAACCGGTGGATATGCCAGCGGCGCATCCCTGACTCGATTGGGACGTGGAGCAGCCGATCGGTCCCCGTGTGAGTTGTTGTGGTGTTCTTTGGATCAGAAGGATGCGTCGGATCATGGAACATAGTATATCTACACTCTACTCCGTACAACCCGACCGTTGATGGACTGATTAATCGAGAGATGGGGATAGGGATTGATTGAGATGGATATAGATAATGCGGCGCAGACAGATAGATACTCGAGATAAAATAAATGAACACCAAAATAACAATAAATAACAGCCCTGCTAATAATCTCAAGCACATATACCGTATCTATCTACCCAAGTACTTCCATCCAGCATCCAAGCTCAAAAGCAATTAAACCGCCAGTATGTACACAGTAAGTACAATCGCCCGTTCGGGTCTGGTCTGGTCGGGTCGGGTCTTGGTCCTTCTTTTCTTGTTATTTTCTTTTCCCTTTCTTTTTCTTTTTTTTTTTTTTAATATTCCCCCCCCCCCCCCCCTCTCTCCTCTATGAATTTATTTTTAATCCTCTCTCTCTCTCTTTTACCTCTCCCCCAGCGAACGCGGCTAACCTTTTAGTCCTGCCTAAACGGTTATGATCTGCCATCACACACCCGACGCCAAACCAGGGTACAGTCAGTCAGTCCGTCCGCACTTGCAGGGGCTACCGTCTATCTGGGTTCTGGGTTGGATCAGGCAATGGATGGATGAGATGGAAGGATGGGGCATTCAAAATATCCTTTCGACCATGTTTCACATGCGATATGATAGGCACTTGATCCTCGATCCTTGCACCTCGATCCTCGATAACGATGGACTTGTCAATCCATCAGTGATACGGAATTGGAAATGGAATTGGAGTCATAATTTGGAAGTGGGAAGTGGAACACTTTTCCCCGGTTGCCGATGTGCGATCGCGAGTCGCGTTGTTCATTCATTTAGGATTCTTCCGGAGTATTAAAATTCATTAATATTATGGCCAGGCCAGCCAGTTGCCACCACCGTCGCCGCCTGCGCCGCCGCAGCAGGGATACTATTATTATTGTTTATATTATTATTTATTATGTCTTATTATTATTTTGCCCATCGCCGGGCTTGCGACTAGCCAGCCAGCTAGGTAGACCGTAGTGTAGCGTAGATATCTAGCTGATCTAGCATCGAGGTACGGAGTAGCAGTCCGGAGAACCTACGGAGGAGACAGGGTGGAAAGCCGAGTCCAGTCCAGTCAGGTCAAGACATTAGACAAGAAGAGCACCCATATTAAAAACGGTCGGTCGGCCCTTTCCCCAATAGAGGCAATGTGAATGGACGGGGGACTCAATTGGGAAGCAAAACTCGCCTGCCTTGAGTTTGACAGCCTCCCAAGACCCCATATATTCCCCTCCCAAATGAAATGACCGCGCAAGCTCATTCGAAGAAAGCACGATTAAAAAAAAAAAAAAAAAAAAAAAAAAAAAAAAAAAAAAGGTCCACCATATCTACTCCATAGCTTCCCCAAATTAAATTGAAGAGGGGAGGGGAGAGGGGAAGCAAATAATAATAATTAATTAATCTGTCGAGAGTCGAGAGGGAACGAACAAACGGACGAACCTTGAGCTTTGCCACTAGGCCCGGTCGGGGGGTCCCACCGACCGAAGGAAGCAGAGGAGGAAGGAAAAAAAGACCTGCATGCGCAACAAACAACAGGGGTTTGAGTTTAAGGCCAGGCTTCCTTTTTTTTTTTTTTTTTCTTTCTTTCTTTCTTTCTTTTTTATATGTACTTATGTACGGAATACTTATTTACTTGCTTACTACCTACTTACTGCCCGGCCAAGATGCCAACCCAGACTTGGTGGCGAAGACACATGAACTCGAACTCCTCACGTTTGTATATATAGCAACGGACATACTTACACCCACCCACCTATGATGCACATCCCGGTACATACAAAAGCCCATAAAAGCCGACCCAGAAACCTAAAAGAGCTCCCTACTACCCACCTACCTAAAAGTCAAAAAAAAAAAAAAAAAAAGCACCCCATAACTACCCCCCTCCCATGTGGGATCATCCCAAGGACGGTACCGGTACGCCGAGAAAAGGCAAAAAAATTGGGCAAATTCGCAAGATCGACAAGGGCAAGGCAAGCAGAGTACCATACCTAGATAGATAGTGAGTAGTTAACCATCCCACCGGGATTCCCAGAGAACTTTCTCGAGGCCCTCCCATCCGTCCATTATCCGCTTTTTTTGCTTTTCGCCATTGGTCCGGTACTTTGGGCTTGGGTCGGGGGGAATTTGGGATCCTACCCACGCCTGTGGTGTGCTTTTTTGGCTCTGGGCCGGGGGGGTGCTGCTGCTGCTGCTGCTGATGTTGCTGGCATGCTGCTGACTGCGTACTTACGTATCTATCTACTCTACTCTACTATAATGTCAGGCGATCCTTCGCCTCAACTAGACCAGACTAGTAGTGACAGTGACAGTGACAGTGACAGTGACAGTGACGGTCAGTGGCAGCGGCAGGGGCAATCTGAATATTCGGATTATCAAAACACACCCGCGTTTCCTAACTGACTGACTGACTAACTGTCTCTGTGTCTGTCTATCTGCCATCCTGAGTATCTACTCCGTACGGGCACTAAATAACCACAGTAGCAGAATGCAGTAAACGGATCCTCGAAATAGAAACCGATGGGCGCAAATCCGCGCCAATCAACCCCAGGAGACCAATGGGGAAAGAACCTGACCTGTCGACTGTCACAGGATGATGGGGCCTGAAGGATTGCATGGCGACCCACTCCCTCCCTCACTGGTTCGGGCTGCTTTGCTGCCCAGCTCATAGCAGATAGACTAGATAGTGGTCCCTGTCCCTTCTGTTCTGCCTTCTAATGACGGCCGGGGAGCGGCTCCCGGGCTCAACTCTTGGGTATCTGGCTGCTCCATCGGTCTTGGAGACGGGAGACAATACTTCTTGCTCGGAGCTGAGTGGCGCACTAGGCGAGGATCAGTGAGCGTATCTCCATCATTACCCAGGTACCTCACTCACTCACTCACTACAGAAAATCAAAATCCCAATCCACCGGCCCTGCGGAGGGTTGTCTCCGCCTACCCAAGGAGTAGTTATAGCTTAGGATTCGGATATCGTCGCATCGCATCGCGTCGCCTCACGTCGCCTCACGTCGCATCACATCACAGTGCCGTTGGTTTGGGTTCTAGATCTTGACAGACGGACAGGTCTCGGTCTCACTTAAGGTCGTACGGCCAGTCACTCTGAAGCACACTACTAACTCCTGACATATGTCCTGTACCTGAATCCTGACTCCGGGATGAACGGCCGTGGCAGTGACAGTGACACAGGGGAAGGAGCTCTTGTTTCACGGCGATACTTACGTAGGTGGTAGATAGACACGGACAGTCCGAATTATCAGTGCTCAGGATCATCCATGCCAATAGATTATCTGCGATGCAAGGGCACCAACACAGCCCTACCATGGTTCCGTCCGAGATAGTTGGTATAGTATATATTGTGTTTCGGGTCTGACAAATGGATCATGGTAGACTTCGCTAACCGTTGCCGATCCCCAACTCTACCTCCCAGGACCAGGTCTACCGACCGAGACATCCCATCCCCAATCATTAATAATGTCTCCACCGGCCGCATTGCTGAGTTTCGAAGCGGATTGATTACTTGCCGGCCCGGTGCCACATATCCATCGAGAATGCATGCCGTGCCCAGGACGCCGTCCCCCGTACATCATATGTAAGTACTTCGTAGAGATGTTTCACTTCCATCTCCAACTATGTTCGTAGTCCTTTGTTCTTTTAACCTCTCCATCGGTGGCGGGTTGGGCCCCTGGATAGTCGCGAACTCTATCCGCATCTCAACCAGGTTCCCCCCTCCGCGCGCGCGGGAGAGGAGACATGGCTTGATATGCCGATAGGTGACCATGGGATGGTCCCCGGGCGGATCGGATAACGTGGATGCAACATGGGCAAAAGGCATGGCAATGCCATGGGCATGGCCTTCCACGATATTCCCCACATGAGTACCAAGAATTGAGACCATCCTCCCACATGATTCCATCCCTCCCTTTGGTTCTCGGGTCTGATCGCCCCTATCATTAGACCTCGCTTATGTAGCAGGCCCGATTGAGAAGGGAGGTGATGGGTAACCCCAGAGATGCCAAATGGCTGCGTAATGCCGGATCTGGTAAGCCCCAGATCGGATGATTCACATGTCTTCCGCCAGCCGTACACCTGATTAACGATATTATGATGTAGTTACGGAGTACTGAACATGGCTGTTTCCCGTGCCGAGAAGGTTCAGGCCAGAGGGGGACAAAGACACCAGGAAACTGGAATAGATAGAGGTGGCCGACACTGGGCCGACCAATATATGATAGATCAAATAACAGGTCGCAAGTGCTGATCCCCGAGCCACAAGGGACAAAGGGAGCTGATTCGATTATTGAACTATAGTTATATGGAGGAGCGCTACGGCGCTGTCGTCACGTCGTGTCCCCATTAAGTGCTTAGTAGGATTGCTGACAGCCCGACCGTTGATGCCGGCAAGCTCGAGTCCAGACCAGCGGAGAGGCAAAATGGATGTCAGCTCTACTTGCCCCTGTCAGTTAGTCTGCCGAGCTAACAGGAAGCACCGCGCTGCCTAGCACAGAGCCGTAAATCCTGGTCTTTTGGAACAAAGAGATCCTGACAGAGCTGGTGGACAAGGCTTGCAGGCTTGTTCATCGGCCGGGCCTAGAAACAGCACGTGCTCAGCGTCGTATGCGGGACTAACTCGACTAACAGGGGTCGGCGCTGCTAACGTATGAGCTTCCCATCACGATCCCCGTCACCGCTAGGCTTTTGATGCCTCCTGTCGACTCCGTACACACAGTGATACATAGTGCTACTGTGTAATGACGCAGATTGCAGCAATCAGAGAGCGCGGAGCAGATGCTGGTTAGCTCCTTAAACTCCCAAGGCCCCAAGACCGACTCAGGAGGACACTAACAGCAGGAACGGCTGTCGAGCCTCCCCGTGCCAGCCGCTAGGACTGAAAAAGGATGGATCCGAAATTACATCGGCCTCATTATGCCCATCCGTCTCCACCACCAGGCACTAAAGCGCTAGATTCCGTCGTCCATCGCCCACCGCGCGTTCTCAAAAGACGGGATCCTCGACGAGTGGGCGAGGACCGTCGACAAGTAGATAGTCTGGTCGAAATCACCGCGACAGCTTCACCCCACTTGGGAAACCGCAGCAACGCGGGACGGCACGACTGGCATTGAGTCCGAGCCAGGCTAGTAATGCAGTCGACGTCGTGCTCAGCCCTTGTTCTGGCGAAGGAGGGGAGGAGGTGCGTGCCAGCCTGGGTCAGTGGATTGACCGCGTCGCGCGTCGATGACAGGAGCTCGATGAGTCGATGGGGCAAGTGGCACCGTCTATCGAGTCCAGGGTGTAGATACTCCGTACTTCGTCGGGTAACAGGGGGGGGGGTGATGTCAATGATGTGATTAAAGGGATGTCAGTCAGTCCACCATTGCAGCGGTCGCGAAGGAATCCAGCAAGTCGCGGCCGCGCCCCGTGATCGTGGAGCGCCTGAGATCTCAGGACGGTGACCGTCACGTGTCGGGCTCCTTCCTCGAGGCGATTTCTCTCGGGTTTCGCCTTCTTGTCTCTCGTCATCCTCGGTGGCAGTCCTTACCTTACACACTCTACGCAATCAAACTGCTACGGCCTGGCGTTTCATTTGCTCTCAACTGCTTGCTCCATCGATGGATCTCTCAACCGTCCCTTGCCCCATCGATCCACAACAATCACATCGCACGTTCACTCGCCAACAACTATCTTAAAGTCTAATAATAAAAGCAACGCCAGACGTCAAGTCCAGATATCCCGTCTGCGGAGCATCGGGTATCTTAAACTCTGAAGGTATGTGGAGCCGCCACTCACGAACATTCACCGCATCGTCCTATTCGAGTCAGTGAAGAACTGTGGAACTGTCTCCGCATCATCGCAACCTATTGTACAAATCTACACCGTCGCTCGAGTGATAACCATCGATTCGGACCACGGTCTTCGCCAGATGGGACTCTGCTCCTTCTCATGCGTCGTGCCGGTACTGATGGCATCTGACTCACTGTACATGAGAGTGGAGGTTGGTATGTCGGGTTGGAACCGCCTCCGTCGATCTATGCAGGAAGAGTATACCTACTTCTCACGGCAGGGAATTCCCAGATGAGTCGATGAGATCATTCGGAGTAGATAGATCAAATCCCCTTCGCTCCGTGAGGTTTGTCGAGTTGCCGTCCGGGTGAACACTGAACACAGTGGACTGTGGATCCTCGTTGCCATTTAGCGTCCGACCAAGGTGTGAATTAGCGACTTGACCAGCGACTTCGGACTCCAGCCATCTCGTATGCCTCCCCACTCGTGCTCTCGACGCCTTGATTCTGCACGAGCGCACGTCCACCTGGTCCTGAAGAACCAGAATTAGTACTACCCAGGTGACTTCCACTATGCACGGTCCATTTTGCTTCTGACGGCGGGAAACCTCACACATTCCCATTCGCTTGTGCGACCAGATTCTGCAGGACCTGCATACAACCCGGACCCAACTAGTAGAGAGCGGTCAATTTCTCCTACTGCGGCGTACGGATTACTCCGCCAATGCAGATGGCAAATCCCGAAAGTGAAGCTGAAGCTGGATCCTGCGGATGCATGCTATAGATGATGCGAGCATTGCATTTCCTTGATAGGCGATTCCACCGAAGGATCAGCGCGCAAGCCATTTTCGTGATAGGCGGTCTGATTGGCAGCTGTCAGTTTGCTGTGGTCGGGGCACTGGCAGACAGGCAGGGCTGGGCGCACTAGCCGACAGTCGTTGCGGTGGATTCACGATCGGTGTGCAGTTGTCAGTTGAAGCTGGGCACGGCTTACCTGCCTGGGCCACCAATCTGTGCCGGATACCCAGGAGTTTGACCCTCGGGACCTCGGGAAGTCAAGCACGAGCCATATTAGTTGCCTCATCCGCTGCCACATTCGCTATTGGTACGGAGCGCCCGATGCTTGAGCCTACTCCGCAATCGACTAGAGGCTAGTGCTGGTCCTTTGACGGGGTGTTTGCCGCACAATAATCATGATCTTCGCTATGACAATCCTTTGCCAGGGAAAGAATGCCAATGTTACGCTGCAGAATCTAGGCAGCTGCAGCCACCACCTCGAAATCAGGGATCGGAACAAGCAACAGTCCGATTCTTGATCCATCTATAATAAGAAATACCGACGGAAGGGGGCTATATGTCGGCAGGTGAGCGTATCGGTGCCTTCTGTCGGGATTATCTCCCAAACCAGCGATGCCATTGGAAGCGACCACGAGGATTCCGTACTAGAGGGAGGGCTACTGCAGCTGGCCACCAGTATCAGAAGCCTCAGCCACTCAAAATGCCTCGCTGGCCTCCCGATCCGGGTAAGCAGCCTAGCTTATGCACGCTAACCAAGTCATGCAGACTCACTCGTAGGACAGTATTTCACAGTGTCAGCCAGTGGTTGGGCTGCAACGCGGCTTCTTGTTGACAGGTGCCCCTTTCACGTGCGGTGTGACTCGGCTGCATTATCACATCGGGTAGTTTTTCCTTCAGCGACGGATCGTGTCCGACGGGTCAAGGGGCTCGGAGGTACCATATACTTGACATGGTATGAGGTCAGCGTTTGCCTATTCCCGAGTGGTCAGTTGGTTGTTTGCCATCCCCTGGTCGGAACAACAACCATCTGCACGTACATTTGTACATTCAAGACATGCAGGACGCAAACATTTACATAGCGGTGTCTAGACTGGAGTCTGGACAGTTGAGACAGGATTTTGGTGGAGAATGCCGCATTGCGATAATATCCTAGCTCTTCAAAATTCCTATGTTCGACGCGAAGTCCAGTAAGGAGTGGCATCATGCGACACAACACGATGAAAAGCTCTTTAACATTGAGAATTTGACGGATTGGAGACTTAATAGAGAGCAACAGCACACATTGTGCGATTTCCTCTCTCCAGCGATAATTCAACCCTACTACCGACCACCGTCGCCCCCGAATGTCTCTCTCATAGAATGAGTAAAACCCTAGTAGATATACGTCCAAACCCACCAGCGGAGCCCAAATCAGCCAAAGCGCGTTCACATCTACAGATTGCCTCTCCTAAATAATATTCCTAGCCGTTATATTCCTGCGGGGATTGAAGCTCTTTTTTATAATTACCCAGTCCATTCCAATCCAATCCAATCCAATTCCAAACCAGCCGTAAAAGCAGCAGTATCGCTGGAAGCTTCTTAGCATTACCAGCTAAACTAAATCGCACATGTTGGAATTAGTGTATTCGTATTCAACTTCAGGCGCATTAATCCTGATTGTTTGATTATCCGTACATATACTGCGTATAATCCTTCAAGTTGGATTTGTTTTATATATATAATGTATGTATTAACTACTAACTAGTAGTATGTGTGGCATTTACCGAAAATACTATGCATCAGTGGGCGGGAATGAATTTATGCTATTACCAGTAATATATATATATATATAGTCGATGCGGTTAATAATTGAGATGAGATGAGATAAAATGAAAATTGCGCTGGAGTCTATGATTGTGGGTAGGTAGTACTTGGCTATTCATGGCTATCACTTCCCTGAGGAATCTCCAACAATGAGTTGTTTATTCTGAGATATCGCAGCCTTGAAGGGCAATGTGAAGCAATTCACACTACTATATATACTCTCTACTGTGCATATAACAAAAGAAAAAGAGAGAGAACAATGACAATAATGCACATTGGTTAATAAACATCTACTATCCAAAGCACACAAATAGAGAAAAAAAAAAAAAGGAAATGTGGTTGATATATAGTAACTGCGCTATATATAACCAACAAAACAACCCAAAACCTAAAACCTAAGAAGACGCATAGCATAGCATAACATAACCTAAAACAAACCCTCCATATCCAAATCCAAAAATTCGGGATTCCCAACAGCCATATCCGCCGCATTCAACACATCATCAATACTCGTGTCGAGGCCTCCACCGGAGGACTCAAGGCCCATATTGCCCATACCACCCATACTCTGTCCGCCGTCCATTCCAACAGCGGCGGCGGCGCTATCCAGGATCTGATTAATGTTATCGTCGTGGCCAGGGCCACCGGAGGAATCGAGATCCATTTGTCCCGGGCCGCCGACGCCGAGCTGCATGTTCTGGATGATGTTGTTCATGTCCAGGTTAGGGACCTGGGTGGGCGGGGTCATGAGGACGTTGACGCGGCGGTAGAGACGGACGATGACCTCTGCGCGGAGGGGGTCTTTCTCGGAGATCTTAGGCACGTTCTCGTGCAGCAGGAAGAGGGCGTCGCGGAGCGTGAGGATCGGGCAGCGAGGGAGGGGTTCCTTGGTTGGGTCGATGGGGTGCTGGGAGTAGTTGTTTTGGTCGACGGCGAAGGACTCGGCGAGCGGAGCGCAGATCAGGGTTGCCACGATGTCTAGTGCCAGGTCGCCGTTACCGGCTTCGGTCTGGAGCTTTAGTTCCTCGACCAAGGCGGCGAGGACGCGCGTTGACCCCTGCACCCGGATGCCTGCGATGAGCTGTCGGTGCGTGTATGATTGCGGGGCCATGCTCATGTCTGGGCTTGTGCTCCACAGTACGAGGGATTGGAAGGTGTTTCGCATGCTGCCTAGCAGTCCTCCGGGGGAATGAGTGGTCCAGGGCTCGAACTCGCTGCGATGGCAGCTGCCGCTGCGTTGGAACGATAGGTACGGTTCGAGGGCGTCCATGATGGGTTTGATGTCTGTGCGGGATGGGTGTCGGGCTCGGACGTCCTTGAGCTGTTCCTCCAGAGAGCGGGCGGTGATGTTCAGTACCGTCCGGTGGATTTCTTTCGCTTCTCCAGAGATCGAGCTGGGAGTTACCAGGGACTGTAGCGCTTTGAGTGAGATTGTCGGGTCATTTTCGGTCTCCCAGATGTGGTTGCCTAGCCAATTCAAAGCCAGGACAAGCGATGGGAGGAGGAAGGGTTCCAGAAGATCTGTTTGTTATTAAGACGTGTTATAAGGTGTTGATTTATCGATATGATACTCACATTCAAAACCTCCCTTGAGGGTGTCGAACTCAAGCTTCCCAGCCTCACATGCTCCCAGACTCTGGCTGAACAGCGTAGTCACCAGAATGTAGAACTCTTGCGGACTGCATGACGACATGGTTTCCTCGCTGATTCCTTCGGCGATAAACAAGGCATTGATCCAGGCGCCAAGGTTTTTGTTCTGTTTCTCATTCAGATCATCAAGCTTCTCACTACCGGAGCCACCCTCGAGCAGACGCAGGACAAAGGAAGGGTTGCCTCCAATTCCGATGTCACATGGTCGCAAATCGTATCGGTATTTGAAAGTCAACACGAGCAATAGGATGCTTCCAAACTCGTCGTAGACGGGCTGACTTTCTCCCTGATCCTCGTCCCAGTGCCATGCATCCAGTAGAGCGCAGAGCGGTTGCAGCACTTGTCTCGCACTGCGGAAAAGCAGGATGACATCTAAGGCCTGGACCCGACGGGAGAGCGAATTGCAGATGTTTTTCAGGGTCATGGTTTCCTTCTGATTGCAGAGGTGATGCATAACCTAAAGAAGTCAGTCTCAAGCTGGAAACACATCCATATCAAAACATACATCTGTAATAGCCCCCACGATCGCCCCCGCATTGCCCTCCATTGATTCGATTTCATTGATCAGCTGCTCTGCGCGCTCCGGATTGGCATTTATTTGCGACACAAGCTCATCTTTGTTGTACGGGCCCCCGACAGGAAGGGTCTGCATTGGATTCTCGCCCAAAAGTCGTTCAATACTGGACTCGGGGATCAACTTATGCAAGGCACAGGCGAATAGGAACTCCTGCCGCACGTCGGACAGGGCCGTGTTGCTCTGCATAGCAAACATTTGCGAAAACGATGGGAACGTGTTTGGATCCAGTCGACTCAGAGCGTGACTGATGCAAAGCTCCATAGGCAAGGACACCATTGAAGCTGCCAGCATGGCTGCGATAAAGGAGGGCAGCTTGTTTACCAAAAATGAACGGAATAGGAACATTGATCGGCTGGATTCGTTACGATAGCTGGCATTAGACAGCACATCGAATGTAGCGGTGATGGTCTCCTCAATGAGAGCTTGATAGTGTCCCTGCAATAGTCAGTATTGCAACAACAATTTGGGATGTCTCACTTACCCCATATCGATTAGAAAGATAATTAAGCAACATGCTGTCGTCGACCAAGGGGCGGCCCACCAGCTGAAAAAGTCAGTGATGATCAATAACGTATAGGGCAAGAAAAATACCATGGCATTTATATAGACGTAGAGACCAGCTCTCGAGTTAATCATGGGCCCATCCATGACCGAGTCCTCGAACTGAAGCGCATTGACATTCACGTTCCCCATCATCGAAACATCCAATGCCTTGGACGGTGGCTCTCCAAAAAGTCCAAACTCCTTCTGCAGACTATCCAAACGGTTGCGGAGCGGCAGCGACACTTCCACGCAGAGGGGAAGATAAGCCGAAAGAGCCTGTCCAAGCTTTATTTTCAGCGCTAGCAGATGTCAGTGCCTAAGAAAAGCGGGACAGCAAGGCTCAGAAGCTACGTACCTTCATGAGAAACGGCGGAAAGAACCTCTAAGCCCTTTCCAGTGCCCGATAGGGCAGCGAGCAAAATCCCCAACGACTCAAATAAGGAAACAGCATCCGGGGAGCCCATCAACCCCCCCGTCTGATGGCTTGCATCCATATGACCATTGTGCCAGGCCACCACGGCCTGGATCCAATCCACAATGGCATTGAATATGCAAATGGCTTCTGAAAACGTCTTTGGTGTGGTCCCAGTGGAGACGGAAAGCATGGCATCCTGGACGACTCGGATATCGGTCATCAGAGTGTAGCACTTTTGTCTCTGCTTGATCTGCACAGCCTCCTGGCCCGGTGGCTGCGGTTTATCATGAATGGACGAGTACTTCAGGAGACAGTTCAGCACCGTGGAGGTCTGAACCAAACCCATCTTGCAAAGACAGTCGATATACAGGGGGAGGAGCGGGTCCCATTTGATGCCGGTGGCGAGTCGCGTCTCCAGTAGCACGTCCAGCAGCGGGGCTTCAGCAATGGGGCATCGTTGCAATAGGAGCCGCGTCAGGCTCTTGAACTCAGCGGCATCGATGCGATGCAGCAAACATCGTCGGAGGAAGATCCCCCATTGTTCGGAGGACGTCATGTTCCAGATCTCTTTGCGATGATTCCGGATCTTGAGGCGGGCATATCAGACACGCGAGCCCGAGTTATCAGTTCATACACCCAGGCGATCACCCTGATAGCATGGCTTGGACATCTTGCCGGGGGTGTCTTGATTGTTGTCGATTCGGGAAGCCTTCAATCATTATTGTTTGGACGACGTCAGGTGCTGGTCACGTGGGCTTATCTCAGCACACATCACATGACATGGTCGTAGTCAGCGACCGACAACTGGACAACTTGGACAACTTATGCTTACCTATACATCGTGTAGTTACATATCGGTGCACAGAGACCGTGGCATCCAGGACCAATACCCGATCGATAGACATGACCCGTGCTTCAAACACACGCAGTCTGAGGCGATCGCACCGGACATGATACCCGAATTGGCGAGTCTGGTCTGAAGAAACTGGGAACATCTCATCGAGTCAGCGTTCATACCGAGGTTCACGCTCGCCGTTTGTCTCCGTACCACCCGTATTGAAGACGTCTACCGAGTTATGCCCATCTTCACAAGTTCACCGATCCCACGAGTTGAACCATGGAATGCTCATCGGCGGCTCAACGGACGCGGACAATCGGATTGGAGGCCGCGTGGGGGGTTCCGATGAAGAGTACGCAAACTACTTCCCAAGATAGTTAAGAGGATAAGATCTTGTGCGGACTGGGGATGGTTTCCTTGCCGATCTCTGGGTTTTTTTGGAGTACAGAGTACATGTGATATTATCATCTACCTACCTACCTAGGTACTTCTTATGGTCCCGACCTACACACCTCCAGTCAGGGTACGGAGTAAGCATAGCAGTATCAAACAATCACTACAGGACTGACTGCGGTACGGTATGTTGTTACAGAACATGAAGATTCAGTTGGAGAGGGGATGTACGGTATGCAGCATCTCGGAATCGTATTTCCTCTATTTTATATTGGCACTCTGGCAGGATACATACAGGATTAGCTTAGGTATGTCTTGCTCCTAGCAGAAATGTGATGGGTAATATGTACTATATACAGAGGTATGCGCTAGATATCTAGTATCTAGGTGGAGAGTCACCTACTACTTATCCATGCAGTATGGTGGTTCCGATCTGATCTACCTACGGTACAATACCAATACACGCAATACCACACTTCCATACCATGTAACTATTCCGTATTACATATACGATCTCTATTCTTTATACTCCAACCCCAATGCACATACAGCAAGATTCTGTATGGTTACACAGTGCGTCCAACCCCCACAAGACAGCGACAAAGAAGACAGGGTATAGCATAGACACTCCATATTTTTCAGTCTTTCAGCCAGCCAGGTTTGTCAGCCACCTCGACCCATAACTATCTCCATATCTCCATATCTCCCTGTTTCGATGACGCGTCACACTCTAACATTCCAAGCCTAAGGTACCGCCCAACATGGTATGACAGAATATGACATGACATGACATGAAATATTAAAATTCTCCGAACCACGCTACATACGTAGAGCCTGCTTTTAGTGCACATACTACTCCTATCTAGGTAGTATGTACTCCGTACACTAGGCTTGACTGTCATATGCATGTGTAGTTGCCTAAATGACATGTATAATGTGTAGTCCCTAGGAGTAACTAGTCCCTACGGTCTACTCAGCACCAACCTGAAGATTCCATCCACACAGATAAACAACCACACCACACCGTCTCTTCAGTGACTTAGTCTTCGGTCTCCAAGGCCTCCCTCAGAGTCAGACAGATGCAGCACGTCCAACATCCAAAATACATACATACATACATACATACATAGGTACCTAAGGTAGTAGAAACATCCGAAATGCCCGTCCCTGCCGAGGAATGAGTAAGCGGTAAACTATAACTACCCGGCATTGCCGTGCCGAAACAAAGAATAGTCATCAGATGAACAGACACAGACACCATCGACTAAGAGGCCATCGCAAAGGGCATTTACTCAAAAGGAAGACATAGACGACTTGACTTCTCTGGGTCTTCTCATGTGAACGGGGATATCGGACAGAAAGACAAAAGGAGTAGGAGATCCATCGCAGACCCCATCCATTCATTGGCTATCTAGCTTCTCGGTTGTTACTTGAAGTATACTACTATCTACTGTGAGTGCCGAGTCTAGCTAGTACTCTGTACTAGAAGGACAAATAATCAGTCGTATATGGTTGGTCTCCTTAAGTGGGTTTGGGCCCCCAAGGATCCATCGGCCGTTTGGTTTCAGATTAAGTAGGGAAGAGAGTTTCTGGGAACCAAGATGCTCTCTTTTTTGTTTAGCCGGGCCAAGCATGTCGAAAATCGCCATCCAGAGTGGCAGAGTACCGGTTACCGCTTGCGGAAAGGCCGTCGGTATAAAGGAACGTTCTGGGTGGGGGGTAGGGTTGGCAAGTGCTGAACCTAAATCGAAGCCCTTAATAGCACGCCGTCTGCCAATCAAAGTCAACGGGTTCAAATTCTGACTCGCTACACACTTGAGACTCCTGTCGACTAAAGATAGTGGGCCGGAGATCGGAAGGTGGTTCCTGACAAACGGATGGGTCGGTGGGACTACTCTATCCTGACTAAAACACCAGGATTAGTTACAACAGAGGTAAAGAGATGACGGTTCCTGGCCGTCTCGTACGCCGAAAACAACGGGGCAACTTACTGGACGTGGCTAGCCCTGAGAGCGCTGATTCAGCAGCTCATGGCCCTCGAAAGTTAAACTGGTGCCGAACCTTGGTTGAGACTTCAAAAACCAAAGATAGCGTGCGCCCTATTTGACGCCTCAAAGGCTTTCCAGGTACACCGTGATATGGTAGTCATTCTCATCTGATGACGCGGTCTTTGGTTTGGTGCTTATCCATACCAAATCTGCCTTTCACACAGAATGAACCTAAAACCAATGTCATCGTTACTACGCAACAAACGACATCTGTAACACGACAAGCACAGAGGTAAGCAGGTCCTTATTTTAGCTCGTGTTATATACGAGAGTACAGGGGGCTGCTTTCATCTCCAGACCGCTTACAAACATTGGTGTTACATCAAGAAGCGGCGGACAAAAGCATCTCTAATAGCATGCTTTGAGCCTTCTCTGAGACATCAGGTGTACGTACCTCTAGCGCCCAGACCGATTCAAAGTGCGACCAGGATTGCGTCTAGGCTCGTATAGCCCTCGAAAATCGAAGGAAGACCACCTTGTAGCCCTGTGCATGGGCATCGCATTGGTCTGGATCAGCAGGCACCTAGATGGATACTGATGCTAGCAACTGCACATTATAGGCCAGTTGGAGGTACTCGGATGCCACATATGCAGCGACTCCAGAAAATGTACCCAGAATAGTCCTTCCTATGTGTGTTAAAAAGCACTAGAAAGGCACCGTTCTATCTGCTAGGGCTATTCTGTATCAGTAGACGACTCTCCCCCGCTTCGGGTGGGGATTTGAAGGAGAGCCGACATGATGAACCCATCCTAGTGGGAGTATTGATACCTGGCGAGAGCATTTGTCTTCAGGCCACTTGTGTTATTGCTCAACCGTCAATCCTTTCTGCTTCGGGATAAGACATGGCCAGGCTATAGTTAGCCATTGATGTGGGCATGGAGGACTGATACTCACCTCATGAACCGTGATCTCATTTCCTCAGAAATAAGCATACTGGCGCTGATCTTCAGACAGGGCAAGCTAGAACATATCCTGCTCGTATAACATTATCAGTCACTAGTAGAACTAGTGGTCGAACTTGCTCACTGCAACCGGAGCCATCAGTGGAGACCTCATATCGCGCAAAGAGGAATCCCAGGCCAAACTGACTGGGCAGCACGGGCTACTGTTTGGGATCACCGCTGAAACCTTGCGACACACTAAAACGCAGCTAGTGTTGCTCAAACCCTTGATCCATGCAGTGATCTGTGGCTAGTGTCGACTAGTGGCAATAATCTGTGGCTGGAGCCGGCCGATGCGCCACGGTGGCAAGGGCGTGTGGCTGCAATGCCGATCCCTGTGGCTCGGCGTCTCCGGACTCACCTAGAACCCCGTGCGTGCTGCACGGTATAGTAAGTGTCAGCAGGAAGTTGCAGTTGTTGCAGTCACGGAAGTAACTGGAGGCGATTGAAGGAATGCCTGCCTTTGACGCAGTCAGAAAAAGTTCCATGGTACCTATGGTATCTACGGAGTAGGGGCCGCAGAGAGGGACCGTACAGCGGTACCGAACGGATGCGTAAATTACATCCGTGGAAAAACATGCATCGAACCAAGGTAAGCTCATTGATCCGATCATCCCCTACATCTACCGCCCCAATAGTTGCATGGCCGTCTCGGATCCGAGTCGGCCTTCGCTGCTCAATGAGATATCACACTTCCATGGCTTCTTCCCGACCCTATTGAGGCCGGTCGGTAGGTACGGGCCAAATTTTGTGGCAAAAATGCATGCGGACCAACATGAGCACAATGCATGATGCACCTTTAGCTTATTAGGCGGCCAATTGGAGGGGCTGGAACTGTATCAGTGGGGTATGGGAACGTGCTCTTGCATACGTTATGCCCATGAGTTCCAGGAATCGGTGATGCTGTCCCATCGCAAGGTCGCAGGTGACTTGGACACATAACCAGAGGTGTGGGCGGTTAAGGCCCAAGGGCTCGCTCACCTTGCATGAATTGAACCACCAAATAGCAGGCGGGGTCCGTTCGTATATTGGTTTGAGCTCTCAGAAATCTTCCCCATCTGGGCTCCATTCGGCGCTTTTCCCCTGCAATACGGGTCCCTTTCTGCCACCCCCTGACAGAACGGAAAATGCTTCCTACCCCAGCGAAGTCGGTGTCATATACCGCGGTCAACGGCTATCTCGCATTGGCCTAGTGGGATGTCGTACCGTAGGGGATGATGCTCAACCGCGGGATATGCATCAAAGCCCTCAGTATCTGCACCTAGCCCCTTCTGGGGCGGCGCGCATTGAGGATCTTGACGCGAAAAAGCAAAAGTTGTCGCTGATCAACCAACGAAAGCAAGACACACAGCCACCGGGCTGAACGAGCCACAGTGACCCGTGGTTCAGAGTGCAGAGATACGACCCAGGTGCATCGCACGGTATTGTCTCGGGCCCTCGGTAGGTATCTGTCTGTCAGAGCCGTCAGGGAGGACGTACATCACCTACACCCTGGGGCCTGAGCATGGCGTCTGGTAAGCCGCAAGGTGCGGGTACTGAATGGCCAGTTAGTACCTTCTGAGCCCTGCTACCCTCACCGCTCATCCTCCGCTCTCTGACCCTGCTGCAATGTGTGAATGCCTGCCTGGAGATAGATACCTGCAGATGATGCGATCCCGCGCCTCCGAAGAATCGAATGGCCTGTTAAGGGTTGGGATCCAAAACATCCACGCACCGTCGCAGAACCAGCGGAGGGCCTTCTCTGCCGCAGCTGCGCTTGTGTATCAGCTGGGGCAGGTACGCGCTGACCGAAGAGGGAAAACGTCAACAGAGACCGAGACGAGACGTCATCGACGCGGGCGTGTGCCATGCGATTGGCCTAGCGGCACAATAACTCACCCCGTAAGGTGCAGCGGCGACCTTTTTTTTTTTCGATATTGCAGCAAGTGGAGCTGAGCTGGTGTCAAAATTCCGCGGGCGTCACGATGTGGCAAATTTCTGGCGCCGGCTCAGCGGAGAGCGAAGGAGTCCAGCGACAACAGTCCTACTACGACGACGACGACGACGTCGTGATTAGCACGGGTGCAACGAGGATCGGAAGATCACGCTGGATCACTTGGGGAGTTACTTATTGATGAAGAGCCGAAATATTGACTGATTGTGGGAATTGAAGCAGGCAAAGAGAGGCAGATCGGGATCGGGACTCGTTACCATACCATACCTTACTTTACCTCCCCTCTGCGTGTGAGCCCTGAGAAAGCTGCATAGACGGAGCCACAGGACTAGCAACTAAGATGCAGTGGGGGGGCTGCTGTCTTCGTCCTAGACTCCTACTCTAGTAGCAGTACTTGTCTTGCTGCAGCCTACCACAGATCCCGACCATTGGCCATCCCTGCCCGCCCATTACCGTGTAGGGATTAGGGATAGGTTCGTGGTTCATGACTTGCACTATATCAGACCCATCGATCGGGATTTGGGTCATGATCGGGATGCGACAAGAAAGGCATTGTCGAGGGTCGATTACCGAGGAGAGGAGAGGACCGTCGAACAGTCGACGGCCGTCAAGCGGCTGTGGCGGTGCCAGTCCCCGTCAAGGGGAAATAAGGCCGTGAAGCCGTTGACCAGCTCATCAGCTCATCCTTACGGCGGAAACTCTGTTCCTGGGAGTCAAATGGATGACGCCAGTGGAAAAAAGAAAAAAGAAAGAAAAGAAAAGAAAAGGGTCGTCAGGGCTGTACCCCGCCAATCCCCAGCATGCAGGACCTAGGACGCCCTTGCCAGCTTGGCCTACCTGTCTGTCAGGTCAGGCCTCTTGTCAGCCCCCGATGTCACTATTGAGCTTCTCGGATGATTAAGAACCGACGCATTACTTCGGGAGTTGGAGAGAGAGAGAGAGAGAGAGAGACGATGGCCCAAGGAAGGGGGTTCTGACCGCCGGGTGTGCGACTAGCAGACAAAACTATGGAAACGCCACTTACACCGCATCCCGCCTGGATATACTACTAGATAACTACTAGGTAGCGACATGGGTTGTACAAGTGAAGCAGCTGTTCCCTGGTATCACGATCCACATGGTTGACAAATGAAGGGGATGGAAGGGATGCCCTGATTCCCATCGTGATTCCACCCGGCTAGAATCTATATACCGACCACCTTGCCTGGGTACCTGGGAGGGAAGTTACCTTACTACTTTTACTGTACGATTATTGATCGCTGCTTGTTACTTTGGTACCGTCCACGGTACGCTGTTCGGTATGGGGACTGGGGTTGTTTGTCTGGTACGTACCGTCCGCGTACCGCGCGAGATAGTTACTGGGTCTGATCGAGGGGACGATCTTGCATCTCTTGTATTTTCCTGATTGGTATAATATATGCGTTTGTTTTCCGTTCCCATCATCCCACGGATTCCCACTGAGCCAGGAAGAATTGCCGACTGCATGGACATCAGATAAACCGGTTCCACCCAACCGGTGCACGGTATGAGTAGTACTATAGAGAGAGTGTGGTATACCTACTCCGTACTACCCAGGCACTATAGTCGGAAGGATGCCGCCTCGAGGCGACTATTACTTGCTTCATACCCCGGCTGACCCGGGGATAGACTCATGACCGATAGGTAGAAAGGTATGATACCACCTATCCAGGTACTCCGTATCTACCAGATAAGTACCTAAGTAGTAGCACTGGAGGAAGGTAGCGTGCAGCTGCACGGATATCTTGGATCTGGCGATGGTCCTATCAGCATTTTCCCGGATCCACTGGGCAAAAGGACACGCGATGACCAGCGCTTTTCGCCATCCACTAACTACGGCCCTCAGCCCAGGGACGGGGCACCAAACACCCTTTTCATCCGATCTGTACCTGGTTTCGTCTTTTTTTTTTTTTTTTTTTAATTTTTATTTTTGGAAGAGAAGGGGAGCCGTGAAAGTTAATGCATTTACACTTACAGTTTATTGATGATTATTCTGCTTTTTCTCCCCCCTGCCAATTGCCAATCCAATCTGCCAATTATCCACCTGCCGATGGCCCTCCAGTGCCTCTCCCCTTGAAACTCCCCAACGGACCACTACCCAGTTTGGGGGAGGGTTAGCTGCTGTGCCATTATTGCTCTCCCCTCCCACTATTGGCTGCGTCTCCAAAATTCACTACATGGGCAAAAATGTGATGATCAGAAAAAAAAAGAAAAAAAAGAAAGAAAGAAGAAAGTACCGAATCTGCTGCTACTTATTATTTATATGATACCGTTTTCTCGACCTCGTCTTCCTGTCTTTCCCAACCCAGTCAGTCTCAGTTCGCGGCCTGGCTTTATCGGGTAGACCCGTTCTCGTTCTAGTCCCCTCCCAATCCCAAACAATCATACAAGTCCACTCCAGCGCAGCTCCGCAACCTGACTCTTTTTTCCCTGTCGCCCGTCCCTTCTGGCTCGCTTGCTTTTCCCTTGTCTCAGTCCGAAGCTTTATGTATGTCCCATGCTCCCCGTTTTATGTCTTCCAATGCGCCCCGTTTCCCCCCCCCGTCATCCAGGCCTCGTCCCTCCTCCACCTTGTCGGGCTGCTCTCGCTCTCTCTTTTGTCTCTCTCTTGCTCTCTGCTGGCCCGACCCCATGCCCTGTCATGAACCGTTCCTGTTCTCCCCATAAATGGACCACGCCTAGCAGATGTCCATGAACGAATCTCACCCGGGTAGAGGCTTAGGTTTCGCGATCAGGAATCTGTTCCGCTCCTCCCCCTCCCCGTCGCCCGCCCCGAACCCGCGACACCGAGTGTCGGTCCTCGTCCGCCGTGGCAGGAGTATATTTTCGCACCAGTAATTCCCCCCCCCTTCTTCCAGTCTCTGAGCTCGACGCGATCGGGCGGGTGGGTGTTGCATGGATGCGGTGCGCGAGCCGTCGACGTCACTGCCTCGCCGTCGCAGATCGACCGGGCCTCACCTCTCCCCTCTCCATGGCTCGATTCGCGGGCAGGACTCGAGTCTCGACCAAAGTGAAATAAAAGAAACAAGACTAAGAAGCATGCTCTCAACAGGAACCCCCGAAATTCGAGCCATCAGCCGACCCCCGGGCCCCAGATGAACGCCAGCCAGCCCTCAACCCGGCTACGATGGTGGGACTTGCCGAGGCGTCGGGCGACAACTTCGACATCTTCGAATGGTACCCGCGATATCAGAACTGCCAGCGTTACTTCCTGGACCATGCGCAGCACAGCGTCCCCGTGCAAGCGCTGTCGGCGTTCCTGAACATCCGCCTCCCCTGCCAATGGCAAACGAACCCTGTCGCCAACTCGCGCGCTGAATCGCCCTCCCCCGCCTCCTCCGCCTCCTCCGCCTCCGCCTCCCCGATAACATCGACGCCGCTGTCCGCCGTCTCGCTGATCCCATACATTCGCCGGCTCGTGGCCACGGGGATGGACTTCCCCGGGGTGCTGCACGGCTTCTTCGGCGACGACTGGAGCACGGGCATCGGGTCTCTGCACGAACAGGAACGGCGCAATTACCTGTTCGCGGCGAAAAGCGGCGGTTGGGCGGCGGTGAAGAAGGACTACGACATCCCGCCGCTGGAGACGATCCCGTTCCTGCGTCCGTTGCAAGGGCCGCTAGATTCGGAGATCGAGGCGGCGGAGCGGAGCTGGAGCGAGTGGCTAGCGATGGAGGACTGGATGGTCGGGCCGCGAGCGCCTGATGTCCTCCGAGATTCGTCATCGCAGCTGTCACAACCACAGAGTTCGCAAGGGTGAGCCAGTCTCACCCCAGCACCGGCACCAGTACAACAGCGCGCGTGCGTGTCCTCCTATTCCCTTCTCCCGAGGAGAACACGGTTCTCTTTCTCATATAATTTTTTTTCCCTTCTCTTATTCTTTTACCCATCTTCAACAACAACACAACACCAGAATACGCTGGCGGTAGCACGGAGTTGGTGACCCTCATAGCGAATATTTTTTTTTATTATTGTTTTCTGCCATGAGAGAACGACGATCATACGATTTGATTGATTGATTGATTACTTTGGATGATATTGAGCGTGATAGATTTCGCGGGGCCCACATTGGTTCTCTGGCTTCAATTATTGCGCACGGCGTACTGCCCTCTCGCAAGGGGTTGGTGATTATACGACTGAAGGAACACGGGAAAATACGAAGGAGAAAACAATCAAGGGGAAAAATTAATTATCCGAATACCACTTACTCACTCACTCTTCCACTTATTCACTCTACATGCAACACGAACCGGGATTCTTTTTTTTATTTTTCTTGCTTGCTTGCTTGCTTACCTGTTTCCGTAGCTGGTCTTTGGTCCTTGCCCTTGTCCTTGGACCCTGGCCCCTCTCTCTCTCCCCCTTACACCTTTTCTATCTGCCCCTTTTTCACCCCAATGGCCTGGTGCCTGGCAACTGGCAACATGGCTTGCGTCCATTTCCAAGGAAGTGTTCCAGTCCATGGGCATGTCTACCTGGCCCTGGCCGTGACTTGACCGTGACCATATCCGAGTCCGAGTCCGAGTCCTTGTCCATGTCCGTGTTCCGTGTTCCGTGTTCCGTGTCCGTGTGCGTGTCCACCCAACCCCTGCACTTGTCGGGTAGCGACTCAAGACTGAAGATAGTGAAGATACTAGTGAGTTGAGTCGGCTGGGCCGGGCTGGTCGCCACCACCAAACCCCCGCCGCTCAGCTCGGTCAGGTCAGGCCCTCAGATGAGTATTCTGGTGCCTGAACCTGACCCTGACCCTGACCCTGACCCCGACCCCTGACGATTCCCAGCTCCGGGTGTTGGGAGGCGGATTGCGGCATTAGCTTGCGTGCTGAGGCGATATAGTATGATATACTGTACTCCGTAGTTTGTACATAGTAGTAATATTTTGTCTGTCGGGACTCGGGACTCTGGATCGACTGGACGCGGTAGTAGTCGTTATTATGCGCTGCGCTGCTCTGTAGGTAGTTAGCTAGGCAGTAGCTGACTAAAGTACTATGTACCCACCCCCACTTCGATAGCCCACTACTTACTTAGGTACTTACTATAGTTACTCCTTACCATCTGGTACTCTGTAATCTGGAATTAGAATGTAGGTAAGGTACCGACCGTGAACTGAATTGTAAGACAGCAAGCTGCGTATGCTGTGTACCTATTAGAATAGACAGCTGGGTAGAGAGAGGAGTAGAGTAGAGCAGACAACTGAGACACTACATACAGTATGCATACATACATACATACATACTTACTTACATACTGTGTAGTACTGTGTAGGTAGCCGACCGCGCCCCACCGGTTTGTCCGGAGTACGTATAGTACTTTCCCCCCCCCCCCCCCCTACTAGGGACTATTTGCCTAGGCATGGATGGATAGGTTGGTAGGTAGGTAGGTAGCTACTGTGTAATTACTTACCTATATAGACTGTCTACCTTCCTATTCCATACATAGTACCCACACAGCAAAGAGAGAGGGAGAGGGAGGGGGGGAGCAAGAGATGATATAAACAGCACCAACCTACCCCAACTAAACACCAACCAAAAACTCCTAACCTTTTCTTTCTTTCTTTCTGGCACATACCCCATACTCCATAGTAACCATCTACCTACCTACATAGGCAGGTAGGTAATGCAAAATGCATGACGGCATCAAAACAAGAGAAAATAATTGGGGCCAGTTTAGTTCATGTTGTGGTGTGTGGTTTGGTTCGCGGATCGCGTCCATCGATCGGTTAACTACCTGATCTGATCTGATGTGATGACAACCCGGACGGCGGACTGAGATCGGGGTGGATTTGATTGAAATTGGTTGGTTGGTTGGTTGGTTTGGCATTACTGCTTATCCATATACTAGATAGTAGTTAGTTATCCATACTTACAAAGTACTCCGTAGGTAGGTAGGTAGGTAGTCTATTTACTACATACACACTTATGGTAATTGACAAAGCAGACTACCCTACCTAGAAGCAATTGAGCATGACGATGACGATGCCGATGACGATAGATTGAGATAGGCGAGAGACATGGCATGTAAACAAAGGAAGTTACTATTAATGTAGGTACGGTACCTAGGACAACACGAACCCCCCCCCCCCTAGCCTCAACCGGGTTAAAACTCCTCTCTCCTGGCGTTATTTAAACTTCTTCTGGAGTTTTCGATTTGGCGGGTTGGTGGCGCGGCTGAACTGAACTCTGAAGTCTGAAGACTAGCACTCGTACTAGTACTAGTGCTAGTGCTAAGTTTGAAGGTCGGGCGGGGGGAGAGGAGACTAGGGCTGTTTTGTACGATCTAAGACTTACCAACTTACTATCTACTTTGTACTAAGGGAAGTAGTGTTGGCTAGTGTACTTTGTAGTTATCTAGTCATGTTCCTGACAGCGAGGATGTATTGTGTGGAACAACAAATACATGGCATCAGTTTTACCATACGGTATTTATATACAGAAGGACCTGTATGTGTACAGGTATTAAATGTCGGGGCACTCCCTCCTGTATAGTTAGCTTATCTAGTACGTTTGCCAATTTTGTTATTTGATCGATTTGTCTAAACAGTGGCATCCGTTCAGTTCTTGATGTTCGCTATACTAAGTTTGAAGAGATATATATCATATATATCACCTCGGTTTACATCACATCACTGGTGACAAACCCGAGAGAAAATAAACATGATTTACATCAAAGGTTTCTGATGCTATCACTTCTCAGCTAGCATGGTGAATGCTTCTTCAGTCTGATTAAATGGCGTTCACTCCAAACGCCTCGGTGCGGCGTTGTAATTGCCGACCACCAGCTTGGATCCCTTGATCGGATGTGCGAACCCTCTCTCAGAAGCGAGTATACAATCGCGTCCGAGTCGCATCCCGGACATCAGCACTTTAGACAAAAAGGTCAGTCAGCATGGGGGGCCTTCTAGCCTCTTTGCAATGTTCCGCGCTCAGCGCATAAGGAGGGCGTGTTCCAATATCCGCATCGGTTTCTCGATATCTTCATTCACTGTCCTTCCCTGGGCGCAGCGCTTCGAAGGCGACAGTACTGCCATAATCATCATACGCAAGCAAAGACAATAGAGTCTGAAAAGTGGGAAGATTGCCTCGCCTCCCCAACGAAGGCAATCTTCCCAGCCAGGTCGGTCTTGGGACGCCATTTCCGACCGTGAAAAGGCCGAGAGATTTCGCAGACCGACTCGATCTCTCATGCAGTGCACAAGGTATAGTACACACGATATGATTCGCACAACAAGCTAAGGAGAAGCGCCTGGTCACGAGAGACAGGATCGACGATCGAGCGGTTAAAGAAGAGAATCAGCAGTGTATTGATTGATTTACCCTTTGCGCGCGGCGAGTATGTGGGTGGTTGCTATCCGACTCCATGTTTCGGCTTTGAATCCTCTATTCTATCAAAGAGTTGCTTTGATACGTGTCGGGAGAGTGGGCCAAGGAGATGATTTGGACTGAAGCGATGGCAGCACACTTTTTGATGAGGCGAGCACGCAGCTGGGTCGTCGTCCCATTCTGCATTTCCAATCATCGCGGAACTGGGCGTATAGTCCTTGCAACACACGGATGGAAGGGCCTGGCGACCTTGGTCTTCTCTACACTCCTGTCGTCGGACGATTTCTTTAGCGAGGTCATGATATCAAAGGCCTGACAAGGACCCAAGTCACGAAACTCCATGATCCACTGGACGCCATACACCATGCGGATAGATCTGAAGCAGAACGTCTGGGGGCTAATCCAATGGATGGATGGACACAGAAGACCCTTCGATAAGCCGAGGAATGTCCTTCGAACTTTCGTCCGCTGCGGACAGATCCTCCCAGTTCCGTGTTCGAAATGTGGAGCTAATATATAAGCATATCATCAGATATACCATGTCGACGGAAGATCGTCTCTACGCAACCTGTCCATGAACAATTCCCAGAAAATAGTTTGTGATCTGTGCCAATCGCGTCAGTCTTTCTTCATTCGACATCAAAGATGGGCTCATATCCATTGCCCATGGCACCTTTCCCGGACATATTCTTTGGATATGATATCCCAACGGCGCCAGCAACCAAATAATCGCTGCTGGCGTCTGCAGGTAAATGATGGCTTGCATCCATGAGGCGACGATAATGAACAGTCGATAGAGCATAGCCTGGGACTAGATCTTTTTCTGGGTCATCGTGTGAATTGATACCTAGCGAGATGACTGCTTTTGCTCTAATCCAGAAGATCGGAATATGACGAACTGGCGGGCCAAAAACGCAACGCATGGTCTTTCCACTTGCATCCTGCATAGAAGACAGCGGAGCAGTACCCTGGGAGTCGTATGTCTCATGTATGGACAGACTTGATGCCATTTGAATGAAATTCTGCTCAGGGAAGTTCTAAGACGCTATCGCGTTGATATACGAGGGCCGACATATCTGGACTATACACAAAATCAACACTCTATGCCAAAAGAGAGAGAGAGAGAGAGAGAGAGAGAGAGACATACCTAACCCGCAGCCGAAGCTATTTTATAATAATGTTCGGTGTTGATATAAAACTCCAGGTTTCTGCTCACCAGCAATAGGAGGGTTCGTAAAACGTCATGACTGCTCAGGGTAATGCCTGAAAACGGTAATATGTTGAATATCAGGGTCGAGTATGTTCTTCTTTTCAACAACGTACGCACTGCCCGACACCCTCTGCCCCAAAATCTACCATGCAGTCTGTCATAGATGGCATCGTCTTGCCCTTCTTCTGGCATGTCCAGCTCACAATAGCCACAGTCATAGAACTAGGACTCATTTTATTCGTGCCACGCGACACACACGGCCGATTTTCTGGCAGATAGCCGACTACTACTCGCGACGTAGTCCAGGCGGAAACTCGCATTCAGCTTCAGGCACTGGAGAGAGCCGCCTCTGAGACATTCAAAAGTTCCCGATATGCTTCATTTCTCGAGTAACAGAGCCCCTGACTGGCGCACGCGAGACATGTTGGTCGACACGGGCCAAGAAAGATAACAAAACCAGATAATACAGAGCCAGTCGCTCTTGGAAATTTCCCACGCATGCATAAGGTTCTTTGTGCTTTGCGCTTTTCGCAGTCATGATATATCATATAAAGCATATCCCTTTCAACGAAAACGTATTCAAAGTATGGTCTTCTGTGATGATCATGGAATAGGAATACCAAGGCTTGCCGCGAGCAACACCATCCAGAATGAATCTCGATGATGGATCTCTGTCGTGGTATACTGATATAATTATAGGACACCACATATGTCCGTGGGCTGGTTCCAGTGAGGACCTGGACAATATGTGTGTCAACATAGCAGGCCTAGTGGTTCTCTTCGGATAATGCCCTTCATCGAACACTATGCTTCCCAGTACTGCTCAGAGGTTGGATTATAATCCTCTGGGGGCTCTAGCCTGTAAACAGCTCGTGAAAAACCCCCTTATGCTTCTTTGGCGGCACATCTATCATGATCCTGGACCCATTAGTCTCCAGCTCCCCATATGAGACCCAAGTTGGAATCTGTCATTGTCTGTTTTGATAAAACTCCGATATGATCGTTCAGAGTCGGATTAAGGAAAGCCGTGTATCGCCGAAGTCGTCATTATCTGAGAAGAAACAACTTTCCTTTGGTCCACTGAAGATTCGTGCCATGGCTACTGTGCGACACAAGCCGATGCAAAAGGTAGAGTATTCTCGAAGCATAGTATCGTTCTTTGTATCGTGGTGATATCCGTATGGATGACAGAGAGTGTGGCATACAATGATGTCCTGATGCCACCGGATGCGTTGGATATTTTGTTGTCAACACTAACATTTAGGTTCGAAACATTCTTGATGCCGACAAATAAATCGACTGTCAATAGCGCATGACTGGCAGTATGCAGATAATCTGGTGTTATAGGAGTTTAGTTCCCATCGAATTCATCCCGATGTTAGTCTCTAGGATGATATCCCCCAGCTTTTCAGTCATAACAAGACCACAGGATCAATAGGTGCTGTATATAGTCTGTCAATATGACCTTTTTCTCGAACAGCACTCAGCCACACTTGCTGCTCGCCGTTTGTCGAGACCCATGCAACAACCTGCGCACTGAACAGTGAGTTGTATGATTTTAAGCCGATCATAGAATCATTGTCTTCTTATAACGCCCATATAAGATGTCCTTTGCGGAGTGCAATGTCCACGACATCAATCTTTCAGTATCCATGGTGTCTTGAGATATCCAGAAATGTTGCCCCCATGGGGGGTGGTTGGTTCTTCTGTTCTCTCTGAGCCGACACCAATTAATTGGCGGCCTTCGCGATGCCAATGCATGTATCTTTCAGGAAGATATGAGATGTGTGACCAAAGACAGCGTTTCCTTCGCGTATATCGACCCTGACATATCCATCGAATTGATATGCTTGTGTTGGTTCAACGTCCTGGCAGGGGTAATAAGACTTGAATGGCAAATACTTCAGCGCCGCTCAAAGACAGATATCATAGCGGTCTCTGGCGTATTTGCGGGCCAGCATTTACCCCCAATAGTACTATAGAGAGCATGAGCATAAGGAGCGTGCCCTATACAGGGTTTTCTGGGTCCCGAGACAGACAGCGGAACCAAAGCTCCTCTGCATGCACCAGTCTGACATGATCCGACTATTGCGAGATGACAGCAATAGATCCGTCCGTGGGCTCTCTTCCCTAGGATGTAATGTAAACTTCCTCCGCAATAAGGAGGAGATCTCTGCCTCGTCTTGCCGCATATCCACCGTAAGGCATCGTACCCATCTTACCAATAGCTCTCCAGGCTAATTAGCAGCAGTACGGCTCCAGTCTGTGTAGACGCAAACACAAACACAGCGGGACTGAGAAGAAGCTGATACCGACGCATAGGGCTTCCACCACCACCACCTGATAGGGTCACATTATGCTGTGCCCCGAGTTAACTCGGGCTTTCGGGCACGCTGCATGGTGCAAATGCCGGAGGACCAAACTCTCTATCCCTTGTTGTTTGTTGTATCTGGCCGTCACTGTCCTTGAAACATCATATTTCTGCGTGCTCATTCGATTAGACCGCATGGGGGCGAGAACAGACCCGATATATCTCAGAATATAAAGCTCTCTCAGCCAGAGGAGATGACCTGACTGTACAGCACCAAGAGACTGAGTGCCTCGGTACACTGTATGACTGGGATCTCCGTAGATGTCTGCTCCGCGCACGCAGCTATTCTAAGCACGGATAACTGACCAAGCTGGTAGGGACTCATCAATGACCGCATGACAGCACCTTAATGCGATGATCTGATGCTGGAATGGAACTACCATGTCCATTCCCTGCCGTCCAGTCGTCAAGGACATGTAGAATGATTCGGACACCACCCAATATCTGGGTTTCGCAAACATAATTCGCGATATATCTCTCCACCCTCGAAAGAGACGCTCCAGCTCTGCTACTCACAGGACCGAAAGACAGGAAAGACACTTTTCCCAGCCTCCAATGCGTCCCAAAATCGGACAGGGGACGCTTTCTTCCCCGTCTTCGTCCGAGTACTCTCTGGATGCGTTGCAATTTGAACGCCATACATCATATAGAGGTCTGCCGTTTCTTGCACAAGCAGGATACGCTTGCGGCGTTTGTTCCGCCAGGAGAAGTGATTCAACCTGGCAGACTTTCGCTGAATCTGAATCTTCGAAAGCAAACGAGCCTTCAATGGACATCCAGCGAGAAAAGAAGAAAACAGTCACAGGCGGTATCTAGTTAACCCCCGAAGGGGTGATACTAATGTGACCAAGCATCACCCGCAGTGGAGTCCGTGAAGAGTTTGGATTCGAAGCCCTGAAGCCGGGCCAGGATCTCCACGCTAGGACAGATGGAAGACAGCGACAGAGTGCAGCAGATATAACATCCTAAGCGCGAGACATTGGATTCCGGATAAGTTCCGAATCGAAATATCAATCCTTCCAATGACTTTCCACATGCGTGATGGTATTGCAGATTGCATTGATGCCATCCTGGCAATGGTATTTCAATATGAGTGCCTCATTATGACAGATATGGCTGATAGGTAGGCCATGACACCAGTGTGATCGAGCAGAAATCAGATGTGGTGATTACCGACCAGAGTATTTACGAAAGATGGAAATGGAGAGCAGAGGAGAGGCTGATATACCCACTGACTAGCTATCAGCAGTGAAGACTCCCATTCCCAAGCAGCGATTGATTCACCCCCTCCCAAGCAACCCTAATTGAATGGCCCAGCAAACAGGTATTCCCATCCATCCATCCATCCACCCACCCAACCCAACCCAACCCAACCTTAATCATATTGAATCCCCTCCCGATCAAGTCAAATCAAGTCAAGTCAAGTCAAGCCACCAGACCCTCCCCCCCTCCCCTTTCGTCCTTTCCCATTGAATCATACCCAGCCCTCCCAAACTCACCCCATCCCCTCCAACCTAATCACTTTAAACCCCAAACCCAATCACAAAACTAAGATCCCCCCAAACAAGCCTTCCAGGCGAACAAACCACACCACCGGCCAAATGGTCAGTCAGTCCGTCCGACCTCTTGGGCGATCCGATCGTCCAGCCCCGGTGGGGCGGGACTAGTTTTGTCGCCGGGGACGCTGATTGGCCCGGAGGCATCCACGGGGGCTTAGCGAAGGCCACTGCGACCCTAACTAAGGCGAACAAGCTGTTTTCGGTGTGCTTAAGTATGTCTGTCTATGTGGGTTGGTCTTTGCCGGACCCTGCTGATGACTCCGGTGGTGGGGGGGATTCTTCTGTTCCGGGCGGTTCCGTCTTGGTTTTGGGATATCGGAATGGGTATTTATCTATATCTATCTAGGTAGGGATACTTTACTCTACTTGCCATCCTGTGAATTAGTATAATATGCATGGTACTAATGTCAGTCACCCGTACATATCTACTGGTTAAACTACCCCCGCCAATCCGGTCCAACACACCAACCAACCCAACCCTAACCTTATTATCTGGCTCAACTCACATGCCCCCATCCCCCATCCCACCCACTGACTAACTACCTAGTAACTATCCCCCCCTCTCCTCCCGGGAAATTGGACTCGGATGGATCTTGATGAAGTCCCCGAGTCGATGTGTGACTGAACTTTTGAGATTGTTCACCTACGGGAGGGGCACACTGTACCAAGCAAGACCAAGACCAAGACTGACTGATCTGACTGATCTGACTGGTCTGACTGGTCCACTTAACCCTATCCATCCTTCTTTTTCTTCAGGCATCACACAGTATACAGCATACAACACACTCATAGCAGACTCTCTCTTTATCTACTGTTACTGTTGGATAAATGGTGTACCGTCAAATCTCAATCTCACCGGTGAAACCGGTGAAATAAAATCCACCACCACCACCACCCACACTACTCCAAACCCGTGTCAGACTTAGACCAGTCCACTCCACTCCAGACAGACAGACAGACAGACAGGTGGTAGAAAGGTTGCATGATCAGACCCCTCCCCCTCAGACCCGTGCCGTCCACAGTCCACACACCTGGAGTCATCCCCACGTCCGTCGTCCACAATCCACACATCGGGGCTCACCGGGGAAGTTTGGATTCGGAACAAGGAACAAGGAGGGGGGGGGGGGGGGGGGGGGCAAATTATCGTCCTATTTTCGGAGCGAGGAGGCGACTTGACTTGACTTGAGACTTGAGGGTCGAGATATGGATGGCGTGCCAAAAAGTGTAACAAGAAAGAAATTGAAATTGCAAACGCCATCAGATAAGAGGCACGTGGGGCGGACACCCTTCCGAGGGTGGATGGGCCAATGGGATGGGGAGGAGGATCAAGGTGATTGGTCCGCCACTCTGCACTCTGCAGTGGCAGGAGGAAAAAAGTCAAAGTAAAGTAAGTAAAGTAGTTACTGGTCTAGTAGGGATATGGATGGGATGGGATCTCTTGGCGTGCATTATCTTGCTTCCTGCCAGGGCCAATGTGCGTGTGCGTGTAGTATAGTGTAGTGTAGTGTAGTGTAGTGTCGTGTCATGTGTATCTTTATTCAGGGTAAAATTTTATAAAATTTCCCCTCCCTTGTTGAAAGAGACAAACTACATACACAGTAGGCAAGGGAGTAAGAAGTACTGAGTACTGCCAAAAAGAAGAAAGGAATATCGCCACCGATCGCGGCGGACCAGCCAGCGGATTCCCGCCGATAGAGCCGGCTGATAACGGGGCGAAACTGTGACCTGAGAGTATCGACTAAGGCGCCCCGAAGTTCGGCGCCACCGCAACCCGCTCGGCAGCCGGCTTGCACTTACCGTGGTCGTGGTGCCTGCCGCCGTCTGTCTGTATTGTCCGACTCCGGATGGTGGAATGTGGATGGTGGATGGGAACCGTGGTGCTGCTGTCCGGAGGAGAGTCTCCGCTGCGGGTTGGCGGGTTGGCGGGTTGCCCCTCGAGTCGACCGAGAGAGAGAGAGAGAGAGAGAGAGAGAGAGAGAGGGAGAGGGAGAAAAGAAGGGAGACAGACATAAATCTGCGCATTCCCTCTTTCTCTTCTTCTTCTTCTTCTTCTCTCTTCCTTCTCTTCTCACACTCTCATTCCTCTTGCATATACCCCGGTCTCTTTACTATACCCCCCCCCCCCCCCTCCTCCGGTTTAAAAAAAAAAGTTCTTTCCTCCTATCTAATCATCATGTCTAACCTTCCCCACGAGCCCGAGTTCGAGCAGGCCTACAAGGGTACGTTTACGCCATTTCTCTCCTCCCTCTCTCTCCTCTCACATTCTTCTCAACCTCAACCCTAATCCCCCCCCCCCCCCCCCCCAATCCACAAAAATACTCAACCCCCCTCCACCCTCCATCCCCTCAAACTTGATCCATATTGATACTAAAATAATAATAATAATAATAATAATAATAGAGCTCGCCTCCACCCTCGAAAACAGCACCCTCTTCCAGCAGAACCCCGAATACCGCAAGGCGCTGGCGGTGGTGTCGGTGCCGGAGCGCATCATCCAGTTCCGCGTGGTGTGGGAGGACGACGCCGGCAATGTGCAGGTCAACCGGGGATTCCGCGTGCAGTTCAACAGCGCCCTGGGCCCCTACAAGGGTGGTCTGCGCTTCCACCCCTCCGTCAACCTGTCCATCCTGAAGTTCTTGGGTTTCGAGCAGATTTTCAAGAATGCGTTGACTGGGTGTATGTCTTCCTTCCTTTCTCTCTTCCATCTTCACATGATATATATGAAGAAGAAGAAGATGATGATGATGATGATGATGATGATGCTAATTGTGAGGATGCAGTGAACATGGGTGGTGGTAAGGGAGGATCCGACTTTGACCCCAAGGGCAAGTCGGACAATGAGATCCGGCGGTTCTGCGTCTCGTTCATGACGGAACTGTGCAAGCACATTGGCGCCGACACCGACGTGCCCGCCGGCGACATCGGCGTGACCGGCCGCGAGGTCGGCTTCCTCTTCGGCCAGTACCGCAAGATCCGCAACCAGTGGGAGGGTGTCCTCACCGGTAAGGGTGGCAGCTGGGGTGGTTCTCTCATCCGTCCCGAGGCCACTGGGTATGGTGTTGTTTACGTATGTCTTTCTTTCCTTTCCTTTCCTTTCCTTTCATGTTTGGTTCTGTTTGAACCTACCGGGGGTTGGGTTGGGTCTTGGTTAGGGCTAGGCTGATCCGTATGTACAGTACGTCGAGCATATGATCGCACACGCCACCAACGGCGCGGAGAGCTTCCAGGGCAAGCGCGTGGCGATCTCCGGGTCGGGCAACGTGGCGCAGTACGCCGCGCTGAAGGTGATCGAGCTGGGTGGATCGGTGGTGTCGCTGAGCGACAGCCAGGGCTCCCTGATCATCAACGGTGAAGGCAGCTTCACCCCCGCCGAGATCGAGGAGATCGCGCAGGTCAAGGTCGAGCGGAAGCAGCTGGCCAGCATCGTGGGCGCGGGCACCTTCAGCGACGCCAAGTTCAAGTACATCGCCGGCGCCCGTCCGTGGGTGCACGTCGGCCAGGTGGACGTGGCGCTGCCGTCGGCCACCCAGAACGAGGTGTCGGGCGAGGAGGCGCAGGCGCTGATCGCGGCGGGCGCCAAGTTCATCGCCGAGGGCTCCAACATGGGCTGCACGCAGGAGGCCATCGACATCTTCGAGGCGCACCGCTCGGCGAACCCCGGCGCCGCCGCCATCTGGTACGCCCCCGGCAAGGCCGCCAACGCCGGTGGTGTCGCCGTCTCCGGCCTGGAGATGGCCCAGAACTCGGCCCGTCTGAGCTGGACCACCGAGGAGGTCGATGCCCGCCTGAAGGATATCATGCGCGAGTGCTTCAAGAACGGCTTCGACACCGCCGTCCAGTACGCCACCCCCGCCGAGGGTGTCTTGCCTTCTCTCGTCACCGGCTCCAACATTGCCGGCTTCACCAAGGTCGCTGCCGCTATGAAGGACCAGGGTGATTGGTGGTAGATCGATCCGACGCTGGCTGTTGCTGCTGCTTATGGTTGATGATAACGTATAGTACCTATATGCTTGGTTGGTTTTTTCAGCGCGACGCGATGGATAGAGGCGCCTTCTTGTTTCCTTCTTCTTCTTCTCGGCTTATGCTTAGATGAGCTTGCATGATGATGATGAATCCTTGCTTTGTCACTTTTTATTTTCTTCGTAAAGGGATGGATGGAGTTATCTAAGGCGTAGTAGACTGGACTATACTGGACGGTGAGTGGAAGTAGAAGAGTAAGTTTACTCTCTAGATGTAAACTGTACATGTCAAAATGTGAGTAAAGTAGAAATTGTGCCCTTAGGCTCGTGAGTGCACTGCAGTAACATATACCCCAGGTTGAAGCACAGTATCAATCACTCTATCAAGCATAAGTCATTCATTAAATTATCTCTCATCTAATCAGGTCAGCTCTAGTCAGGTCTAGTCTATATATACAAACCCCCAACCAGCGATTGTGCGAAAAACCTATGGGTATCAAGTAAATCCCAACTATATACAATGTCTCACATCACGATTGCTCCGGCCACGGTGCCAGCTCATGCATGATCCCCCCCGACGCCCGTTTCGACGCCTCCAGCTGCAGCGTCGGCAGCGGGTCAGCCACGACGCTGCGACGCCGCGACAACACCCCCCCAATGGACGGGTTCTCCTTCTCGCGCGGCACGACGTTCGGCTTGACGCGGCTGCGGCGCCGGTGGTGATGGCGCAGGTGCTCGTTCGGCACGGGGTCGACCTGCTTCTTGGCCGCCGGCACCAGGTTCAGATACACGGGGAAGATGGCGCCGGCGCCGAACAGCGCGACCAGCACGCAGTACGAGTGGCGCACGCCGCCGGCCAGCTGCGCGGCGTACTGCGCGAAGGGGAAGAAGGCGCCGCCGCTGATGGCGACCGTCAGGAGGACGGCGGCCGTCTTGGTGTGGCGGCCGGTGCCGCGCAGCGCGATCGCGAAGATGATGCTGAATGCGCCGCTCTCGAACAGGTACACCATCTGCGCCATCGCCTCGGCCGGCCGCCCCGTCGTCTTCATGCACAGCACCGAGAACACGATCATCCCGACGTACGACAGCATCAGGATCCACCGCGGCTTGAGGAACCACTGCAGCAAGGCCGCCAGGAACCGCCCCACCGCGAAGACCGTGTGCGCGACCGTCAGCCGCTCGAACCCGCCCAGGGAGCTGTCCGGATGCACCGTTTGGACGTACGTCTCGAAACTCATCGACAGCGCCTCCTGCCCGGCCACGTAGAAGAACAGCGACCACACCCCCAGCCCCAGCGTCAGCCACACCACCGGCACCCCCAGCACCTTGGCGCGGTTGTCCGCCCGCCGCCGGTTGGCCAGCTCCTCCAGGTCCTCGTCCGACGCCTCGGGGATCGGCAAGTAATAAAACGCCAGCGCCAGCAGCACGTCGAACAGCGCGATGCCCAGGTACGTCCACTGCACCTCCACCAGCGCCGACACGTCCGTCACGCTCTTGAACAGCACCTTCTTGGCCAGCAGCGGCGACACCACGCTGCCGATCGCCTGCACTCCCTGCGAGATGTTGAGTCGGATCTCCGAGTTCTCCAGCGGCCCGCACAGCGCGATGAACGGGTTGGCCGCCGTCTCCAGCACCGCCAGCCCGCAGCCCACGATGAAGTTCGACAGCGCGAACGCCACGTACGAGGTCAGCACCGCCGACGGCCAGAACACCAGCGCCCCGCACGCGTAGATGCACAGCCCCGTGATGAACGTCGACTTGAACCCGCCGCGCTTCAGCACCACGCGGCCCACCAGCGACGGCGCCACGAGGTAGCCCCCGAAGTAGACCGCGTGCAGCCCGAACGAGCGGTAGATGTCGAGGCGCAGGATCTGCTGGAACTGCTCGTTCAGGATGTCCAGCAGCCCGTACGCGAAGCCCCAGAGGAAGAACAGGATGGTCGTCAGCGCGATCGGCGTGATGGACTCCTTGTTGCTCAATTTGAGCATGTTGGCCGGTTTCTTCATGTTCACAAAATCGAAGAAGGTGATGCTGGGCGGGTACGAGGTGCTGGTCACGGTGTTGGTGCGGTTTTCAGCATCCGGGGGCGGGTCGGGGGCGGACGTCAGGACATCGGCGAGGTCGACGCGCGCGGACCCCAGTTGGCTCGCGCTGCTGTGGCTTTCCGTGTGCGACGCCTTGTTATCCGGCTGCGAGGGCGAAGTGCGCGTGGGTCCGGTGATGGCGGCCATTTCCGGGGGAAGGGGGAGGTCTGGGGCGGCCGGCGGCAGCCCGTCGGCGGCTTGCGAGCTGCCATCGGTGTCGCGGATCAGCTTAGGGATGATGCGCGCGACGAGCGGCTTGAGACTCGGGACACAGGCGCAAATGACGGAGACGTTGACTTCCACGACGGACCACATGAAGGAGAGCGCGCCATACCCTACACCAATCAGCACATTATTACCAGAGAGGCAGGAGCAACGTACAGCTCAGGTCGTCGCCCTGGGGATCTTGGAGGTGGATCTCCTTCAAGGCGATCTGGCGCGAGGTGGCGGCGTCCTGGATGTAGACGATGCGGATGACGTCGACAACCGCTACAAAAAAGCCGAAGCTGAAGGTGATGACGAGGATGATCTTCTGCTTGCGCGGGAGTCGCATCTGGGTGAGGATGGGGTTGGGCAGGAAGAGGATGGCTAGGTCGGTGACGATGTTGACGGGAGAGGAGGAAAGGTAGAGGGTGAGGATGTCGATGCACTGGGCGCCGGCGGGGAGGGGATAGGCGACGGCGGCGCTGACGGGGTCGCATTGGAAGACATTGACCAAGGTCAGGGCGAGGCCGGCGGCGTTGACGACGAAGAGGGTGACGTAGTTAGCCCAGCGGAAGATCTTTTCGCCCTGGGTGAGGGTGAGGTAGAAGACGAGGATGGAGGATTTGACGGCCATGAGGGCGGGATTCTGGGAGGAGGGAGGGTGAGGCTGCGGCGCTGAGGATGAGGATCGGGAGGATCAGGATGATCACTCACGTAGAGGACGGTGAAGGCATAGTCGGCGCGGTTGAGGCCAGGGCGCTGGTCGGGACGGATGTCGACATCGTGCAGGCCGAGGCCTTTGCGGGTCGCGTAGAAGAGGGAGAAGGAGAAGCCGAAGTCGAGGATCTAGAGGGTTAGCAGGGGATGGGGACGTGGGCAATTGACTGGGGGGGGGATACCCAGGCTAATAGCATCAAATAGTCGTGCAGGGCGACGCGCTTGACGATGAAGATGCGGGAGACGAAGCGCAGGGCGACGAAGACGGAGGCGATGACGAAGAGGACGATGGAGACGGTGAGGACGGTGGGCCGCTGGTCTTCCATGGCTGCGAAGGGAAGGGGGGGAGGGCCATGGCTCAGGGCATGCTATGGGGAGATGGGGAGATGGGGAGATGGGGAGAGAGGAATATAATATAGGAGATAAAATTCTCAAGAGTAAGCCGGGAAGCAAGGAAGGAGGAGGAAGATGAAGATGAAGGAGTGAGGAGTTGAGGAAACAGAAATTGAGGGGAAAGCGGAGAGGCGCCGGCGTGGCTGTGGGGCTTAGCTAATGTTTATTGTCCTTACTCGACGTGGCGTTTATCAATCTGCATCTTCTGGAATTCCGGCAGCGCCTCCGCTCAGCAGGGGCCGCTGAGGGCAGACGGCAGTACTTCACCTCGTCTCCTTTCCTTTTTTTTCACGCCCCTTCCCATTCCGAGGCTGACTCCTGCCTGCCCGCCCAGCCGCTACGCTAAGTACGTCTGCGTCAACGTGCTGCACGCGTGCGTGGAATGAATGATGATGATGATGATGATGGTGGAGGATGATGGTGAGTGTGCCAACTGCCAAGGGAGAGTTGTCAGTTGTGGGGCACTGTTTGGGTATGTTTAACTTTTTTCTTTCTTCTTTTTTTTTTTCATCCGGTGTCTGGAACCGAATACTACATTTCTATAGTGGACATACGGCTGATGGCCAACTACAGGGAGGTAACAGTTCAAGTAGCCAGATCGGCAAAAGCAAATGGTATATACGAAGACTATCCAAGCAAGATACCCAGACAGCCAGTGGTGTCATGAAGAGAAGAATCATCGATAGTCCCCTGGACCATCGCCATCAGACAGAACAATATGCACAAGAACAGTCAACGAGTGACAAAAAAGGATCTCAAGGATCTCAAGAATCCCAAGAGAAAGACAGAAGGAAGGGCTGGTTGCAGGTAGTCATGGTCGTCAATCAAAAGTCGGTCATCGAGCAGAGTCGACTCGACAATCTACTCAATGTACCACTTGGCGCCCTTCAGACGACCAGCCGCCATGCTGCCCAGCTCGCCGAACAACTTCTCGGACAGATCGATCGACACGTCGTCGCAGCCCATGCACTTGTCCCACACGGTCCCGGTGCTGGTCTTGCCCTCGTACGTGATGGTCACGGTCTTGCCGCAGTCGCTGTCCTGCATCATGCCCACGGGCAGCGCAACCACGTTCTGCGTCGTGCCGTCGCTGGTGATGCCGCAGGATCCCAGGCCCGCGACGTAGTAGGTCAGGTCACCCGTGCAGGGAGAGCCTTCGTCACAGCTGCCGCTGTAGCTGCCGCTGCTGGAGGAAGCAGTGGTGGCGGCGGCAGCGGTGGTGGTCTGGATGGTGGTGGGAGCGGCCCAGGTGGTGGTGGCAGCCCAGGTGGTGGCGGCAGCCCAGGTTGTGGAGAAGGAAGAGGTCCAGGCCTCGGGCTCGGGCTCAGGAGTCCAGGCGGGCTCGGAGGGGGTGAAGGTCGGGATGGAGGGAGTCCAGGCGGGGATAGAAGGAGTCCAGGCAGCCTCCCACTCCTCGGTGGTGGTGGTGGTGGGCTTCTTCTTCTGCCACTCCTCGTCGTCAGCAGCCGGGGTGACGGCGGCACCGGCAGCGTTCACGGTGCTGGTGACATCGACGGTGGTCCAGACGACGTCGGTGACGGTCTCGTAGACGACGACAGTCTCACGCTTCTCGACGGGGGCGGCGGAACCCAGGGCCGCAAAGAGGGCGGCGACAGCCAGAGTCTTGGAGAGAGGAGCCATTGTATAGAGTTGGTGGTCTATATGGATGGTCGAGGAAGGCTTTTGTGTGTGGTGGGGGGGATGAGGGTTTAAGGATTGGATTGACGGTGCTCTGGTCGACAGAGGTAAGGAATGAGACTGCGCAGCAGTACGAAGCAAGAAACCCAAGAAGGAGTGAGGGTTGCAAAGAAGGAATGACCGAGCTGTCAAGGAAGGACGGGACTGTGTAGTGGAGGAAGAAGAGAGAGATGAAGCGAGGGCCGCGGAGAGTATTTGTATGCAGACGGGAAGTGCATTATTGCGCCGGAAAGACCCCTCCATGACTGGTAGGCTAAGGACTGGACTAAACTGGACTGGGCTGGGCTGGACTGGATTGGATTGGATTGGATTGGATTGGACGGAACTGGCCAGGGCTGGATGTGAAAGTGAAAGCGAGAGTCAAAGAGGAAGAACCAACAACAAGGAAAAGCCACAGGGATCCACCCAACCCCACTGCCAGCTCGTGAACGGAACGGTCTGCTGAACCCTCGATCTCCGCCAATGCCCTCATCCAGTCCACACCGGTTCTGCCAGGGCACTCCCCTGGTTGGCGAAGGACGGGCCGACAGCTGTCCTGGTGCATGTAGCAGCCTGGTTGGGTTGTACCTGACTGTTCCTGACTGTTCCTGTTACTCTTACCGTCAGTAGGTCGTAGGTACCTGACCTGATTATTCCCTCGGACACCGACAGACGCAAGCAAACGAAACGTCTCTCCGGTAAGACCTGTCTGAAAAGTGACTTCGCATCCAAGAGCCGTCTCGAACCCTCCGGTTCGAGACAGCCCCAGCAGATCGGCTGATTGGCGGGCCCCGTTGGCGCCGGTGTCTCAGCCGGGCGTTCCTGGGCTTCCGGGGCGGCGCTGAATGGCCAGCAGGGATAAAGTGTGCTAAAAAGTTCTGCTTAGCCTTCCGGATTGACTTTGCGGTGGTGCCTCAGCCACTGGGTCACCCTCCAGTCGGGTGGTGGTGGTGGTGCCTGTTTTTGTGGTGTGGTGGTTGTACGCCGGACTTGCGGGCGGGCTCTCTTTTCCGCCCTCAGGGGGATCGGCGTGGCGGTCCCTGGATGGCACACAGACCCCTGAGTGTGCCACTTGCGCTCTTTGTTCTTTCTTGTCTTTCAGTGTAGGTAGGTAGTACTACTAGGTAAGTACGGAGTAGTATCTAGTCAATATGTAGGTAACAGGTAATAACTAGGTAATAATCATCTGTCATCATCATCGCATCGGGCAGTGGCAAACCACTCTCACTCGCATGACGTGTCGCGCGCCTCGACGCAGTCAGGCACCGACCAGTCACATCGCCACAGGCCCTGATGGACGGCGTTTTTGACTTTTTTTTTTTTTTTTCTATTTCATCGAGAGGGCCAGAGGATTCCAGAGGCTGCAAGATGGAGACAATGGAGGGCCCTACTGGTGGGCTGCAGAGAGTCCAGCCCAGGCCGACCAGCAGTTCCGCAAACCCCCTCTTTCCAGGCTGCGATCTGATTGAATACACCGGGAGCATCGTGTGACGGGGGCAGTCCAGTCCACTGTCAAACCGCCAAAGAGGGGTTGTTAAGTACTGGTTTGCCCGTTTGTACATGGTATCTATAGAGTATCTAGTTGGTATCTACTCCGTACTGTCTGACAACCCGACCGTCCCGTTTCAGCCTTCCATCACTCGCGTGGACTGTGGACTGGACGGGGGGACACACGGTCCAGGCAATTAATTAAAATCCCCCTCGAGTCCGCCATTCTGGGTTTCTGATATGTTCCACGACCATTGTCTGTCGTCTGCAGACTTTCATCTCCGTTGTTCAACCATCTGGGTCTGTGTAACCCACCCTCCACAAAGGCACAGACAGACCCGAGTCCTACTAAGTATCCATGTATCCATGCATCAATAATCAATGAATGTCGCCATTCATCACATCGGAGCATTTCCTCTCACTATTACACCAGGTATTTATTACCTATCGACTAGATAGTACTCACTACCTAATCCAGCCCAAACCCAATAATCCACCGGACCGGATATGAAACCAACAATCCTGCAGAAAGTGCCGGGGTACTAAGTACGAAGTAGTATTCCCATTCATTCTTTTGGAATCCGTGGTGGTGGTGGTGGCGAAGCTGGCAGACCTCGAACATAACCTATACAATCGAGTGTCTTCCACCAACATCACCGCACCCAAACAACTAGCCCCCACCGCCCGATCCAACTTCTTCCTTCTTCTTCTTCTTCTTCCCTTGAGATACCCTGGGGGCGAGGATCGGAGATGAGAAGACAGGTGCAGGTACCCGGCTGAGACTGAAGAAATAAAAATAAAAATAAAAATAAAAATAAAAATAAAAATAAAAAAAAGGTTGTGTTGGTCAGCGGGTGTAGCTGAGCTGTCACTGTTGCTGACTGACTGACTGACAGCTGGTGGGAATGGAGATGGAGATGGAGTTATGTAAGCAGGAACAGGAAAACAGAACCGAGAGAGCCAGTCAAGTGTAGGGTTTAGAACCCCTTCTTGGTAACTAATAATAAGAGGTCTGTTTAATCACATTCACAACCATCCCAAGAAATACACCACATAAGCAGTGAATAATAATGAAGGGAAAAAAAAAAGAAGAGAAGATGGATGACTAAAAGTCGACGATGTCACAATCCCAACTCACTCACGATGGATGCAGCAGCCCAGCCGTGGGGATAGAGTTGCCAACCAGACTTCATCCAAAGTTACAACCAATCGCCTACCTCAACACTTGCCTGCATATCTACCTACATACTTACTTACTTACTTACATACATACATACTTCATGCTATCTCCCCAAACCTTACTCCCACCTGTTTTCGCCACAGATAAATCCAGACTGTCCAACGTCATGATGGAGAAGCAAGTCTATGATTCATCTTCTTTCTTATCTTCCATGGAAGGTATAAGTATGCGTATGAGTAGGAGAGAGTGGTTGCGTTTTGTCTTTGCCATTTTCTATTTTATCCTATCTCTAAAATATCTAATACCTACTTACTTACCTACAATAATCAAAAGTACGCATCACATCACATCACATCACATACCTCTCTCTAACCAGAAAAAAAAAAAAAAAAAAAAGCTGACAAAATACCCCACCTACTTACCTACCTAGATGGACGCCTTCAAGCAGAACCTCGAGAACGTCAAGTCTAAGGGCAAGGATTACTATGACAAGATGATGAATCAGGCTGGAGGTACATAAATATACCACCCACCATTCATCTATCCCTATCATCTACATATATACAACTCCCAAGAACGGAAGCTGACCCTGCAGACTCCGGATCCAACTACACCGGCCAAGCCAAGGACAAGGCGGACGACATCATGAACAAGGCAAAGGATCACACCAAGGATACCATTCCGGAGTCGAAGGGCGATCATTAACTGTCCCTCCTCTCGTCTCTCTATCTACTCTACTTTACTTTACTTTCTTTACTTTACCCCACTCCAATAAATAATCATCGAGAAATAAATACGATCCAAAGATGAAAGACCCTCGTTCATATAATAAACAAACTCTGATTTCATTCAAATTTTGGAAAAGGAAATAACCCGAATATGTATCACGTGAAAATAACTAACTACATCCATCATAACATAACAGCCCATAACCCGTACCATAGCATAGCAAGACAGTATCCATCAGTCTCGTGATATAATAATTACAGCAACAAAAAAAAAAAAAAGAAAAAAGAAACCCCCCCTGACGCCCGGTCCAGAAGCAGAAAAAGAGAAAGAGAGGAGAGAGAGAGATCTCAGCCCTGGCACATCACGCACGCCTCCTTGTTCTCGATGCTGCACTGGAGGACCTGCTGCGAGTAGATGTCGTTCTCGCGCGCCTCGCTGGCCCGCTCACCGTCCTCCTCCTGTCCGGCGTTCTCGGCCTCCTGCGCCCGAGGGGCCGAGTCCGCGGCCAGCGTCCGCGGGCTGCCGGTGGTCTCGTCTTCGCTGTCGCCGCTGACCTGGGTCTGGCCGCGAGGGACCGCCGAGTAGGTGTTGGAGGCGGCGCCCGTGCCCCGCTTCTTCAGGGAGAGGTTCTGGCGGGCCACGTTGGTGTCCTCGACCTTCAGCTGCTCCTGGTCGACGGTGAACTGGATGGGCGCGGACGCGGCCATCGTACGCAGGTAGTACATGCCGGTCTTCAGACCCATCTTCCATCCGGCGAAGTGCATGCTGGTGATCTTGCCCATGGTGGGCTCCTTCAGGTGGATGTTGAGGGACTGCGACTGGTCGATGAACGCGCCACGGTCGGCCGCCATCTGCAGGATCGTGCGCTGGGAGAGCTCCCACACCGTCTTGTACAGCGCCTTGATGTCCGCGGGGATGTTGGGGATGTTCTGGACGGAGCCGCCGTCCGCGATGATGCGGTTCTTCATGTTGTCGGACCACAGGCCCAGGTCGACCAGGTCCTTCAGCAGCCAGGGGTTGACCACCTGGAACTCACCCGCCAGCACACGGCGCGAGTAGATGTTCGACGTGTACGGCTCGAAGCACTCGTTGAAGCCCAGGATCTGGCTGGTGCTGGCCGTCGGCATGGGCGCCACCAGCAGACTGTTGCGGACACCCGTCTGCGCGATCTTGGCCTTGAGCGCGTCCCAGTCCCACAGGTCAGTGGGGGTGCGGTCCCACATGTCGTACTGGAGGATGCCCTGAGAGACAGGCGAGCCCTCGTAGGTCTCGTAGGGGCCGAGCTGCTTGGCCAGATCAGACGACGCGGTCAAAGCGGCGTGGTAGATGGTCTCGAAGATCTGGATGTTCAGCTGGCGGGCCTCCGCCGAGTCGAAGGGCAGGCGCAGAGCGAGGAAAGCGTCCGCCAGACCGTTGACACCCAGAGCGATGGGGCGGTGACGGAAGTTGCTCTTCTCCGCCTCGGGGACGGGGTAGTAGTTGATGTCGATGATCTTGTTCAAGTTGCGGACCAGGACCTGCACCACCTCGTGGAGACGGCCGAAGTCGTACTCGCCACGGGCAGCATCGACGAAAGTCGGCAGAGCCAGAGAAGCCAAGTTACACACAGCAACCTCATCCGGAGCAGTGTATTCGACGATCTCAGTGCAGAGGTTGGAGCTACGGATCGTACCCAGGTTCTTCTGGTTGCTCTTCCTGTTGCAGGCATCCTTGTACATCATGAAGGGGTTTCCGGTCTCGGTCTGGGCCTCGAGGATGGCATACCAGAGCTTCTGGGCCTTGATGGTCTTACGGCCGCGGCCTTCCTTCTCGTACCTGGGGCTGTTAGTAGGAGCAATCACACACTGGGCAGCAGACTTACTTCTCGTAGAGAGCCTCGAACTCATCACCGTAGACATCGGCCAAGCCAGGAGCCTCGTTGGGGCAGAACAGAGTCCAGTCACCGTTCGCCTCAACACGCTTCATGAACAGATCCGGGGTCCACAGAGCGTAGAACAGATCACGAGCTCTGACCTCCTCCTTACCGTGGTTCTTGCGGAGATCCAAGAACTCGAAGACGTCCGAGTGCCAGGGCTCCAGGTAGATGGCAAAGGCACCGGGGCGCTTGTTACCGCCCTGGTCAACATATCTGGCAGTGTTGTTGAAGACCCGAAGCATGGGGACCAAACCGTTGGAGGTACCGTTGGTACCACCGATGTAGGAGCCGGTGGAACGGATGCGGTGAACGTTCAGGCCGATACCACCCGCGGTCTTGGAGATCAACGCACAGGTCTTCAGGGTGTCGTAGATACCGTCAATGCTGTCCGACTTCATGTCGACCAGGAAGCAAGAGGCGAGCTGGGGCTGGGGGGTACCAGCGTTGAACAGGGTGGGGGAGGCGTGGGTGAAGAACTTCTGGGACATCAGGTGGTAGGTCTCAATGGCCTTCTCGATGTCGTTGCCGTGGATTCCCACGGACACACGCATCAGCAGGTGCTGGGGACGCTCCGCCACCTTGCCGTTGACCCGCAGCAGGTACGACCGCTCCAGAGTCTTGAAGCCGAAGAAGTTGTAGTTGAAATCGCGGTCGTACACGATGGCCGAGTTAAGCTCATCTGCGTGTTTCATGATAATCTCGTATGTTTCTTGCGAGATCATCGGGGCGGGATTATTGTTCTTCGGGTTGATGTAGTGGTAGAGATCTGAGATGACCAGGGAGAACTGCTTCTTGGTCTGCTTGTGGAGGTTGGAAACGGCGATACGAGCGGCGAGGATGGCGTAGTCCGGGTGTGTGACGGTCATGTAGGCCGCAGTCTCGGCAGCCTGGTTGGTCAAGTCAGCAGTTGATCGGGGGTCGGGGCTGAGAAATACGTACCAAGTTGTCCAGCTCAACGGTGGTGACACCCTGGTAGACACCAGAGATGACCTTCTGGGTGATAGCAGCAGCATCGACATGCTCGGGATCAAGGCCATAACAGAGCCTCGACACGCGGGCCGTGATCTTGTCGAACTGTACGCGTTCCTTGCGTCCATCTGATCGAGGCGTCAACGATGTCAGCGATGTCCAGAAATGGGTGGCAACGCCCAATAGCTCGTCCGATAGACAGCAACGACGTGCCAGACAGGATCCAAAGCGACGGCAGACGCTCACCTCTCTTGTAGACAAACATTTTGGGTGGTGAAATTGTGAAGACGGGCAAAGAAAAAGATTATCAGAGGGTATATGAATGAAAGATTACTGCAGAGAAAAAGAAAGCCTAGAGTCTTAGGATATGATTAAGAAGAAGAAGAGGAGAAAATTCGTGATGGTAAGTCCTGCGGACCGAAGCTGAGGAGAGGAGAGGAGAGGATGGGAGAGGGTGGGAGAAAAGAGGAGGGAGGGGCAGAGGGTAGATATTTGACGTCGCCGGGGCCAACGCGTTACGGTGGATAGCCACGCGAATTTTCGTGTTTGGACCAAATGGGCTGCCCTTGCATCTCGCCGCTACCAGTACTACTGTAGTACTACTCCGTACTGGGTTCGGGAACGCGACGTGCGCGGTCACGTGCCCTCGCGACAACAACCAAAGTATTGGTTGGTAATCTCACGCCACGTCCGCCGCGACGAGCCGAGTCGCCTCTTACAAATCAGCCCGAATCTCGGACGCTATATCCGATGTCTACAACTCTACGCGGCCTTCGGAGCTTGGGCAGCAGCACTGCTTCAGAGCTACTAATAGAGTCCCACTGGGACCCATCGCACGAGAATAATTACCATTGCTAACTATACAGAGCTCGTGAGGAAATCACGCCCGTTGCCGAACCCGAACATCATGTCCCTGCAGATGGATACGCTCATATAACATGTGACAGTGGCCGAATAAATGCGACACGAATCGAACGAGATACACGGGTGACGCAAAGCCACGGCTTGGAAACAGAAGTGGATCGACCTACAGCGTCGCTGCAAATCCCACAAACACAACCGCCGCAAACGCAGCAGCAGAGAGCTGGCGGTCAGACGAGCCCGACGAGACGGTCTGACTCGGATAGGCACTATGGGACTGGCTAGAGCTGGAGGAGGGAATCACACTAGAACGAGACGCAGTGGGGTTGACAATGACAGGGCCCGTCTTGGTGGTCTTGGGTCCGGAGGTAGAAGAGGCGATGCCAGAGGAAGCTGTAAATGTGTGGTTCACTAGACAGAAATGTCAATTGCTGTTCTTCCGCCGGCATGGTCAACCACGTACCGTCCTTGTAGCCTGCGGACGCGCAAGTGTCCTCAAACTGCACCATAGCCATTTGGGTCTCGTCTCCGCAGAGATCCGCAATCTTGGTCTTCACTTTGTCGACGTTTGTGACGCAGATAGCCTGGAGATCAGCGGGGTTTGGCTGGGAGCTAGACTCGACGTTAGCATGGCCTTACAATCGTCGCAGCGACAATTCATACCCCACTGCAGAAAGCAGACAAGCGTTGGTCTGTGAGGCAACAACGGCGTTGCAGAGAACCACCAAAGTGGCAAGGAGAGTGGACTTGGCGAACAACATGATGGTAGATTTGAGATGGGAGCGACACGTTTAGTTAGATTCAAGTTTCTTGGGGAATGGGTTCTTGCGGGGTGATGAAAGCACAAAAGAGCGTGAGAACGAACGACTGGCCGGGTGCTGGCTGGATGAGAGACTGTGAAGGAAGAGAGCGACAGGATGGAAAGAGATTCAGAAGACCGCGAGAAAGATCAAGTCAAGAAGAGAAAGAGCGACTGGCATCTCGAAGCCCCCAACAGGCAGCTTCCCAATCGAGTATTGACCCTGCCGATCATCTGGTCTGGTCGGGACTCGAATTATTGGCCAATCAGAGGGTGAATTCTGGTAGTTGAACAGCATATGTGGGGTGCACTAGTACTCCTCTGGCTAGTGCCCGCGGACTTCCCCAGGTCACACTAAGAATCCTATCTCTTTTGCTTGCACAGGTCAGGCTAATAATGGGGGGTTCAAACTTCATCGGACGGGTAAGTGTCATCCGAATCTCGGTTGGCCTTTGAGCCATGCTAAATTCTGAGATTACATAGTACAAGCCATTCCCCACCAATATCCCACCCATTAGCAAGACCTTGCAACAACCGCGACTCCTAGCTAGTAAGCATCTATTGCAGAGTATATACAGGTCGAGTTTAACCGCCACTGCACAGTAACTGTACTCAAGAATGCGCAAGATCAACCAGGGTCAGTCATAAGGCTTGGGGCTGTAACTTGCCCTCCTTACCATAGGGGCCGAGGCAAGGGTCTGGGGCTGTTTATGTTTATCCCTACGATGTAGCCCGTAAGGCATGGCTGCGCGGGGACAATTTAACTTTGCGTAGCAAACACTACGGCGGTTTTAGGTAACAATCCTGTTAAGTTGTTATACCCAGGCCGCAACATAATTCTAGAGGTTATCGAGACAGCGTCGATGATAACCGGGATAATACTAGCGGATAGTTTATTTCCAGTTGCATCCAACGTCTTGCCATTCGACCCCTCGGCCATGGTTTTCCGATGAGAATTGCGGCGGAGATCACTGCCATTGCCCTTGCTGCAGAACACCGTCTGCATTTTCCAACGGTCCGTTTCAGCTTCGAGAAGCAATCATTATTTCAGGTTATTCGGTGACTTTAATCTGCGGGCTACAGATGATACTAAACTAAATTAGCGGCGATGATTCAAGGACTCAGAAAGAGTTCAAGACTGATGTCAAGTGCCGATAGAGGAGCACAGCTCTTTCACTGCTGACATTTATGCGAAATCTCTACTGAACTCTTGTGTGTAGAAAAGGCCGCAAAACGAAGTCTTTTCTCAAAAGATCTACAAAGGTTGATACTTGCCTCGTGCAAGAACTATGTGGTGCAAGCCAGACTGATGTATGCAAAATGGGCATACCCTATCAAGGAAGAAATACACCGTTGTAGTAAGGCGATTCTAGAATCAAGGATTAGGTTTCCCAACGGTTGTAACCAGTTCAACCAGAGAGACTTTAATCCAAGTAGATGAAGTCTGTCAGGTGGTAGAAATATCACTCTGGATACTCGTCCCATCTTGAACGAACACCGGCATTGTGATTATAGCTGGTGTTATTAGGGTGATATCGGGCTCAAAACCCCCTACTTAGGTACTTTCTGTCTCCGCGAGAAAATATCCATCAACTTCATACTATCGATATCAAGTTTCTATATCGGCATTCATCCATTGGGTAGAGCTTTCCAAGACAGGATCGATCACAGATTCTCATTACTTTCGACTCAGGGAGACCGCTGCGGCAAAAGAACATCCCGTCTATGTCTCCCCTGTGGTCTACATTGCCAACCTTAGCAGTTACTGTATACCACACCTATTCTTATTTCTCCTGCAGTAGCCCGAGTCCATTCAACCATCCTCCGCAACCATATGCTAGCGTCTTCATCATCGGCCGTCCATCGGCCAGGGTAATCATAAATCTAGGTAACATCAAATCTTGACGACATCTATAGTCTGCAACGCTTCACCAAACCCACTCCCCGTAAGCCCCATCCCTATCCCCATTCACACCAACACCACCACCACCACCACCAACCCCCTACGCATCCCAAGCCGGATCAAACCGACTAACCACCACCTCCTGCAACCCCAACCTACACTCGACGATCTCCTTCCCATTAACCAGATCATTCTCAGCGACCCTCTTCTCCGCCTCCTCCTCATCCCTCGCAATACCAGCCCTAACATGCCTCCTAACCAACCTCTTCCTCGCGACCTCGAAATCGACCTCCACAAACCACAACTCATCCATCAACCCGGCGGCGGCCCTCCACGGCTCGCGATCCAAACTCAGATAATTCCCCTCGAAAAACACGACGCGACACGACGCCGGGATCGAGATATCGTCGTCCACCGGATCCTTGACCGCGTGGTCGAAGCTCGGCGCGAACAGGCTCTGCGTCTCCGCCGTCACCGGCTCCCGCAGCGCCTGCACCAGCTTCAGGAACTTCTCGCCGTCGAACGTGAAGGCCGCGCCGCGGCGGGCGACCGCGTACGCCGGGTCGGGCATCCGCGAGAGCTGCGCGCGGGTCAGGTGGTAGCCGTCCATGGGGACGAAGGTCGCGATTTGTGGTGATTGCGGGTGTTGGGTGGTGTGCAGGTGGTTGATTCGGTTGGACATCGTTGTTGCGAGGCCGGTTTTGCCGGAGCCGGGGATCCCGCTGATGGCGACGAGGAGGCGGGTGGAGGGGGGTTGGGATTGGAATTTGTCTGGGGAGGGGGTTTAGTTAGTTGTTGTGCTTTGGTAATGGTCGTTGGGGGATAATGGGGCTGCTGAGCTGAGCACGCGACAGACTTACTCCAGATCTTATCGACCAGCCTTTCCACCTGGTCGTCCATTCTTGCAGAGTGTGTTATGAGCTATGATTATTATCTATGCGGCGCGAGAGACCCAGAGACGGTTGCGGTTGTTTATATGGATGAATGGATGGATGGATCGATCCAGCACAGAGATCCGCGGTCCCGTAGCGGACAGCAATCGGCGGTGCGGCGAGGCGTGCCTCTATGGGGAGAAAGTGCGGGGGTGGGTGGGTGGGTGGTGTGGGAGCTGAGGGCGACGAGGATGTGATATTCCCCTCTAGAATAGGAATCGTCGATAGGCGGAGGTGGATGCTTCGGGTACCGAATCAAGCAGGCGATGGCAGGTCTGGATGGCAGTGGAAGCTCGGCAGTTTAATGGGATAAATGCGTCGGCGGGGCTTGTCGTCAGAGTGGGGGCTTTCGCGATCGCCTTGCCGCCGGACTACGGAGCTCCAATAGTAATACGTCACAGGGGACCGGCGGGACCGCGCCGGGTTGGACGGAGGCGGTGATGTGACTGTTTGTTCTCAGGGACTGGGATTGGGATTCCAGGGATTGTCGGTCACATGCCCACAGCAGCCAGCTTTGATTACTACGTACACAGCCAACAATATTTATGGGTACAAGTGGATTCAGTGATATGTACTCCTAGTATCAACATCCCAGTCCGAAAAAAAAAAAGAGGCCGTTCCCCCGCCCTTAGCCCAGAGGTCACGAGACACCGACCCCCTGCAGCTGAGAACACCATAACGCCAAACAATTCACAAAGATCCCCTCGCTAAATTAACCGCGAGCCTGTCGCCGCAGGTGAGAGCCGACAGGCCAATATTTCGATATCTGACACAGTAACAGAAGATTAAAAACGATGCGTTCATCGCGGCGGAAGTGGCCCGTCCACCGTCTCGGCGCCATGCGATTCCCCGATCCGACGCCCAAGGGTGCGAGACAGGCCCGCTGCCGCCCACCACTCGTCCGGAATATCCTCCCGGCGCGCCAGTCGGTCGAGGATGGCCTGCATCTGGTGCAGGTCGGGGTCCGAGGAAGAAGAATCGGAGAATGCAAAGGAGATGGTGGGAATTGGAGGATGGTTGCTCATCGTCGACTGGAGATGCTGGGCACGTCGCAGCGACTCCATCTGCCGGATACGTCGGTACCGCCGGAACAGCGACTGCTGCGAGATCCCCGACTCCGAATCGCTTTCCGAGTCGGTCGAGCTCGAATAGTCACACGGGTTCAGAAACTCGGGGTACGGATCAAGCGCTCTTTGTAGGGCATTCGCACCCGAGTCCATGGGGTTGGACATGGGTTGCAGTGAGGTTGCGGAGCTCCGGGTCGTCCCGATCGTCGAAGCAGTCGTCCCCGATGCAGAGGCCGACGTGAAGGAGGAATCGGCGCTGGGGAGGCTGGTATCCGGTGTGATCGTAGTGAGGAGAGTCTCCCACGCATCATTGGCATGGTCGTCGTCCGGACTGACACTTCTCTGGCGATCGCCGAGGCCATCGACCATCGCTTCGCGGGCAGGGCGGGTCGCCTCATTGATCGATCGCTGTCCGACGCGTCGCAATGACGGAAAGGCCGCCGCGATCGAGAGATCCCCCAGGCTATCCGGTCGAAGGAACCGCGACAGGCGGAGGGCATCGGGGTGCGCCTGAGGAGACGACGTCCTGTGGTATGCGATCGCAGGGGCGAAGCGTGGTGTGAAGGATGGAGCATCCTGCTCCGGCCTGTTGTTGTTCACCTCGACCCCGGGCGACGGGCGGCGGTAGAAGTCGGGGAAAGACGAGTTTTGTGGAATTCTGAGGCGCTGGCCCGGACGGTCATGACGGAGCGCATCGCTCAGCAGCCGCTGACCCGCTTCGCGTCGACTTGAATCCAGGAGGCCGGTGGTCAGATCGAACGGGTCGTCGGCGGTGCTGGGGTTCGACAGCGGAGAGCGGACATGGCGGGGGAGGCCATTCGCCTCGCGCTCGATCTCATCCACCAGCGGACGAGGGAAGGGCGATCGGAGGGTTGCGCTGCGCAGGGTGGAGCCATAGCGCGAAGGGCGGCGGAGGGTAGGCTGGCGACGGATTGCGGAGCGCGCAGCGGCACACGGGTCTTTGATGGCATTGTTCTTCGGGGCCTCCGTGGAGGAAGACTCGCAAAACAGTCTGCCCCGATCGGTCAGTCATGACAGCTGGTTTCGTGCGCTCTGGCCTAGCCTAATGCAGCAACGAGCGCGTAACCCGACAGCAGGCAGAGAGAGAAAAACTTGGAAACTTACGGGATACCCATGGCTAGGTATGGCTAAGTGCTAAGTGGATGGATGGGAAGGGAAGGGAAGGGAAGGGGAAGGGGAGAGCAAAGAGAGACAGTTCAACAAATTGAATCTAAAGGGGCAGCCACATCCAGAAGACGGTGAGGCGACGCGAGAGGAGCCCGGATTGCGGGGACAACGACAACGGCCAGGCGTGTGTTGATGGAGAAGGGCGGCGACGTTCGGTTTTCCTTGAATGAATAGCGGAGGCGAAGAGATTTCGCGCCTCAGGCTGCCGTAGCGTGACGCTGTGGATGGTGCCACAGTCCCGGCGTACAATCCAGTACAGCCACATTGCACTCAGCCTGCTGTCTATTCATATCCCTACCTTGTACGAAGTGGGAAGTAGTTGCCCTTGATGCCTTTGCTCTATATCTAGAATCAATCTAGAATCAATAAAACCCCCAAGGGCAATTTATGAACGGGGTATCGACTCCGTAACTGCCCCCGTATCTGCCCCGTACGGACTGGGTCCCGTCGTTGCTCCTCCCGAAACTTACCGTTCTGTATTGCGTAAGTGTAATCACGCTCGCGTCTGGCAGACCTGCCTCAGGCGCACCATTATCGTCTCACGTGACCTGACACTTCCCCGATCGTCTTGCCGAAGCCCGCGGAAAGTCACAGCGATCGGCGGCTTTCGAGAACCGGTGAAAGTTCCACTGATAACGCCCTCTTAGCCTCCTCCTCCTCCCCCATGACACCCTCACCCCTCGTCGTCTCCCCGACCATGAGGCTTTCTTCCGTCCTTACCACATCCACCGCACACTTGGAGCCATGATCGAGCTCGGCCTAAGCCGTATCACGCGGCTCGTCCAGCAGACGCCGCTGACCTGGAAGGCCATCCACATCGCCGGCACCAATGGCAAAGGCTCGATCAGTGCCTACCTGTCCCACCTGCTGTCCGCTGGAGGCGTGCGCTGCGGCCGTTTCACCTCCCCCCACCTGATTGACCGATGGGACTGCATCACCATCGGCGAGCAAGTCGTCCAAGAGTCGCTATTCCGGCAGATCGAGGCTCGAGTCAAGCTGCGCGACCAGACCCTGGGCATCGGAGCCAGCGAGTTTGAGCTGCTGACGGCGACGGCCTTCGAAATCTTCAACCATGAGCGCGTCGATGTCGGGGTGGTGGAGGTCGGCATGGGCGGGCGGCTGGATGCCACAAATATCTTGACCGAGGTCCTGGTCTCGGTCATCGCGAAGATCGGCCTGGACCACCAGTCCCTCCTCGGAGATACCATCGAGCAGATTACCCGGGAAAAGGCGGGGATCTTGAAGCCGGGAGTCCCGTGTGTGGTGGATAGCACCAACTCGCCCGAGGCGATCCGGACTCTCGAGGACCGCATCAAGGAGCTCCAGATCGATGCGGTTTACACGCGCCCCGATGCGCCGGAGAGCCATTCGCCGTCGCTCGCCCGTCTCTTCGCTACGCTTGACCTACAACCCCACCAACGAGCGAACATGTCCTGTGCGGTATCGGCCCTGAAACTGGCCCTCGCTCAGTATCGCCCGGAAGTTGAGGTCGATGCGCTTATCCCAAGACTGTGTGACGTGGAGTGGCCGGGGCGCCTGCAGAAGATTGTCCTGCAGCCGTTGGCGGCTCGCGAAGAGCCTGTGCTGCTGGATGGTGCGCATAATACTCAGTCGGCGGAAGTTCTGGGGCAGTACGTGGACCACAAACTGCGTCCCCACGGGACAAGCGTCACCTGGGTCATCGCCGCGTCTCGTGGGAAGGATATCGCCTCTTTGTTCCACTCGATAATCAAGGCTGGCGACCGCGTGGCAGTGACGGCCTTTGGCGATGTCGATGGCATGCCGTGGGTCAAAGCGACCGATACCGAGGAAGTTGCTGCGTGTGTCAGTTCCATCGCGGGGATCGGACCAATCCAGGGGTTTGGGGAGGATATCGTGGCTGCCATCAACTGGGCCTGTCGGGAAGCGCAGGGCGAGCCGATGGTGATTGCTGGCAGTCTTTACCTGGTGTCGGACGTTCTACGACTTCTCCGCGGGGCACGGGAGCAAACATGAGGCAGACATCCTGTAGCCGACCGAGAGATACCCTTTTTTCCATCGCAGCATTTTGGCGTATCTGTATATGAGCGAGTGTTTCCTTGGTAATTCCATCCGGAAGTCTTTGTATCCCTTCCTTGTCCTTCCACTGTAAAACAGTAGTACTAGTAAGTACTGTAGTGATGAGGATTTGCGCATGTGCAGAACAGTATCGGATCATCGGATAGCCTTCCACCCCAGCATGCAGACCCAGTAAATTCGACCCCAGAAAAATGGCCGACAGCTCCTCCAGTCCGGAGCTCCAGCTGGGGTCTGATAAGGCTGACCGGAGATACTCCAGCAGCGGCCGGGCGCTGCGTCATGGCCCAAGCCAGCTGGTGGTCTGTGGAGAAAAGGAAAGTTCAAAACACCCGCCTGATTTCCCTGCATCGGCCCTCAGCGGTGGTCTTCTCCTCCCCCTCCCTCCCCCCCCCCCTCGCTCCTCGAACAGTCAAGTCCGTCTGCAGGATCCAGCTTTGCGGTTTTCCGGGTCCTTCACTGACCGGCGCCAGTCCCGGTCCTGTCGCTTTTGAAGGCGAACTCTTCGATGGGCAGAGAGACCGACGCGTGCAACGGACGCGGCTCTTTCGACTGCGAGAAGAACCAAGGATCGCTCGCTCCTGTATGTGTTGCTCCCTCCCTGCCTTCCTCGCTCCCCTCGATCATGCCATGTTTTCTGTCGTGGGTTTTCGGCGCCGTTTGTTTTTCTGTTTCCCCTGCTGTTGCCCCGCAATGTGTTACATGACCTGACCTTCACTGACCCAAGCTCTCTGCTGTATCCCAGGTCGTGCTGACATGAAATGAACGATCCGATCGCTTTCCTGGCGCCTGCCTTTTCCACCCGCTGCTCGTCCGTCGTCTAACTGATACTGCGACTGTCTGTCTGTCTGTCTGCTGAAGCTTAGTGTACTTGACTCGAAGGGACGCCGGGGTCCACATATTTCCTGACGATGGTCTCCCGAGCCAGCGACGCCAGTGAGGGGCCGCAGCCGCCGTCCAAGGTGCAGGGCACGCCGGCCAAAACACGACTGACCAGACTCAACACCAGCCCGGCCAAACGCGAGGATAAGGCGAAGGATGACCGGGTCATCAAGTCGTCGGCCAAGGATGTCGCGGAGCTCAAGGATTATGTATGGATGCCGTTCCTGTGGCCTTTGGCCTTGGTGTGATGAGATGCTAACCGCGGCACGTTGTAGCAATTGGGCGACTGTCTGGGTAAAGGTGCGTTTGGGTCCGTCTACAGGGCACTGAACTGGAACACGGGGGAGACCGTCGCTGTAAAACAGATCAAACTGGCGGATCTCCCCAAGAGCGAACTACGTGTGATTATGGTAACGGTCCTTCGTGCAACGTGACGCTGAAGCGCTCTCACTGATATCATGCTTTGTAGCTGGAGATCGATCTGCTGAAGAACCTGGATGTAAGTTGTTTGCCCCTGCACTTGTGCTATCTGATCCGTGCTGATCTATGGTTGCAGCACCCCAACATCGTCAAGTACCAAGGATTCGTGAAGTCTGCTGAAACCTTAAACATCATACTCGAGTGAGTCGCTTTGTGGACTGTTATCCGAAGTGGATGGGCTGACCAATCCAGGTACTGCGAAAATGGTTCTCTACACTCCATCGCAAAGAATTTCGGTCGATTCCCGGAAAACTTGGTTGGCCTCTACATGTCCCAGGTCCTTCATGGCCTTCTCTATCTCCACGAGCAAGGTGTTATCCACCGAGACATCAAAGGAGCCAATATCCTCACTACCAAAGAGGGCCTCGTCAAGCTGGCAGACTTTGGTGTCGCCAGCAGGACAACAGGTCTTAGCGAATCAAGTGTTGTTGGCACGCCCTACTGGATGGCCCCGGAGGTGATTGAGCTTTCGGGTGCCACGACAGCTTCGGACATATGGAGTCTTGGTTGCACTGTTATCGAGCTTCTGGAGGGTAAACCGCCGTACTATAGCCTCCAACCCATGCCAGCCCTGTTCCGCATTGTCAATGATGACCACCCTCCTTTGCCCCAGGGAGCTTCACCAGTGAGTCCATTCCTTCCCCTTGGGTTTCCGTCTCTGACTAGTACCACAGGCTGTGAAGGACTTCTTGATGCAGTGCTTCCAGAAGGATCCAAACCTCCGTGTCTCGGCGAGGAAGCTTCTCAAGCACCCGTGGATAGTCAATGCCCGTCGGTCTGACTCCGTGGTCCCCAAGAAATCGACTGAGTATGAGGAAGCGGTCAAAAGTGTCCAGGAGTGGAACGAGGCTCTGCGATCCCCCGATGCTGGAACCGTCCGGAAGCCGTACAGATACGACAACCAGGGCGCTCCTCTGCGCACGGATATGGTTCCTTCGCGGTACACACCAACCAAAGACATACTCCCTAGCCCGGTCTCGAAGCATGTGACAGATCGATTTCGCTCCCCCGCCTCTACTCAAGAAGACAACTGGGATGACGACTTCGCCACGGCTATTTCTCCCAGTGCGTTGCAGCTACCTCATCTGCAACCACAGGACAACTTCGGGGGAATGCTCTCGTCTGAGAAGCTCAAGGCATTTGCGTCTCTTGATGGTACAGTATTGAGGTCCGATGACGGCTTCGACGACTTCGATGATTCCTTCTCGCAGCAGTCCGGTGAAGCGGACCCTCTTCGAACCATTCGGCCCTTTACATCGAAGCAAACTGGATACGAGAACACACCTCAGTCAAAGGCCGCCCTGGCCGCGATGCACCACAATGTGCCAGTTCTGCAGACGCCTGTGCCACCATTGAGACTGCAGCGCCCGGCATCTTATTTCAAAGAAAACTCGATCGAAGATTACTCCGACCTCATCAAGGCCAATGAAGATGTCCTAGATGACAAGCTGAGCGCTTTTCAGGTGAGCATGCCCATACTGTGGCGGAATCTCTTCTAACAACTCCTAGGAAACCGACGAGGAAGACAGTGATATGATGCCGTCGCCTTCAAAGGAGGTGGTCCGATATCAGGCATCCGCAGGTCACGAAGAAGACCACCAGCCTCAGCTCAGGAAGCGGCTATCTGTTAAGCGTCACCCATCGTCCATCGAGATTCAGAAATTCACCGAGAACGAACGCGACGAGGATTTCTCCGATATCCTGGGGGCCGAAGAGGTCACTCTAGACAAGCCGGAGAGTGAGGGTAGCTCGGGTCAAAGCACGTTGATGCTGAATACCAAGCTGTCGAACAACTCATGGCTGGGTGACCAAGACGATGAGGATGATCCGTTCGCCCAGCTCGAAGAAGGGCTCGATGAAATGGACCTGGAGGCCAACATCGCCCGTGACAAATATGCTCGGCTTCGGGGTCAGGTCGAGACTTTCGTCAGCGATTTGAAAACCTCTCAAGATGAAGATGTGCTCGGTGAAATCTCAGAGCAGCTGTTGAATGTCTTCTGTGATCTTCCGGAGACAAAAAACATCATCATCAGCGCGCACGGGATGCTCCCGATCCTCGAGATTCTGGACATATGCCGTCGTCGCGATATTATTCTCTGCTTGTTGCGCATTGTCAACGCTATCATCTTCAATGACTACGAGGTCCAGGAAAATCTTTGCTTTGTGGGAGGCATTCCCATCATTAACGAGTTTGCCGCCAAGAAGTATCCGCAGGAAATCCGACTGGAAGCCGCGGCCTTCGTGCAGCAGATGTATCAAACGTCTACTCTGACCCTTCAGATGTTCGTCAGCGCGGGCGGTTTGAATGTACTGGTCGAGTTCTTGGAAGATGACTATGAAGACGAACGGGACTTGGTTCTCATCGGAGTGAACGGTATCTGGAGCGTTTTTGAACTACAGGTGAGTGCCCTTGGACAAATTGCCTTTTGGATGCTGACGAGAACCAGGGATCGACGCCGAAAAACGACTTCTGCAGGATTCTGTCTCGAAACTCTGTCCTAGATCCACTGTCACTTGTTTTGAGCCGAGTGTTGGACGAACAGGGGACATTGGCTGAGATTGTTGAGGGCCGGATCGCGAACATTTTCTTCATCTTCTCGCAGGCCGAGAACCATGTCAAGGAGATGGTTGCGGAGCGGACGGTGCTGCACAGTAAGTCATACGCAACACCCGGGTGTGCTCTGCTAACCCCTTCGCAGGAGTCTTGAAAGAGCTGAAGCGGATGACGCCCGTGCATCAGATAACCATGTTGAAGTTTATTAAGAACCTGTCGATGCTGTCCACGACCCTTGACTCCCTCCAGAATTCCAACGCCATCGACGTGCTGACGGATCTGCTGCGGTCGACCATGAAACGGCCGCACTTCCGCGAAGTCTCCAACCAGATCCTGAATACGATCTACAACATGTGCCGTCTGAACAAGTCCCGCCAGGAGGATGCGGCGCTGAATGGCATTGTCCCGCTGCTTCAGAAGATCGTAAAGACTGAGCGACCGCTTAAGGAGTTCGCCCTGCCCATCCTGTGCGATATGGCGCATTCAGGAAAGGTTGGACGCCGTGAACTGTGGCGCAACAAGGGTCTGGCCTTTTACATCTCGTTGCTCTCTGATCCGTACTGGCAGGTGACTGCTTTGGACGCCATCTTCACCTGGTAAGTTGTGTCCATGCAGCGTCAGTTCCGAGCTAACCCGTCGACAGGCTTCAAGAGGAGACGGCCAAGGTTGAGGAACATCTTTTGGATAACCGCTTTGACACGTTTACGGACTCGATTGTCCGGTGCCTGACGGTATCCAAAGCGAACGCATTTGAAAACATCCTCGAACCGCTGCAGAAACTCCTGCGATTGAGCCCGCCTATTGCCTCGACCTTCGCACGGCCCGATCTGTTCATGAGACTGGGCCAGAAATTGCACCACAACAAGGCCGCGGTACGACTGAACCTGCTGCGTATCATCTCGAGTATATGCGACTCCAGCGACGAACAAGGCGGCCTTCTTGCGCGATACGGTCTTCTGGAAGCGATCCGCGAACTGGAGCACGACCCAGCCATTCTGGTGCGAGACATGGCGGGCAAGCTGGTCCAGTCTAACGAACGGAGTGAAGTGTACAACATGGAGAAGCGCAAGCCCGGCATGAGACGGAAGAGCACATCGACGACGTCCCCGGGCCTGCTCACGAACCAGTCCGCCCCCGCGACCCCCCAGATCAGCCGGTTCAGTCAATCGAAGCAGTATTTCGACGGACGCGAAAGCCAGCGACACACGCGGCCTACTCTCAGCGGTTCCGGGCTGGCACTGCGACCCGGGAGTCGAGATGGTACTGGCCCAGCTCTTTCGGTGGGACTGGGTGGAAGCGGCGGTGCGGCTGCGTCGAGAAACCGCATGTCGCGAAACGTCGCCAACCGACTGTCGCAGGTGGACCTTCTGGCGGAAGAGGAGCCCAGGCCGTCGACTGCGATGTCTCGTCGACGATCCATCCTTCCTCAGCGCCGACGGCCGACCCATACTGATTCGGATTGGGGTGCATAGTTGACGGTCGTTGGACTTCCTAATCAACTACTGGGCGGTTCCTTGTCTTTCGGGCCATGTCAAACGGTGTCTGGAGGTAGAAACGTGGTAGGTATCGGCGCAGGGGATTGCATTGCATAGGAAGGAGTAATGGTAATGGGGAACGGGGGATTATGCTTTTGTCCGAGTGCGTTGGCAGGGATCAGGTACAGGAAGGCGGGACCGCCTGGGGGGGGGGGGGGGGGGGGGGGATATTGTCTGTGTAGATATTCGCCGAGAACATACGAAGTACATTGAATGTGTTGGAGTACATGAAGTAGACGCTATGCTGTGGTGGCGACGGCTCGATTCGGGCCCGGCGCAGGAAGAGCCACGAAAATGCGCCGCGGCCACCGCTGCGGATCTTCAACCTTCCACCTTCACCCCGACTCTCGTCCTCCAGTCCCTCCCTCCCCTCTTCCCTCTCCCTCCCTCCCTCCCTCCCTCTCCAGGCTGTGTGCTGGCACGGATGAGCCACCCCGTCCAGTGCCCTGCTGAACTCGCCTGGTCTCGCCTTGTGGACACTTGTTCGGGATGAGGGCGGCGCTCCGCATTCCGCTGCGGGCGTCCAATTTTGATCCCGCAGCGGTCATACGATCTCCTGCCCAAGTCGCCTGGCGGCCTCTCCTTTCCCACCGCCCCATCTCCACGACTTCCACCTCGACCCGTCCGCCTGCTGCGATCTGTCCTTCACGTTCCCTCGCCCAGGCTGCTGCTGCCCCGTCCATCTTCCGGGCTTCCTACGCCACCCGCACCTCTCCGTTGCTCGAGACCGCCAGATCGGAACCGGAACACAATGACAGGAATCAGAACCAGTCCGGACCGGGTCAGTCGCGCCGCAGGGTCATCAAGTATGCCGTGATTGGAGGTACAATCGTTGTTGGGGCGGTGGTGTTCTCGGATCAGGCCCAGCATCTCTACCGTGCGGCGGCGAGAACAGGGCGGGTTGTCGGCGCATTGGCGGTCTGTATCAACGAGTAAGTGGAAGTGCACTGCGCACTGCGCACCTCACAAGGATACGGCATACTCATCCAATTGCACAGCTATCGGGTCACGCTTAAGCAAGAAACCTCCACGCCGGAGGAGCGGAGCGAGGCGATTCGAGCCTGTCACAAGCGATGCGCGGAACGGACTCTCCGGGTTCTGGAGAAGAATGGATCGATTTTCATCAAGCTGGGACAACACCTGAGTAGCATGGGCTATCTGCTTCCGATCGAATGGACCACGACCTTCATCCCGCTCCAGGACAAGTGCCCCGTCTCGTCGATCGAATCCATCGAGCAGATGTTCCTCGCCGACACGGGCCGTCCCATCGACGAGCTGTTCTCGTCCTTCGACCCGGAGCCGATCGGCGCCGCTTCCCTGGCGCAGGTGCATATTGGTACACTGAAGGAAACGGGCCAGAAGGTTGCCGTCAAGGTGCAGCATCCGGCACTGGCCGAATGGGTGCCCTTGGATCTGGCCCTGACTCGGTTCACCTTCTCGATGCTGAAACGCTTCTTCCCGGAATACGACCTGGAGTGGCTGTCCCGGGAAATGGATCTGTCTCTGCCCCAGGAGCTGGATTTCCGCATGGAGGCCGAGAATGCCATGCGGGCCAGCGAGTACTTCAAGCAGCATTCGGACGCGCCGCTGGTCATCCCTGATGGTATTGTCCCATCCCCGATGCACACACATACACACACTAACCCATCCACCCAGTCATGTGGGCTCAAAAACGAATCCTCGTCATGGAATTCATCTCCGGCCGCCGCCCGGACGACTTGGAATTCCTCGACGCCAACCACATCAACCGCGACGAAGTGTCCGCCGCCCTGGCGCACATCTTCAACGAGATGATCTTCGGTGAAAACGCGCCTCTGCACTGCGACCCCCACGGCGGCAACATCGCCATCCGTCTGAACCCCACCCGCCGTCACCAGAACTTCGACATCATCCTCTACGACCACGGTCTGTACCGCGACATCCCCACGGACCTGCGCCGCAACTACGCCCACCTCTGGCTGGCGGTCATCGATTCGGACATCCCCCGCATGCGCGAATACGCCCGCAAGGTCGCCGGCATTACCGATGAACAGTTCCCGCTCTTCGCGAGCGCTATCACGGGCCGAGATTACCTGGTGCTCAAGAAGAAGGATATCGCGTCTGCGCGCACGTCCGCGGAGAGAGATAATATGTCTGGCTCGCTGGCGGAGGGCATGCTGCAGCAACTTGTGGAGTTGCTTGGGCAGGTCCCCCGGATCATTCTGTTGATTCTCAAAACTAATGACCTGAGTAAGTCATCCTTCTCCCTACACTTTTCCTCCCCCATCCATATTCCTATCCACATCTACATCTTCACCTACATCCACATCCACATCCACCCACTAACGACCAAAACAGCCCGCAGTCTCGACGAAAACCTACACACCCGCCAAGGCCCCATGCGCACATTCCTCATCCTCGCGCGCTACGCCACCCGCACCGTCTTCGAGGAGCAGATGGACGCCGTCCGCGAAACAGGCGGCCTGCTCCGTCCGCGCAACTTCTGGCGCTTCCTCTGCGCCTGGACCGGGTTTCTGCGCGTGGAGCTGAAGTTATCTGTTTACGAGACGCTGTTGGCGCTGAAGAGTCGGTTTGGGTGGTTATAGATAGACTATATCTTTTCTCCCTCCTTTTTCTTCTTGGAATACTGATTTATAGTTTGCTTTTCTGTTCAAGGAGTGAGTTGCCTGTCTGTCTATGTTTGATCTTTCTGCCTTGTTGATTAGAAGGCATGTGCATGGCACATATGGCGTTTTTATTATTTTTGCTGTACTGTTATTTCACTGTCACTGTTACTGTTCTTTATCATTGTGGCTTTTTCTTTCATCTTTCTTCTTTTTCTCTTTTCTCTTTTCTCTGTTATCTTTCCTTGTTTCTAGACTACGTTGTTGATTTGTTGGTTTGTCTTGAAAAAGCTGTATACTTATTATTATAGAGAGGAGAGAATACATAGGATCAGATTCAGATATCAGATATCAGGGCAGTAATGGTTGACTTTCTTCCCACTTACTACCTACCTACCTACCTACCCAGGTATCTTCTAGGTATTTAAATGCGTAGATACTGACACTGACACTGACACTCACACCTCCAATAGAATAGATACTTACTAACCACCTCACTTCCGTGCTCTAATCAACTGATCACTGTCACTGTCACTGAGTAGAGAGTAGACTAGAGTAGAGCAGTGCAGAGTAGACTAGACTAGAGTAGAGCAGTGCAGAATAGAAAAGAGTAGAGAAGAATAGAGAAGAGAGTAAGTACCTTGGAGACACTCCTCCCTTATCAGATCCTCAGACCGTCCAATCCAGACTCCAAACCCAGCCAGTTCTACAAGAAAGAACCCTGCGAGCCAAGCCCCATCCCATCCATGCACGTCAACCATAAATAGCATACTTAACTAACAACCCAAATAGCTAGCTAGCTAGCTAGTTCGATTAGTACCCAAATTATACTTCTCCCTAACTCTGGGTCTGGGGTCGGGTCTGGTGATCCGGGTCGAGTTATCAGATTAAACTCTGGATGCTGGATGATTATGATGGGCGATGATGATGTCAGTTTTGTGGCGAATCACACATGCGTGTCCCTCCCCCCTTCCCCTCATCTCTCCCTCACTCATTCTTTTTGCTCAGTATCGGTATCAAGTACATATCCGGTATACGCCCAGTAAAATTCTTGCTAGAAATATAGTACATACGGAGATGCCAGTATATGCATAGTTGAGTAGAGAGGATATTTAATTTAATTTAATTCCAAGGATAAGGTAACAGAACACCCTGTACTGTATTGATTTATACTCTCCCACTCGCTCCATGAGTTGTGTTCGTCATCAGCGACAGTGATAGCAAGAGCAAGAGCAAGAGCAAGAGCAAGAGAACCTTCCTGTCTTGCTAATCTTCCTGTCTTGCTAATTCAAGAGCGGGGGGGGGAAAGAAGAAGAAAAAGAGAGTAAAAAAGAATAATGTCACCCCGGTGTGAAACCTGTACTGAATGCTGTACATCACACAAATCAAAACAAAACAGATAAAAGAAAACAAAACAAACAAAAGAAAAGGAAAAAAAAAAAAAAAAAAGGTAGGCTAGTATTTATTGCCCGGGAATCAAATCCTTATTCCGTGTCCTCCTCGTTTTTATCGCACTTCGCTCATTCAGTGCCATCCAGTTCGATCAGTCAGTCTGCCATCTACAGCCGTCGTAGATGGAACTTCCTTGCTCCCATTCTTCCTTCAATAAAATAGTAGTAGTGGTGGTACTAGTAGTAGTAATCAATGGTATCCCAGCGTCAACTTTTCCTCCGTCACGAAAAAACTCCTTTTTTTGGTCGATTTTTTTTTTCAGATAAGAAAGAAGGTACTAAAGAGTAAAGACCTTAGATGGTAGCACTGCTGGTCTTCTCAATCTCGACCTGCACATCGGCCATCGACGCACCAGTGCCCGACAGATCGGTCTTCACGGCGCGGGGGTTCTTGGTGTAGTAATCCGTGATGGCGGACTTGATGGCGTCTTCGGCAAGCATGGAGCAGTGCACTATCGAATTATTAGCATCGCCATCGCATCCCAACACCACCTTCATACACAAAATTCATAGAATACAAAGCAGAAGAGAAGAGAGGAAGGGAAACTCACACTTAACAGGAGGCAAACACAGCTCCTTCGCGATATCGGTATTCCGGATCTTAGCCGCCTCATCGAGGGTCATGCCGCGGACCAACTCAGTCAGGTAACTCGAACTGGCGATGGCACTGCCGCATCCGAAGGTCTTGAACTTGACATCGCTGATCTTGTTGGTGTCCTTGTCGACGCGGATCTGGAGCTTCATGACGTCGCCGCAGGCGGGCGCGCCGACCAGCCCGGTGCCCACGTCGATGGATTTGCTCATCGAGCCGACGTTTCCTATTTCCGTCCTTGGTTAATAACTCTAGATGTGGGGTATGGGGGTGGGATGCGCGAGTTGGGTGGTTTTTTCCGTTCGCTGGTGATGACGTTTGGGGTGATGGTGATGGTGTTGGGAGCTACCTACGTGGGTTGGAGTAGTGGTCCAGCAGTGCATTGTTGTCAGTATTTTCCTCGCTGATAAAAAAACAATAGAAGGGGATCGGGGGACATATCTTTCTCGTGGTATCCCCTCCGCTGGGGAGCAGATGAGCGCAGGATGGACTGGGTCTGGGACTGCAGGCCGGAGACGGCCGGGGCGACGATGCGAGGAGAGGCGAGGACGCTGCCTGCGCGAGGAGCGACCGTTACGAGACGACGGAACATGATGTGTGTGTGTGTGTGTGTGTGAGGAAAAGAAATTAGAAAGAGTTGAGAGGTATCCTTGATGTGATGTGATGTGGTGTGGTGGTGGTGGTGAACAGGTGGGAGGAGAGGAGAGAGAGAGAGAGAGAAGGTGTAAGTGATGTGATGAAAGATTGATAGACCGCGGCGATTGATTAATTGGGGGGGAAGAGATTCCACGGCGTTTCTGCACCGGCGCTATTCCTCCTCGGGAAACCCCGTCGCCTCCGCGGACCGGCCTCGGAGATAGGCGATGACGTTCCAGTGAACCGGTGGTGGGTGGTCGCTGACTGGCTATGGATGTGTACACGGTGTATCGGGAGGACGATGCTGAGCCTTTTCTTTATATTTCTATTCCCTCTACGCGATAATTTTGAGGGGACCACGTCAGGGGGGCCATTGTATGTGTCGCGAGGCAGATGTTGGAGTGGTTCCCCGTGGTTCCCCCCGGCAGTTCGGCCAACGGGAACTTCTGCAGGCGGCATTACCAAGCAAGACGGCGCGAACGGCCGGTTGGTATTTCTTCCTTGATCCTTCTTACCGCCTCCTCCATCTGATAACGGCGGCGGATTAACCCGGGCCGAGGGTCTACGCCTCCGTACCTTGGACTACACTACACAGTACTTACTCTCCGTACAGTAGATAGCATACATAGCCCAGACCCGTCCATACCTTGATCTTATTATCTATCTATCTATACCTCAATGGCCAAAGCAAACGGAAACACCCTCGGTCGATCATCAGGGGTGAGTCACCATCTCCATCGTCTCTCCTTCCTTCCTGTCCCGATTCCATGATCCCATCCGTCCTGTTTGGCGCAAAGTATATACTATATATATATTCATTCCATTCCATCCCAAGGGGAATATCAAAAATGACTAATCCCCTCCCTCCCACTTCTCTCCCTCTCGCGGTGATAGATTCTACACCTATGACTTCATTTCCATGAATCAGATATGAAATGATCCTGTATTATTAACAAAAGAAACCCAGTCCCTCAATGCCCCAATAGCCGCCTTCACCATGGCCCTCATCCTCGGGTCCTATTGCATCAGTTCCATCCGCACTGCCCGTCGCGAGGCCCAGTCTGCGCCGACTGTCGGCACTACTTCCACCGCTACCACCGCGGCCCGTGCGAAGACCGATTCGCAGAACGCGTGGGTGCAGCAGGCGTTGGAGGAGAGTCAGAGCCAGAGTCAGAATCAGGGGGCGAAGAAGAATTAAGTTCAGTATGTAGTATTATGGTTTGGTGGGAAGAAGAGGAGGAGGGGGGGGTGGTTGTGTAAATAAAGGTAGTGATGGTTGTGGCTGTGGTTATGGTACATAAACCCTCTACGGTAGGGGGGGGAAGGACGGTCCAACATCTGGCATGTTTATAGAGATTCTCTTCTTCAATTTGAATATGAAATAATAAAAAGTTATTATCATCGATTGATTGCTCATTGCTCATTGCTCTCGAGTACGCAGTACTATCCCCCCCAATTCCATCCAATAAATAATAACCAACAACCACCCAGTCCAGCACCCAGATAGTAGACAGCCAGCAGACAGAATCAAAGAATCAAAGTATCATCATCCATAATCAGAATTTTCAGTGTATCAATGATCATATCCATGTTTGAAAACCGGATCTACCATTAAAAAGTATTCATCATATAAATGGAATCAACACAATGATAACCCCCATGTCAGTCAGAGGCTGTCATCAACAGATTGATCAATCTGCTTATCCTTTGCCCTGGAGCAAGGATGAATGGATAGATAAATAGATGTAAACTGATAGGCGTACCAATCAACCCGTCAATCCATTATAGACAGGCCAATCTGGTTGGAATCATAACAACATGTCAGCCTCAATGGCTTCATATAGCCAGAAAGAAAGCGACGAGGTTGTGCGACGGGAACAAGAAACCGCAGAGAATTTCGCGCGCGGCGGTTTTAGTGTGCGAGGCACGTGATCTTGAAGATGGGTGATGTCATTCCGGACCCTGTAACTAGTTACAGTGTACACACTAAGTAGTTATTCCGTACACGCTATACAATTATGCATGTTAACTATTCCGTACTGCTAGTCGTACTAGTCGAAATGACAATAATCCCGCAGCAAAGCAAACACGGTGAACAACTATGAACAAGATAACTGACAGAAAACATATATTCTAGGAAGGGCAGATATCAAGTGTGTGTATGTACAATTGCAACTGCGGGTTTATCGAAACACAACAAAGGACGCTCAAACTCATGCCACCAAGGACCGTCAACAGAGGGAATGGAATTGTTGGCTGATGCTTTCACATGTCAGAGCTTTGGTCTAACCTAGCCCCTGTTTGGGTTTAATGTGCCGAGGGTGTCTCGTGGACGATGTGCAAGCAGGAGGATGATTGGGGATGGGATAGGGCGCGCGGGCCCGGGTAGAAGATATCAGGTATGATAACGACTTGGGTACGGCTAGCAGGGATGTAAATGGGCCTGTGGCACTAAGTTTAAATGCCCGCCACTCCAGCATGGATAGCCTGCTGCTCGTACGCCTTCAAGTTCAGGGGTGTTTGTTAAATTCCTTCGCTCACTCGGCCCTCGTGCATCTGCAGCTTCATCTCCCCCTCATGCTTCATATGACTGATCGTCTTCTTCAAATACTCGTAAGTAAGCATGGTCGTCATGGCCGCCGGGACAGCCCGGAACAGGTTCGTGCCGATCCCGGAGTAGAATGCACGCCAGCCTTCCTCTTTCAGAATGGTCTGGCATGTGCGAATAACCCCCGCGTATCGGGGCCGATTGGGCATCCCATCCGACGACGACGCACCCGCACGTCTGCCCCGATCCTGGGGATGGTCAACCCCCCCGCGAAATGAGATCTCTTCCGGGGATGATGTCGGCGACGTCCTCTGCTGCGTCTGCAGCCGGGTCCGGAGCACCTCGTGCGGGTACGTCACGGTGCTGGCACAGACTTTGCTGAGGAACGTCGCGGACGTGATCCCTATCCAGTGCGAGCTGCCCGTATCCGGGTGTTCTCCGATCCCATAGCCCGTAAATGCCATCTTGAGGTATTCGTAGAGCGGGAACTGAATGGCGACATGCGCGAGTCCCAGCAGTGCGGGGGTGAGACCCGAGTAGAACGATCGGATTCCCTCGCTTCTGTACATCTTGCGAGCCGCATCCCACGTGCTGTTGTATTGCCATGGGGCCCGATAGCCTTCCGAGCTGCTGCGCCGGAGGCTTTGGGACATGAGTCGTGTTTTGATCACCCAGATCGGGTTCGTCACTAGTGTCGAGCATGCGCCCGCTGTTATCGAAGCGTATCCTCTTGAAAGCCACCAGCTATCTGTTCCACCGTCAGCACCGTTGCCAGAGCAGCAGATCCAATACCCTCACCTGTCGTGCCGTAGAAATACTCCCGAGATCGATCATAGACAGCCAGGTAGACCGCCCACGTCGGGAGATATCCCAGCAGCATGGGCCCCAGCCCTTGATAAAGCCCCCGCACGCCGTCCTCCCGCCATATTATTCTCCCCGTACCCAGCATGCCTCGGTACAATGTCTTGGTGACCGCCGAGCCCCGTCTCCGCGCGAAACCCCCCTGCGCCTGCAACTTGGTCTTGATCACATCGAGCGGACATGTCACAATCCCAGACGCTACACCGGCACTGGCCCCGCAGAACGGTGTGATATAGTAATCCGGCACGCGCGTTGAGATCATCTGGAGGCGATCGTATAGCGTCGGGGCGGAAGGCTCGGCCGATGCGTGAACGGCGGGCGATGGAGTGCCGTCAGACGGTGTATCCTGCTGCTCTTGAGAGCCGCTGGCCCCGGAAGGGCCATGCCCTTCAGAAAACATCTTTCCAGCCAGCGCTCAAGCAGTACTCTTATCCGTCTGTTATGTCACCGAGGGTTCCCGGATCCGAGCATGTCGGTGCTCGCTCCGGAACCCAGCAGAAGCCTTGTCGAGTCGTGGTGAGAGGGAGGAGGGGTGTCGTTCGGAGCACAGGTGGAGAGGAAATCTACCGTGGCGGGGGTGGTAGAAAAGATTTCGCGAGCAAGGCGATGTTGTCGGACCGTTATATATGTGTGCGTGCGTGCGTGTGATAAGGTCGCTCTATCTGGAGCACAGACGGGGCGGGGTGTAGGGGGCAAAGCAGCGTCCCTATCGGAGTGAAGAGAGAAGATCTAGAAAAAAGTTCAACGGCCAATGACCGATATCCCCGCCAGCCAGAACGGAGGAGAAGAATCGAGCCGCTGGGGGGTGATGTCCGGGCAGTCGGGTGAGCCGGAGCGGATGGAACAGGATGGATCAGGAGGGGATCAATGTGGACGGGATGAATTAAGCTGGGAGGGTGTCTTAGTCGTTATGGCAGTCAGGTGGAGTCGGTGACTCGGTGTTGAGGCCGGCGGATGCCTGGGGCAGACACACCAGACACACCAGACACACACACCCGTCACGTGCAGCCCCCCTCGGAACGAGCGGTCTGCCTCAGGCACGCAGCCGGATGTTTTTGGGAAAGTCACCCGCCGAACCTCCGTTTTGCACAATCTCCAACGTCGGGCCAACTCCTACTCAGCTTGACTGACATTTCGCGATCCTCCCTCCACACCACCACCCCCCGTCAATTGGACCCCTTCATACCCGCACGGGATCAGTCACCATGTCCGCTCCCTCCCTCGCCTCCTATATCGTCAAGCGCCCATGGCTCAACCGCTGGATGATGCCTCTGGCCCAGTGGTACACCGACGCCGCCGGCTACAGGAGACTCGGCTTGAGGTAGGCATCCTGCCCTCCTGCCCACCGGGGCCCGGACAGCAGCAGCGATCCGATATCTAGGGAACGGATGGAATCACGGGTGTCAATTGAGCTACAATCACCTTCCAGACCCGATTCCGGTCGCCGCCTGTCCCGGGATTGGACCCTCAACTCACACCTCACCACATCCCCACAGCACGACGAGCTGACCAAGACAGGGCCGATGACCTGATCCCCGAGGAGAGCGAGACCGTCCAGACGGCCCTCAAGCGTCTCCCCCCCAAGGAGGCCTACGACCGTGTCTTCCGTATCCGCAGAGCATTCCAGGTGCGTCGGGACGATGCAACCCTACGAAACCCAACCTCATCATCTAACCACAACTCGCGTGTGATATAGTGCTCCGTCTCCCACACCCTTCTCCCCGCTGCTGAGCAGACCAAGGCCTCCGAGGTGAGTCGAATCGAGTCGAATTCAGATCCTTCCCCTTCATGCATCAGACCGATGGGCCCGTGTTCGGTTTCTCCGCAATCCATTCCGTCTCGGCCAATCCCGTGAGGCGGATTGGCAACCCGATGGGGACCCCATATCAGATGCCTACCTACCCTGGCCGGCAACAACCCTTCATTACATATCCTGATACTGATTGATTCTCCAACAGGACGTCGAGTACCTCAGCCCCATCATCCGCGAGATCGAGAAGGAGAAGCAGGAGCGTGTCGACCTCGACGCCCTCGTCGTCAAGCGGTAAATGGCTTGTCGAAAGTGGTTGATCGGTATCCTTCAAAATGCCGCTGGGGCTTATAGATGGGCGGGACAAGATGAGACACACTTGCTGTCCGGCTTGGCGGTCATGATGCTGCGATGAGCGCATTTGGCTGGTCGTTTAATTGAAGCTTTTGATTTATGCACTCAATTATGTGTACTGATACTGTACAAATTCACTCGTCTTCGTTCTCTTCTTGCCTTGTACCTGTAAGCTGTATGTTGTAGTGTTGGTGGTTTTATATGACGCTGGCTTGATGTTGCTGTCTGAGTGAGGAGGGGCTGCTGGTCGTCAGGGTACTATGCATGACGCTACGATGTCGGTTGTAGCTCGGATGAAGCCAATTCATCCGACAACGCTTCCCAAGTCCAATACTTTATCTACACCACCACCACAATCCTACACTATCCATGCTTATCAGCCACATAACTGTAACATCTCTACACATTATATCATACACATTTACAAACCACGCCAGCGCTAGGAACTCAGCACGGCGATATTAACATCCGTAACCCGCCACATATACCACATGAACAGACTCCTACGCCAGCCGTTAGAAGACGCTTGGCCAAGCCTGACTGTAGCACGTAGCACACATAGCACATACCTATACGGAGCGAACTTTGCCGCCAGCTCCAACATATCTTTCTCCGGCATATACTTGAACTTACCACCGCCCTTGCCCTTCAACTTACTTACATCCTTACCCATGAACACCGCACACCCTCGCCTATAACCGGTCAGTCAGCGGGTCATACTTTCCAGCGCACATGCATGCAACCATAGCGCAGTCAGTTAACAACATACTGCACGCCCAAGTCCCCCGTCGAGAACACATCGGTGCGCTTCAGCGCAAAGCAGGCAAACATCTCCACAGACCACTTCCCCAGCCCCCGTACGGCAGTCAACTTCTCCACCAGCTCCTCATCACTCGCATTCAGCAGCATGCGGGCACTCAGCTCGCCGGCGGCAAACTTCTCCGACAGCCCATGGATATATTCCGCTTTCCGCTGCGAGAGACCCGCTGTGCGCAGGGTGTCGATATCCTTCTTGATAATATCCCCGGGGGATGGGAACCCCGCGCCCGCGCCCGCGCCCGTGTGACCATCGACATCGAACAGCGCCACGAATCTATCCCTGATTGACTTAGCCGCGGCGCCCGAGACTTGCTGCCCGATGATGCTGCACACGAGGCTCCGAAACGGATCGATCTGCTCGGCGAGGCCCTCCGGTGTGAACAGCAAGCACGGGTGCTGCTTGATCACGGGCTCTAGACGCGGGTCCGTGGCGATCAAGTGCGCAACGGCCTGTTCGAGAAGCGTGCCTGTGGTGGCTGTGGGACGCGGTCGGCCGGTCTTGCTGGGCGATGCGTCCTCCGTGCCGGCTGGGTAGGCGACCAGCGATGAGCCGTGGGGAGTTAGGAGCGTTGCGTTGGTGAGGTGCGGTTCGACTGGTCGGTTAAGCGGGGGAGGGGGAGGAGTGGAGTGTAGCCTGCGTGTGGTTTGATTAGTGGGGGAGGGGTCCCAGATGTTGGTGGACGGGAGTGGTGGTGGTGTCTTGGATTGAGGTTGGGGTTTCGGGGCGGAGGTGAGGGGAGGGTGTTCTGGGTTGAGATTCCGGGCTTTCTTCTTCCCCCTTGCTGTTGCGGAGGGCTTTCGTGTCTTGGAGATGCCATTGGGGTTGGTGGTTTTGATGGCGCGCTTTGCTTGGACCGCCGGTTGCAGGAGCGGTATGGAGTTGTTGGGTACGGCGCTCAGACGAGCGGAGCGTCGTAGTGTCATTGTCATCATAGAGCTGCTGTTTCAGATGAGATGTACCGAGTACTATAGATGGATGTATGCATGTATGTATACCTGCAGGTTAATAGGCATTGGGTGAGGTTGTGGAAGTCACTGTTGTTGTCAGCGTTCATGGGGCTAGCCTGGGCGGTTGGAGTACATAAGCTCGGGAAGTCACGAGCCTCGCATCCGGACTTGAAGCCATACGATACCGCCTCTTCGTCGCAGGTTTACTTCTTCTCCCCCGCATTTGGAAGATGCAAGCCACTGCCAGAGGCGTTCAATCGACGGTCAGTTCTACTGATGTGATGTCATTCTGACATTCGTGCGCAACCTCTCCTCCCCGTCTGCTGCTGAGCAACAGTCCCCGTGCAGAAACACGAGCTGGTCGATGCCAGGATAGGGGTATGATGGATGGACGAACTCTGACTCTGGCTTGCCTCGTTCAAAGGATATCTTCCCCATGAGTAATGCCAATGCCGGTCAAGACCATCGACATCATGGTCTCAGTCCGACATAAGCTTCAGTAGTGGTACAGGACAGTTCCACCGAGCTTGACTCAGTGCTCCCTGAGAGGGGTTGATCACGTTCTCCATCGAGTATCTAGATATTAAAAGTAAAAATATATTCTTGCTACTAGTTGCTACTTACTACTAGATACCACGGGTAGTATCTCCATAGTTTATCCATCCTTAAAGGGGTGGCCCCATCCATCTCATCTGCCGTGCTCTTCGACCGAGTTTCTGGAAGAGTCCTTTTTCCGGATCCATCCCTCCCTCCCGTACCGTGAAAGATCTGAAAGGAGTTTTTTAAGGATGATCCTGCGATGCGATGCGATGCGTCTCCGTAACCCGTATTCCCGTGGGCAGGCATCCACCTCATTCGAAAGTTGAAAAAAAAAAAAAAGAATAAAGCTTCGATGAGAGAGCCACCCACCCGACATTTACTCTTCTTCTACCAAGGAAAGGAAAGAGTCCGATTGGCCATGTTCCACTTTTATCCTGTTGTCCTCCCAGGCTGCCATGATTCCATCCGAACGTACGTAGATACGTTTCGACGACGATGAAGGGGGGCAAAAAAAATAAAATAAAAAGCGACGAATTGCGCTCATGATAAGATGCGGAATGTCGCCGAAATCACAACCTGACTGGGCGGGTGCAAGCGACAAGGTAGAGTCATACAAGCACGACCTGTCCTCCGTACAGAGTACAGCAGTGCGAGCTTGCGTCATCTTTTCCAAGTCGACCCAGGTCACGCCGTTCATCCATCGGCCATCCACGTCGATGCCCAGCCACTATCGGGTGCTACTGTATACTGAGCGGCGTGGTCGTGACTAGTGAGGACTGACCAAGGTAGAGATGCGCCTAGTGGGCTACTTGAAGGCCGGATCCATGGGATGATAGGCCTTCCGGAGTCGGTGCCCGGTAAGGCAGTCTAGATAACTACCTAGTCCTCGGGAATAACAGTAGGGGTAATAAGCGATGGCTGGTTTAGGGGGCTGAAAGGAATAAGGGTGAATGCCTTCGTTGTTCGTTCGCTCATCGTGGATATGGAATGGAGCCTAGATAGATACCGAGTACGGAGAGGGTCTGCCCATGGATGGTGGATGGGATCCATTTCCCACGAATTTTTGCCCCAATGGGTATTTTACCCCGTACTTTGGATACTGTCAAGCATTGAAAACATCTTCAGAAAAAAGCTTCGCCATCCCGAACCCGCGAGGCATACGTTGGCTGCCCCGCTGATTGAGACTGCGATGGTCTGAAAGGGGTTAGCTGGCCAGGAGTTGTTGGTGTTGGACATGTTGTTACTATGGCGATGGAATGGGGGGGTGAGTTGTCGTCGTTGTCTCCGTCTCCTGTCGACGCGCGACAGATTCTTTTCCTAATTCCTCTCTTAGTGTTAGAAGCTCGGAGTATGCATCTATGCTAGGCGGACATGACAGGGGGGTTAGATTGAGCTCAATCTAATGCGAAATGAGCTTCCCCATGCGGACGGTGCATATCTAAACGGTATTAACTTACTACTACCACTATGCTCGTTCGCCTCCATCCCTGGCTCCGTAGGTTTGTCCCGAATATTAATTCCTTGATCGCAATCCATCGGTTCTGGAAGATCAACGGCGAGATCGATAAAGGGCGAAGGGTACTGCTCATGCCCCAGCCCCTCTACATCATCGACTTGTCATGCTACTGGATGCATCCGACCGGCAATCCATATATATTCATATCCATTCTTATCAGGCATAATCCTGCTAGCCTGTTCCAGCCACCCGCGTCTAGTGGCGTTAGGGAGAACGTGCTCGGTGGTAATATTATCTCCTATACATGCCGTTTTATTACGGCGCAAAACACACACACACACGCACGCATGAAACCCCGACCATCAACGATGCACTTTGCAGACGGTGGTTTTAGTTGCTCAGTTAGTGGTCATAGCCATGACCCGAGGGTAGAGGTAGCCATAACGGCCTGGCCGTAGGTAGTAATCAATCAGTCATCGACTCATCGTCATCGCCCTCGTCGCAAGGGCGCGTCGTGCCACAATAAAGGAGGAGATTATCGCTCAGGCCAGCCCGAATATTGCGACGGATAGCTGTGGAGTTGCGATGGGTCTGATAGCTGAAGAACTCTAAACGGATCGAGAAAGGACAAGCAATAGTGGCAGCAACCACGGCGATCGAATTTCCCGGTTTGATATTGCGTGCGGGATCTCCTCACAGGCCGGCCCATCCATCCTGATTATTTCTTTCATCACCAGGGACGAACTCGACTCCCTTACTGCGCTGAGGGAACTGCCACCGTGAAGGACAGCGAACCCCGGAGTAGAGGGATGAACCGTTGTCACTGAGCCACCGCCAACAGCCTGTGATCGTGTCATATCATGGATGTTTCGAGTAATCGCCACTAGACAGACAGAGAAGAGAGCCTGCTGTGCTCCTATCAAATAAATGGTCTTATCCCGCCGGCCAGTTTCGATCGTGTATGGTAAGTCAAATACCTTGGCGCGGCATTACCAGCACTAGCCAGCCCGGAAGTACGTTGTGACCGAAGCCAAGTGGGGCCCCACCGAGGTTGGTATGGACGTGACCGCCGCGGTACAGGCGACGGTATGGGGCACGTGACGTGCATCGCCTTGATGCACGGATTCGCCACTTTATTATTAGCTGCCTTGGGAAGGTTGTTTGTTATTACTCCGTACGATCCACTGGTACCTGAAGCCAAGACGAGAATTGAGTTTTCAGGCATGAGGCCCGTCCTGGAAGGTCAAGCACGACTGGGGAAACATCACGACATCAGACTCAGAAGGCAGAAGAATGAGTCTGAGTCCCAGCCATGCCGCAGAAGTCAACCCGTCCGCCCGGGGCAGTATGTGCTATGTAGATAGATAGCTAAGCTCAAGGCGACCGGATTCCAACGCGACCTGGGCGTCGCATACCGATGTAAGGCAGGCCAAGAAAGGTGGACTGGTCCGGACACCCACAGAGGGAGTGCCACTGTGCCAGGTACAACACGCCGTGGAAGGCGAGCCAGCGGGTCCCCTTTCAGATTCCAATAAATTCAGATCGACCACTCCGCGTCGCCCAGAATTCATTACGCCCGATACAGACGTACTCATACGGGGTATTGCTCGAGACCAATACCTGCCGACATTCTTACCTTAGCAGTTATTCCCGTCAATATAGAAGTAATAATTACCTAGTAATAATACCTGGGTAGACAGTGTCTATTACCTTAGTATTTGGTAGGAAAAAGAGATACTACTCCGTACCGAAGAAGGGATGGCAGAGTCATATGTCCTGCTGGTATAGGTAGTTAGGTAGGTGCTAATATTAGTCAGTCCCCCCCTTAACTACCAATGTGCGATTGGGGTCTGGCCCCTCCTAGCGGCAGGATGCTAAATTTGTATGTATGTTTGTATCATTAGATACCTGCCACCACGAATCTCCGTGATGCATCGCGCTGCATTCCATCGAGGAAATCATCCGTCAGTGCATCGGGATCCAGAAGGATGCTGTGTCTTATTGTCAATTTCTGTGTGTTTCAGCTGTGGTCTTGGTACATGTCTGTATACTGTGGCCATCCTGTGTACTGGAGGCCTGTGTCGTAGAATTGTTTCCAGATCCATGACGTCTATTCAATGGTGGCTTCCCACTATCCCATTCAATGAAAAACGGGGCTGGACGTTGATACAAATCCACTGATACCGGGCATGAATTTGCTGGGCTAGATATCCAACCTGCTTGCTTGCATCGGCTGGAGCAACCAAACAACCAGCAACCAGCAACCAGCAACCAGCACCCGCAAAGCCAATGTTTGGAATGAATGGTCAGAGCCGAGGGGGAAGGGGGGAGGGGCGAGCGAATCAGCGGCGGAGGGAGGGGCTAGTCATTGGCGAGGTGTTACAGACGGACTCGTTTCCCGGCCCAAGATCAGGATCAGGATTCCGTCCCTCGCCCCCGAAGTGGCCTAATCAAACGTGTACCGTATGTATGGTATGTGACGGAACAGAACAGGTAAGGAGACTTTCCCCCCCCGGTCTCAGGTCCACCAACCACACCAGCCTCGGGGCCACGACTCCTTTCTTGTCTTGTCCTCCCTGAAAGTCTTCCTTCCCACTTTCCTGCCGATTTTCTTTTCCAGCAATAATCCAGTCCTTCCTTCCCTTTTCTCTCGTGTCCTTCCCTTCCCTCTCTGTCCTTCTTTCCTTCCCTTCCCTTCTTTCTCCCGTCAATCCGTGCCTGCCTCACCCGCGCATCTCTCATCGAGAGTCCATCGCTTAAACAGCTTCTCCTTCGTTGAAGCTCTTCTTCCACTCGCTTATTTATTGTCTCACCACCCCCTCAGCTCTTACGCTGCTATCCGTGTCAACAAAGGGCCTCGCCTTGCCCCCGACTGCATCCTTTTAATTCTACAGCGGTCATCCGTAAGTCGCTTCGGACCCCCTCTCCCTGCCCTCTACGCTCGAGACGTCGCAGTCGCCTTTGATGGCAACGCAGTCGTGGAAGATAAACAGAACTGACGCTCTTGACTACACAGTCCCAACATATCCTAAGCAATGTCTTTCATCAAGTACGCCGTCCCCGCCCTCGTTGCGGCCCAGACCGCCATGGCTGCTAGTGAGTGAACCTCCCCCCCCCCCCCCGCCCCGCGATGGATGAGAAGAAGATGGATGGCAGGAACTAATCAATTCTGTAGGCTGCGGTTCCACCGACAGCACCATCACCATCGCCAGCCAGACCGACCTGGACACCTACGCCACCTGCACCACCCTTAAGGGTGATGTCGAGATCAGCTCCAGCGCCTCTGGTGATCTCACCCTGAGCGGTGTTACCTCCATCACCGGCTCCCTGAGCTGCACTGGCGCCAGCAACGTCACCTCGCTCACTGCCTCCGCCCTGTCCTCCATCGGCTCGGCTTTCACTCTGGACGGTCTGACCACCCTCACCACCCTGAGCTTCACCAACCTGAGCAGCGTTGGTTCCATCTCCTGGACCGCTCTCCCCGAGCTGCAGTCTCTCGACTTCACCAAGGGTGTCTCCGAGGCCGGCGATGTCCTGATCACCAACACTGGTCTGACCAGCTTGGACGGTATCTCCCTGACCACCGTTGGCAAGTTCGACATCACCGAGAACACCAACCTCAAGACCGTCAACGTCAACGAGCTCACCAACGCTACCGGTCTGATCAACTTCGCCGGTAACATGGACTCCCTGCAGATTATCCTGCCCAACCTTGGCACTGGTACCAACATGACCTTCCGTAACGTCTCTGGTGTCTCCATCCCCTCCCTCGAGACCCTCTCCGGTCAGCTCGGCTTCTGGGGCAACACCTTCGGCAACTTCAGCGCTGCCAACCTGACCACCACTGGTGACCTGGTCTTCGATGACAACACCGACCTCTCCAACATCAGCATGCCCGTCCTGAAGACCGTCAACGGTGGTTTCCAGATCGCCCGTAACGACAAGCTCAAGGAGATCACCTTCCCCGACCTCGAGGAGGTGACTGGTGCCATTGACTTCAGCGGTGACTTTGACTCGTAAGTTGCGCGTCTCCCCCCACGCCTGACCTAGTTGCTAATCCACCTACGCAGTGTCTCCCTCTCCGCTCTCACCGAGGTCAAGGGTGGATTCAACATGCAGAGCACCGGCAACTTCAGCTGCAGCGCCTTCAAGACCCTGCGTGAGAACAACGTCATCCGCGGTACCTACACCTGCAAGGCCAACACCACCGACCCCACCACCAAGGACGGCTCCTCTGGCACCGGTACCTCCACCAGCACCAGCAGCACCTCCTCTTCCACCTCCAGCGACAGCGCGTCGGTCATGAACGTGGCCAGCATGCCCGCTCTTGGTCTGGCTGCCGTCCTCGGTGCTCTGCTCCAGTACGCTCTGTAAAGGACCTTTGATACCAAACATTTGTGTGTACGCTTTTTTTTTTTGAACCCTTAACATGGTCGTGTAAAGTTGCCTAATCAGCAAATTGGTTCCTTAATTCCAGTACTGTGGTGTTCTTATGATAATAATTGAATATCGATCGGTTGTTTGCGCGCAAAATTTCGCACACGCGGGGGTGGCCCTCGGCAGAAGGACGGGTTTGTTCGCGGCATCAGGTCCAGCACCGCCCGGACGCCTGGCGCGAGGTGGCTGGGCTGCGGCCATGCCCGGGTCTGTGATCTGTCTTATTGTGCCCTGTTTTATAGACGTTCCTTTTTTTGCAGTTTACGTGTGCGCTGGTTACATGATAGTCCGTTGCCTCTTTAGTCTCTCTAATCTCTCTAATCCACCACCATCCCATGCGGTCCGTATGCCTTCGGGAGTGACCTTGTCGGAGCGTCCCGTCTCGTGCTGGCGATGCGTCCCGTAGACCGTGCGACGGATAGGCACAGCCGCCAGCTGCATTCTTCATGCCGGGTTGGACCTGGTTGGACCTGGTCGGACCAGTCGTCCGGTCGGTCCTGCAGTCTGTGCACCATCTGGTAGGTCGTAGCCTCGCGAAGTGATGTGCAATGTGTGCTGGCTCACCTGTACGGTACTTTTTTGGCCTGGAGTAGACTTCCGCTAAGCTGACTACGTACTTTGCTTTCCTACCTCCTTATGTACTTGACTATGTTACCTATCTCGGTATCCCCCATGCCCCCCTCACTGATGCCCCTGCCCTACCACCCTTGTTAGTCAGTCCGTCCAACTCGTTAGTTCCTAGCACCCCGGTATACCCCGGTAGGAAGGGATGTACCCTCAGCCGGGGAACTCGGATCATCACCAGCAACGCAGAAAACAACAAAGAAAACAGACTTCGGCCCCCTTCCCCTCTCCCCCTCGCACGCACGACACCTATTCCGGAAACTCGTCGATCTGCTTATTTATGTATGTATGTATGTATGTATGTATGTATGTATGTAGAAGAAAGTTTCCTCTTGGTAGGGAACAGGGAATAGGGACTAGGGATGTAGGGATCTGGGAAGGAAGGAAGTTGTGTGAATGTGTGAATGTCCGTGATGGGAGAATTACATACATGTTTAGTATCCAGTGGGTAGTATCCAGTAGGCAGTATCCAGTCGGCAAAATGAGTACAGATAGGTAGGTAGGTGAGTAAGTAAGTAAGCAGGTAAATAGCAGCCAGCTACATAGAACTAACTAGATAACTAGATAGATACATTGGTCAATCCCCAAGAAGTAGGGAAGTACTTGGGTATAGGGTATGATATACTTCCTAAGGTAGGTATGTACTAGGTGGGATTCGGTTTGTGAAACTTTCTTTCTTCCTTCTTCCTTCTTTCTGTACGGAGTAGGGTAGGTGAGGTAGGTAGGTATATAGGTACGCATGTACGGAATAGGCAATGAATGAATGAATGAATGAATGGATGAATGAGATCGATGCATCGAGACCGTCGGAACTGTAGGTACCCTTTCGGATGAGGGATACATACGTACATACATACATACATACATATTTACTTACTTACTTACGTACCTACATACATACATGCCTACATACGTACATACGTACATACATACGCACCACGCAGAGAAGATCGGTAGATTTACGGGGAGGAGAGGGGAGGAGACTAGAGGCTAGAGAGCGAAAGAAGGGAAAGAAGAGAATTTCATTTCGATTCGATTCGGGGGGGAGGGGAAGGTTGGTTATTGCCTCCGTAACCACCTACTTACTTACCCATTAGGTGAGGTTGAGATGATGTGTCATTTTGGGGGGGGGGGGGGGGGTGTGAATTGGGGTTGGGGTTGGCTGCCAATGGATTTGGGATTTGGGATTTGGGGATGTGATGGGGTTGGATATTAATAGTATTGAGTGGTAGATTGTAGTGGTAGTAGTGGTGTTGTTTATGGTGTTGTTGGTTGCTAAGGTCTTGCTTTACTTCCTTCCTACCTACTATCTACGAGGATTGAAGTGTCCCCCTTCCTCCGTGCGGAGGAATTGATTGGATGAAAGACGAAAGAAAGGGAAGGGGATGTTTTCTTTTGCTCAGGCGAGTTATTTATTCTTGGATTGGGGGGGGGGGTGAATGGGGAATACTAGGGAATGGGGAGGCGCCGGGTGGAGGTATCTGTGTCTACCTACTTAGGTATGACTGTGCATGTAGGTAGGTAAGTAATTAAGTACGTAGGATGAAGGATGAAGTTTTGTTTATTCCTGCCATTGTTGTTGTTGTTATTGTTGTTGTTGTCCTGACGGGTGGATGGATGGATGGATGGATGGCTAGGCAGAAAGTAGATAGGTCGACACTCGACATGCATGAAGAAAATACTACTCTAAAACTGTGGTGATCCCGGCGAATCCCACCCCACCCATCCACCTAACTAACCATCCCTCAGAGAACTAACTGCCTACGAAGTAGGTATATTTACCACCTAGTTACTTACGTGGTTAGTACTTCATCTTCCATACCAGACATACTTATACTAACTACTAGAAGTGGATGGATTATGCATTTAACAACTCACCATCCAGCCAAATAAGTAGTATGGCAATAAACAAACCCGGCGTGTTCTGCAACCCTGGCTGGTCGGATCATTTTCCCGGGTGGATCGACTACTGCCATTAGTAGTATGTAGGATGGATGTGTAGTAGAGTATCCACGATGCGTCCGAGCTAGGTGGCTTCTGCTTCTTGAGGTCGCTGGGGTTATCGGGATATGAGTACTCCCTAGAGGTTTTGTTTTAGCTTTGGTTTGGTGGGTAGTACTATATCTACTACGTAGTTTAGCTGGGATGCTGGCATGGATGGGGCCTAGTTGGGTAGGTGGGTAAGTAGGGAGTAGGTAAAAGTATCGTGGGTGGATGGCGGATTACTACTACTATCGAGGCGTGTACCACCTACTTACCTACTTCCCTACCTATGGACTCCGTACCAAACCAAAGGTACGTACTTCCTTGTTTAGGCGGACTGTGAGGTCTGAATGCGACGAGTAGAGTTTGGATGGCAGTATGCATGCCGCAGAGGTGCTGACTCGGTGGTGATCTTAACCTTAAATACGATTATGGGGATGGATGGCAGCAGTACCCAGGTAGGTATGGTATGTCTGTCGTCGTACCTTTGTTGATGTTGCTTTTGGACGGAGGGTAGCCACCAGGATGAATAGAGTGCTCCGGTCGGTCCCCCCGGTCTGGTCTGGACCGGAATAGACATTCTGCCTGGAGGAGAATGATGCTGTCTGTCAATATGATAGATGGACGATAGTCGATGCCTTGCATGTGGGGGGATGCCTCAGGTTGCCTGCCTGGCCCCCTCTCCAGTCGCCCCGGCTTAGGGCTAGGCGGGATAAGAATAGCATCCATACATCGGAAGTAGGTAGATACGCCCGAGGAATTGGAATATTGGAATTCGATCCCGCTCTCCTCATCCGAAATCCACAAGCTGAAAATAATGCGACCGCAAGCAGATTTGGAAACCAGATCCCGTGGCAAGAAGGGAGGATTCGCACAGAGTCAGTACTTTCGCCGTAGGGATGGATGGATGGATGGATATTGCTAAGGCAAGGTGGTGGCACTAGGACGCCCGCAGAACCCACGACGGGGACAACAACAACAATAATAATAATAGATACGATATGACGAAGGGGGAGGGCTCGGTAGCTACACACAGCGTTCCGTGCCGACAGGACAGATGGGATCGAATCATGGAATTTCGGGAGAACAAATGGCTAGCTGCGGCCTTTGGGAATCTGAAACAGTGGCACGAGTTGCTCGAGCCTTGCTGGCGCGAGGTTCGCACTCGGCCTGCCTGCTCCTCGTCCAGCAATATTCCGTGGATGGGCATTGCTCGAATCCGGAAGGCAACGGACTTCGTGCCCGCAGCAGCAGCCAGCAGCTAACAGACTAGCTTGGGCCGGCCAGAACCGAGTGGCGAAGGATCGCATCATGGAGGAGTCGAGGAGAATCTGATACATGAGGCGATCTTGCATCGCCGCACGCAGGGCCATCCCAGTCGCTGCTGAGATCCATGCCATGACGGGCATGGCTGAAGTGTGGACATGCATAAGTGTGTCGCTATTTGATGGGCGTTGTACGTGCATCTGATGAGGTGCGTACGTACTACTGTAGCCGACTGGGGCTATGGTCTGTATGTGCGTTGGGGAAGCCGGTAGAGGCAGGGAAGTTGCTGTAAGCAAGTCGACAGGTAGACTAACCGGGTAGCTGGCGAGCCGCCGACTACCAGGTTTGGACAACGCATTGGGGGAGGGGGGGGGGCGAAGGGGTCTAGGCGGGGGTGTGATTGCTTTTATGATGCATCACTCGAGGAGAGAGGTGGTATTGCCCCTGCGATCATGCTAGAAAGAGAGACGGAGAAGACCGTGGGTGGATGGTGGACGAATGGGCTTATCTTCAAAGGAATGTTGATTCTTGAGCCCATTCGGAGGAGATTGTCCATTTGTTGCATCGGTCGGTATCTGGCAGACTGGCCGTCACTAGTACGATAGGAGTACTATAGTGGTTATCTGTCAGTGTCAGTGTCAGTCAATCCGTCAGCCTCTCTGACTGTTGGGACCCGCTACTGCTGCCGTGTAACCATTCCAAATCTACACCAAACCTAAATCGCTCCTCGGCCTGTCCCTTTCCTGCCACTCACGACCACCTTAATCTGAGAAACCCAGTCTGGCAGCCATGACCACCGACCACTAACCACAAACCCAATTCCCAATGAACCAGTTCCTCGTACACTCGGAAATCGTGCTATCAACCTTCACGGGCCCATTAAGGTTCACTTCAGCCGCTCCCCTCGCTCTCCACGACCGTGACCCTGGCCGCGCTGCTGGGTTCCCTGGTTCAATCAATAGATTGGCACCCATCGACGCTTCGAGGCCCTGATAGTCCGGAAAATATGCGAAACTCGTCATCCTAGAAGCCCCTCGGACAATTTTCTTAAGGTTCGTCCATGGGCCCGTGAGCTGCTGGAGGCCCCTGTGGGAAGGAGAGGGAGTCGGCCTGCAATAATCGATGGGCGCGGACGCTCCCAGAGTTTACGACTAGGTTCGTGCCTGGCGTCCACTGCGTGCGAGCGATCTCGGGTCCAGCAGGGGTGGCCGGCTCTCTCAACTGGCGTCCAGTGTTTCATGACGCCCTCCGGTGGATGTATGTACTGCCAACTCACCACTATGGAGCAGTGGTACTTTCGAGCCTCCACTATGGTGCTATCGGTGGTCCTGGGGGCAAATTGTTCGGACATACTCGTGGATGCCCGGCGACCTGGCGAGGTGGCCAAGACGCGACAGGACTCACGATCCATCGCATTCTGATTTCTCAAGGACGACGACCGGGCAGATCGATGGCGTTGGAGGGTGCCATCTTCACTCTCGGCTACTAGGGTAAAAGACTTGCCCGTTTGGGAATGACTCGAGTCTGCCCTAACCACGTTAGTCCGCCCAAGACGGAGTAGCCTCCCCGGAACATCACCATATGGGAGGCTGGCAGGCTGGCCAGGAGAGGGTGAAGAAGACCATCATGATTGCCCATTCTTCCCCCCCCCAACTCCTCTCAACGTGGGGCGGACTGGGCGTGGCTGCACTGGCTGGTGCTAGAAGACCCATTGTTTCTTCAATCATGCCGTATCCTCAGATCCGGGGCACGCAAATCTGACAGATCTGATCGGCCTGCCACTTTGGTCTCCATCCATCAGCAACGCCTTCTGCGCTTGTCCTGTTTGGTGTCGTCCTTAGATGGCCCTCGCCTCTAGCCTCGCCTCTGGCTTGCCTCTTACTCGCCTCTCGCCTCTCCACTGACGTCCTTTGCCAAAGCGCGATCCCCCGTCCAGGGAGTGCAGAGTACCTACTGCGTATGTTGCGTCCACTGGTGGCACCGTCACCCGCACCACCACCGTTCGCACGAACGGTCATCGGCATAGCCCTGGAATAGCTCCCTTCCCCCCTACTAATTCTATCGCCATAGTCCGGTGGAGTCCTCCGAAACACCCCCCCCCCCTCCCATATCGCCTGTCCGTTGGAGACGTCCGACGGGATTCCAAATTCACTGCGCAGGTCCAAGCCAGGGAAGCCAGGGTATCGCGACGGACCATCCGCGACCTGTACCAAGAAAAGAAGCAGTCCAGAACTAGGCCTGACAGCCGTCACATCCTGGTCGCTGGGATCTCCCGGTGACCCAGGTGTATGGGCCCTCCCTCGGGTGTCGACGATCCCAACTCTGTCCGAGTTTTGACCCCTTAGTTCGGGCCCATTCGGTCCTAAACTGTGCCATTGTAGACATGACCACTTTGTGATACTACTGACGATGGGCGTCGATGGAGACAAGGGCCTTGTCCCATGTACAAAGTACCTCGGGCAGTCGCCTCATTCGTACCCGGCCAAAATAGCCCCGGATCATAACTCGTGACAGATGCTGCGGTCCGTCTGGTGCGGAGGACTTCTGAAGAAGTTGAGGCTATTGTCTCCTCGCAGGGCTCGTCCCAGGTACATAGGTCTGGGAGAATTCTTCTGCGGCGTCCTTGCTTCGTGCTATTAGGTTTTGCTCCCCCTCCTGCTGAGGCGATCTGCTTTTGGGGAGGAGCCGATGCCTGCCTGAGCGTCGGATGTTTATGTATAGTACATTATTGCTCTGGGCTCCCATGACCCTTTATTGGTACTTTTGTCATCCAAGGCCAAGTATCCTCAACTGGGCCGCAGGTCGAGGGGAGGCGTCTTCCGTCTCTAGAGTCTAGAGAGGGTCGGGGCCCAGGCCGGTCCCGTGGCCTTCCCTGTGCCACCCCCCCCCCCCCCCCCCCTCCCCATCTTCCGTGCAGAGCATGTGCTATACATAGTACATCCGGAGTGGTTCGATTGGGGGAGTCGCATCTGGGCTGATCAGTGTGATCGAGGTCGACTGGCCTGCGATACTTTCCAGGTAGGTGGTCCGGATGGTTGGGTCCGATCTGGGCGTGAGGGTCTCTATGGCGTTTAATTCGGTCTCTCGGGATCTGTTGTGGGTGAAAGGCATGGCTTTGACTGCATTACCCGCACCGGAATAGGGCGATTGTTCGAACTAGCCAGCCGGATAAGCGCCGGGGACCCGGATGCCACCCCCGTCGCAGCCACCAGGCCGCGCTTGTCCAGACGATGGGAACGTTTTCTGCCTCGACACTATCTAAGTATGGGTTTCGCGGATGCATCGCCGCCTGGGACCAGAATCCGAGTGGACATGGCCATTGGCCCGAACAGACTATTGATGGCCTGAATGCAAGGGGAGTCGATACCTTTTGCCCCGTGTAGATCGAAAACCGCTACGGCGGTGACAAATCAAGGGTCTGCGATTCTCGTCCGAGTCTTCTTGCTCATCGGGATCATGGCACGTTGATTCGTCGATCCGGTGTTGGCTCACGTCTGTGCCCTTTTGTGATAGAGAGAGATGAGCATTAGGCCAGGGTTGGACTTTCGAAAGTACCAGTGGTTGTAGGTATCGAGGATCGAACTCTGCCGGGATGTTTCTCTTGCATCCCCGTGTGTTCTCATGGAGAGGAGGGAGGAGGAGGAGGAGGAGGAGGAGGAGGAGAGTGGAGAGTGGAGAGTGGAGAGTGGAGACAGATGAAGGAAGAGTGGAGGAGTGGAGGAAGAGGAGTATCTAGAAGGAGAAGAGACCCGATTGAGATGCAGGCTGCAGATAATCTGTAGGGGAAGCAGGGAAGCACCATCTAGACAATAAGCATTGAGGACTGGGAAAAACAGAAAAAGAAAAAGAGAAAGTGAAAAATCGAAAAATCGAAAAAGTGAAAAAGTGAAAAAAGCGAAAAAGGAAAGGCAAGAGGTTCCCCACCGAGGCAGCATCTGTAAGTCATCGACGATGCTCCATTTCCTTGTTGAGGCAGTCGCAGATCGAGCTAATCCGTTTCGCCGGGGATGGTGATACATTCATTCTCTCACTCTCTCCCTCCTTCCCTTCACCTTCATCGCCTGCACGTCTGAGCGCCACCACCACCACCATGATCATGGCGTTCGTTCTCTTCGGTTCACTTCGTCCCCACTTCGTTTCCTCTTCCCTCTTCGATCCATCATCGCCCCCTCTCCTCGTTCACCTGCGGCTTCCAGCATATAAATCATGCAGCGGGATCCTCCCGTATCCCTGGGAAAGCATCATCCCCTCGCCCTCTCGTGGATTTCCCCGATCGTCTGCTTGGTTTCAACTCCAGCCCAGCCCAGCCCAGCCCGAGCCCCCTTGATTGTATCATTGTCGTCATCCTCGCCTCTCTGGGCTTTATTATTGCTGCTCTTGCTCTTCTGCCTCTTCTGGCTGCTCCCCCTTGAAGCTTATATACTACCTCCATCCCCCTCTCGGTCTTGGTCCAGATCACTGTCAGACATACATTCGACCTACATATCAGAGACATCCCCAGCCCAACCAACCTCAGACATACAGCTCTCCCGCTGCAGGTCCCTCCCTTCCCCCTCTTCCATTCCCCAGACACAACATCATGTCTGACGACATCTCCCGCCGCTGCTCTATCCCGTAAGTTTGGTCCCTTTTGTCCTTACCGCCACACTGGCAGACGACGGATACGGATGCAGATGCAGGTGCAGAGACTGACGTGACATGACTCCAGGCACAGGGCCGTCCGTTCCATCTCCAGTGCTTCCAGTGCCGTCGACATGAGCGAAGACCGCCGGCTGCCGCCACTTCCCCCCGTGGAGCCCTTGCCCCGGGGCCCCTTTAATCCTTTCACTTCCAAAATCTTTGCCGCCAGTCCCTCCCCCGGCTCGCAGGATGCGTTCCCTGTCAGATCTCCTTGGTCAGCCACATCAGAGCCCATTATGACCCCGCCGTCTCCCGCCAACTCCGCCGACAGTTCCTGGCCCGAGCCTGCCTCACAGTCCCAGAAACTCATCGAGTGGCCTCAGGAGCTCACACCCGTGGAGCTCCTGAACCTGATCGCCCCGAAGCACATCAGCCGCAAGCCGCCGTTGCAGCAGCTCTGTGGGCGGAAGCGCAAGGGAAACATGATCTCCGCAGACCCGGATGATCAGCGGGAAAAGCATCGGATTGCGGAGGGCAACCGACGCAAAAACCTCAGCCAGCTGCACCGCGAGATGGATGGCCGGATTCATGACTTCTTTCTTGAACGGGCCGGCTGGAACCCTTCGAAGAGTCTGACGGAATCCAAGGAGCACATCGTCCAGGCGGCGATCTTTCTCATCGACTTCATGCTCATCATCATCATCTACCTGTTGCGCATGGAGAACGAGGTTCCCCCGCATCTGGCGGAGAAGCTGCACTCTGAGTTCCACTTCATGCAGCTGCAGCAGACGGTGTCCAGCCTTCATCAACAGAACCAAACGGCCCAGCAGCAGCTCAAGGCCGCGAAGCAGGAAAGCCAGGTGTATCAGGAGCGCATCCAGGCGCTGGAGCTTCAGGTGAAATCATACGAGCACATGTTCCGGTCGCCCAAGAACGAACACCCGACATCCCAGCCTCTCACCCACCTCGCTGAGGCGAAGCCTCGCAACATGCTGCCTGGGATGCGCGTCTTCTGCGATGAGATTGGCGCCAGCGGCCATGAATCCTCCCGCCCGGAGCAGTCCATTCCCATGGCACACTCCCACTCCTTCGGGCATCCATATATCTCCCGCTCTCCTCCCATCACGGGGCCCTCGTCGCCGGCGTTTGCGCACGCATCGTACTCGGTGCCCGTATCCCGGCGCCCGTCCTTCAACCAGTCGCCCTGAGTGGGAGAATCATTTGACTTCTTGCATGACTCGCCTGGAGTCAACTGTCAAGCAGCTGTTTGTTTTTCGTTTTCTTTTTTTTTTCTTCTTCATTTCACACTGGCATAGCAAGAGCGTTATCAGCGACATATACTTGGGACACGCCAAGTTGTCTCTACTGCATCCCGGCGAACACGGATAAAGCGCGCTGTACATCAACCGAGAAAAAAAGTTTCCGGGGGAAGCATGAGGGGGTTTCGTTTGGAGTCTGTACACTCTTTCTTCCTTGTTCATATTGGGAACGGCTATAATTATCACCACTCACTGGCCAGGATCTGGAGCAGGATGAGTAACTTGGGGGGGGGGGGGGGTCTTTTGGGGTTTATTGATCTTGTCACCCGGCTCTCACTATACATATACACGACGGATTTCGGGGTCTTGTTCTTTTGGTTGTTTTGGTTCGGTCATGGGCGTTGGTTGTAACTAGCAGCATAGAGCGAAATGATGTTCCTGATTAGTCACATCCTCATAACGTGTATAAGCCCGTAGTGCGCCGAGATGTGCGGCTGAGTCAGGGACCCTTAGTCAGGACGGCTAAAAAAAGCAGCGGGCCAATCCCGAAGCGGCCAACTGGACTTTGGCTGGAACTCTTCCTGGACTCTTCTTGCGGTCGTCGACCCTTCCATTCCAATCCCCCCTTCGCCTGACTACCGACCGACCGACTGACTTGTCTGTCACCTTGTCTGACTGCCCAACTGTCTGTCTGTCTGTCTGGCTGGTTGGCTGATCGCTTGATTGATCGATTGATTGACTCTGCTTCAGATTCGGTTGGATTGGATCGGTTGTCTCTCCACTCTCCGCCTTCTTACATTCGTTTGAAACCAACCCTTCTCCTACCTCTGGGGATCCGGTGCCGCACCACCACCACCACCACTTCTTCCTCCTCCCGCAGCCAGCCTTTTCCCTACCCTTTTTCTGCAACCCCGGGCCGATCGCTGGCTCCCTCTTCGCCAGATTGCATCCCCGACTCCTCTTCTCTGTCGACATCCTCGATCCCCCCGTCCGATTGCCCTCTCGCCCCCCGAGTGATCGTCCCTGCCAACGCCGCGTCGACGTCCATTCCTCGTCCCTCCCCCGAACGGTCCGTCTGTTCCGCCGCCCGTCTCGCCGCGTGTCGTTCGGTCCCAGACAGATTGATCATCTCCCTGGACACCCCGGTGTCCCAGCGATATATCATCCCACCGACCTCGTCGCCTGCTCTGGGCGTCTGCGGTTCTGACTACATAAAAGCGTGATATTTCCTCTGTTGTAATCGGCGTTCCAGCCCTCCCCCTTTCTCCGTCGCGAAGATGTTGCTCCCCAAGGGTGGTGTAACGTGGAAGTCGGCCAAGGCGAGACTACCCCCATGGCGGGCGGTTCTGTTCCTGGTGACACGGACCAGGTTTCTGGTATCATTGGCCATCACCGGTCTGGTGGTCCTCCTATGGCGTGGCATCAGCAAGTCGGCGTCCGAGATGCAGAGGTGAGTACATGGCTCGGCATCGGCGGGTTGCCTGCGACACGGCCCCTGGCAAGCACCAGACACGCGACCAGCAGGCACTAACCGCTGCCCCCTAGTTTCTACTGCTATGGTCCCTCGAAATCGCCGATGGAGATGAGCATCAACGAGATGGTTGAATGGAGCGCCCACACGCAGACCCCGGTGCTCTTCAACCACCACGACCCCTACGAAGTGAACTCCTCCAGCATCAAGACCGTCGACCTCAACCCCATCAAATCCACCACCCAGGCGGTCTCGAACTCTGAGCGGGTGCTCATCCTGACGCCGCTGAGAGATGCGTCGGAACATCTGGTCAACTACTTCAACCTCCTCTACAAGCTGACGTACCCGCACGACCTGATCGACCTCGCTTTCCTCGTTGGCGACTCCAGCGATGACACCATCGCCGTGCTCACCGCGGAGCTGGCCCGCATCCAGGATCAGGTGGACGAGAAGATCGCGTTCCGCAGTGCCACAATCGTGCAGAAGGACTTTGGGGCCGACACGGAGATGAACGTGGAGGACCGGCACTCCTTTGCGGCTCAAGGCCCGCGCCGCAAGGCCATCGGCAGAGCCCGCAACTACCTGCTCTACTCCGCGCTCAAGCCCGACCATTCCTGGGTCTACTGGAGGGATGTTGATATCTTCGACAGCCCCGCGAGCATCCTCGAGGACTTCATCGCCCATGACCGGGATGTTCTCGTTCCGAGTACGTTGATGCGATGGCTGGCTGTTCCATGCAAAGTGCTAATTGTATCGCAGACATTTGGTTCCACCGCTACCGGGATGGTGTGGACGTTGAGGGTCGCTGTATGTAACGAGAGACACCTTCGTAATGCGCAGTTTGCTAACTTTTGCAGTTGACTACAACTCCTGGATCGAATCCGACAAGGGACGCAGGCTCCGGGAGACTCTCGACCCCAACACCGTGCTGGCTGAAGGCTACAAGGAGTATGACACTGGCCGGACCTACCTCGTCGGCATGGGTGACTGGAGAAAGAACAAGGACGAGGAGGTTGAGCTGGACGGCATTGGCGGCGTCAACATTCTCGTGAAGGCCGACGTCCACCGCACGGGCATCAACTTCCCGGCGTACGCTTTCGAGAACCAGGCCGAGACGGAGGGATTCGCGCGCATGGCCAAACGCGCGGGCTACCAGGTGTACGGACTGCCGAACTACGTGGTGTGGCACATCGACACGGACGAGAAGCCCGGCAACCTCGGGGATCGCAAAGCATACTAAGGTGGTATCCTGAGCCGGTCTTTCGAACCGCATTTCCGCGCCATCCGAGTGGAGCGACCCGTTCCATTTCTCCTTGAAACCTGAATACCCCCGTTTCCCGTGTACATCCGAGCCCTTGCAGCGGTTCTTTGCATGGAGGCTTTCCTCTTACGCTTTTATTGTCTTTTCTTTGTTCGTTTTTCCCGATCGCACTCGGACGCTGGGACGGATATCTCACGACGCCGGTAATTAGTCTTCTTTTTCTTCTTTATTTTCTTCTTCTTCTTCTTCTTCTTCTTCTTTTTCTTTTTCTTCTTCGTATTTCGCGTTAGGGTCATGTCTGCTTTTGTTGGCGCTACGGGGACAGTGTTCAGCGGTATTGGAAGCTCATAGGGAGCGAGCGTGAATGGGCTCTGGTTGGAGCTTGACTTGTTCTTCCGGCGATGCTCTTGCTCGCCCGTCTGGCTTGCAGGAGGGACTCGGGAGCCATGCCCAGTGGCCGTATCCAATGTGGGATGGTTGCTGGCAGGCTGTGGGGGAACGAGGCAAGAGGCCGATGAACGGGGGCCACGGTGCCTGGCGTCCATGTACATACATATATAGGCTACAATCTGGCGGGCTTGTTGTGATTGTATAACCTCGGAGTCGAGTAATGACATATCCATACCTCAAAAGCAGCCCCGTGTACTCTATAGTAATATAGTGATAGTACTATAGACTGGGGGTGGGATCCGGCTAAAGAGCTCCTCCCCACTTGGCTGCTCTTCCCCGCTTCCCGTCAACTGCCGACTTTCTCCTTCTTCTTCTTCTTCTTCTTCCTTCTCCTTCTTTCTCTTCCTTCCACCAACAAACTCCCCTCCTCACCACCTCAAGTAAAGAAGCCAACATGTCCGCCAAGAACGAATTCCTTTGCATCCTTCCCGACAAGCCGGGCGTACAGGCCAAGCGAGTCGAAGTGCGCTCGTAAGCTCTGCCTACCTGCCTACCTGCCTACCTGCCTGCCTGCCTGCCTGCCCCTCCCCCTCCCCCCACTACCAAGTCCAGAAAGAAAAGGAAAAAAAGAGACCGCAAAGAAAATGAAAACCTAGGCTAGGCTAGACAAGACTAACCTCACGTCTCATGCAACCTACAGCCAGCACCTCGAAGGCGTCAAGCCCTTAGTCGAGGCCGGAACCCTGGTTGCGGGCGGTACGTCACGTCCCTTCCTTCCCCTCCCCAAACACAAAACAAATAAACTAACTACGGTACCGCATTTCTTGGGGATGAAGGCGCCATGCTAAACAGTCACCCGAAGGAGGGCGAATCCCTTTCCTTCCAGGGAAGCATGCTCATAGTCGTGGCGGAGAGCAAGGAGGAGGCGGAGAAGGTCATCCAGAATGACATCTATACGAAGAGTGGGGTGTGGGATCTGGAGAAGGCGCAGATTATTCCGGTTTGGCTTCTTTTTCTTTTCATTATTTATTTATTTCTCGTTATTGTCATTGTTTGTGTTTTTCTTTGTGCGCGCTTGGGATGGGTTGGATGTATGCTGACGTCGTGTATAGTTCAAGTCTGCTGTTCGGGTGGGATTGTAGACTTACTGACTTCATACCTACCTACATATCAAGCTCCTTTTTTGTCATCTCTTCGGTGTATATACTACGCGCCACTATTATTGCTCGTGCCATATCAATCGATGATATAACGGTAGTGAAACGATGGTACCTACTTACATACATACCTACATATACCCACCTTCATAGATGATTTGGGCCAGGGGCAGGCATTTATTGCATAACCAAACTGATAGTATACCAGCACTACCTATGGTTTCAGGTATGATTATTGAATATTGGATATTGGATATTAATTGAAGCACCTACCGGTAGGTACCTAAGTATGTAGGTAGGTAGGTAGGCGAGCGGGATTTCTTTCCCCATCCTACTCTTTTCCCCCGTGTCGATGACGATGACGATGACGAGATGAGACTAGACTACCAGGCTAGGTACCTACTTAGCTGCAGAGTGCAGTCTATGGACAGGACTAGGCACTTGGTGGCGGGTCTATTCCGTCCGAACGCGGTCATTAATGACATATCACCTTTGGGTTTCCTTCAGATGGTTTCAGAATCAGGAGGGAGGGAGGAAGAGGGCTGGATCGGCATGTGCAGTATTCTGCAGGAGTGGGAGTGGGAGTGGATTCTGCTGCTGCTGCTGCTGCTCTTGCTACTGGTGATGATGATGATGGTGGTGGTGGTGTCACATTGGTACCATTGGCGTGTCGACTAATCTGGCAGACAGCTAGTCAGACCATGCTTCCTGCTCCACGTTATGGCGCTGCATCCCATCCCATCCCAATGATCCCATCCCATCCCACCCCATTCCATCTTTCTCCACCATCTCGAGCCCACATGCACACTGCACCGCGCTGCACTGCACTGCACCGCACCACACTTGGGCGTGCATCGCGTCAAATCCGAGGCCAGCGTGCGTTTCGACTCGATGCTACGGCTGAGATTGGCCGCACTACTTACCTACATACCTAGCACATACATCCAGATGATCGTCTCCCCTCCCTCCCCCCTCCTGATTTCTTTCGGATCTTGGTGCACGAAGTCAAGTACCGGATTACGTTTGGTTTGCCACTCACTCACTCTGCGCCTCTGCGCCTCGAGGTCCCAAGCTGACCGGATGGGTCTAGTGTCTACGGTACTTGTCAGATGGACACGATGTTCGGATCCCTCGGGCTGAATCTGGATGTGATCTATCCAGATCCTGCATCGCTGGGTGGCCGGTGGCCACATACCTACCTAGGTATCTACCTAGGTACATACCTACCTACCTAATGTAAGTAAGAGGGAGATGGGGTGGAGGCAAGATGAGAAGAATAATATTGTCCACGGTACGGTAACTCCACGGACTCCAGACTGCAGAGTCTAGCGGTACGGTAGGGAAGAAGCAACCATGGTGATGGTGACCCAGGCCCAGGAGGATGGGGAACAGAAAGAGAAAGTCTGAGGGAAGTAAAATAGGACACGGCCACACGGGCTGCGCCGCCTGAGGCTAGGTAGGCCGAGGCTGAGGTCGAGGCTGAGACAGGCTTATGTGAGTGTGAGTGTGAGTGTGAGTGTGAGTGTGAGTGTGAGTGTGTGTATAATTGTCAGTGTGATTGTATGGAGTACACAAAAGTACCCCAAAGCCAATCTGGTGTGATAGTGTGATTGCCAGCTGGGATGTTATCTTTTGTATGTTGCACAAGAACCTCGACCTGCCTCATACTAACGGCTATGGTAGGTAGTTAAATATAAAGCCAGGCATGCGTCAGCCGGTGCTAGCAATAGCAATTGGCCCTAAATACCATCACCATCATCATCATTATTATTACTATTACTAACACTACCATCTAACCCACTATACCCCCCTTCCCCCTCTTACTCTAACCCCATTCTAAAACCGAAAAAAAAAAAAAAAATCAGATTCATAAAAGAATCTACACCTCCGCCCCCGGAACACAACACATCGCCCTCCTCACCCCCTCTCCTCCTTTCTGACCACCATATCCCACCTCACAGCCCGAGGCGTAACCTTCCTCACTGTGCCATCTACCCGCCTCTCCGCCACGCCCAGCTCGAGCAACCCAACATCCTCGTCGAGGAGGGTTTGGTGCGAGGTGGATGTCGGAGGGTGGGTGGGGATATGGAGATGGAGATGGAAGGGGAGGGAGGTTGGGAGGGGTGACGTATGTTCATGTCTATTTATGATGGATAGTACATGTATAATATATAAGGGTACTGCAATACATGCATCTTGATCTATTTCATCTCTCTTAGTTCTAATTACGATCATAAGGATCAATCAGATGAATGAGTCTTGTGATTTTATTGTAAGATATGTGGTAACTCTGCTATATCTCACAGCGTGACTTAAAATAATAAATCATGTCATATACCATGCAATTGCTCACAGGGGATCACTGTAAAAAAAAAAAAAAAAAAAAAAAAAAGAAATAACAGACAACATCCATGGCTAGCATCCCATCCCATCCCATCCCATCCCATCCGTTCCGTTCCATTCCGTGGATTCCTGAACGCCAGAGTATCAATGAATGAGTGAATGAATATACCGATAATAATAAACATCATGAGGTTCTCAGCAATGCAGAATACCGCGTGTATCATAGCCACTATAGCGGCGGTTGCTGCGGCGGTCCAGGGATACCCTGGTTCATTCTGGGTCGTTTCGGATCATTCACCACACCCACCGGAGCAGGCCCGCTGCCACCGGGGTTCGAAGCATTCGTGACATCCGACAAGGGGGGCCGTTTCCCGTTGATGTTCTGCGGCATGGCTTGCGGTGCGCGATGCGCAGCACCGGGGACGGCTGCACCTGCGGCTGCACCTGCGGCTGCGGCTCCGGCTCCGGCTCGAGGATCAATGTTGGGACGTGTCAGGGGACGATAAGATGAAGTTGACGGGCCTCTGGTCATGGGACTGCCGACGCCAGCGCCCCCCGGGGCTCCGATCTTCCGGTGCATGTCCTGCGACGGGTTGATGTAGTCGCGGGTGTTGTTCGGGGCCGGAGAGGCGCCGGTGCCGGTGAGCATGGGTCTGGAGATCGGGACGCTCTTGTTGTGGTCGATGCCGGCGGTTTTGCGGATCGAAGGGCTTTCGGCGTGTGGGTCGAAGGCCGGAGCGTTGGTTGGCATGCCGTTGGGGTTGTCGCGGAGGAGGTCGACGGCGCGGGCGGAGAAGAATGATGCGGAGGGCGTGCCGGAGGGGAGGGTATCTTGGGGTTTGGGGTCGATGTTCATGGTGGTGGGGGGTGCTCCTTGCTCGCGCTTGATGGGGACCTGGGCCCCGAATGTGTTTTGTTGGGCTGGGGGAATCATCCGGTTGTTGGGTTGGAGGCTCTGAGGGGGGGCGGACTGTCGTTGAGGTGCGTATTGGTCTGGAGCGGCGGGGCGGTTGTGGAAAGCCTGAGGCGCGGGGATGTGTCTGGCTGCAGGGGCGGCATTGAAGGGTCGTTCGGGCTTGGATGGCGTTACCATGGCGGGATTGGGTCGGGCGTTGTGGTCGAAGGGCCGTCGATGAGCATTCGCCCCGTTCAGAGGCGTGGGAGGTTGCTGCATTCGGTGTGTTTCCGGTCCCAGGACGATCTCGTCTGGATTGCCTGCTCCGCCGTCACCGAAGTCGGCTTCGTCAAAAAGGTCACCTTGTATAGGTTAGCGATGCTGTCAGCGACTAGTCTGGGACTCGCTTACTCCCGAACTCTCCATCGCCGTCAAATGCCATCGGATCATCGCCGTTGCTGCTCCTTCCAATCTCTGCCGGACGGGGTGGGAGGTTGTCGTCTTCTGGGCTTGGCTTCGGCTTAACGGGCTCTTTCTTGATGGGCGCATAATCCTGGTGGCGATGAAGTTCGTCGACGTCCCATTTAGCCTGCGTATATCAGTGGTTGATTACATCGTGTCCAGACGCAGCCACTTACCGGCATGGCCTTGACTTTGGTGACTTTGGCGACGTAATCTTTGTCGTAGACACAGTTACCCAGGACATTGCCAAAGTTCCTCAACGCTCGCTTGAGGCCATCCGTGGTCCCTTCCTTCTTAGCCTTTTCGAAAGCAGCAGCCTTTCCTTTGGCGTTCTCCATATGACCGTAACCGATATCCTGACATGGCTCGAGCATTAGCATCACCGCTGGACAGACTCGTTGTAGTGACAGCGCGCACCTCATGATATGTCCCGTCTTTCAAGGTTACTCTCACGACAACCGAGAGCCCCAAGTTAACCTTGCCCGTGTTTGGGTTCTCCTCGACCTAACAGATACCAGTTAGCTAACCCCGCGCATCAGAACCCGAAGTCCACTAGATGATGGGGAGCGACAGCGCATACAAAATCCACCGTGATATTCTGGATTGAGCTGGACCAGCCATTGAAGCCGAAGACTTCGTTCGCGAGGTTGATGCACTTATCCGCCGGCAGATAATGCACCCTCTGTCCCGCAGCGCCGGGTCTGGAGGAGATGTATTCCGGGCCGAGTTTCTTGTCGAGGCGCGCTTGGAGCGTTGCGATTTCCTGGGCGGTAAAACTACTGATGCGTTTTTGGGGCTCGTCAAATGGGTTCGCGGACATTGCTGCAGCGGAAGTTTGCATCATAATGGTCGCTGGGCTGCCTCGGTGCTGGTCGCCAACACTGGAGACGCGGTTAGCTTCTGGGTTTGGGTGAGGTTGGGGTTCAGGGTTGATAGGTACGGTCACGTACGCGGGCATTATTTTAGTAAGAATAAGAGGGGGCGAGGCTGGCGGATCATTGAAAAAGCACCAGAGCACCAGTCAACAGAGGGGGGAGTGGTGGTGCACAAAGAGGCCGTTGTTGGCCCGGCGTGTTGACGCGTGATGGATGCCGACACGCCGGATCGCGATATCACGTGATGCCAGCGGCTGCCTGCTCCTCTGTAGTGTGCCTAATAATGGGCTTAGTCTATACTACGGATTATTGGGCTTGCCTTGGGCACTCTGTTTCCTCTCATGAAACTGATCATTCTTGTCACTAACAAATTTCTGGTATGATAAATCGATCTCATTAATCGGGGGCTTCTGACCCGTCAACATTAAATGCGGGATGTGTAAAAGCAATCACTGAACAATAAGACTTGCACTGGGGATCAAGCCCAAGTCCTTCAGTGACTCTCCAAAGTACTCAGCGTCAAACACCTTCCGGGGGAAGTTCTGCACGAAGCTATTCGCATCTACCCCGTCCTCCTGTTTCAGAGCCGCAGCGACCTCGAACAGCGTGGTGGTCACCGGGAGTGTCTTCAAGACATTCCCCTTGGATGTCTGGAATCGCAAGCGGGTTTCCGTGTAGGCCGAGGCGGGCTTGGAGGCCACGGGGCCGGAGGTGGTGGGCGCTGAGGCAGGGGCTGGTTGCGCGGGGGCAGCGAGGCCAGCACGCTCGGCCTTCTCCCGCTCCGCCCTCAAGCGGCGCTCTTCCTTATCCGCCTCGATCCTCGCCTTCACGCGTTTCTTGGCCTCGATGTCTGCCAGTTTCTCCTGCTTCTTCTTTTCCGCCTCCTTCAACATTTGCTTCCGCTGCAGCTCCTCCTTCATGTCCTGGGACTCCTTGGTGCTCTTTCTCCGGATTTCCTGACGTAAAACACATCAGCAGATGACGCGGTAGCGTCAGCTGTAGACAGAAGCCAGCATACCTCATTTCTCTTCTTGTCAACCTTGTCCTGTTCCGACTGCCCCGCGCGCTTAGCCGCTAGTTTCTGCCGGAGCTCTTCCAGTCGGTTCTTCTTCTCTTCCTCCGTCAAGGGCGCGATATCTTCCGTGGATTCCGAGAAATCGACATGCTGCGATTTGGAGGCGTGGAACTCGGCCTGCGCGTGGCTCCGGAACTTCTTTCCGCACTCGTTGCAGACCAGGCTGCGGGCCTCCTCGCCCGGTTGGAGCGCAGGGCCCTCCTCGCTTTCAGCCTCTTGGATCTCCTCCAAGGACTTGTCTTGGTTTTGCTCGAGCCATTCCAGGGCACCTTGGACTGTAGCAGGTTACACCAGAAATGTCAGCAGTCATCCGCCCGTTGAAGGATGTGATACGTACGGCCACCACCCTTTGTGACAGCCACCTGAGCTCTCTCCTTCTCGAAGCCCATTTCAATGAGCTGGTCTAGGTCGGAAGCCATGGCTTGGTGTGAAACGAGGCGACCGGGTAGGCGCAGCGATAGAGCCTCGAAAGTGGGGTAGTAGGTAGGGGAGTGGTTGCTTGTGGCTCAGTAGGCAGCCGGGTATGCAGCAGCGGATGCCCGAGCTAGGTGGAAAGAGAGGTATGAACGGGTGTAGTGAGTAGTGACAAACCACAGAAGTTCAGAACACTGGTGGGAGATGGATGCTAAGTTGAGCTTGCGGGTGACGTATCGTTAGCTTGGGCTGAGCGGAGGGAGCGATAGATTGCTTGTGGCGGGAGGGCCCGCCGACTAAGACAAGCCCTTCGCGATATCCCCAGGCACGCCCACGCCGATGTTCTGGACCTTTCCAGCCGTTCTCCCCGATGCCTGATGTTCGCGGTGACCCTGACACGATGTGGTGGGTGCCGATTTGATCGGGGTCTGAGAGCTGCATTCCAATCGATTTGTCCAGGATGACATTGCAAGTAATGTTTCCGACATTCCCGGCAGGCCAGAGAAGGATATGAGGTTATGATCTCTTCATAGCGTTGATCCTACGTGAATGCTTCTATCACAAATCCTTCTCCAGATGCCGTAGGAGTTGATTAGCAATCTATGAACTACATCTGGCCTAGGCAAGCTGACTCTACAGCATGGCCGACCAGTAACTTCAAGATCGGCCCATTAATGCCGTGGCAAGGCTTTGGCACTTGTTGAGGCTTCTGTCGGGCCCAGAGTAGACCACAATGGAGCTATACCAGATATCTTTCTGACACTGGCTGGACTTGGGAGATCGGGTACTCATGGCTCGTGTTTCAGAACATGTCTGATGGACAGCGGACAGCGGACAGCAAGGCTGATCCTGAGTAGTCGCCGCTCAACTGGCGGACATTGTTGGCCCGACATTCCCCTCACAACCCTCATGTAGTACTGATGAGGCTGCTGGGTGTCAGAAACTCAGAAACTCGGTGTGATAGGTGTTTGGCTAAATAGCGCGTGAGGGACCGTCCAGACAGCCCTGTACCACCGACCAGTCACCAACCGGGGTTGTAATTCCAGGCCGAACAGTTGGCACGGTGTTTGGGAAACAAGGCATGGCCCTATCGCATCAAGACAGCTGTGGAATTCCCCGGAGTAAATGGAAGTCGCGCGAAGACAACTGTATGCACGACACTCTCGCACTAGGTAGCACCCCTTGGGCCAGTGGACACCTAGCTCGAGCCATTTGGTCGATTATTTTTAGACGGTGACAAGCAGTGGATCCCAGGACCCAGGACCCAGGACCCAGGACCCAGACTCGATAGGAGTAAAATGTAAATAGAGTAGTACGTGGTAGTGGTACGGTGAGCTAAAAGTATGTAGATGGGAACTGGCCAATTGGCTCGCCAGCGAGAGAGTAGTAGTATAGCGAAAGATGCAGACGCAGGAACGGATGAATCCCAAGTTTAAGCCAGTCTTAAGCCAGTCTCAAGTTCCAGTCTCAGGCATCGAGGCCCCCGTGATGACATCACCTGACCAGCCGCCCCGTGGCGGGCTGAGTCAGCGCCCCCCGGCCCAACCAGCAGTCGCAACGCAACGGAATCCCCCCCGAACGGAGTTGCGCCTGAACAGTTAATCTATCTCGTGGTTGGCATCCACTTCGACGACCACTACCACTACCTCTTACGTCGGAGACGCATCCCGACCCCATTTCCCTCCTTATTATTCACTCAGCCTGTGTCAGGTACCTACCTCCCCCGTCCCTGCCTGTCCCTTGGGCCCTGTCATTCTGATCCTTCTGGCTGATCACCATTCATCCCTCCTCAGCGCGCTCTCTTCCAAGGACCGGATCCTCCCGTGTCTATCTGCTGTACATTAACTGCTTGCGCATCCCCTCTGTTTCGCTTCTGTTGATAACCGTCGCTGTCTACCCACTATGTCTATTGTTCTCGACCCCCCCGAGCTGGGCTTCAAGCGTAAGCACTTCCCCCGATTGACTTGTATACACTGCCGGTAACTAACTAACCGCGCTGACTAAATACCAGGCCCCTTCGACCGCGAGGTGTGCCAGATCTTGCACTTGAAGAACGAGAATGAAGAGGCGGTGGTCTTCAAGGTATGTACAGTCCTGATGTCTTTCACTCGTGTCAGCACCGTCGATCGCATACTAACATTCACCTCGCACCAGGTCAAAACGACTGCCCCTAAACAGTACGTGGCCACTCCCCTTCTCGAGGTGGGATGACGACTGACCGTGAATTCAGCTACTGCGTTCGCCCGAACTCAGGCCGCATAGAACCCGGAAAGCATGTGGACGTTCAAGGTTGGTTTCCCCGGGATCGGTTCGGCAGTTGACCCCTGGCGCAATGGCTGACAACCCCGGATAGTTCTCCTCCAGGCCATGAAGGAGGAGCCCACCCTCGATGCCAAGTGCAAGGATAAGTTCCTCGTCCAGACCGTCTCGGTGACTCGTGATATGGAGTTTGCCAATGTGACTTCTATTGTATGCCCGCCTCCCCGCCCCCGAGTTAATCCGAGTGACACAATCTAACGCAGCCCCATAGTTCGAGAAAGCCTCCAAAAATGCCCTTCAGGAACGCAAGATCCGTGTGAATTGGTTGGCCCCCGATGATACCCCGGTTCCTGAGCAGAGCGCCGAAACGAACGGTGTAGGTTACCCCTCACCGACCCCCTTTCGAGGGTCGAGTGACAGTGACGGTCAACTAACTAACTGTCCTCTCCAGACCGTGCCGGAAGAAGAAGCCCCAGCCTACACCTCTCCCAGCGCACACTTCCAGACTCCTGCAGCCGCCGTTTCCTCCAGTGCCAACGACACGTCACCGATCCCACCGCCAGATTTCAGCGATAAGCCCAAGCGGGAAGTGTCCACCCCACAGACGAATGAGGGCCCAGCCACGTCTACAAAGTCGCCCACAGTAGCCAGACAAGCCCCTAGCTTGAGCGACGACCTGAAATTCCAACTGTCGGAAGCCCAGGCGCAGATCCTGGCGCTCAAGGAAAAGCTGGCAGACCAGGGCCTGAGGCAGAGGAAGATCGGAGGCGAGGCCGAGAAGGCGCCGGCGCCACTGGCGCAGCAACAGCCACAGTCTACCGAGGCAGGCGTGCCGCTGCAGATGGCCGCTGGGCTGTGCCTGCTAAGCTTCCTGATCGCATACTTCTTCTTCTAGTCATTGACTGCTACGTCGTTTCTTAGCATGTCCGTCCCATGCGCTTTCTTCTTCTTCTCCCCAAACCAACTGTATTCTCTTCTTCTGAAGTCACCGATTTCCTTTGCACTTTTGAACAGCTTCGTCGACATCGGCAGTCCATGGTGTCCGTGTCCGTGTCTTTTCTCCTTTCGACTACTTACTACAACTTACTACCTTACTTTTACGCTTACCCCGTCCACAGCCAAGCCAGCTTATCTGGTGCCTCGGTTCAGTTCGGTCCGGCCTTACTTTGCACTTCTTTTCTTTCTTCTATTCCTATCCTTCCCCTCACCCCTCCCAATCTGTTGAAATTGCTCCCTTCCCCCCACCCCAACTTTTATGATATGATGTAGATGGAGACAGGGTCCTACCCAATGCTCACGTGTTCTGTGGGCTTTCTCAAATATTGTTGCTTGCTTGCTTCTCGCAACCTGCAATTGAAATGTCTGGTCGGTCTGTTGATCTCAGACTCTCGATCCGAGTGTTTTCATTTCCTTCTTTCATTTTTATTACCTCCTCTCCCCTGTTCTTCTTTTCCCTTGCCTGTTTTATTTTACTGTTGCCAGCGAATATCGGTTTAGACGAATGCACGCGTCCATAGTCAGGCAGTAAAGCTAATCATGATGATGCCCACTGAAATGTTTATACTACACACACAAACACGTCTTGTGCCTTGAGATTGTTTTTTTTTTCGCCTTACCTAGCAGATATGTATGACATGGTAATATTATTTCAATTTTTATCGTACAATCCCAGTCTGGATAATTACCTAGACGAATCAATGAATATGTAAACAAACAAAGAAACAAACAAACAAACAAACAAACAATAAAATAAATGCAGTTACATGTATCTAACTTTATGTTTCACAATTATACCCCGTCCCAACAGGTCAGACTTGGGTTATCGGCACCAGTCCGACAAATACAAACGATAAACCCTAGAAGACAGGGAGGGGGGAATCTCATCTCTAGTATATTTCACAGGTCATCAATCAATCAATCAATCAGACAATACAACTCGCACCGTATATATGGTGGTGGATCTAGGGCGCAGCTAGCGAGAGTAATAAATTGGGCAGGTAAGGAAAGAATGGAAGGAAGAGAGGAAGGAGAAATCAATTCTGGATCTCGCTTTCTGTCCACCCACTGCCAGACTCTTCCGGACCAGCCGACGCAGCCGAAATCCCCTCGCCGGCGCGACCATTGCCCCCACCGCCCCCGCCGCCGACAAGACGACCGCCCTGCGCTCTCTTGACCCGACACCACATGCCGACGTTTTTGTCCAGGATGAAGGTCCAGATCACCCACACCCAGCTGCGGTGGCAGGGGAGGGGCTCGTAGAACTCGCTGGCAATGCGGTGGACCTCGTGGAGCTTTGTCCAGGGGATGGCGGGGAAGTCGTGGTGTTCGTTGTGCAGGCCCACGTTGTAGGTGAAGAAGTTGAGGGGGCCATAGTAGGAGTACGTCTCCGGAGGGGGGAGGGAGTCGAGAGGATGGGGCTTGTCGGTGGGCTTGCGGGCCTTCCGCTCCAGGAGGGATTCCGTGCCGTGGCCGATCCGGGAAAAGAAGTAGTGTTCGGCGATGAAGTGGCCGGCGCAGGGGTGGAGGGAGCCGGCGAGGAAGGAGCTCATGAGGAAGTAGAGGACGGGCTGGAGGGAGCCGCCGCAGAACTTGGTCAGGGCGTAGTCGAAGGAGAGCTCGAAGACCAGGTTCAGGAGGTGGATGTAGGTGAAGGGCGGGCTGTAGATGAACATGGGGCGGACGGCGTAGAAGAAGATCTGGAAGGTGCAGAAAAAGGCCTTGCCCAGGAGCGAATCGAGAAAAAAGGCTTCGACCGCGGTGGGCAGGTCGGTATCCAGGCCGGTCACACCTAGAGATTTGTGATGGGTGAGGTGGTAGGGCTGTGTGGAACGGTTCAAGTCAGCCACTATGGTGTCTCTTGTTTTCGGGGCTTAGTTTCTGGGACGGTGTCCACGTACCCGGAAAGCAGCACTATAGGGCACTCCGATTGGGATATTGGCGAAGATGGCCAGCAGTCGGTTTGCCATTGGGGACCGGAAGGCGAGGTTATGCGAGATTTCGTGGATGGCGAGGAAGAGGTTCTGGTTTGCGGTTGCTCCGATCACGTACGCCGTAACGAGGAACTTCCAGGAGAACATGGAGGTATCGCGGAGCAGGTACGCGCAGCATACCTGAAGGGAGACGACGCCCAGTACCACCCATTTTGTCAGGGGCTCTGGTCCGCAGAGCTTGGTGACCTGAAGAGAAAGTGAAGCATTAGCGATTGTCCGGGAGAAGAGGCCACGACGCGACGGGGAAACAGGGCGGAGGTACCTCCGGATGGGCTTTGATGATGGCCTGCCGTCTGGACCGGTGCGGTTCTTCGGTATACGTCCAGAAGAAATGGTCGTCAACCGCGGACTTCTCTGGGGGCGGAATTCTGGCGGCGGGCTGTTGTTCCTGACTGGCGGGAGCTTGCGGGCCCTGGCTCTTCGCTGCGGACACTCGGAGATGCGGTGAGGCATCCGTGGGGGTTTCGACGACGGACGAAGACATGGCCGGAGGGGGGAGGGGGGGTGAAATTCAGGGGGACTGGGAGGCAGTCTACGCCATGGGTGAGAAGTCTGGGGAGGGAGAGAGAAAATGGGGGAGGAGGAAGAAGAAGAGGCAACAACATGAGCGTCTCGGAGCGGACGCCTTCCACGTGGGGCTACCCGGGAAGAGGGATGGTCCGATTACAACTCTCTCAATCAAATCATAAGATGATGAGACGGTGAGAGGGCCCCGATCGGCCAATCTTTACTGGGTTCGTTCGTTTTGTATTGGTTGGATTTCATATGCTAAGATCGTTTCGTAATGCCCCTGTTGGGGTTGGATACCCCCAACTCTCCTCAAAAAAAAAAAAAAAAAAAAAAAATAGAGACCGGCTCAGTAATCGTCTCCACGACTGATAACTTCCTTTACATTGGGTCGAAGAACAATCGTCTATCATTGAGTTAGCTGGAAGATCCGAGTCCTCCGTGTTCAGTAGGGGGCATACATGTTCATATTGGGCAGTGTATGAGCCCTTGATATCGCAAAGAGGAGGGTAGTCCTGGACAATTCCCGAAGAAACCAGGTTGTTCAACTACATAGAAATTAGCATGGATTCTCATAACCATCACCGAAATGGTCCTGTGCTCACTCCGAGGAGGTACTTGTCCTGACCCAACCGGTCGAGGTAACGACGGCAGAAGGGGAGGGTGCCGAAGTTCTTGTTGATGACGTTCAACAGGTTCTTCGCCGAGGAAAGGCGCAGGGACACCTGGTTGTGATCCGGGATCAGGGCGTAGTGGGAGGTTTCCATCTGCGTAGAAAATGTTAGTGCGCAACCCCATCTCAGTAAATGTCAATTGCACTCACGTCCTCTCGCACGTAGCCCTTTCCAGTACTGCCGAAGGTCTCGATGGCAAACACTTCGCCTTCCTCCATCTTGGTCTGGTCACCACCCTTGACAATGGGAACACTCTTTCCACCGTGGATAATGTGCTGTTCAATGTTGTGACCGTTAAGGTTCCGGATACACTTGACGGGATACATGGTCCCGTTGAGTTCAACTTCGTAACTCTCCATGGCCTCCTGGATGGCAGCGCCGATGTCGCTCATGCGAACGTCGATACCCGCTTCCTACGATCCGGACTGTCAGTAAGCCGTCGTAAATACATTGGTCGGGGAGGTGCAATCAACATACGCGGATACCAGTGTTGGTGGCATCTTTCACGGCCGCCAGAAGGGGGTCATAGACGGGGTCGAAAGCCAAGGTGAACGCACTGTCGACAATGCGGCCGTTGATCTGGGCTCCGAAATCGACCTTCATGACATCCCCCTGCTGCAACACCATCTTGTTGCCCGCGTTCGGGGTGTAGTGGGCGGCGCAGGAGTTGATGCTCAGACCACAGGGGAAACCCATACCACCCTTGAGGTTGTCACCTTCCTCCAGGCCCTGGTGACCAGTCAAGGCACGGACCGATTCCTCGATGCCCTCCGCGATCTCCGTGAGGGTCTGGCCGGGCCTGATGGTCTTCTGCGCATACTGACGGACCTGACGGTGCACTTCGGCACCATGACGATACTCCTCCAGGAAGTCGTTCTTCATGCGGTCCAGGTAGCGCTTCTCCTCGTTGGTGGTGCGGTACGAATTTTCATTCTGGTACTCGACGATCTCACCCTCGGGGAACTTCTTGTTGGCGAACAGGGTGGACAGCGGAACCCGCGGGGGTTCGCTCTGGACCTTGGCGCCTCCCTTCTTCTTCTTCTTGGACTTCCGCTTCTTCTTCTTCTTGGCGGCTGTAGACCCGAGTTTTTCCACAAGTCAGTGCGGGGGATTCCAGAATTGCCCGAGGGTATGCGGCGGGGGCAAGACGCACCTCCGCTGGCAGCACCCTCGGCGCCAGCGTTTCCTTCCTCTACTTCATCGTCGTCGGAATCGTCCTCCGCCTCTCCGGCGTCCGCCTGACCGGCGGCCGGGGCGTCCGCCTTTGCGTCGCCACTTTGACCGTTGACTAGAGGGGGCGGGGAAATCTTATCAGTTTGGCTGCGGATGGCGGAGAGATCAGCGACGAGAGGGCAGTCGGACACTTACGGTCGAGCTTCTGCAGCTTTTCGCTAGCCTGGGCAGCCATGTTGAAAAGCTGAATGAACCGGGTGAATTGGTGGTGGGCTGAAGGGAAGAAGGAGAAAAAAAAGAGGGGAATGCCATCTCCGGCTTCCGTCGGGCAAAAGACGGCCGCGCCAAGCCTGAGGTTGCAAGGCTGCCAATCCGGATCTACACATGGCCAACTGGTGGATGCTGCCGTCGGTGGTGTGGCAGAAGCTCACAGAATATGGTTCCCAGGATATAGTTCTGGTCAATTTGGGACGGTTTAGTAAGTTAAATTGCCCGTGCTATATGATCGAGGGGAGAGAGCCTTTCTACGCATATATCAAGACACCTACTAGTGGTAGAAGATGGTCGTGTGCATCCCTATTCCATAGGGCTACAGACGGATTATCTACAACGCTGCGCATCGACACTATGGAATATACGTCTGTAGTTGAATTATGAACTAAAATCATCAATTCAAATATCGCATGGCTATCGCATCTGGTTCTACAGAAGGGGCACCTTATTCGACCCGGATGCAGTTAATGGGCATACATACAGAGCACACCTAAAAAAACACCAAGCTAGTAAACAAGAGCAGGACAAGATCATCTAGACCTTAACTTCATAATTACCGATACCTGATGACCTGCCTAGTGAGTAAGCAGCACAAGCACACACCATAAGCCCAGACCAACAGCGTATGAATTGATCGTCGGGTGAATGCTTTCCGTATCTGATCAGATAACTAACTAACCTGGACCGATGACGCAGCATCTCCGAGAAACGGCGGATTTCTCCTGCCAACCCATCCATCAGCCATCGCACTACTCCTTCAGTCGTACAGACAGACCACCACATTTCGATCTCTCCTCAATTGCCCCAAACATAGATGTGATTCCCCCATCTATACCACGAGAAATGTCTCTCCCTCGTCTGCGGACTACCGCCAACACCGCTCGCCTCCGACGCAGCACCCACCACTACCACTACCACCACCCCTACACCACATCATCGACACCGACAGCCTCACCACGCCTCCCAATCCATACCTACACCTGCAGCTACACCCAGCCCCCCAGACCCAACAACAACCACCGTCCCTACACCCATCCCCATCCCCATCTCCACACCCTCACCCAACGAACCGCCTTCTCAACAACCTCCACCCCGCGCGCCTCCGCCCGGGGAGAACCAACTTACTACGAGATCCTCGACGTGCCGCCCAGCGCCTCCCAATCCGAGATTAAAAAGCAAGCCAAGCCACCTCCCTCCCATCGCATCCCCCCTACTAACAACCCCCAACCCAACCAGACAATTCTACGCCCTATCCCTAAAACACCACCCGGACCGCAACCGCAACGACCCGAGCGCCTCCACGCGCTTCGCCCGAATCTCCTCCGCATACAACATCCTCAGCAACGCCACGAAACGCTCAATCTACGACCACGACCACAACATCCGCGCGCACGGATCCTCCACGCACAGCACCGCCAATCCCGGCCAGCACCCCATGGGGAGCTACAGCAGCGCGAGCGCCAACCTGCATACCCAGGGGGCGTCGTATGCGGGGTCGCGACCCGCGAGCGGCTTGAGTAAACGGCGGGGCACGTTTAAGGGGCCCCCACCGAGTTTTTATGCGCATGGCGGGTATGGGAGTACGGGGCGGAGACAGCCGGGCGCGACTGCTGGTGGGGGTGCTGCTGCAGGGGGAGAGGGAGGAAGGGCGAAGAAGGTGAATCAGGAGGAGGATCCGACGGCGTTTATTGAGCGGAATAATGTGTGGCATTTTAATGCGAAGGGGCATTATAGGACGCAGACGAGGGAGGATGAGCGGCGGTATGAGAGGAGGTCCAGGGCCATGGGCTCGTCGATTAACGAGCAGTATATTGGGACGTCGGTGTCTTATGTGTTGCGGGTTGTGGTGGTCTGTGGGATTCTGTTGGGTGCTGGGGCTTTGACGGGGATGGCTCAGAATGATCTGGGGAGTGGGAAGAAAGTGAGTGCGTCGACTCGGCGGAAGGAGAGTTGATCGATCACGGGTGTATAGATTCTTGAGATGTGTTTGCGTCTAGGTAGCTGGCCGTTTGGTATATATAGATAGATGTTTCGTTTCGCATGGTTTCGAAGGGTGGGTTCAGCGTGCATCCGGCAATGCCTCTATACCCGCGATTCTGCTTGGAGTCCACAGTACATACAATAGACTGGCTTGATCTAACAGGGAAATGTAGGCTTGATTGATATACACTATCGTTGGTGGGTGTGATACATGATTATTAACTAGACATCCATATAACAACCCCGCGCCCACTCCCAACTCCCATCCCGTATATGCCAGCAGGTCGCTCAGAGATGGAACCAATCCGGGTAAACGGTATTGGCGTCCAAAATCACTCTACTCGGTCACATGGAACACAGGGACTAGACATGGGCGGGTGCTGAGAAACAAAACTCATCTAAGCCTCGAAGGTGAAGCTGGCGCCAACCTTGTGGGCAGCCTGGTTCAGGTTCTGGGTATCGAAGGAAGCACCGAGGCCGAGGGTAACACCAGGGCGGAGGAGAACGTTGTAAGCCAGAGCGGCAATACCACGGTCGTTGATCTTGGCCTATAAGAGTAAAGCAGGTTAATGATCGGCCCTCTCGTTCCAAGTCCTGGGAAACTTAATCACGTACCTTGGCGAAGGAAGAGGGGTCGAGTCTGTACTTGCTGGCAACCTCGAGGCCGACGGAGTTACCGGCCTTGGAGTCCCAGGTAGCCTTGGCACCGGCCTCAACCTGAGCGTTGACGCGGTGGTAGTAGCTGGCAGAGAAGACGGACAGGTTGTTGCCGGCGGTGATGGCGGCGGAGTACTGGGGAACGCTGTAGCCGACGGCAGCGGAGTACTTGGTGATGGCGGCCTTCTGGACGTCGTAGCCACCCTCAGCACCGACGAGGAAGCCCTCGTGGCCGAGAACAGCGTCGAAGTTGGCGGAGGGGCCGTTCAGGAGGTCGAAGAAGGCACGGGCGTGCAGGTTGGGCTGCTTGAAGTAGAGGTTGAGCTTAGCACCCTTGGACTGCTTGGAAGGGAGGTACTGAGTTAGGATCTCAGCCTTGAGACCCTTGGCGATGTTGTTGTCGAGCTCGAGCTTGGTGTCGAGGGCGTTGGCAGTGGTCCAAGCCTGGGTAAGGGTAAGGCCTGGGCGGGGACGAATTATTAGCATCACTGCATGTTGGACAATCCTAGATATGACCTGAAAGTGGACGTGCGGGGACAAGACATGGCTACACGCAAACATAGACGTGAGCCTGTTCTCAAGCACTTTGGGGGGCTGAAGGGCGGGAGGAGTGCGCAAGGGATGTTCGCATGGTTTTTTGCGCTTTCGGGGGCCTTTACCAGTGGGCTGGTCGACGTACTTGGCCTCGAGCTATGGGCGGAGGGTTATTAGCATCCTTCAAAAAATATGGACGGAGCTGTCAAACTTACAGAGCCAGCAATGGGACCCTCGTGGGCGGACTTGCCCTTCACGTTGAAGGTGACGCCATTGGGGGCCTTGGACTTGACCTCAAGGTTGGCTAGAGCAAAATGAGTCAGCTAGACTGCGCGCGACAAAGCAAAGCTCCCAATTCGCAGGCGTGGGAGATGGCAAGAGACTCACCGGCAGAGTTGTGGTAGAAGTCCTTGTTCAGGAGCTATTGCGCTGGGTATTAGCACGAAAATCCCTTCCCGGCAAGCTGTTTCCCAAGCCAACAAATTTCAGAGGAATTGGGGAGGTCAGCATACATCGTTGGCCGCCTTGGCGACATCGGAGAAAGCAGCAGGAGCAGACATTGTGAGAGAAGGATGTGTGGAGATGACGGAATGTCAAAGAAGGTAGGTAATAGAAGGTGGTGGTGGTGGTGATGATGAGGGGGGGAGAAAGGAAGGGAACGATGGGGAACTTGGAAGTGGTTGAAGTTCGGTCGCCAAACAATGGGGAAGCCACGGGAGAAATGCCCCGCCGTGATTGGCCAGTGCTCGGGTCCCGGTAAAAGCCGCTAAGTCCCGTGACGTCGATGCCTGGGGCCGTGTGCCTCCGCTCAGCCTGGCAGTCCGGCTGAGTTCAGCGCGCGGAGTTACTTCTCCATCCTCGGCTGCTTCTGCCTACTTGTTTGTTTCTTCTTGCTTGTTTGCTTGGGTGGTTTACCGAGATTAGACTCTTCCTAGTGCTCCTCCTATTCTTCCTACTTCACCGCTCCACAAGCGAACATGAATGACATGTCCCACACCCCCATTGGGAGAACATGCATGGTCTTCCCATGGTTCCCGACCAACCATACGGGCTCACATTACTATGACAACACATCCAGGTTTTCTTCCGTCATCCGGCTCGCTCACACTGGGGAGTCCAACATATTATTATCATTGCACTTCCGGTGTAACCTCAGACGCCGAAAGCCAATCGCGTTCCTACAGTTCTTGTCCCTCGAAGGGAAGAAAACAAACAAGAGAGTACGACATGAAGAAGGTAAAGCAAATACGCGGTCGTCCCGGCGCATCTGGCTGAAATTCGCTTTTTGCGTCCCAATGAGTATCCCTGTTAAATCATCTATACATGCTTCTATACCCAAACCCCAGACATTTAAACAGCCTCGTCGTACTTGGCGTTGTGAGTCGAAATAGCTCTATCATGGCATGTCAGCGTCTGCTTTCTTTGCTTTGAGGGGTTTGATGCGTCATATGCTTACCTTCCACTCGGGTCGCTCTGCTTCGACCACGTCGGCACCCAGCGCTCGACGGTGCCGGCGCAGGTGACCGGGAAGTGCTCGTCGAACATCGTGCGGTACCAGTACCTATTGTGCGTCAGTTGCTATATTCCACCACGAATAAATATACAGTGACAAGACGTACGCTTCCTTCGTGTCGGGAATGTCGCTACCCCACTCGGGCTTGGGGTTCTTCATCATCTCGTCGGTAACCTCCAGCTCGGCCTGGTCCTTGAGGCCATCAATCCAGCTGTAGCCCACACCATCGCTGAACTGCTCCTTCTGGCGCCAGAGGATGTTGTCGGGCAGGTACGGCTTGGCATCCGGCTCGTCGCTAGTGTCAAACGCCTTACGGAGCATGTGCTTCTCAATGCGCTCCTTGTTGATCATCTTGTCGACGGGGTCAACGCCCATGCAGGTCTCAAGGAACTCCTTGTCCAGGAAGGGCACACGGGCTTCCAGACCCCAGGCGGAAGTAGACTTGTTCGCTCTCAGGCAATCCGCCAAGTGCAGGTTCTTGACACGGCGAACGGTCTCCTTGTGGAACTCCTCCCTGTTAGGAGCAGCGTGGAAGTACAGATATCCACCGAAGATCTCGTCACTTCCCTCTCCACTAAGGACCATCTTGACACCCATAGCCTTGATCTTGCGGCTGAGCAGGTACATGGGCGTAGAGGCACGGATGGTGGTGACATCATAGGTCTCGAGGTGGTAGATGACATCGGAGAGAGCATTGAGACCGTCCTCGACGGTGAAGGTGAAGGCATGGTGCTTGGTTCCAAGGAACTTGGCGACATCAAGGGCAGCCGCCGTGTCGGGAGCACCGGGCAGACCAATGGAGAAAGAGTGCAGCTGCTGGAATGTCGTGACGGTGGAGAGATCGTTGGAATCATCGATACCGACCAACTCAGACACATCAACACCCTGCGACTTGGCAGTCAGGGCAGCCTGCTGCATACGCAGAGTCTCCCGCTGGGCGATGGCGGCGACCAAACTGGAATCAAGACCACCCGACAGCAGGACACCGTAGGGGACCTCGGCCATCAGACGCTTGCGGACAGCCTTCTCCAGAGAAGTGCGGATGACCTTGTAGTCGACAGGGGTGGAGGGGATCTGGGCAGCGTCCCACCACTTGGGCTGGAAGTAGCGAGTGAAGTTGCCAGTCTTGGAGTCGAAGACGTGGCCAGGAGGGAAGGCCTGGATCTTGTCGCAAACGGGGTGCAGAGACTTCAGCTCAGAGGCGAAGTAAACAGCACCAGGAGTCTCGGAGGACCAGCCAATGTAGAAGCTGGTGACACCGATGGGGTCACGGGCAGCGACAACTCTGTCCTGGTTCTTGTCGAAGAGGACCCAGGAGAACATGCCGTCCAGGTACTTCGGGGCATCGAGACCGTGCTCCATGTACTGCAAAGTCATCAGCCTCTTTACTACAAGGTATACCCCAAAACCTTTTCCAACATACCAACGGAATGACAACTTCACAGTCCGAATGCGTCTTGAACTTATAGTCGGCCTTCAGTCCCTTTCTCAAGATGCGGTGGTTATAGATCTCGCCGTTGACGGCGAGGGCGAGGGAGCCATCATGGTTGACGAGGGGCTGGGCACCGGTGTCTTGACACAAGATGTTAGCAGGAGGACCTGGAGGAGTCGAGACGATATTCGTTCACATACCGACACCGACGATACTCAGACGCTCGTGCGCGAGGACTATACCCAATTAGCTTCGCATATCGGACAGCGCAAACCTGCCTGAACTTACTGGTCTTCTCAGAGATGAAGCTTCCACCTGGATTTGTGTCAGAAGAATGCTACCCGCGGCAAATCCCAACAGCTCTATGACTCACTCCAATCGGGTCCGCGGTGGCGCAAACTGAGCAGGGCAATTAGCATCAACTCTTCCTTCATACAACCAGCAGGATGGTGGGAAATACTTACGCCTTGGCCATGCGCAAAGCGGTAGGCTTGAACTTTTGCACATCAGGGTGACTATCGCACGATGGTTAGAAGGTTGACTCAACAGCAGCCGACTGTGGCGGGGCGGAAGAATCAAAAGAGCGAGAGGAAAAAAGGATTCCATAGACATACTGATGGCAGGCGAAGATTCCACACATGCTGGCTACAGGCAATTGAGAAACCACTGAACCCAAGAAAAGCAGATGGCAAGGAGCCCGAGCAGGAGAGAGATGAATTGACTAAGCGTTGGAGAAGCCGTGCGGGAGAGGAGGAAGAAGCGGGAAATCTTAAATATGGATGAAAAGCGACACCGTTCCCGGCGGGGCGGAATTCCAAGAAGGGCGATTTCGGCCACACACTGCGCTGACTCACTCCCGATAAGATAAAACCCACCACTGAAATCGGCACTTACCGGAGTGGTACGTAGTACAGTAGTATCCGCCAATCTGCCTGCCCATCTGCCCATCTTGCCGTGCTTGCTTTTCGTTCGCATTCCCCCACATCTAATCTTCTTCTAAAGTAGGAGGCGTTAAATAGATAGTGACGGAAGTCAATCAACCCTTTCTTTCTTGCTTCAATTCTCTCATTCTATGACATGGCCCATCGGAATACCGGAAAACAAAGAACCCTAGTAACCGAAAAGGCAAGACTAAATCAAAGCAGAGATGAGCTTGCTGTACGGAGTAAACGCCATCCATAGCCGCCCAGTTTTGTCAAATCTAAAATACGCCACGCTGGTCGCTAAGATGAAGGAGAAAAACGGGCAGAGGACAGGGATCCGAGACGGGGTTGTTCGTGTTCAACAGAGCAGAACATATCAACCCACGAAGGGAAAGGCAGGAAGGAAAGAAAAGGAAAAGAGAGAGAAAAAAAAAAGATGCCGTGACGTGGCCATCCCAACCTGTTTGTTGAAGGGAGGGAGGGAGGGCAGGGGATCGTCGCTGTAAACCCATCCCACTTATGAGCGAGGTGATTTTACCGGTATCCGCGCCCAGTTTCCTTGTGGCGTTTTTTCTTTTTCTTTTCGCCATTTCCACCCCCAGAACACATGGCTCAGGACAGTTCGTACAGCCCGCCACATCCGCCGAATGAATGAAACCGCATCCAACGGGCGAGAGTAAGAGGGAGTAGAAACATAACTAGCATATTAGACGTAGATTCATGTGAGGAGCTGTTGCTTTTGTGCACGATATCACCTATAGAACCGGGTTCTCTCTCACGACCTGCCTGACCCGCTTCTCGTACGCTGGTTTGTCTTTCTTGAACAGGTTGTAGGCTTCGGCCTGAGCTGGAGACTCAGGGTTCGGGTCATTGAGCAGATCCTGAATGCCAAGGAGGATTTGCTTGATGGTGATGGCGGGCTTCCAGGCTTCTTCTTCGTTCAAGATCGAGAGACAGACGGTTCCGGAGGGATACACGTTCGGGTGGAAAAGAGGAGGCACAAACTTGCCTGTTAGACGGTCTGGTCAGTATTTGTTGCGCAAAGGGTGGATAGAAAGACCAAGGAAATGCGAGGTCACGGCTTGTTGGCTCCGGTATGAGATCTGGGAAGGAGGGCAAGAACATACACTTAGGCGGCTTGGTCGGGTATTCTGCAGTCGAACAAGTTAGCGAGCCTGTCGCATAGCGTACCGGCTGGTATAGGAACCTCACTCACCATCGGGGAAAGTGACGTCGAGTTTAAAAAGACCTCCCTCCCACAGTGTTTGCGCCTTTCCGGGGATACCGCACTCCCATCTCTTGAGGTCGAGCGCGCCCTGAGGGGTTCGATAAGGCTTTGCGTAGAAGCCGAAAGGATGGTCTCTACGCCACTGCTTTCTGTACACGGGCGCATTCGCCGTCAGCCTCCGTTTTTGAAGGAGAGGAGATCATAAAAGCGACCCCGGAGCAGGAGGTGTATGCGACAGGCTTCATTACGTACCTCTCCTCTGTCAGGCGGTTCTGGCAAAGCGACATTGCGGATGGGTGTTGCGCGTATTACGTAGGTGGGTGGGTTGGGTTGAGGAAGGTCGGGCTGAATATACAGAGCAGCAGGTCTGTGGGAAAGGTGAGGAGTAGAAAAAAAGAAAGTGGGGTGAATGAAAAAGAAGACAAGGTATATAAAGACCCGGCGGTGATTAAGAAAGGCTGGCAGTGAAGGCGCAGAAGAGGTAACACTGCTGCTAGTAGTGTCTCGGGGCTCGCAGCAGCTCATCGCCGGGTTTGATGCCCCACAGCCAATCACCCGCCGCCGGCGCTGCAGGTCATTCCCATCACATGACCCGTATAGATCCGCCCCGATCCTGGCCGTCATCTTGTTTGCTACCCGCGGTTTGGGTAACAGAACCGCTGCGAAGTTCGGTGCATGTCTTGGCTGTTTCTTTCAAAACACGCTTTTTCTAGCGGTTGAAAGAGATTGTGAGGCAACCATGGTGTCCAAATAACACAAGGCATTCCAAGTACTATAGAAACATGTAGTATGTCGGCCTTCACTCTGTACCCCGTAGTAGGGGCTTTAGAGAGGCAATACAGACTTCTCATGCGCTATCTGGATCGGTTTCATGTGACTAGCGCTAAGCTCCTTGGGCGCCTGCAGCTGGATCTAACAGGCAAACAACCGGGTCCAGTGAACTACTAGAGAGGAAGAATAAATAGCAGAGGGGAAGAGCAACGCTGGTAGAGGGATGCGCCCTTACTAGACAGCCGGGGTGCCCCGCGCTCTTTGCGCTTATATGAAGAGCACCTTGCTCTACTTTATGATCGGACAATCCCGACAATCACTTTGTCCTCACATCTGTCTCTTTGTTGACTCAGATTTCGATTTTAATTCAAACTCAATTTACTTGTCCAGCACTGAGCACTGAGCACCAACAGAACGCCATCACGATCGCCCCAGGCAAGTCTGCCGTCTGATCAGAGATATAGTATCCTTCGTGCTATTGAAGGAGATAACATGGCCGTCGGTATTCATTTATTTAGTATTTCGTCACTAGTCTTCTGAAATCGAAGACATGCAAGAGGATTAGGCACAAGATTGCTTGTGATCAACTATCATAATTCCCTTCTTCAAACTTTTGCACGTCGAAGAACCGGGCGGTGATGGCATTTCCATTGAATATACGTCCCTCAAGGGCATTAACAGCCTATATCCGATCAGTGACATCCAAATAGAGAGACAGATATAGAACTCACACGTAGGGCTGATAGTTGATTGGTAAATTTGACGAACACTGGGACTGGGGGCACCGAGTCTCTTGGTACGAAAACACGTTCAACACGGCCGTACTGCGCCATATTAGCTTCACCATGCAGCAAGTAGAGAATAGCCGCTTACCTTTTCGCCGCACTCTTCTCCAATCTCCTGCATCAGACCCCCACCCTCTCCATCCCCCGCCAACTCAGCATCCACATCCATCCCATCAAGCATGCCCTTGAGGATGATGACCTCGCTCATGGGACCAAATTTGCTCTCCTCTTCGGCCTTCCTTGCGCCACCGATAATCTTGCCCCGACCAGCGGGAGTAGCAAAACCACCCCCTTCCGAGTCTGGCCGTTTCTTTTGCTTCTCCACTTTGACCTGCAGGGGCTTGACGATACCGGATCCTGTTGCGCCCAGCCCGGACCCCTTGGTCCAGCCGTACTTTGACATGAGTCGTTCGGCGAATCCCTTCTGCCCTGGTCGCAGCGAGCGCTGGCCACCTTCTTCCGGTTCTTCCTCCACTGGCTGCTCGTTTGCGAATGCCTCTTCGAGTTCCGCTTCGGATGCAGGGATATCCGCCGGCGGAGGAGGCAGCGTATACCGAACTGGCGCGCGGGATATGGTTGCGGAAGCTGGCTGCAATGCCTCCAAAGGCCGAGGTGGTGGCGGAGCGGCAGGGCTCGCCGCGGGTTGGGCACCCGCCGACATTTGGAAACGTCGTAAGTAGGCATCTTCGCCTGTAGGATCGTCGGGAGCCTGCGCCGGGGGTTCATCAAGCGGCGGGGGTGGCGGAGGAATATCGGACATAGGAATATCATCCGGAGTCCTACTTGCTCCTTCTGGAGGCGGTGATTCCACTGGTGGCTTAGGCGGCATATCATTGAGGTTGGGAGGCGGTGCGAAGCTGCTCGGAGGAGCAAACTGGCCTGTGGCATGTTTGAGCAAGCGGTGTTCAGTCGGTTTGAGATATGTAGACCTACGGTTCATGGGCCGTGCATAGTCATCATCGCTGTACGAGTCCCTACTGGGGGATCTCACCATACGATGTGCGTAAAGACGATCCTTCCACTCCCGGACTTCGGCTATTTGTTCGTCGCTATGCTTGTACTCCTCGTAGTTGTTCGGTCGCGAAGGGTCGTAGATATCGTCCCAATTCTGCAGAAACTCCTGCGCATCGCGGTTCTTCTTGCGCTTCTTGCGACCACCTCGCTGCCTCTTCGGACCGGCATAGAACCCATTGACATCGTCCTCGGTAGCTGTCCAATCAGCAAGAGTGGTCTTGACTGGGGCGGCTGCAGATGGGACAGGTGGAGCAGCCTTGGGTAATGTTGGTTTGGGCTTCGGTTTCTGTGACGCTAACTGGGGTCTCCTGGTAGGTTGGAATCTGAGGGAAGCTGAATACCACGAACAGGAACAGCCGGACAAGTGAGCAACGAGATCGTTCAAACAGCGCAGATGACAAGCGTTCAGTCAGAAAAGGAGGGTATTAGACTACCAGCATTCAGTTGCTGCTTCTTGGCAGCGGATTCCTCCGGCTCGGGGCTACCTTCGGTGCCCTGTTTGAAGACGACGGGGGCGCGAGCAATCGTTCCGGGAGAGTTGTCGGCGGACGGATCGAGCAGGTTGGCGTAGAGCGACAATGTGCCCCCGGGTTTGGAGGGGGTTGATTCGGAGGCCATCGCGAAGTTGGTTGGGAGAGAATAACGGTCTAATGGTCGTAAACCCGATCCATTTGATCCAAGAGCGGGGAAATGAAATGAGCTCTCAGTCGAGCAAGCAACAAGCAATGAGCAATTGCGGAGCATCTCGATGAGCGCCGATGGGGGAGCGAAAGGCCAGTTTGTCTAGTTTACACTGTTTGGCATGTTTGCAGATACACCAGCTCGAGTGCTGACTAAGGCAACCCAAGTGCTGCCGCCATGTGCCGCGGCCCAAAAACGGGCGAGGATGACGCCAGAAGCCCGGGCAAAAGGGAACCCCAAACGGGAAATCCCGAGGCCGTACGTCGCCAGGCTCCAGTAAACCGTGCCATGCCAAACACTAGACAGGAGACCTTGCTGTTGCTACAAAGCCGATTTTCCTCCTTCCATCATCCTCAACAAAAACAAAAGAACTATCTACACAGAGCCTCGTCTTCGTCAACTACATTGTTTCCAATCCCCCCCCGGAATCCCTGTCAGCCAAGACCGAAGCGCTACCACCCTGCAGCATACTAAAACACAATGGCGACATTGGCGCGGTCATTCTCCTCCGATAGCGCGGACATCGCTGTCCTAGTCCCTAACAAATCCAATCCACTATCGATCTCCTATCAGCAGCTGCACAACCATATCGCTCAGTTCCAAGCTAAGCTCGCTAGACTCGGGGTAGGCCATGGGGCCGCCGTGTCACTGGCTCTGGTGAACTCGTACGAGTTCATAGTGGCCTTCCTGGCCGCCTCGTGGCAACGAGCCATCGCCGCCCCGCTGAATCCGGCCTATAAGCAGGAAGAATTCGAATTCTACATCGATGATCTGAGCTCCACTCTCGTCCTGATCCCCAGAGGATCCTACATCAAGGATGGTCCGGCCGTTCGCGCAGGCAGGAAATACCAGGCCGCCATCGCGGAGTGCTATTGGAACGGCTCGGAAATCGTCCTGGATGTCAAGGAACAAGGAAAGCTTCAGGGCAATGGAGGCGTGGGTATCCAGGAAGCCCAGCCGGATGATGTTGCTCTTGTCCTACACACCAGCGGAACGACTGGCCGGCCCAAAGCTGTACGTTGTACTTCTCGTTACATCTGTGTCTCCCATAGATATCACTAACAGGCATCCCCAGGTTCCCCTCACCCACAAGAACCTCACAACAACAACGAGTAAGCCATTGAACCATCCTATCCCATCCCATCGCATCCACCCCAACAAGAACGCACCACTTTCTAACAACCCCCACCCCAGGAAACATCCAAGCCACATACAACCTCACCCCAGCAGACCGAACATACCTAGTGATGCCCTTATTCCACGTCCACGGCCTCCTGGCCGGGTTCCTCGCCCCCCTCTCATCAGGAGGCTCGGTAATCGTGCCGACGAAATTCTCCGCCTCGGAATTCTGGCCCGACTTCATCACCCACAAAGCAAACTGGTACACAGCCGTCCCTACAATCCACCAAATCCTCCTCAAGACCGCCGTCCCCAACCCGGTCCCCCAAATCCGGTTCATCCGCTCCTGCTCCTCGCCCCTCTCCCCCAAAACCTTCCAGGAACTGGAGAAAACCTTCAACGCCCCCGTCCTAGAAGCCTACGCCATGACCGAAGCCGCCCACCAAATGACCAGCAACCCGCTCCCCCCCGCAAAACGCCAACCCGGCAGCGTAGGTCTCGGACAGGGCATGGAAGTCCGGATCCTAGACGACGCCGGCAAGGAGGTCGCGCAGGGCAAGGAGGGCGAGATCTGCGTGCGCGGCGAGAACGTCACGAAGGGGTACCTGAACAACCCGTCCGCGAACAAGTCGTCCTTCACCAAGGACGGGTTCTTCCGCACGGGCGACCAGGGAAAGAAAGATGCGGACGGATACGTGATCATCACGGGCCGTATCAAGGAGTTGATTAACAAGGGCGGGGAGAAGATCAGTCCCATCGAGCTGGATAATACGCTTCTGCACCATCCGAAGGTGGCGGAAGCGGTGTGCTTCGCTATTCCTGATGAGGGACACTATGGCGAGGATATTGGCGCAGCGGTCGTCTTGAAGAGCCGTGGGGGCGCCTCGGAGGCTGAGCTGAAGGCGTGGGTGGAGTCGAAGTTGGCGAAGTTCAAGACGCCTAGACAGGTATGTTGTCTCGTTGTTCGATGATTTAGAGAGGTAGGCAGTGGCTGATATGTTGAGTAGGTGTGGATAGTCTCGCAGATCCCTAAGACGGCTACGGGCAAGATCCAACGGCGCAAGGTCGCTGAAGCGATGCTGAAGGTCAAGGCCAAGCTGTAAGCGTTTGTATACATACGGGCTCCCCTAGAAGTAAATATTCATGTAGAGTGAGTGTCATAAACACATTGATAGAAATCATTGAGGCTAGATTACTAGTTGTCTGTTGATTTTCATGTAATGGGATAGAACGTAAACATTGGATAAGCTTGCCTCAGACACAGAAGTACATTCAGATAGCATTCATTAGTTCGATGAAATAACAAGCACGAAAGGACCCAACCGCAATTCCTGCCGGTGGTTTGTTTTCACCAGCCAGCTTAACGAAGTGGCTTGCCGCTGGATGGTGTCGCATATCTCGAGCTCTCCAAACCCCCCAAGCTCCCCGAGGGCTTGCCCGAGCTCGGCTGGCTCACTCTGGGCTTTGGCGCATGGATCGACTGCTGCAGCACACTTGGTGGAGCTGGCATTGAAGCCGTTCGTCGATTCTCGGCCGCCACGGGATTTGCTTCCATTTCTGCCGTATCACTCTCTCCAAATTCTTTGCAGACAGCTTTCGTTACAACGACAGAGGAATTTCGTGGCATAGAGAACTTAACATGGGTTTCACTAGGCTCTAGGGTCTTCATTAGCGTTGAGATTTGAGGAATATAGCATTGAACAGGAGAGATACTTACCTTTTGGAGGCGGCTGCTTTGTCTCGGGGACGCCAGTTCCGGGTTCTGCGATATCCTTGCGTCGACCTGGCAGTAAATGATCACCAAAGATATGTCTCTCAGGCGGGTTAGATGGCCGGCCTGGAAGCAAATGATCGCCGAAGATATGCTTTTCCTGGGGATCAGGCAAACACGACTGACTGGGCCGACGAGAAGGCGTCTGCATAGGTGTCGAGTCGCTTGAAATGCTCTCGGCTGGTGATCTATGCGTCTGTGGAAAAAAAGGTGGCGCTTCAACGTTAAGTCGACTTTGTGAGCCTGGGCCCTCGATAGCCTGGGTGATATACGTATCCGCCTTCTGCTTGGGGGTATCCTGTAGAACAGCCTTGGAGCCTTCTTCACTTTGAGTGCGTACTACTTGGGTCTGGCTTTCCCATTTCCCTTGAGTTTCCGCCGTGAGCTTCTTGATCTTTCGAAGCTTCTCTTCAAGCTCGATCTTACATGATCTTAAAACTTCACGCCGATCTTCCGACAGAGAGAATGATTCGATTAACTGGCACACCATGTCCAATTCGCGCTTCACGCTTTCTACACTCGGAGACTTTGGCAAATCAGACTGGACACTGGGCACCGAACCATGTTCAACAGTGCTAGTGGTATTTGTTTTCAAAGACGCACTAGACTCACGCCTCATTTTATAGGGCAGCAAAACCTCAGGTGATGGCTGTCGAGTGCGTGCCTCGTCAAAATCCTGTCGAAATTCTAGGCCTCTGAGATCCTCAAATGACGGGCTCATTATCGGTGTTGCTGTAGGACGTTGGGGTGGTGTTAGGGTAAAGTCAACCAGTACATCTGTAGCATCCTTAACTGCTGTTGATCTTCCAATTTCACTCATAGACACAGAAGCTTCTTCCAGCTTTAGCTCGGGAGGAGCAATTGCCATAGGCAGGCTGGACTTGGGCAGCTCCTTCTTCTGGACTTGTGTAGGAGTCAACTCAGAAATAGATTTGTCGGTTTGAGATGGGGCTTGCATCGTCAATGTCAAGTTCTTATCCTTCTTAGGTGCTTGAGCTTGAGGAACGACTTCCTCGTTAGAAGATGTCTGACGCTCTCCAGCACCTACTGCCACTGATGGCTTTTGCTTGATCAAGGATCTGTCATCGTCAGAAATGGTTTGGTCACCGACAGGGGTGGCCTCCATGGTCTTCTTGTCATTTTTTCCGCGCAAAAAAGCCATAAACACTTCAGGGGTACAAAGCTCAGGTGTGAAAGTTCTCCTAGGGGGTATTGTAAGAAACTTCGCCATCGAAGGAAATAAAACAGTAACATACGTGGGCCTTTGAGGTCTGGAAGTTGGCTTTCTTGTATCTAGATGACCATGTCAGAACTTGCTCCCGGCTTCACTGGCATAAAAGTCTTACGCATCTGACCTCTTTGTATTCTGACGCTCTCTTCCCTTTTCGAGGCATTGCCATCGCGATGGCTTGTGTAGTAATTCGATCTATCCGCTGCTGGATCTCGACGAGGAGGAGCAGGAGCAGGAGCACCACGGTGTCCTGGTTTCGAAATACCTTCTCTGCGTGACAGAGATGAAGAAAGGCCGCTGAATATCAGCCGACTATTTAGCGAAAGTACAAGGAATACGGATACTCACTTTAACGAGCTGTGTCTAGTATCCCGTCCTCGCGTGCCCGCCACGCCACCGCCACGACCCAACGACAGCGAGGACGAGCGAGGCAAAGCGGCTCCAGGAAGTCTGACGACCGCTCTTGGAAGCTGTGGGTTGAATTGCCCTCGGTTTTCACGTATGGCAGCGCGTAGATTGAGACGGTGACTCTGACCATTCAGGAGACTATCCAATTGCTCTAGGTCTTCGGTATCATCTAGTGTGTTGCCAACGTCTTTGGAAAAGGTCAGCAAATATGAAACAGGCTCGGCGAAAGGATTTGTTATGATGACTTACTCGCCCAATCCGCGAGCTGTGTCTGGTTGACCCTTGCCCTACGATGAGCATCTGATCCGGGGATGTTGACCTCGCGGGATGCCTCAATGTCTTCCATCCGGACTCTCATATCATTTCTACCATCCGCGGTGGAGATGTATTCTCGTCTGGCACTGCCAAGGTCCTCCTATTAGGATTGAAGTCCATGTTAGCCACGCGATCTTTTGCAAAACAGTGAGGTCAAGGGACGCGTTTCTTTCGCGAAGAACGTACCATCTGAAGCCTCCTAAGGCGGTCTGCAACCTCGGGATCCATGATTTATGAGCAGAAGAAAATACAGGGCGGAAAGAGGAAGTAAAAGAAGGCGCAGGGAAGGAAGAACAGAATGCAAGGTGGGGTGATGAAAGATGCTTGGTTCTGGTGAGGAAGATGACAACAGGATGGTGATGGGGAGGTGAAGACCGCTGGGGGTTTTTTGAACGAGAGGCAAGAGGCCACCCGGTCAGACTTCAGAGAAATGAGTGAATGGCAGGCTCCAAGAGAAGTGAAGAGGCAATGATACACAGAATTTTGAGGTACCCAGTGAGATGAGATGGCTTGACATCAGAAACAGTAGAGACAGTAGAAGCAATCAACCAAGGGTAGCATGCTCAGTACAGGACAAACAGTAAGGAAGGGTTAGTTATAGAGGTCAAGGAGGGGTAGCGGAGAAGAGGAAGGGAAGGAAGTGAGAGGTGAGGACAGAAGAAGAAACGAGGTGAGACATTGGATGAGGTGTGTGTTGTTGCGGCCCCAGGACGCAAACGCACCGCAAACACAGCGTCGCAGCCACTCAACGTTACGCTCACAGGTCACTTGGCCGTGGTCAAGTCAAGTCCGTGCAAATACTTCTACCTGAAAGAGTTTGATCGAAGTAGTCGCCCAATCTCTGTGGTTCGAGTGAAAGTTGCATGCAGTGACCGACTCTACAGACGGCAACGCAAGACGTCAGCGATCAACTCTATACCAAAGAGAATAACCTCTATTCTAGTGGCATTGGTAGGAATAATTGGTAGATAGATTGATTCAAAAGATCTTGTGCTGGTAGCACATTTATATGTACATCTGTATCGAGATGGCCCGAGAGAAGAGAAGTCTATAGTGATTCGGAAACCATGCATGCATATATCTGCATGCCGTGAACCGGATTTTCTCGTTACGCACTGCAAGAACTTGCACCACCTTGGTCTATGACAGCAGGCATGGAAGTTAGCTATGTCCTTCCAAGATCTGAAATTTGGATATGGGGTGATTGTGGACTTACTGCTTATCATTTTCGCCACGGCTTGCATCAGACTGACCCCCATTACAGTCACTCCGAACACAATGCACAAGTATGCGGGAATCTTGGCTTTGTGCGAGGCATTGCTCAGCTTGATATAGCAAAGAGGGGGGAAGATGTAAGCCAGTGCAGCAGCGCTAGTCGCGCCAATCAACTCGAATACTGCACCCAAGTCGCAGGTTATCAGGGCCATGGCCATGGCCGACACGACCAGCGCGGATGTGAAGACCAGGTGTCGATTAAGGTTGAAAGGCTCGTCTGGAAAGTAGTAGGTCGTCATCACTGACCGACACACAAACGCCTCGAGTGGTAAGGTGGTAAGCATGTTCAGGCCGAAGCATCTATTCGAGTCAGCTTGGTCAATCTCTCCGGGGAAATGCATTTGGATCTTACAGTCGTGCTATGTTGACCAGGATATTATCCGACGGAAAATTATTGAGTACATTGCCTTGAGTCTGTGATCCAAAGAAAAGGAAGCCAGAAATGCCCATGGCTAAGCACACAATGAGCGAAACTCCGGTCGAGTAATGGGTCACTCTCGCAAATCGATCCATTGTCGGCTTTTTCAGTGAGCCATAGATCAGAAGGCTATTGTGGTCTATGAAGCTGTCAGTAGCCTCTTGCCATGCAAGGGGATAGTGCTACATACGGCATACGAATGCTGTATACAATTAGCATGATTCCAGACCTCGGAGTCCATGTAGTGGTGGCCAACACGTACCAAATGAAATGACCCCAACTGCCTGAAAGAAACCATTATTAACCAACAGGAGGCTCTTGACATCACCCCGCGATTCTGCAGGTACACGGAATCCCTGGGTCATCACAGCTACCACAATAACTACCATACTGATCAACGCCAAGGCGGATGCTTTTGCCAACTACACTAGACTGTCAGCCTTGCATAGCCCAGCTGCACGAGTGGTCGACACTGTACCTTTGCAATGTCCCGGTATAAAGACAGCGGATACGAGATTGCCAGAACAAGAAGGACGATAATGGCCCGTCTGTCGGTCAAGAGCCAGAGGAACGGCATATCTTGGAGAGAAGGGACTAAAGCGCTCAACACATGCGGTATGGTATCCCCAACGATAATACAGAATGCAATCATCCCGCCGAACGCAAATGCCCATTGAGCGACCGAGATGGCGATGAGACCACTCTTGCCAAAACAGTGCTGCATTGTCGCCTGGAACGAGTCCGCGCCGCTTAGCTTCGAGTTGATGACTATGAGGCGAATGGTCCAGTCCACCGCAACAGTAAGCACAACCAGGAGCACAATGCCCATCATCATGCCAGCTTGCCGAAGTGCGTAGGGCTGCCCGATTATACCCGCTCCTATTATACTATTGGCCATGTTCATGAACGCCATGCGCATTCCGCTCCTCGGTCTCGCGCTCTCGAGATGATCCTCAGGGAAGAATTCGTCGGAAGTGGCAAGGGTCACGCTCGGGGCCTCGATGTCTGTGAGCAGAGGCACCATTTGCCGTGCTGACCGACTGCCGTCCGCGCGGCCGTAGTCCTCCTCCTCGAGCCACAACGAGTCTTCTGAGTCACGGGGGCGACCATTCGAGCGGCGTTCGTCCTCGGTTTCTTCCTCCAGATCGAATCGAACGCGATTCATGGTACGGGGAGTGCGGCGTTGTCCGTCGGGAGCCGGTTGGGATATAGAGGACTGGTGCGGGCGTCCGCTAGGGGACGAGCTGGCCGGAGCGGCATGGTTCACAGGCTCGTGGTCTGGAGGGGGGGACTCGGAAAGGAGGGATTGGGATTCCAGGCCACCAGGGCCATTCTGGTCAGCCAAGAGAAAGAGCTGTCCTTCATCCCTGGGCATCGCTGATTGTGAAGCTCCTGAAACTAGGAATCCCCAATGCGGAGGATGCCTAGGGGCCAGGTAATCATCCCCGGGCACGTGACCCCTTATCGATAGGCCGCCCGCGCTAAAAACGCTAAAAACGCTCGTCATACTAAAAATATGCGTCAATAGATCTTCAATAACATCCTACTAGTTCCGGGCTGGAAGCTTCATGGAAGCTTTAGTCTCCCTCTTGTATGAAGTGCTTTGCACATGCAAAGTGCCCTTTCCCGCTAGGCGCTCGGCTAGGAATTGAGTCCCAGCTGTCGGGATAGTTCCGTGTTTCATCTAGCGCTATAGATTGGGGGAGGCAACTGAGCTCATGCTCACATGCCGATTTGGGAAAGTACGGCCATTGTGTAGGTAAGGTAGTAGTATAGTAGTATTGGGTGATCTCACCCCTCCAGACTTTTCCTTGCTGTCACATAATGGCACTCTCAAGAGGCATAGAGAATGTCACTCCCGGTTGATCTTGGAGAAGCTCACTTCACCTCTCCGACTTCAGTCTTGACTCTGACACTACACGCTTCAGTGCAAATGCTGCTTTCCGAGAGAGAGGCCAGCTGGATGGATGCAGTGCGCTTTCAGAGGTTGCTCAAGCACAGCAATGTGTGGGTTTCCCCCACCCCAGAGCTCAAACTTTACCTCACGATCACCACCAGCACTGCAATGGCCCTTCCGGTCTCGGCTTTTGTGTCGCGGATAGGGGAGATACTGTGTAGCTCCAAGGTATATTTCACCCATGTCGGTGGTCTTCCGGGCGAGACAAAGCTGATTATATTGTGTCTGTACAGTTATGGTCAGATCTAGGTCTCGACGTACTATTCAAGAGTTGCGACAATCTCCACCAAGACATTTCTCTGACCTTCCGTCTCGCTTTTGGAATACAGAGGGACGACAAACAACCTTTGCGGATGAGAAGAGCGAGAAAAGAGGCTCTATTCGATCAGCATGGCGACGTTTCTCCCCCGATCCACATCTCAACAATTCAGTTGTCTACAATCAACATATCTTTAGGTTTCGATAGACCCACACCAATATATATACCACCCGTCTTGAACACGAAACCGTGCCCATCAGAAGAACAACTTGAATCCCAGACACCATTGCCTAACCTCGATGAATACGAGCATGAGTATGAGTATGAAGAGGACGTGATCTTGTTAGAAGATCAGCCAAAGATGGCAGAACCCGATTCAAACTCCGAGGTCTTAAGCTTCATGGAAGAGCTCAGTGATCTAAGCTGGAGTGAACAAAACTCCTCTATCTCCATATCTCAGGACTCCTTTCCAGGAATCAGTCAGCCAGAAATCCAACATGAAGACCTATATAACATATTCACCATGAGCCTGGAATCGCTGTTATTCGGAAGACACAGCAATTACAATGACCCTGGAACCGGAAACCTACAATGTCTTTCGAACATCGCTCCTTCAGTATTCAGCCCCGGATATCACAGAGTAAGTCCTCTCTATCAACTACAAACAAAAGTTCCCGCTAAATAAATCCTTCCACCAGGCCATGACCCAGCGATCGCAACTAATCCCAACAATCAACAAGTCAATCGCATCCCTGCTCAACCTCCCCATGAATCATTCCCTTCAGCACAAGATCAACCGATTAAAAGCCTCTAACAGATCCCAATCCTCTACAACAAATACCCTCGACATTAAAAACATCCTAGGAGCATCCCTCTGGCGCATCGCCCAAAAACAACTCTACAAACCCCAAGCCTCGCAGAAACTGAGTCTTCTAGAACCCCTATCCGATCTTCGCACCAAGTACCAAGATCGGGGAAATACCCTGATTACGAACTCACAACTTGCAGAGACAGAAGACCATATGCTTGATAATGATTATAATAATGATGATATTCTGATTGACAGTGACTCCGGCTCTCTGCTACACACCAACAGTGAGGACCCCGGGCCGCAAACATCGGAAAGACAAAGCTCTATCATGTCACTTCATGACGATTCCTCGGTGGAGACATTGCGATTTGAACCGAGTGAGGACGAGAGTCTCCTAGTAGAACGATTCGGGGACGATGTGTCGGATTGCATTCCGTTTTCGAGTAATTTATCATATTACGACAGAGTTGATAGCGATGATGACATGCTATGCGACTATATCTGAGACTTCTGTGTCTGCCGGTTGATCATCTAGTAATTAGTCTGTTATATAGATAGAAGTAAGTTCAAATAGGTATAGTGCTGGGGTAGGCCTATCCCAGACAAACAGACAAATCAAGAACTTGTGTTGTGTTAAGTATCAATCACAAGCAAGAAAGTGGGTCTGGGGTGTCTCTTTCTCTGATTTAGCAAATATTGGTAGCTTCTATTATACATTGTTCTTGTATCTGATACAACAACCTCTTTTGAGTACCTCGGACGCGCCCTGGCGCTTGTACCCTACCTACCCTTGACAAATGATCAGTCCTGTCACACCCGAAAACAGCAAATCGGCCACCCTCCTCTACATTAAAGATTAACCAAGCAGACACGGTGGTAGCTAAGTGTTAAGCGCCAATCTATTCGCGAGACCGTCAGTGGGAGGAGAAAACCCCATCCTTCAATATGGCCTCAAGCTGTTTGTCAGACACTCCTGTTGTTGTTGATGATGATATGGGTTGGTGTTGTCGTTCGTTCCATGTCGATGGAACGTGGTATTAGAAAAGGAATTTGCGCGCAGGGGGATTTTGTGGGTGATCTCTATAGAGACCGATCGGCAATGTCCCATCCAGAGAACTGATGAGGGCGAGATTCGCATAGCTTCATGCGATTTAGGACTGTCGACTTCGACTTCTTCCGAACGAAAGCCAGATCGGCCGACAGAGGGATGGAGAGTTATAACTTGGGTGGATAATGTTGTCAAGATCGCCAGTCACACAGAGATGTCAAAGAGGAATATGGAGTGTAGTGGAGATTTTATCCCTGCTGTTCATCTCCGATGAAATCTTGAGTGGCTGCCATGTCCGTACAGCAGATACTGGGGGAAGACGCGTCACTTGAGAGGTGTCGAACCCACTGATGAATAACTGGTCAAGCATGCGAGGCTTTGGATTTGAATACCGCAGATACTCATCGATAGCTTCGGGCGTCGACCAGCCCTGGAGCTTCCGGAAACAGGCAACGACACAGCCAGTACGATGCTGAACGGAGACGATTAGCCAGACCCCAGGTAGAGATATCAGGGAGCTCCTACCTTTCCCTTGTTGCAGTGGACAAGAACAGGGTGATTTGACTCATCGGTCAGGAGTTCAAGGATTCGACACATCACAGAATCCGGGACCTTGATATCAGGGTCCTTGTTCGCCTGAACGACGATGCGATGATGGATGATTCCATTCTCCTTCATAAAGCTCACGTGGTTTGGTGTAAAGGGCTCATCGACCAGGGTGCTAACGACGCGTGAGCGGAAGCCATCCAGATCAGTAGCGACATACATACATAATGGTTTTCAGCCCCAACCTCTTCAGCGCTGCGAGATTCCAAGGGTTTGGGAAGGCAGAACGATATATCCCTTTCGCAACCTCTCCGAAATTCACGGGCAGGTCTGACTGTGCGAGCTCGGACTCCATAGAAGATGTCCGGAACCGCGCTATGTCTATAGAACAGACGAGCCACCGGTCAGTGATCAACACAACCCAGGCGCGTCATCTCCCGGATGCAGTCGGAGTTCGACTCACCGTTCAGACTGTTGAGGGAACCGTTTGAGGTATTCGCGGTCAAAGGAACAGCCATCGCAAAGTTGTTTTTTGGACCCACAGCGACTGTCCGAACCGGGAAAACCCACGGGGAAGGGGGGATGGGGGTGGTGAACACGAAGGTCGAGCTGATCTTGAAAAAGGCGGGGTGGAAATAGAAGGGGGAAATGCAGACACGCAGGGGAGAGGAAGAGCCAGGTTCCAGCTCAGCAGCTAGAAGATGGCCTTGGAAAAGGACGAAGATGTGGAAGGGAATTTGGGATGCGGAGTTGAGAAGCCCATGCGGGCCTCAAGCAGAGCAGGCACGACAACGATCCATGATGACGAGATCAGCAGACGGTAGATGTAAAGCTGACACACGAGGGGGATGTTGTCAACGACACAAGGCCGACGCGCAGATCGAGGTGTAAGCGAGGAAAGAGATGGGAGTATGGGGGAAGTTGTTACAGGCGCATGGGCGGTGAGCTGATGCAAAAAGGAAGGTCGAAAGAGCTGGACTGGCTTCGGCCGCCAGAAGTGAACCCACGCGAACCCAGTGCAGGAGCAGGCCCAAACACGTGCAGAGCGCGTCACTACGTGCACTTTGGTGAAGCAAGAAGGACCGTCCTCAGTGTGCCCAGTGACGCTGTTCCTGAGAGCTCGTCCCACAAAGGCTGGCAGCAGCTTCGCTTGCCGCTCTGCATCACAGGATGAACACAAAGAAAAGGAAGACGATGATGCAGTAAGTACAGACTTTCTGGCCAGCCAATTTCTTGGCCCACAGCAACATTGGCATAGTCGTAGGGCCTGGCCGCTCCCCGGATCCATGGTTGGCCCTGACGTGACTCAACTCTAAACGACCCGAAAGGGAATATCTGTCAGGACGCCAGGGGACAAAACAAACAAACAGGAGAGTCTTCATATTCTATCTATCATGATCATGGAGAAAAAAAATAAAAAGGCAGCCTCACATCTAACAAAACGGCATGATCTCGCTGGAGGGCTAGAAGAGATTATCCGTCAGCGTCTAGTATAAATTTCGGCATGCAGAATCATGGCGCATCCTCCCCAAGCCCAAACATCCGAATCGAATTATTCCAGGCACTAACAAAACATACGTTAGCTACAGTTTCAGGTCATCTCCTCGAATTATCAGGAGGTGCTTACGCTTCGCAAACCTCTTCAACACTGATTCCCTTGATCTGGGCAATCACATAGGCAACATGGGCGATCGCCGCAGGCTCATTTCGGCCCTTCACCATCATTCCCTTCTGCCATCTCTCCTTCTTGACTGCCTTGGGCAGTTCAGGGGCTCCTTTGAGGTATTTCGCAGATGCGTGGGAAGGACGGATTTCACACTGGAATTTGGCAGTCAGCCGCTGGATCTGTTCAACGTCCTAGGGAGCTCATACCCAAGGCCCATCTGTCTCAATCTGGAGTCTTTCCAACGGAAGAGCCTTGACGACTTCGAGATTTTCCTCCGTCTTCAGACTGCACCCATTCACGCCGATATCGAGACCGAGGGCCACCATCCGATTCATCTCCTCGAGGGTTCCTGTGAAGCTGTGCACAAGACCCCTCTTGGAGAGTTTGGCCAGCCGCGGCGCCAGCAGCTTCTCGAAGTCCTCGCTAGCAGCCCGTGAGTGGAGGAAAAGAGGGAGTTGAATTTCCACCGCAAGATCCAACTGGGCCTCGAAGTATTTGAGCTGAGGCTCCTTGGGGCTCAGGAACAATCGGTCGTAGTCCAGGCCTATTTCTCCAAACGCAACAGCCTGTCCGCCTTCTTTTGACTGGAGCGCCAGGGTCCTCAGCTCGTCCAGCATCTTGTCAGGACCGCCAGGGAACTCATCGAATAGCTTAGCCTGGCAAGGATGCACCCCGACGGTAGCGTAGCAAAATCCCGCTGCAGAGAAAGTCAGGAATCACAACTCTACACAGATAAAGCATGAAGCAAAAGCAAACATACGGTACTGCTCTGCAAGTTCTATAGCACGACGAGACTCTCCCAAATCCGAGCCTGTCACCATGAACTTCTGACAACCGATATCTTTTGCGCGCTGCACAATGTCATCCAGATCGCTATCATGCACCTGCCTGCCATGGTAGCTCCCCGAAAAGACGGGGTCGCTGAGGTTGATTCCAATCTAAGTCTTCCATCAGCCACCGAACGAACACCAGCTTTCACAAACAACAAAACAGACAACCCACATCAACGTATCTTATAGGCTTACTTGACTCGCTCATATTGACCGATGACGCAGAATAGTGTCTCCGCGAATGATTTGCAAAAAACCTTTGTTTCTCCTCTAAGACAGACGATAAGAAATACCGTCGAGACACAGACAATCTACTGCTGCAAGATAGTGATAGTACTAGACATAGATAACCGATGTGAGTGTCAACGCCGACCCCTACCACGACCTTCTCCCCTGGGTAGATAGAGATGTATGTAGACTTCCAAGCCTGCGGAGCCTGTCTGTACATGTACACACCGACCGGGGTTTCACAACATACCTAGTGCAGTATTTTTATTGTTATTATTATTCCGCTGCTGGAGAGGATAACAAGTGTGAAATGACGACGAAGAAGAAGAAGAAGCAGTGCTGCTTCCGATGGCAATTCGGCTCAAGATATTACTAGTAGTCCCAGATGTCCTTAGGAGATTGCCTACACCCGAAACCGCCTGCATCAGAAGGGGAAGGGGATTGTTATAATCTGTCTCTGGCTGGCTGGCTTTATACCTGCTTGGGGAATAATACGAGGGGGGCGGAACTGGAAGACTTGACTGAAGAAAGAGTGCGGCGCGTGGAATCCCGCCTACTACCCAGCCACAGAGGAAGCACAGCCATAGTACAGAGGTAGTTGTGGCGGTGATAAGTGATTACGTCATGTTATCTGGTCTGTCGGAGAAGCCGCCGAGTTCCCCGGCCGCAAGGAGCCAGCCAGCCAGCCAGCCTTTGACTTGACTTGGACTGTCAACCTGTCAACACTCAACACGGTGAGCGCAATGTTGGTCATTCTCCCAGGCTGTCTGGGGCCCTGGGCTTGCGAGAAGTGATTGTACAGCCGAATCCTTGAAGATATGCACGGTCCACATAACAAAGTTCAGATTCAGACTGCATGAAGGACGCCTGGAGACTTTCGGTCGGAGTTTCCTATCTTAGGCTGAAATGCGATCAGTGACATTGGATGCTAAAGAATGCGCATCTACCGGATGTGCATACTCTGTGCCGTTATGTCGATGCCTGAAAGCTGCGATACGAATGGAATGCTGATTTCTGCAACGACAGTTGAGTTGGCTGGAGTACAGCCAAGCCACGGAGACGGCACGCTACATGCTACTACATCGGTATTACAAAATACTCATGCTGGCCATTTCATCGATTAGTGCTACTGCTGCTTTTTCCAGCCTCTGCAAGCGCAACCTCCAATAATGACGTTTGATTTGATGGAGATAGTTACTAGGTATGTATGCGCGGCACGGAGCAGATATATAAATATGGAAGGATCGGCTCGGGACCAGAAATGCTCAGCCATCTATCTACATGCTACATGGTACATGCGCAGGTAAATGCAAATGCAGGACCGGCTGTGCGCAAGAGGGGGTTGCGCATTTGATATACCTGCAGAGTCACATACTCCACCCATGGCTGGTATTCTGTGCTGTGACTTATTCTCCGTGCGTGAGGCGAGCTCTGGATAGCAAGGCGAAGTGCCTACTGTAGTGGGATTGCCACTGTGGATGACGGCGACGTCGATCTGCTGGTCAACACGGAAGATATTGATCGTACCTATCTTAGTCGGATGGTCGTTTGTATGCGCGCGCAAGGCAGCCAAAGGGCGACCCCCGCGTGGATCCAGCCGTTACAGCGCCTCTCCAGCCATCGGCAGAGAAGAATGATGGAAGAAAAAGCATCCTATTTGCCGATCACGTCTATGCTATGTTATGCATATGCAAGGGAGCTATATACTGTCGGCAGGTAGTCATAATGGACATGTGCCTAGACGAGGGGAAGGGGAAGGGGAAGGGAGGCTGTCAAGGCGCTCAAGGCAGTACGTTGAAGGAGTAGGAGTAGCAATATCCGCGCTTCCATCGCGGCGGTTGTGATAAACATTGGTCAAGCAATTCACATGCTTTTGGAGGTATCAAATGCGGACGCACCGGGGAGGAAGCTAATGCGGGCCCGAACCCATGGCCTCCCATAACCACGCATAGTACAAAGTACAAGCGCCAGGTCATGGTCGAGGGGTCGAATCCGGCCTCGATTAGCTACACGTTCCACCCTGATAACCGGTTAGAAGACGATTAGCAACGGGGCCGACCAGATAAGCAACCATCGATATACATTGCTAGTGTCTTGTTGACACCATCACGGCTCGGTTAAAGCGCGTATCTTGCGGCCTTGCCAGGGCATGGACTCCGCTCTCCGGAAACCCAAAACGGAAGGTAAAGCACTCTGTTGATTGATAGATCACGAGCCAGGCCCAAAAGAGGTCGATGACAGACACCTAGATGGCACTGGCAGAAGCAAAGGGGGCTGCGCTGAAGACCCGGAATCCTGCGGATGGCATGAGATGATGGGATCTCAGCCCCGTTAGTTTTGCCGAAGCAAGCACCAAGCACCAACAGGGCATGCTGATTGACGCCACGTCTGTTGAATGCGAGTAGGATCAAGGGGGACCCCATAGGCCCGTAGGGTATACGGACTACGGCGTAAATCAGAGTATCTTGGGGCGGATGGGCAGGAGTTGGGGGAGGGAACCCCCGTAGAGTATGGGCAGTACAGCGTATATCAGAGTACCTTAATTTTAGTCGGGGGAAGGATCCACGGGGAAGCAGCCGGACAAGCCAGAGATCGCCTTCACGTGCCCCATCTCGTCCCCACTCACCGCCTCTCGAGTCTCAACAATTGAGGGTCGAACATGGGCTGGATCATCATATCATCATACTGTGATCATTATCATCAACTAGATAGATAAAGACGTAGATAGAAAATCGTGCTATCGGCATCGGTTGTGGTGCCATCGAATTTGCCAATCATCGCCCAGCTGAGAATCATCCGATGGATGATGATCAGCCAGGTCCAAGTCCGTCCGGGCTGTAACTTTGTCCACGAATCCCCCTCGATAAATGGTCATGGGCAGGCAATAGTACGGTACGGTATTGGATGGATTAATCCCGTTGGCGCTAGTGGGCTTCTCGAATGTCGTTGGTCGCTTCCCCATTGCGTCACGGCTCCCGAGTCGTCCCAGTCGGTGCTACGGATACGGAGTACTTACAGACAAAGCGTCGGAGTCGCATGGCCTCCTGCACCTGCTCTTGGGGACTTGGGGGAAGGTCCCGGACATGCAGTGCCTACTTACTCGACTATCTTGGTAGGGGACCTGGACAAGAGTACTCCGTAGAAGCTGTGTATACAACTAGGTAGGTAGTCAGTCGTATTTACGGTCTCGCTCAGGTTTCTGATCCACGTCAGATGGGACGGGCCATCTGCAGTTGAGAACCTGGCAAGCTAGTCCGAAGCTCAGAACTCAAAGTGGTTGATGTAATACGAAAAAGCAATCGGAATGTTTCACCAGCCCCGGGTGTCAGTGAGAAGCGGGACACTCACGGGGGAGGAGATGGGAAAGGCCATGAGCAAAACTACTGTGGAAATCGTCGAGAAAAGAAGGGATCATCTGTCCCCCTTCTCGTCCACGTCGCACTAAGAATGATGATCGAGCGGATAGATATACAGAGTAGTGCTACGGAGCAGTGAGCACATCATCCATGGGCCAAGGAGGGGAGGGGAGAGGAGAGGAGATGCAAGAGGGGCAGCCAATCTATCTGCCTGAGGAACCCAGCACATCCCAGGCAGCGCCAGGCCAATGCGTGTTTCCAATGCCCATGATCATCGAGTGATCACTGACCCCGGTGTACCAAGTGGTTGTGGAAATGTCCGCACTGCCCAGGTGATTGGCCATCCATCCACACCTCTGCAGAGTAGTAGCGCCGGGGTTTATGCAGGCCGGGGCAGAGGGAGGAGTATCTGTATTGAAACGAAAGAGATGCAGATGGGAAGGAAGGAAGGAAGGATGGATGGATGGATATCATGATCTGGAGAGGCCGGGGCCGGGAATTCGTGTGTCTTTACCATGGTTGACTCGCCCCCGTTTTACCCCTCATGATCTATCACTCCCGTTTTCTGGACGGCAGTAGTCGTCATACCAGAAACTCGATTTGTAATGGGGTGCTACTCCGTAGTTACTAGTATGTACAAAAGGAAGGGGAACAGCTGGTAAGAAATAAAAACAAATAACAGAAAAAGACGATCAAGAGGCTTTGTTTACCTATTTGGACCGCTCAGAGGATCATATCGATCGATCTATTCGGTCGGGACTAAGTGGTCCCATACTACTATTAGCATCCGGCAGACTTGGCCAGACCGCCAGCCCCGGTGTTCCACCCACGTAGGGAGGTGTGGATAAGGCAAGGCGGGAGCTGCTCCTCCCCTCCCCAACGGGTTCCTGCAAGCAACGGCCGGTCCTCAAGTACTTGAGCTTCCCCCTCCCAGTCAACTCAATCTTTTCCTCTTCTCTTCCCCTACTCGCTCACACTCTCACATTCCAACTCTTTCTTATCGTGGCTGCCTAAAGTCTCTTCGTCCTCTTGTATATATCTATTGATCTCCCATCCACTGTACTTCCTCGGATTTGTTGGCCTTGCCCTACCGCATAGCTCTACATTCCTGTCCTCAACTATTTACCACCCACCCACCCACCCACCTATAACATCTCAGCCCAGAACGGACCAAATTCACCTGTCCATCTTTCTCCTCACATATCTCATCATATTCATAATGGCTGCTCCTCGTTCAAGTTCTTTACGTGCCCTCCGCGTGCTCTCGCAGCACACCCGTACTACCCCCTCTGTCCGTCGGGGGTTGCACATCACTGGCGCCAACTCGGCGCAAACCGCCAATGCCTCGGAGAGGGCATCCTTGTATGCCACTCGTACCCTGAACGATCTCAAGGGCGAGTGCCAGAAGCGGGCCCTGAGGTCCAGTGGCACCCAGTCCGAGGTATGTCGCATCTCCCCATCACTATACAATACACATGGGCTCCATGAAACTAACCACCTGCTTCACTCAGCTGGTCGAACGTCTCTCCAACCATGACTTCCTCCAGTCCCGCGCCTTCAGCATTGCCATGAGGAGGATCAACGGCAGCTCTAACGCGGAGTAAGTTATCCTGGCGATCGTCACGTCACACCCGATACCTCGGCAAAGCACGACCGCGGAACTAACAGTCTTTCCCCATTAGGAAAACCCACGGCCGGCAATTCAACACTTCCCGCTCCAACAAGGCCGTCAATGACTCATCCACCGTTGACTTCGCCTACATGCCCTCCATGGCGGAGATCGATGGGGCGTCTGCTCGCCCGGAGACCCAGATTCCGATCCTTTCCGACATCTTCACCACCTATGACTCGACACAGACCCAGGACTCGCCTATGAAGCCCCAGGTTTACACTGTGTCCGGGGGTGCGGGTGATGTCTCGGCTAGTCCCATGACCGAGGTTGTCGACAACCTCTCCGTGGACATCGACCCATACTCCCTGACTGAGGCTGTTGGTAAATCCAGACTCGGCGAGGAGCTCGAGAAGCAGCAGAACGGCAAGCCCGGTGTGGTCCGGGAACTATGGTCCGGTCTCTTGGATGATATCTTAGGCCCCAAGCATGCCGTGAAACACTAGTTGTCTGTCTCATGTTTATTATATGTCTTCTTGTCTCGTTTCCAGCGATGGTTGATGGTGACCCTCCAGTGGGCTTTTTACATTCGTTCAGCTTAAGGCTTAGCACTGCGACACAATCCTGCTCTTGATGAATTAGGATTATCAAATGAATACGTTTCATTTCTCACAGACCATACATTATTTACACCTGTAGTTACTATCTTTGACCCGCATAGTCCAACAGTACAAGTAGTACTACTGCACTCAGGCAGTATCCAGGAGTATCTCTACTCCTTAGCCTACTCTTCTACACGCCACGATAATAGCACCGACGCAACACCCGACGCCCGGGTGATTAATCAGGCACACCGTCGGGTAAATCCTAACCAATCCACCCTTCTACCGAGACTGCCTGACAATTCGGCACTTTTCCCCCACATGGCAGTGCGCGCACTTTGTCATCATCACCCCGGAAAAAACAACCCCGTCAGTCTTATCAGATCGAAACCGGAGAATACCATTACATTATCACTATCATTATTATCAGTTCCGATCTAACCTAGGTATTGTAAATCCCGACAGCCGCGGGGATGCGGATATGGGTAAAGTCAATTACCAGTGACAGTGACAGTACCCGGTCCCCCCGTGGGGTTGTTGTGGACTTGTTTGTTTATCCTCCGGTATGTCCCGAGGTATTTTCCCTAGGGGGTTCTTGTTTGTGACATAATCGGTGAGAGAGAGGGGAGGGGAGGGGGGAGGGTTGTTTTGTTGATTGTTGGGGATGATCGGGATTATGATGAGGAGGAGGGGGATGGGGGTATGAAGTCATTTTGCATTTATTACTGTGGATAATGGATATGTTTACTTGACTGATTGACTTATCGCGTTTTTTATCCATCGTATCATTATCGTGAGCCTGCTCGGTTCCTGGGCTTATCGGATGTGGCGGGTGTAGACTGTAGATGAGATGAGGGTCCCTCCGGAAGTAGGTGTCTACCTACTCCGTGGGTGCTTAACTTTACAGTTATTAACTAATGGTCGAAGCGTAACTATGTAATTATGTAAGGAGTTTGGTGTTGTTGTTCCAATTTGGAGGAGAATATCGAGCAGAAAGTCTGTGGCTGTGAATCATCCTCTTCTCACCTGGGTAAATGACAGGGTCCAGATAGTGGTGGTGTGGCTTGCCTCGGTTATGCTGAGATGTTTCATGTTTAGTTCCTCAGGAGATTGGGAATCTCTCTTTGCTTTTCTTCGCACCCCTCACTTTTCTTCTCTCTCTCTTTACGTTGCCCTTCGTGGTCGTCTGCCGTGAAGGATAGACATCGCTACTCGCGCATCAGGTTCATAAGATAAATCTGTGTTGTTGTATGCGGGGTTGTTTGTTCTTCCGACCTTCGAAAAGCGGCACAAGTTCACAACCATGGCTGTCAATCTGGAAGCCGGATAAGCAAAGCACGGAACCCCGGCATTATTGCAGAACCCTGGCACTAGATATATCCAGTGTGGACACATTTAATATATTATGACCCTCCTTATCAGGGTGATGTTTCAGATGTGCTGGTCCACGAACTCCATGACAGCTCTGGTCAACGGCCCGTTGAGTCTCGACAGGGGTTGCAGAGTATCTACTCCGTACTTCGTACAGAGTGTGCTTTCTGAATAACTGAATATATGGAAGCCTGGAGGCCATGATGCGCCATCAACGGTCCTTAAGAAAAACAGTCAGCTGAGAAGCTTTGGGGCCGCTCGAGGCTTATCCCACCTAGATTTACCTACCTATGATGCTCTTTCGCCGACCGATCAGAGTTGGGTTGTGCCCCCAAAGACAACTCACGAGCCGATTGTGCAGTGGGCTGTTGGTTCTCTTCAGCTGCGCAACAATGCCCTACGGGGTCCACTAAGCCGCCACGCTGCAACCGGTCGCTGATGGGGAGAAAACAACCCCAAACCCCTCTGTGGCGTGGTAGTCGTCAGCGTGGTGAGAAGAATGGGGCAATTTCGAACAGCAGAGCAAGCCCATCTTAGGTAAGATGTGAAATGAACGGGCCTTTTGCTGTCATCATATTGATTCCAGACATTAAGGAGGTCCGAAGGTCCTCCTTTTCGGGATTAGGCGACAGCTTATCGGGCCTTCTCTGCCAAGTCCACCGGCCATCTGCTATGACTACTAGGACCTCATAGTGAAAGAGTGGTTGCTAAGAAAAGAACTTGGCAGGTGATGATGACTTCCCCCATTTGGCGCAATTCCAAGGCAGGAGAAGAGAGAGAGAGAGAGAGAGACTCAGAATCATGACCGTTCTCAGGGGAAAATGGGATCGGAGGGAACGGCGCTCCACCGGCGGTGCCCAAAAGCCAAAGAGCTGCAGATCCGGGCCTGGATCGCTTGGCCAGCAGCCAGTCGCATTTCCGCAAACCTGCCGAGTGGGCCGTTGCTTTTGGGCCTCCCCACGATGTAAGCATAATTAAATAAATGTTCCTGAGCAAACACAACGACTCGACTGCATGGACCAGCACTGGCCATCCATTCTTATTATTGTTATCATCTCCAGTCCTTCCCTTTCTCTTCTCTCGTCATTGCTGCTTCTTCATCCGACTGCAATCACCAACTTCTTCGTCTATCCTTTTGGTGCTTCTTTTTTTAGCTACACTCTTTTCTGACTTTGTTTCAAGCCACTCTTTCCGTGCACCGCCTTGTCTGACCCTCCCTTTTTCGTTGGCTGTCAGCTTACGAACCGTCTATAATTGACCCGTCTCAAGCAAGCACTGTCCTCCTGTTCGTGCCATTGAGTGTTTCCTGAAGCCATCTTCAGTTCTTGCGACCCACTGGTGGTGCCATTGCCATTCCATTCGTATCGCTTGGTCTCCCTGGAAAAGGAGAGTTGAGCAACTCCATTCTCGGCTTTGCACTTGCACTGTGATGAGGTTCTTGAGCGACTCCTAGTTATGCATCTTTCCCAGCGTCTTTTTACCGCAGCATGTCTCTGTGCCAGTGCCACAGCTTTCATCCCTTACACCATCAAGCTTGATGCTCCAGTTGAAAAGTCCGCTGGTCATGGCGCGTTTACTCGTCGTTTCCTGCCCTTGTCGAAACCCAGCGACGCATTGGCAGCATCGTCCTCCAGCGATGAATCTTTGACTCTAGATATCAAGAGGGTTCCCGCTCGCCGCGACAATGATTTCAGCATCGTACTGGCAGAGACCCCCACTTGGAAAAATACAGCCGCTCTCGACCAAGATGGAGACGATATCTCTTACTTCTCGGTCGTTAACATTGGCTCCGAAGAACAGGCTCTGTACATGATGCTGGACACCGGAGGATCGGACACATGGGTTTTCAGTTCGAACTGTACGGCAAAGTCCTGCACGATGCACAACCAGTTGAATTCTTCTTCCTCGACTCTCGACATGACTACCGAAGAGTGGAGCGTTGGCTATGGGACCGGAACCGTCAGTGGTGTGCTGGGGACGGATAATCTCACGATTGGAGGCGTGGACGTGCGCATGACGTTTGGCCTGGCTTCCAACGCATCGGATAACTTCGAGTCGTACCCAATGGACGGTATTCTCGGCATGGGCCGAACAAACGAGAGCTCGTATAGCAACCCAACCTTCATGGATGCCGTTGCGACCCTGAACCTTTTCAAGTCCAACATTGTCGGCTTTGCCCTGTCGCGCAGCCCCGAGAAGGACGGCACGGTCACATTCGGCAGTGCTGACCAGGACAAGTACACTGGCGACATCACCTATACGGATACCGTTACTGGATCGGGAAGCTATTGGCGGATTCCGGTGGATGATGCCAGCGTTGACGGCACGTCCTGTGATTTCTCCAACAAGTCGGCCATTATCGATACCGGCACGTCCTATGCCATGCTTCCTTCCAGTGATGCGAAGGCGCTGCACGCGCTCATCCCCGGATCCTCATCTTCTGGAGACTATTTCATCATCCCATGCAATACGACTGCGAATGTACAGGTGACCTTTTCTGGGGTTAATTATACTATTTCCTACAAGGACTATGTTGGAGAAACCTACGGTTCGGGATGCGTTTCTAACATTGTGAGCTATGACCTGTTTGGCGATGATATTTGGCTCCTGGGCGACGTTTTCCTCAAGAACGTCTACGCTGTGTTTGACTACGATGAGGAGCGCGTCGGTTTCGCAGAGCGTTCCACGAGCTCTAGCAACTCGACGGACACCTCGAGCTCGAATGGAACGACCAGCGCCTCGGGCTCTACTGGCACGGCTAGCTCGACTTCATCAAAGGGCTCTGCTAGCTCCACCAGCTCGTCCAAGTCCGGTAGTGCCATGACCATCAACGCCCCCGAGTACTTCTTATCCGCGTTGGTCATTGCTTCATGCATGCTCTGGCTATAAGTCGCTGCTTGAAACCGTTACATATCCATCCCACTTTTGAATTCGACAACCATACATTCGTTATATTTATTGCTGCTTTGTACCTGCACATATGTTCTTAAATAGAAGCAGCGTGCTGTTCCGCGAAAGCTACTTACATTCAAAGTACCTATTAACCATCTAACATATCATTCATATTGTCGTTACTTCGTGTATCCCCTCGGTCTATAGCCAGTCTAACCCTGTGTTATGGAGGTTTTCTTCGCATTCAAAAATTAAAGAACCTTCTCTGGAATCATCGAGTATGACTTTGGATAGGATTCTAATTCGACAGTCAGCTTTCGCTTTCGACACTTCCACCTTGAAAGCCTTACCTAGTACGGATTTGTCGAACTCGTCGACCTTGTTGATTCCACCAACAGCCATCAAGATATCGAAATCGGCCAGCAACGACTTCATCACATGACGGACTTCTTCTTCGCCCATGATACTGAGGCCCCAGATCCAGAGCCGACCGACAAAAACAAAACGTGCTCCCAGGGAAAGCGCCTTGGCGACATCACTGCCTCCACGGACTCCCGAATCGAACATGATGTAAATCTTATCCCCGACGGCGCTCGCAATATTCTCTAGAGCATCGAGACTGGCAATCGCTCCATCCACCTGTCGACCGGCGTGGTTACTCACGACGATACCGTCCACCCCGTACTCGACGCATTTCTTTGCATCCGCCACTGACTGGATGCCCTTGATCACGAAGGGCCGACCACCCGAGATCTTCTTCCATTGCTCAATCAGCCAGGGGATTTTCTCCCACGACCATGCGCGCCCATGCCAGACGGAGTCGATCCATTTGGTCGAAGCAGCCACCTTATCTTTCTCCACGTCAATGCCGGCCTCCCGGCAGCGTTTCTGGAACACTGGATCCGTCAATCCCAGATCAGCCCCGATACCGCGGTAGAAGGCATAGTTGGAATTGGCGACGTCGTCGTGCCGCCAGCCTAGCTGCCAGGTATCGGTCGTGAGGATAAGCGCGTCAAACCCGGAGTCCCAGGCACGGTTGAGCAAGGACAAGGTCAATTCATCATCGTGGGGCATGTATAACTGGTAGAAGCGAGGGCCCTTCCCGTTGGCCTTGCCGACCTTCTCGATCGGCGAGCTCCCCGCTGTGGAGAGACAGTAAGGAAGGTTGAGTTCACCAGCGACCTTGGCCACTGCAATCTCGCCCGAGGGATGGTAGATCTTGTTGATCCCGATGGGCGCGAACCCGATCGGAGCGGAAACACGGTGCCCGAAGATCTCGGTGGTGGTGTCGCGCAAGTTGGTGTCCACCAGCTGGCGGGGGATAATGCGATGGCGGAAGAACGCCTGTCGATTGGCCAGATGGGTGTTGGACATGCCCGCATTGGAGGATGCGTAGAGCCTGGGGAGGTTAATATGGCTGACTCGATATTGGAAATGAGACATCGGTTGGGGAAGCTTACCAGCCTCCTTGGCTGAGCCGCTTATGTGCTTCCTCCTCCAGCTTCTTGGGATCTGGGATAGGCTGTCAACTGATTGATCACTCGGACGAGTCAGTTGTTAGACCAGGGGAATGGCACCTACCGGTGTTGAATGGAACCGTCTTGTCATCGTTTACCTTCCAGAAGTTCTCTCGCTGGTAGAGACCCCATTGGGGTGTCGTTCGCTTCTCGATGTTGGGGTTTGTTGGGTCACTCATTGTATATGAGACGGGAGCAATGTCTTGCAATACTATGGAAAAGAAAGACAAATGGTGACGATGTTTCAGTCTAGATATCTTAATGAGAACCAATTGATCATAGAACACAATTCAGCTTATAATCTCATCGGACAGGGCGTTCTACAGGGGCAATTTATAGTCTGGATGACTTCACCTTGACGCGCTCTCGTCCGAGAGCGGACAAGAGATGGTCGTTGACTCGGCAGAGTGATGAGTTAAGCTGGTCTAAAAGTACTTCACTCTTACTTTGCAGGGGCAGAAAGCACATGGCGAAGGCGAGCAGCGATGATGACGTCATTGTACAGCAGTCGGGATCGACGAACGGTGGAGTGCCCAGTAGTTGTATCTAGTAGTAACAAGTAACAGCACAGGATCCATTCTGTATCTTGGTTAGTAGGAGACTCCCCTAGAGGCTGTCGCCAACTAGAAGTACTGAGTAGTAGGCAGACACCGTCGCGATGTGTCATATGCGGAAAGAGCGAGAGTTTCCTTGCCGACTTGCCCCGGCAATCCCACGCGGGAGCCGAAATGCCCGTCGCGTCGGGAGACGAACACCAACAGCCGAAGCCGAGTCATACTTATCTGCTCCATCCCCATCCCTCCGTCATCCCTGCTCGACTCCAACAACAACAACAACAACGCCCCCCTCCCGAACCCCCCCTGAAAATAGTCACCAAGTACAGCTCTTGTCGCCATGTTCGGATTAAGTACCAGACGGTCCGCGGTGACGCACTCCAGGTGCCTTTCCAAGGCCACCAAGACCACCCGCACATCAGCACAACGTCCAGCACAATCGCATTCCCTGCTCTCGACCAGAGACTTCCACTCCAGCCAGTCTCATGCCGCAGTCCGACCGACGTGGATGCCCATGCGTGTGAAGACGCCCTGGGTCGATGCGCTGACCAAGAGCCGCGAGACTGCGCAGTCCAGCCAAACTGCGCCGGCCCCGTCGGCGAAACCCGACTTGACGCCGAAGAAGATGTCGGACAGCTATTATTGTGCCGTGCGTTGCTCACCATGCCTTTTTTTTTTTTTTTTTTTTTTTTTTTTGCTGTTGTTCTGTCGCGAACTGACCCCCAAGCATAGGTCCTACCCTTAGCTCAGGATAAATGGCTTCTGGATTCATATCTCAATGCCTCCGGGCATATCAGGTACGACCCCCCTCTGCTGATTTCTGGAGCAATGACTGACTGATGACCGCAGACTGGGATCGTTGTTGATGGACCTCGATGCGCTGGCCGGTGTCATTGCCCACAGACACGCCGGAGATGCTGTCGCAAATGTCACGGCTGCCGTGGATCGGATCACTATCGAGAACCCGCTAATGGAGATCTGCGATCTCGAACTTAGCGGCCAGGTTACGTATGCTACGGGGCGCTCAAGTATGGAGATTTCCATCCAGGTGGCCAAGGCTCCTGCTCCAGGACAGAATGTCGAGCCTGAGGATGTTCTGATTACCTGTGCTTTCACGATGGTGTCGCTGGACCCGACGACCAAGAAGTATGTCTTTCATGTGATCTTCTCTCTACGAAAACTAGCTCACCCGTTCATCCAGGCCCGTCCCCATCGCTCCTCTCGTGGTCGACACTCCCGAGGAACGTCTTCTCTTCAAAAAAGGCGAAGAAAACTACCAAGCCAAGAAGTCTCTACGGTCCAAGAGCCTCCTGGAAAAGGCTCCCGATGCCGAAGAGAGTAACCTAATCCACGCCATGTGGACAAAGGAAATGTCCTACCTCAGTAAGCAAGACTTACCACTCCCATATTTCAATGAGGACGAAAATTTAACAATATATCCCACAGACCCCTCATCCCTCGCCCAACGACCCGCCAACGACATCTTCATGACCGACACTGTCCTCAAATCCGCCATGATCATGCAACCGCAAGACCGCAACCGCCATAACTTCATGATATTCGGTGGCTTCCTACTCAAGCAAACCTTCGAGCTAGCATTCTGCTGCGCCGCATCCTTTGCCCACGCCCGACCCAATTTCGTCTCCCTGGACCCGAGCACGTTCGAGAACTCTGTGCCCGTCGGGAGCGTACTGTATCTGCGTGCGACAGTCGCGTACACAGAGCCACTGGAGCGCGAGGGACTGGAGAGCAAGTACACCAAGGTGCGGGTGCGCGTGGACACGAAGGTCCGGGATGTGGAGCACGGGACGAAGAAGCCTACAGGCATGTTCAGCTACACGTTCTTGGTGGAGAAGGATGTGCAGGTGATGCCGAAGACGTATAGCGAGTTCATGGTGTGGACAGATGCGCGCAGACGGTCGGAGAATGCGGCTGCCATGGCGCCGGGGTCGAGAGAGCCAAGCGCACTCAGAGGATTGAAGGATAGTGTGACTGAGTAGATGGGCTGTGGTATTTTTCTATTCTTGATCTGTTCTATGTCGTTTGTATATGCGCGATACCTGGTCTGATTCGATGTAACATACTGTTGTCCTACCACGAAAGACTATCTTTCTTTGGCAAATTAAAGACATATTCCCATAATGCAATCCACCAATGCAATCAAATATCCAAGCCTTTACGAAGTAGAATCACTACCCCCCTAATTCATAAATGTAGACACGATACTTTGCTGTCACATGACAATCACCGCATTCTCCGGGGATTGACTAAATGTCCGACACGCGAGTTAGTTAACTAATGGCCTCTAGCGCATGTTAGTGATCACTGACTATAGTTAACTAACTAGTTAACTGCCGGCAGTGATCTGGCTACTTTGCCAAGAGCAAAAGGACCCGATAATAGATTTTAATTAAACCCACCCAAAAAGCCGCCACCAAAAGATTGATAGAAGACCTTGGGTATGGATTAAGCCTAGAAAGTCGGCGGCAGTACCGTCCGTACCTTAAAAGAATGAAGCTGTGGCGGTTCCGCCGGACAATCTGAGCATTGTATTTAGTGGCAGGTCACTTCTGGCAGATAAAAAGAATAAAATGTCCGAACTACCAAGGGGCTTCGTGGCTGGGGCGGCACATAAGTAAATCCGAGGGCCGAGAACTCCGCATAACGCGTCAGGCAACAACACCACCCCTAGAGTCTTATCACTCACCTTCTGTGACGGCAGTGATGAATCATGGGGACCTGCCCAAAACCAACGCAGTTTGACAATAACTAGGATACAATAACATCCAAAATGTCCCAGCAAGAGCTACAGGATCTACTCCGGCGCCTTGGAGAGGAGCAACAACGACGAGAACGAGCCGAACGGTCACAGATAGAGGAGCAACGACTACGAGAAGAAGAACGACGACGACGAGAAGAAGAACGAGAAGAAGAACGGCGACGACGAGACCAGGTTGAGGCAGAACTGAGAGATCAAAGGGTTCAAATCCAAGAAACGACACTCCCCGAATTTCTTGATGGCTGCCATGTGCATTTATTTCTCGAGCTTTCCGTACAACAAGATAAAAACTCATCAACCAAGGGCGATCCGGCAAACGCCGACCGTAAGCTCCGCCCGGATAAAATTCGTGAATGGACCAGTTTTCCGACCGAACAGGCTTCCATATGGAAGGACTTGATGGACATTAAGTTTATAACAGAGCGTCATTTCACACCTCTTTTAGTTTTAAAAGAATACGGGAAGGAGGTCCGGCAAAGAACAATAGGCTCTGAGCTAGATTTGGGATACTTTCAAAGACAGACTGTGGAGTCGCGTGTCGCTTCCGTCGTGACACAGCTATATGCAAATCCTCAACTTCGACAAACTTTCTGTTTGAAGGGCGATATCGCTTTCGAAAACCACGCCAATAGCTTAACAGATGAGTCGAATATATACGCAGACATGGGCTCTCTGAGCCTGTCCCAAAGACAGCCCCGTCGCTCGGACCGCTTAGCCGCAAAATCCAAAGTTGACCGTTCAGCACAACCGCCGCAGAGAGGTCAGAAAAATATACAAACACGGACTTCTCGGCCTCGAGCAGACCAGTTCTGTGTTTACAACAAAGGCCCAGAAGAGAAGATTCCGGCTTTTATTGTTGAGTACAAGGCACCTCATAAGGTCTCTCTAGCTCACATCAGGGCTGGACTTCAAGATATGGATCTGGACGAGGTCCTCCATGTGCAGAGAGAAGAATCACCGGAGGATATATGTCGTCGTGTTATGGCCGCAATTATTACCCAAACATTCTCTTATATGATCCTTTGTGGGGTAGAGTTCGGCTTGGCCTGCACCGGTGAGGCGTATATATATCTTCGCGTCCTGGACCACGATCCTTCTACAGTGTACTACTACCTGTCTGTGCCGAAGGAGGATATCGGCTCAACCACCGGATGGGCAGGCGATCTTAATAGTGATAATCAACTGCATCTGACTGCAGTCGGCCAGATGGTGGCATTCACTCTTCGCGCGTTGCGAGAACCGGTACGAGACATCGCTTGGACAAACTGGGCGGCCGACATATTAAAGACTTGGGAGATGATATATGACGATCTTTTAGAGGAGATTGCGGAGAAGGACATCCCTGCTTCTGACTTTAAACCATTGTCTCGAAGTCGCTTGGAATACTCCCGAGTATCTCCTGTTAAGACTAGATCCAGATCTGCCATTGCCGCGATCTGTAACCCTTCGCGGGGCTCAAGATCATCCAGTCATGATGACTCTGAAGATGGTTTTGATCCTAATACTCCGAGTCGACGACCTCCAGAGTCCCGCCTTTCTCACCCATCGGGTTCCTCGTCTTTATCGACGGGTCCGAAATCGCACGGATCACGCTCCCAAGGCAAGTCACGGCAGTATTGCACCCAAGAGTGCCTTTTAGGCCTGATCAAAGAGCGGAAGTTAGATCGAAATTGCCCCAACGTGTCTGATCATGGGATTGAACAACATCAACTAAACCGGATAACTCTTATGCGACGGCTCAAGCAGCAGCTCTCTTATTCTAATTCAAGGCCGAACACAAAATCAGGATGCGAATCGCTGCATGTGCACGGGACACGTGGGGCACTTTTTAAAATCACTCTCTGGTCTCACGGTTATACATTTGTAGGAAAAGGCGTGCCGATAGAATTTGTGAACGGCTTGAAGCATGAGAAGCTTGTATATTCACGTCTTGCCTCAGTTCAAGGGATGTTTGTGCCAGTTTTCCTTGGCAGTCTGCAGCTTCACCGCCCGTTTTCTTATGATGGTATCGTGGAGATTGTTCAACTGATGTGTATGGGCTTCGCCGGAAGGACTCTTGCCCGTCAGCATGCGCTTAATCGCCATCAGATGATTCAACGAGCAGAGATCTCACTGCGAAAGATTCATAGTTTTGGTGTGCTTCATAGCGATCCCATACCGGGGAATATGACCTGGAACGAGCAGGACCGCTGTGTGATGTTTATCGACTTTGAGCGCTCAGTCCTGCAACCTCAACGCCGAATGCCACTGGGTCTTATTTGTAATCAAGAGCATAAACAGGAGGCCGGGCCCTTGGAGAAGAGTCCTAACAAACATATGGACTGTTTTGAGCGGGAGAAAAGGCGGATGATTAATGGGCTATAATGATAGGGTAGGAAATGGGCCCTTTTTAATCGCTGATCGGAGTGATATTACTATTCTGCTTTGAAGGGCAAGGATATCTAATTCACATCAATCCTCCGGGTATCTTATACATCAGTTCACCGCGCATTTACCCCTTTATGGACTTGCTGGCAAGTCCTCCTCACTCTCTTCTCTTACGCTTAATGCTTAGCTTATGCCAGATCATTTACTTAATTTAATACTGTTTATTACATACAACGAACTGCAACCATAGGCGACCAAACCGTCAACCTTGGAGATCAACAAAGTTCTTTCTGATATACATCCGTTGTTGGCCCTTCAAGAGCCATGGGTTGGTGGGAGAAGAGAGTGTAGGGATTGGAGGGGGAAGGTTTAACCCCCATATTTATAGGCCCAGCATCGCGCTTCATTGCTCCAGGCATAGCGCCGAGAGGCATGAGAGAGCGACGCAGTTTAGAGGGTGCTCCGTGATGCTGGGAGGTCGGAAGGGAGCCTAAAGTAACGATTGAAAGCCGGAGAGAGGGCCAAGGCGCTTTTCGCCTCTCTCGCCCTCATCTTGCGGTATCACAGGAAGTCGGTTACGGCGGGCAACAGCGGCCATCGGGCAAGAAGTACGCTCACCGCTGACCTCCCGGCTAGATGAAGCTTTTTGATATAATCCAACCGGCTACTACTGGTGGGATGTAGTTAGTTAACTAGTTAGTTAGTTATTCCATCTCTGGTTAGTAAGCAAGCCCACTGGCAACCGCTGAAGGATCTGCCAGATGACCCCTAGCTAGAAGAGATTAAGCACTTATAATATCAATCCCATGACTTTAATAGGTATCGTACCTATTGTTTACTAGCGCCCTGCTCCTGCGTCTTAGGCCGTGTACAGGTGAAGCGTCCGGAAGCCCCTACACCCCTGAGATCCCCACTTCCACCATTAACTAACTATCTACCTAGCATGTCGGATATTTAGTCAATCCGCATTCTCCGCACCCAAACAAACCACCCAAACAACTTCCCCGCCTAATCTTATCATTTCTCCAACTCCAACTCCTCCTTCCCCTCCTTCAAGTTCGCTCACTCACACAACCACACCACCCATCCAGTATACAGTATATAGTGTAGACACACACACCATGTCCATCACCCTCCAGAATATCTGGCACCTCCGCCGGGTGGCAGACACGGCCTCAAAGGCCTGCTACATCTGCTACAAGCCATCAAGCAGTGTTTTGATCACGCCTGATAACCGGGTCCGTCCCCCCCCTCCCTCTGCTACTTGATAATACCATGTTCCATAAGCATACACTCACTAACATAACCCTCCAATCCAGGATTTCTTTTACGTCTGCCCTTCCCACCTCAAAGACCGACACTTCTGCTCGCCCATTGTCGATACCGAGGCCGTGGCGGCGAAGGCGAAGGAGGAGGCTCTGGCTCGGGAGATTGAGAAGGTCAAGAGGGAGTATGAGGAGAAGCAGCAGCGGAAGAAGAATAGTGAGAAGGAGAAGGCGAAGAAAGATGATGAGAAGAAGAAGGATGGTGAGGGTGAGGATAAGGATAAGGCCATTGAGAAGGAACGGGATGAGAAGGTTGGTCTTTTCCCTTCCCTTCTACTCCCCTCCCCTCCCCCACTTTTCTAATTTCCTCTTTTTTTTTTGCCTTTCGAGTGGTGAGTTGGCTGGACTGACTTTTTGGGGGGGTAGATTGAGGAGCTCAAGAAATCAGGGTCCGCGGCGGATGACTCGCCACGGGTTTTTGCTTTGCATAAGTACTGTTTCCTTGTTCTTGTTTTGCTCTTGCTCCTGTTCTTGTGGATCTTTGGAGGGGATAGGGTGTGGGAGGGGGGTTGCTGTTGTTTGTCTGTCTGGGAGAATGAAGGGGCTAACGCCGGATACAGGAACTTCTATCAAATGCGCATCGATAGAATGCGTAACGCGGAGATCGCGAGACGGAATCGTCAGCGATTACAAGATCCTTCGCTGTTTCCGTCTGTTCCGACGGGGGGGCTTTAGGCGTGCGACTTGCAAGATGTCATATCGTTGCTTTGGGGCTGGTAGCTTGGCGGTTGATGCGTGTACTGGATGCCTACGATCAGTATGCCTGCAATCAGCGCGTCCGTGTCAGACGGTGAATGCTTCGCTGGATCGTCTAGTGTTGTTGTCGGGATGCCTAGGTGGCTTGGGCTGACTACACGGCCTGGATTGGTGATTGCCTTTTGCATGGCAGGGTGATGCTCGCTTGGATCCGATAAATTGCGGTTGATCAGTTCGGCTATTATCGGGTGTCTGTAGCTGCTAGGCTGGTTACAGTTCTACGCGTCGCCTTGTCTATTGTGGTATCACTGCCATCGCACTTTGACAAGGCCACGCACTTTCGACATACCTGGGATCTCAGGAGGGTGTCTGAAGCGTTGGAAGGGTGCTATTTTGGGCAGATCCACCTTTTGTTTCCCAGTCCTGGGGCCTCTTCTACACCATCTGTCGGAAAGAGTCTCGCGGACAGTTTCCCCGACCCATCTGTCTCAGACTTCGTGTGATTCAGCCCCAATTGAAGGAATCGCCACACGAACGGCTAGCCATCCGGTGTATACGGCACACTCGGAAGCAGATTACATATGTGCGGGCAACCCTGCCCGAGCCGGCAGGAGGCGAAAGCATCACGGACATGTCTCGGTCTTGGACAATTTCTGGAAGTAGAATCGCTTCTAGAAGGCAGAACCGCCCATCGGGCTGCCTGCCCGCGGAGAAGGGCTGCGCCATACAGCCTTACGCGGAACCCTCGATACTAGTCCCTAGACTAGGCTACAGGGCCTGCAACCTATCTAGTGCCAGTGATCCGACCAGATGACCCCGAAGCGAGGGATGCAACAGTATACGAGTTCAGTAGGCACGGAGAACTAGTTTGTTTACCAAGTGACTTCGGCCCTACAGTCAGCAAATGACCAGGAATACATTTACCCGGCCCAAAAATTAGATACATCGTCTGGCCTAGCGCTCGCTCATCGTCACATGCATCAAACATCAGCGACGGACAAGCACTGATACGCTCCTGCAAACCTAGAAACCGACCCATCACAATCCACAAAATGCTCAACTACAAAGTATATACGGAGTATCAAGCTCGAGCTCAAGCATCCACCCCAATCCACCTACCTACGCAGTACAAAGGTAGTACAAAAAAAAACAGCACACCAGGCAGATAGATTACCCTACTTATCCCTGATCATCCCCTTCGACCTTAGGCCTTAAGACATCATCGCAATTTACCACCCACTCAGACAACCCACGTCGCAGACTCGCAGGAAAGCCCCCCATCATGCAGAGCAGTGGATCCCAACGAGGCAGTGCTGCTAGTGTGCGCCTCCCCTCCTGCTAACCCCATCTAGGCAGTCCCCAACCAACCATCCAACCATCCAACTAGAACGGCTTCATTCCTCAAACAATGACTCTTGCAGTTGCTTCCCCCTGAGATTGGTCTTGGTTAGTCTGGTGGCCTTGGACTATCTATCTATCTAACCCGGGCCCTGTGTGCGGCGTGCGCCAGTGTGGTGACTGGGGAGTCGACGTCAATGCGGCGGGCGGGTGGGTGCGGTACGGAGTACACACTACACCAACCGCCTTGGAAGATGGAGCCCTGGATGGAGCCTTGGAAGCATGGGTAGGTGGATGAAAATGGGTGGATGGATAATTGGATTCCACCGGTTCCAGCTGCTCCATTTACACCACGCCACACCACCACGCCACATGCCCCGTTCTATGGGGGGGGGATGTCGCATCTATCGACCGTAGAATCTAGAATGTTGGAGTTGGAGTCCGCTAGGGCAGGTAGGGCAGTGGCAGTGGCAGTGGCAGTGGCAGTGTCTGGCGCCCTGTAGGGAAGAATACCTCGCCTTGTAGGGATGAAAGGATGGATGGATGGATATCCAATCTGGCCTTGTAGGGCGGGTTCGTACTTAGTATATAGATAGTACATATGAGCTATGCTGCGTTCCTGACTCAACATGACCTGTTCTTCTAACCTGTAACCTCGGTACTCCAAACCAATTGAGACAGACAGACAAACAAAGAAGCTATTTGCGCTTTATACTCCGCAGTGCACCTCCGTAGTTTACAGTCTGACATACGGAGTATACCTAATAAGGACACCCACCCATCTATCCAATTGACGTCATTTGGGGAATAACATACCTAGTACCTATGAATGTATGTGTGTATGTAGTATGTATGCATACCGTGGAGATTACTTAGAACGCTTTGAGTACCTACATAGTAGTGATGGCTAGATATCTATCTACACCGTATGTAACTAATTTGGTTGTTTTAGAGGGTCAGATTGATTGGATTGGATTGGGTTGGATTGGATTACCCAGACTCGTCCTTGTGCTGTTTGCTCCAAGTCCAAATTCCCTGGGTATTGTATATTGATACTCCGTAATACCCTATTTTATCATGATTGTGGTGGATGGGACTGGAGGGTAGGTAGGTAGGTGGTTGGATTGTAAACAAGTAAGTTACCTTACCTACATATTTACCTAGGTGGGTAGTAGTATGACTGACTGGTAAGGGCTGGTTGGTTTTGAGTGAGGTGCTAATGTACCGAGGATGCGTGTATGCATGGACAGTATTTACTACTATTTAGTTTAGGCCAGTTCTTCCTTGGATAGATGGAGGGGAGTGTGAAAAGTATTACCCGGGGAGCCAAGTTAGGCCTGGATTGTTGGATAGGAGGTGATGATGGTGCATTGGGACTGAATGTTGGAATTTTGGTCTTGTGGGATCGTTCTTGTATGTCTATGATTCCTTGAGGTCTGACAGACAGGACAGAACCTACGTATCTTCGTAGCACCAACTCCTCCAACAGTGACTCTAGGTATAGATAGATACCTTAGTATCTAAGTAGTAGTAATATGACTCGCCACCTGGGCAGCAGTCGGGAGACAAGCAACAAACACCACGAAATGAAAAAAACGCAATACGACACCCAGCCTTACCGGCAGTCGTACTTACCTTACACCTTACAGGTAGGTAAAGGTAGTACCCGTACATACCTTACCACCCAACTCAACTGAACGAAGGCCAGCAAAAACTCCCCCAAATCCATTACCGATACCGTACCGCCCGGGATCAGCTCACCCATGGCTAGCGTGCCCCAGTTGCGTAAGAGCAGTTTGCACAGCCCCCGTGCCGGCGCTAGCAATCCAGCCTAGACCTTGCTAGCCCCAGTCGAAGGGCAACCGCCCAAGCCCGGTAAGGTCTTGGCAGTTAGAGTATCTAGTGCCCTCCGCTCCTCCGTACGGAGTAGATATGCCAGTGAGTGCTAGTGGCTCTCTAGTACAGTTGTGTCCGCATAGTTAGTCCAGCCCAATATTACTAATCTGGCCCAGGAACTAACTATCTAGATCCTAGATACCTATCTAGATATCTACTCCGTACTAACTGTGCAAGTGCAAAGGCCCCGGGAACTTTGTTCTCCCCGATCTCCGTAGTCCGTTTCTGGCGCAGATCCCCGGGACTTACGTCACAGCGTGATTGGGTCTCGCCGCCGCTGGGGCCCGTGGGGCTGCCTTAAAACAGCCTCGTGGGGTTTGTGGGGTTATGCCCTGGATCTGAAATCCTGACAGGTCCTAGCGTTGGCTGGTCGGTAGTGAATATCAGCAGCAGTAGTAGTAGTGGTAGTCAGTGCTACTGTCTCTAAGTACCTTACGCCTTACAGGCCATATTTTGCAGCAGCACAATTGTACTCTGCTACTCCTGCCACTAATGTCGGCTGAACTGGCCGGACACGAGCTTGAAACCGATCTGCGCCCGTTGATCGGTGCGGGTGCGGTGCGTGGTGACTTGATAAGATCGGTGTGTACTTATCTTATAGATATTAAATGTATCTACTGTGTAGGCGCTGATGTGGGTCTGTAGTTGGACATACATATCCACATTATTATTATTCGACAGCGAAGGCGGCTGGATAAATGAAGCGAGTATATTGCATCCTCTCATTGGCTGCATCAACTGAACCTGCCACCGCAAGCTCAGCTCACCACCGTTGACTGTTCGATTTGCCGTGGGATGATCGGCATCAGGGTCTTCTGAAACCGCAGGAGCGCAGCCCATCCCCAAAACATATCTAGATCTGAGTCTAACCCGCGCGATATTGCGTACTCCGTATATTCCCTTTGTTTGCTCCCAGGGGCATGGATTGCAGGCTAGTATTCCGCTTAAGCGCCCCGTGATGCCAAAGTAGCAATAAACAAAGCCTTGACGCCACGTTCTAAGATCTCTTCTCGTGTCCTGCCTGGCTGCCTTCATGTTTCAGATCACTGTCCTTTTCGGCCTCGACATTCACAAATTCCTTCGCGCCGCTCCCAATTCCACGTGACGTAGGTGGTTGTGAGACCCGCCCTCTCATGGGTGAACGTATGTGGCTGGAAAGCCTACCAAGGTACATGCTCAGGCTTCAGGCGGGGCGTAGCTACGCCATACGCTACCCCTGACCAAGTCGCTTCGATACCTTTGTTATCGCTCAGAGATTCCCTCGTCCATTGCCTCCATCTACGGGATTAGGTTTCATTCCAGGGGGTAGGCGAATCCCCGTCGCAGCGGCCAAGTTCCCAGGCCCACGACTAATGTTGACTGAATTGGAGATGTCCACCCTGGCCTTCGCAAGACCAATGGCCGGGACTATCCACTCGGTACAGCTACATTGCATGCCCTGCCACGCGAACTTACCGATATTAGCCCCACATCCTGTATTGGGGCAGGTCAGGCGGCCAGATAACGGGGCCTCCTCCGGCGGCGTACCGTACGGCGACTTGGAAGAGCTGGAGTTAACATTGGGAAAGAGGGACGGACGCATCCACGTCAGCGGATGGAGGAACACATGAGCGCACTCGGTTGTGGGAGCCCTGACGTCCTTTTTGGGAGTATGGGGTATGATGAACGGCGTTGTCGCCAACTTGCGTCTAGTGGCTGGGTTAGAAAAGGCTCGTAGACTCAAGCGAGGCAAGCACTGGACAAAAGCGCCCTGCACAGATAAGTATCACGGACCTGCATTTCCGACATTTGATCTCTGTCTGTCGACCCACAGTTTCGTTTGGGTGGTGTGACTGCTCATCTTCAAACAGCACGGACCCCATCTTCGGCGCTTGCCCACATGCGACGCTGTCCTCAACCTCCCGGCGGTAGAGCCACCGACCGTAGACAGGGTGGGTGAGGACCTCAGCTGGACATCCCATCTGATGATACACCGAGAGCTGTTCCATAAACCCGCTATTGGGCTCACAGAGCGGGCGGTTCTGTCTGATGATATCAAGCGCGGACTCTGGCGTCAACGCGGTAGGCTGACGGTGAAGCATGTACGCGATACAAATGGCAGCCGAACGGGATTTCCCCATAGCACTATACACAGTCAGTATCGCAGATCATATAGAAAGAAGCAGTCCAACGTGGGTGTTACACCCGTTCAGGCGACCGGCGATGGGAACACGTGACTTGGTAATTATTGGGATAGATCATGATAGGAGTGTCTTGGGGGGAAGCAAAAAAAAAAAAAAAAAAAAAAAAACCATAGTCCTTTTCTAGAAAGAGAACGACTAGGAATCGATGAGGGATGTACTTTCTAGTGACCCAGATCGGGGAAGGTGAAGCTAAACAAACAGGCGGGGTGGCAAAAGCTTCAGACTTACCAATGCACAAGCACACTTCCACCAGCATCCAGACCGGACTGGATGAACTCAAGGGCAACTGGAATATGTTCGAGCAAGTCTTCATTCTCGATGTCATCGATCTCTATGCAGAGCTGTTGAAAGGGATCTAATGCCTCATCGGCGTCACTGAGTCGCAACACAGAAACAACATGTGTAATGTTTGCTCTAGTCAAGGCAGCTTTGTTCTTGAGTGCCATTATACTAGACGTAAGCCCTGGTCAGTATAGACCCCGCGAAGAGAGGGAATCCTAAGCCGTCCGCCGCATCAGGCATATGACGTGCCCAGGGGAGGGGGACGGTTTGGTACAGGACGGGGAAGGAGCAACCAACCCTCCAATATAGATGTTCAGCCCGGGGATTTGATTCATAGCCATGATGACGGACTATACAAACAACAACAAGCTAAATAAAAATGATAAGGGTGACAGTAGTCTCAGATGCGATTTATGATGAAGCAGGTATGGCCGCGAGATGCAGAGTCAGACAGAACGTTTCCGCGATACAGCGCCAAGGATTTCGGAGACGACGTGATTGGCTGCCAGCAAGGCGGCCCGGGAGGGAGAGCTTAGGGTGTAGGGCAAGGGCACGGATAACTGCAAGCCTAAACACCTGAGGCATGATGAATGACTAACCGGACAACCCCGCATAACTAACGGCCAATCCAATCCACGCCAATCCACGCCAATCCTTGCTCTGGCCTAAGTAAGGCCTAAGGCCTTAGCACGCAAGCACGGACTCGACCCAAAGCCAAGATCACATCTCGACACAGCCCCTTCTAGCTTAGGATTGAATCCCTTCCACCTTCACTACCCCTCCTTTTCTTGATTCAAGGTGTGTGACATCCACTTGACCTGGTCTAGCCAACGCATCAGGCTCCAGGGTCCTCTCAGCCCTTCTGTCACCGGCGTGATCCTCGCTTAAGTGGTGGTACCGACGCGATGGCCAAGACGGCAGGTTCAGAGCCATCTTGGCCTGAATCCATCGGCGTATCAGCCTAGTTATTTGAAGCAACAACTTTTGATAGGAACTCCGATATCGTCTTCTCGTACGACGACCCCGGTCGAGATAAACGCAACCAAAATAGTAGTCGTCTGATTCGTCACATCGATAGCCAGGGAGGCAGAAGCATTCCCATTCTTGTTTGAGTCCGTATTCACCGGAGTCATCGCTAGACGTACGGTAAGTAGACCGGACTCAAGCATGCTTCGTGCTGCTATATCGGCCAAAGAAACCGAATCGATTGCCCGATGCGTACACGAATCGCCTTCCCCGGCTGGTCCTCGTTTACGCCAAGGATTTGGAAACCGGTCTCAAATAAGGAATAAGGACCGCTTTGAATTCCGCCCGTTTTGGATGCCAGTGGTGTCAATCGGTCACAAGTATGATTTTTTTCTTTTCTGCAGATGCAATCTTGCGCGCTCGGTTCTGCAAGAATGGGACTGTCCGACAGTGCAGGGTTCTGCCTTCTCGTACTGATCCCATGCTTCTAATCTACCAAGCAGAAGTTTGCTATTTTCATACATACATACATGACTACCTGGCTCCTCTCGCATAGAATACCGCTGGGGTGATAAGACCCGGGCAAGCATCGGACGCTGGCAGGCCAAGATGCAATCAAGCCTCTTGGTCTATGCGCATCTGAAGGCAATTTCTAGGTAAATAATGCTTGATCCCGTCAGCTGCGACCAATCAAGAAATGAACAAAAGAAACAAGTAGGACCGACTTTGAAACTATTCTGCTTGGAATACTGGGTAAGATATTCTGCAGATGTCCAGCTGGCAAAAGGGCCATCTTATCATTTACAGTGTAACCGTTCGCGCCTGGATATACGGTACTCCGTACGGAGTCGAGAAAACAGAAACATGCATGGTGCGTACATATTTGGAAGACTAGCACGGTCTGCATGACATCTGGGTGCTTCCTTTTACCCTGGAACCCATGCAGCAAGGGGATACGCAGCGGTTGCTACGGTCATGAACGACGGTGGCTCTGCAGAAACCGCTACCACGATACCTATCACCCATCAACCGCTAATTCGAGACACGGCCTGTGCACGAGACTTAGTCTGCAGCCCCTTAAGGCTTAAGGCTGACGGCGCTTTTGTACGAGATACGAAGCCTAACCCGACCTTTCTCGGGTGATTGCTCCAGTTTTTCCCTTGCTTGTGTAGGTTGCCTTGTACATACGGAGTAGACCACTACTCCTGGTGAGCATTTTGCCTATAGTGTCTGACACGCGCAGGGTTGTCGTCAGCCCGTGATATCGATCAGCTGTCCGACTAGCACTAAGCACAGTAGATACACGGTAATATACTACAAGCCATGGGGGTTATCTGATTTTATCTGGCAGTTTAGCGCTCATGAAGTCGAGCCGATGGGACGGCCGACCGGGGTTTCATTGGCCGGGAGCCAAAACCAAGTGTCCATCCTGTTGCTGCCCTGCAATTAGTGGCCAATGAAGTCGGACAAGTCAAGACCAGTTCCAAAACTTTGATGACTTCCTGGGATGAGGATCGAGAGAGGGCAAGATCACTGGCGGTCTATTTTTTTCTCGGAATTGCCACCACCACCACCACCTCACCGGGTAGCTGTGGATGCATGTATGCGTGTTCAGTCTGTGAGATGGTTGTCGGCGGGTGCGTAAGATTCGAAATTGTATAGGGATGAGTTTGATTATTGATCCCAGCCTCGTTCTTGGCCGCGGATATCGAGTGGTGGACTGGATGATGGCAAGCCTACTGTTACCGCATACTGTACGTACGTCCTACGCCTTCCCGTCGTCTTGCAAGGAACTCAGGCGGATTGTGGCGGAAAAAAAAGGGGAAAGGCATCTGACGATAGAACTGGTGATTAGGAGACATACAGCGTACAAAGTACACAGCAGTACGTAGTCGGGTTGTAAGGAAGTTCTAAAAGGTGCTTTGTAGATCCATATTCGTCCCCCCTCCCTTTTCTCCTAATCCCTCTTTGGTACTCGCCAATAATCGCCTTGGGAGAGGATTCACTTGTTCGCTTGTTACATCCGATCCGATAAAGCCGGATGATGGCGACAGACACGAGCCCCCTCTCCAGTCTCCCCCCAGGGATTATGGATTACTATTTACGCCATAACTACACGAAGGCGCGCAAGACAAATCAAGTCAAGCGAAATCAGGATCAAAACCACAAAAATGAAAAATGGAAAATGAAATGGAAATTAAAAAAAAAGGCAGGCAGGCAATTAGTACCAGACACTAGGTATCTACTGTGTCCTGTCTTAGATCCACCGGGGAGCAAAAAACAAGATCAATGATACTCCGCAGTTTTCTTCAGAATTTTCTGGGTTTCCTCTCCTCTCCTTGATTTTAGATAAAATAGTAGGAGGCAATTCTCTATATTATTCCCAACTTTTTACCCATTGCTGGAGGTGGTACTGTTTCCCCCGACAAAGCGCCAATGCGATGAGAAACCTTGGAACGCCAACTCGATGGCTTACATTCAGCCTTTCGAGTTCCCGCCCCCCCCCTTTCTCTGCCCTATTTGAATTCAAACACCTGGGTTATCCGGTGGTTTCCAGGGAGTTCCTCGGATCGCAAGGTGCGACGGGAAATGCCAAATGACAGCAATGTGGCAGTGCATGTATCTAAAGGACCGAGTGGAGCCCGCTAGGCCCCCATTGGCAGTGGGTCGAGCCCAACAGGGCCACTCATAATCGTGTGTCGCTACTGTGTATTCCGCACAACTCACGGTGGGGCCCGAGGTCGGTTGTGAAAAGACAAAGAGCTGTTGAAAGACTGCCTCTTCTTGTCTCGACTCGTTTCGACTCAACTCGGTACCCTACTCCGGAGGTCGGGTTTAGGTGCCCAGCTTACCTAGGCCGTGGAATCATCCCTGGAAAAGTGGATTTGTTCCCTTCTGGAATCTTGAATAATGGGGTGATGATGCTGCTGCTGCTGCTGATGATATTGATGGCGTCCTTGTACTATGTATGGTATTTTGGTAATAAACAATACAGAATACTGCCACCTTCCAGCTGCCCCTGTATTTTCAAACCGGTAGGTCGCGCGGGTAAGGCGACGGAGAAATAGACAGCAACTTTCAACCACTGCTTTTAACGACCTTCTCCATCGAGCAGGCATACCATACCCATAATAATCCATCTACTTGAGATCAAACCACTAGATATCCAGTACGGAGTAGCCCAACCCAATTAATACAGAGTAGTATTTATTATTCGGCCTTCTGTCCAGGCAGACTCCTCAAGACTCCTCACAACCCAAAACGTTCATTCCTTCAGAATAATCAAGGCCATCCATCCAAGTCTACCGCTGTCCACTCCCCCCAATGACCCGCAGTTCAACGCAGGATCCGGACTTTGAGTGAGCGCTAGGCATTCACAAAGACACAAAGCAGTTTGACCTAGATAGATTGAAATCCTCGGGCCTTGGCAGCATTCTCGCCCTGACCATTCTGCTGCGGTGGATAACCGCTCCCTATCTAATTAGGGCTGATGATATATGCTGCTGAACTATCTATCGCCTGGAGAACAGTTGCCTACATTAATTAGTAGATTCACTAGACAGTTAGATACTGTTGTCTGGTCGAACCCCCTTCCAATAATAACGGTTCCGCGGAGAACAGGCGCCTTCGAGTAATCCTGCAAGCCACCCTCATCTATAACTGTCTGCCCCCGGGCTCGTCAATTGTTACAGGAGTAATAGACATCCCCAGTGAATGACGGCAGGACCCTACATTTTATTTGTTCGTTTATTATTTAATTGCATTGCTTCTATCTATCCATTACATCCCAATCGCGCAACGGAGACGAATGGAGAAAGGTCCAGCCAGTGGTAAACCGGAAAATAATAATAATAATAATATAATACTTGTGTACTCTCCAATCCAGTGGGACAATCAACCACCCTTCCGAAATCCGAGGAATCATCAGGGCACACTAAGTCATAAACTACCAGCACTGCCTCATTCCAATCTACTGTCAGGACCAATCCGGTTAGCCCGTCGCTCACCGCTCTGGATCTGGACGATGCCCTGGCCTTAACTAGTTAGTTCCCTGACTCGGTTCTGTCGCTGGGATCCAAGCTTCCTCACCCATGCTGTACAGTAGCACCTAAGCTCTAACTAACCAAGTACTATCGCTCTGCATCTCCGATACCACCACTCCGTACTACCATTCTGATGTTCGCTTGGGTGCAACCATCTCAACCATCTAGATACTCCTACGACGTATTTGTATCTTGTCGCCCTACGGAAGGGGAGGGGGGGGGAGGAACATCCAGACACGTGGAATTCCTGGCGAGTCCACCTGCGATATCAACCGCCCCTCCCCCTCCCCTCCCCTCCCCCCTTCTGCCGTCAACCTTCATCACGATGAGGGACCGATCGGCTCTACCCTTTAATTAATCTGGGAGAAGATGGACATGCTGGATAAACACGGGGTATGGCCGACCCTCCACATAACCCCCCTTTTAGGCTGGCGAATTATTTCCCTCCTGAAGCACTTGCCTTAGGGGACAGAACTAGAAGCCCGTCCTGCACGGCAGCATGCAAGGTGTGGAAAGCCTACATACTTTACTTAGTAGTAGGAGTAGTAAGGTAGTACCACACTACCACCACGCATGGACTGATTCCCTGAGGGCATAAGGCAGATTAAACTTTCCTAGCCAGAGCTATCGCAAGTACAGGAGGCCCAAAAAGGAAGGTTACTATATATCAACCGGGGGAAGACCCAGCCAGTAGTGAGTAAGTCAGTGACGTCCATGCGGGTTTGCTTGGACTTCCCTAAACTTAAGATTTGATAGAGTCAGAGAGCCCGAGACTTGATATTGGCCTCGGAGAGTCGGAGGATCCATGCAATTGCTATTTCTTACACCACATACCACTGTGTCTACTGGATACTTTAAAGCCTTCCCCCCTCTCCTCCACCCCCCCCCCCCCCCCGACCACCCCAATTTAATTAATATTCTAACCGGCCACCATCGTCTAGCCCTGTCATCCCGTGCGGGCTGCTGCAACGGCGTGGTTCTCGAGCCCAGCGATCAGGGTGATTTGCTAAATGGTCTTGATGAATACCCCCATAGTATCTATCTAGCAGTGTAACCATCACCATGAAGGAATAGTTCGAGTTCGAGATTAGCAACAGTGAGACTATTGTTAGTCTTACTAGTAGTTAGTAGTGTCGGCAGACAATTGTAGTTGCCTTGAATTGCCCTCTAGATAGATACTCCGCACATTATTATTGTGTAGAAGTAGGAGTAGGAGAAGCTACGGAGTGCTAGGAGAAGGGTTGTCCCGTGAAAGGGACCGGGACCTTCCTGTCATGGATGTATCTGGTAATTTACGGCGAGGTAATGCAATAACGCGCCCATGTAATCTGACCGGCGGCAATCATTTCTCGCCGTCCAATGTTCAGACAAGGCAAGGGCAAAGGAGGGGGTAAAAAACGAGGGGAAAGGGGAACGGAGGCTTGCAAAAAGAGAAAAAAAGCCAGTGGATGAGCAGATTATTATTGCGATCGTTTGCTGTCGAGACTCGAGTATAATTAATTATTCAGTGGTGGTCTCATCTTTCATCCTCCCCCCCCCCCCCCGAGTTCCTCTCGACCACTGCACCTATTACTTGTGTAAGTTGTAAGTTATATCGCTTCCCTGGCCTTGCAAATTTCATTTGCCTCTGCGTCTCCGTGCATTACCGCCGTGACATCGAAGGAAAGGCACGCTCTTCCCGTTGGCCAGCCAGACTCCAGCGGTGGTCCACTCGGCCCAAACTGCAGTTTGAAACGGATATTCAAATACCAATGTTGTATCATCATCGCAGACCTTAATATTGTCTGGGTTTCCTGCCCTCTCGCTCTCCTCGCTCTCCTCGCTCTCCTCCGTCAAACAACCACGACTTCTATCGCCCCTCACTCTCCTCTTCCCCTTCCGGCTGAAAATCCTCTCCATCCACAGGGCGCTACCAAGAGGGACCAGACCCGACAACCAGCGTGTGAGACACGCCCCGGGAAAACAGGGAATTCGACCTTGGGAAATACAAGTCATAGCCGTTTCTTCCTCCGAGCCTTGTAGGGACCACCAATAACGCCCGTCTCTGCACCACCGTCTGCCTCGCAAGCAGCGTTCGCATTCCACTTTTGCCCTTCTATACACATCCGCATCCACAGCTCGCTCTCTTCCGCCTCCGACTCCAAACCGACCTCCTGCGGTTACTGCAGTGCAGCCCGGAGCCTGACGTCTCGCTTTTGCCTCAGGAACGCCGCCGCCGCCCGCCGTCCACCACCTCAGCTGCTCTGCTCGTTCCGCCGTTCGCATTGATTGCGCCTCAGCTCGTCGCTCGTCGCTGAAACCCGGTGCATGTGACTGCTGTTCTTCTTCTTGTCCTCAGCTTGCCAACATCCAGCTGTCCCTTTTTTTTTTAACATCCTTATTCTCTACCCCCCCCGTGTCTGTTGCTTCTTGCGCCGACAGGCGGTCTTACGAGTCAGTGGTTCCAAGGGTGCAACTTGCGGTATTGACCACCAACATTCCCCCCCTCCGTTGAGGACATTGCATATATCCGACCCGTTTTCTGCTGCATATTCTCTTCCAGCCTTATATCCTTGCATTCATATTGAGCCAGTTCTTCAGTCAACATTCAGCATGTCCTATGGTCCTTGCGCCGTTGTCCGTTGTTAAGTTGCCGCTATCCGGTGATTTCATGGCACACAGACGGTTTCGCAAGCCTATGCGCGACGGTTACAGTGAGCCATTGGCATAGCTAATCGCTGGCACATCCATCCTTTACTTTTAGCAAGAGTCCACCCGAGGCACTTCGAGGCGAGGTAGGAGGCCCTCATCCGACTTGTATGTGGCCCGACTCACCTGACATTACACAGCCCGTAAATTTCAACTCTTCCAAATTGCCACCACTTATCCCGCTACAGAAGAATCTTCTGCTTTGTCCGCTCATTTAACGAAAACACTTGAAAAAAAGACCCAAGACGCAGACGCAGAATTCGCTGTCAAGAAGCCCAGTTCCATCGGGCCCGCATCGGAACGACGACCGCGCCTTTACTAGTTTGAATAGCTTATGCTGGTGCAGGATTTCTCGACTGACTTGTCTTACGATCATTCTTCCCTCTCGTCGATGAGCAATCATTTGTCGCCTTCTGTGTACGATGGACATTCCGCGAATCGCGCCTCCTTCCACTAACGTGCATGATTTCAACAACAGCTTTGACCGTCAAAGTTCCACCACAAGGTCCTCCTATAACATGTCCGGGCAATCATTCTCATCACGAGGACCTATGCCTATCCCAACACATTCAATGACGAACCTCGCCCCGCCACCGTTACCACCACCCCCGCGCATTAGTGATTTGGAAGACGGCTATGACGCAGGCTGGTTGCATGCGAATGTTAGAGGAGCTCATAAGCTCGCCCCTATCAACCCCAGCTCAAGTCTATTTGGCAGTCACCGTCGCCCGGAAATAGTACCGCAGAGTGATCGAATGGCTATCGACGAGTTGGATGGCCGACAAAGTGGGTTACCCCTGTCCAGGAGTCCCGAAGCTCATATCAGAATCGAGCCCCCGCCACCGATGGACGAAGGCTTTAGAAATGCTATATCAGTCAACAGTTCTGGTCCGGTCTTGAAGGGAGAGCGAGATTTCTCTCGACTGAGCGTGAAAGTCTCTTCGGATGCGTACGATAAACATCTTCTATCCAAAATAGGGAAACCGCTTTCCCCGCGGCAATCTATTAGCGCCGGTAGCGAAAACAAAGCCATGCTATCCACACTTACTATCCCCTCGAGGAACTTTGGAGGTCTGCCTTCCCCTGGAGGCTCCGATGGGTCTGGTCTCGATGTCCGGTGGCCTAGTAGCTATCAGTCGGGTGGGGTTTCACCTGGCACGAAGACTGGATGGAGGGATTATGTCGGCCATCGAAGCCCAAGCGTGGAGAGCAGCGCCCCGTCGTCCGCTGTCGACTACGACCAACCGGCCTATCTGCGTGGCCGTCGTGGGGGCGGAACGACACCCTTGTTTGACGATAACACCAGCCTTCCTAGCCGTTCGAACCGAGGAAGCTACGATCATGGCGTCTTCTCAGATATTGAAGGTGATTTTTCAACAGATGAATCGCTGCCGCCTCGGATATTCAATCTTCGGGCGGCAACACCGCCTTATCTGGAAGCCTCCAAACCAGGCATGAAGCGCAGAGCATCCTCGCCTCCCCGTGAACCGATCAGCAATGGCAGACATTCACTTCACGTTGCCACTAGTAACGGTGATCTATCTCAGCGACGAACTAGCGGCCATCCATTCCCGAACACTCTATCAGTCAACGTTAACTATGCCCCCAGTCATGGAAGTCTGTCGGCTGCCTCATCAGTGAGCCTACGAACCTCTGGATCCTACTCATCGGCGGGCCTCTCTATGGGGGGAAGCAGCTTGACGAGCTATGATCGCTCCCCCGGGGGACTCTCGCCTAATTCTGACCTCGATACCTTCCATGACAAATCCATCCTCAACCCTAGCTCCCCAGTGAACCTGAGCGGACAATCGATCACACGGAATGTCCAGGCTCCGGGAACATTAGAACCGTCGAGCGCAGATACTACTCGGAAAGTCCCCATGCAACCAACCCTAAGCGTGCCAAAGCCATCGGGGCCTAAGGTTGGCGGGCTGTACATTTGCGATTGCTGTCCCAAGAAGCCTAAGAAGTTTGACAGCCCAGAGGAGCTTCGGTAAGTCGGATCTGACTCGTGAGCTTACAGTATGTGGACATCTCTAACGCGTACCCGCTTCTGATTAGTGCACATGAGATGGAGAAACAATATTCGTGTTTGTACTGCAATAACCGGTTTAAGAATAAAAACGAGGCTGAGCGCCATCAGAACTCTCTCCATCTGCGGCGCCACTCATGGTCATGTGCGGCACTATCAAGCTACCAGGCTGCGTTTCATCCTTCGTCTTCATCGGCACAAACAAGCTCAGGTTCTTCTCACGACATATGTGGCTACTGTGGTGAAGAGTTTTCCAACTTTCCTCAGCCGGACTGGGACCGCAGATTCGAGCATCTCACTACGGTACATAAGTTCGGGGAATGCAACAATGCGAAGAAGTTCTTCAGGGCAGATCACTTCCGACAGCATCTGAAACATAGTCATGCCGGCACCAGTGGAAAGTGGACCAACATATTGGAGAATGCCTGCATGAAAGAAGAAGCACCCCCGGAGCCGAAAAACTCCAGTGGAAGCGGGATGATGTCAACGTCGCCTGGGACACTCACGTCGAATAATATCAACGAGGTCCTGAGCGGCTGCTGACAATCACTGTGCTATACGAAAGATACATTGTTTCCTTGTCAGCAAGCTTGACGGTTTCAATGCTCGTGTGTGAAGTATTGGCTGCTCAAACTGAGCATACAACACATATTCACCTATACATTTCTTCTCTCCACCTTTATATTATTACCGCGCCTGCATTCCAACTCTCACACCTTCGATGGTATGTACTGTTCATACTCCCACTGCCATCACAGCCCTGCATCTCAGAGCAACGTTCAGGCATAGGCTGTGGCAGACACACTTTACTAGAAGTTCTTGGCGTTCAAACCATTGGGACTGTCATTCACATTCATCATTCGGAATCATCAACGCGCGTTTAGCATACATACAGTGAGGTATTCGGGTTATATCAAAGTTATCGGGAAAAAAAGGGATTTCAAAAAGGACCAGGGTGTGGGTGGGGGGGAATCGGGTGGTATTGATGTGACATGACCGAAGCATCTTTTTTTTGCTCTTCTTTTTTATCCTCTTATCTACTACCCTTTTCATATTTGTTTCTTTGGCGATACAAAACTCGGAGTCATGGGGCGGGTTTGTTTTTTTTTTCTGGCAGGGCGGTTGATCGATCGATCGATTGATCGATTATTATTGTGTGTTTTGGGGTTTGCGCACTTCATGGCAATGGCCATGGCCTCTTTTGGTTGCCTTAGGCTTGGATTTCTACTGCCTCCGGTCCTCTTTCTTTCTTTCTTTCTTTCTTTTTTCTCTTTTTCTTTCTTCACCACTTGTTGATCTTTCATGAGCATCGACTTGACTCGACTCGACTCGAGCAGACCTGACCTGCTTTTCTTTTCTTTCGAGGAGCTCCGGGCTTAGCTTCTGCTCTTGGAATATCCTGTCCATGTCTATGTCCATGTTAGAACACCCTTTGAACCTAGCTAGTGCTGGCTGGGTATATGTATATACCTAGATAAATCTTTCATGTGTGTAAATTCATATAGAGATGACTACTACTACTACTACTACTACTACTACTACTACTACTACTACTATTATTATTATTACTCCCTGCCTACATTACAATATAGTATAGTACAGTTGATTACCATTAGAGAGTGAATAGTGAGTGAACGCAATTCCATATAGGAGAAGGAAAAAAGAAAGAAAGAAAGAAAGAAAGCACAGTAAACTGAACCCTGAAATCGATCTAATCTAAACAAGAGAGAAAAAGTGAGAGGAACAACCCTCATTTCATTCCACCGGGTACGTAGACCGCTACATCCACACACCACACCACACCACACCACACCACACCACTACCCACCAACGCCTGAGCAATGCATAGCCAAAACCGAGTCCGATCGTAACTTTTCTTCTTCTTTTCTCCCACAGGGCGGGCGATACGAAAAATTGGGAACGCATGGCATGAAAAAGAGCCATGGAAAAAACAGAAAGGGAAAGGGAAATGAAAGGGAATAAGAAAAGGGGGGGGATAGAAAGAAGTGGTAAAGGTGCTAGCTACCCTACCCTACCCTATCCTATCCTACCCATTAAAGAACGCATGGAAGATGCAAGAAGAGGTCAAAATACACAAGGTAGAATTGGATGGTGAGTGACTAGTAACTTCATGATACCCGTTCATTTAAATCTGATCATCGTCTGTTATGCCGGCGGCTTCCTTGGCCAATCGGAGGTCCTTGCCGACCAGACCAATGTTCTTGAGGTAGGGGTTGAAAGAAGAAAGAAGGTCCTTGAGAGAGGACTTCAGGGTATGCAAGACGAGGTCGACGTCGGGGACACGACGGGCGAGGGCCTGGGCTTCGGGGTTGGAGGAGGGGGGGAAGTTGACGTCTGTCCAGTGGGCGTCGAGGCCGCCGTGGATGAAGGGTTCGAGGGTCATGATGGTATCGGTCAGGAGACGGACGACGGCGGGGACGTCGGCCTGGACTTTGCCGAACTGGTCTTCGTCGAGACTCCTGACGAGAAGGCAGGTGAGGGCCTCGATGGCGCTGACGACGGAACAGATATTGGCGTGGGGAGTGCCCAGGACGATGCCGGAGAGGCGACGGGCGTAGGTTTGGCGGACGAGGCGGCCGAGGGGCGAGCGGAGGATCTGGACGAGGAAGGGGTGGAGGTTCTCGGGCTTGCTGGTGGAGGGGGCGGTGAGCATCTTCAGCTCCTGCGAGGAACTGAGGAGTCTCTGCTTGCGCTCGGGGCTCAGCATGGCGGAGGATGCGCGGTCGAAGACATCGCGGGCCTTGGCGCGCGCGGTCGGGGTCCAGTCGGCGGAGTTTCCATAGGATCTGGCGGTGGTGCTGAAGGCCTCGCCGAATTTCTCCTGCCGGGAGCTGGCCTGGGGGGATGGCGCGAAGATGTTGTCTTGCTTGAGGGGATCCGCCAGCCGGGGCAGGGTGTGAAGGACGGGCTGGGATTGTTCGACAGGCGCGGGCTTCGGGCCTGATGATGGGTTCTTTGCCTCGCTGATTCGGGTGGTGATGCCGGTGATCACCTCGGTGGCGGCTTGGAGGATCTGCGACCAAGCCGGTCCTTCTTCGCGATCGATGTCGTTGAAGATGGCCTTCCGCCGGTCAGGGAATTGCTGGCTGATGAAGCATAGCTCCCAGAACGCAAATGCGCGCACGGTTTCCTTCTTCGCCTTCAGGCCGTTCAACAGGCTGCCGTTGGGGTCCTTGGCCTCGGCCGTCAATGGCTGGCCTCGCTTGAGGGGCTCTTTGCTGAGGAAGACGGAGAAGAACAGGTTGGCCGTCTGCCAGCAGATGACTAGCAGTCCTCCCGAAACCACGGTACGAGTGAAGATTCCGGGACCAATTGGTGGGATAAGGCCTGGGGGGTCGGCGGCAGACCGAGGGAAATCCCAGAACAGCTTTGCGAAATAGAGGGTGATGCTCCAGGCCGGGCGACGAAGGAAGAAGGTGTAGGCTACCGGGCAGATCAGGGCGACCAGGGTACTTTGTCTCACGCCATCTTTGATGGTTTGTGGCAGGGTCGTTTGGATGCGCTTCGAGATCGACTGCACGTGCTGAGTCTCTTGACCAGGGATCCGGTTGGCAACGGGGAGAGGGACACGGTCATAGTCGTAGTAAAGGTGGACGACCGACTGCGCAGCGGCTAGGAGAAAGTTGTAGGTATACAGGTAGATCGCTCGTTCGTTCAGGCTCGCTCGCTCGTGTGGCCTGGAGCTTCTTGTTAGCCCACGTCCAGAATTTACCCGAATTCGGCTTGATGGAACACGTACTTAGCTCTGTTCACCCACTCCAGGTGAGCACTAGCAGGAGAAGACCACCTGTAGATTTCATTGAACCACCACGCGGAGAAAATGTACCAGCCGAAAGTTTGGATGATGTCGAGGGGAACGAGATACTTGAGGGTGCCGGTCGGTGAAGCAGTCGTCCTCGAGCCGATGTGCATCTGACCAACACGGAGAACGAACACGACAAGACTGCAAAGGAAGAGAAGGACGGTGCGAATGCCACATCCTCCAATTGGAAACCAAGCCCATAAGACTGTCGGGATATCGCAGCTACGTTAGCATTCGCGGTGAGTCGAACACAGCGAGACCACCGGTGGTGTACTTACAGGATGACTTGTCCCCAATGGAAAATGCCACGATATAGCAGACCAGCAGCGCCAGCGCAGAAGCGTGAACAAACCTTCTGTGCAGCGCAGAGGTCAAGATGCGCCGGTATGGGCGAGGCGGTGCTGCGGCGGCCATGATGCAGGTTGGGGTGAGGGGAGGGACTGGAAGATCTCTGGGGAGAGAAGGTTTATAGCAGGTTCACCGCATGATCGGGGCGCGACGGAGGAGGATTGAGGAGTCGCCCTGTTCGCGGAGAGCTTCGAGGGCGCAAAGGGAGCTTGGATGAAAGAGCGACAACTTCCCGACAATAATAAAGAGAAGCTTTTCGGACTTGGAGAACCAAAACACCCGCCACGGTGACGGGTCACATGACCAGTGCATGCCTGCGGCTCCAGGCATCCGGGCCAGGCAGCCACCGCATCATCTCACTACTGCGGACTAACTACGGAGTAGCCTAGCGGTTTAAGGCCGCCTCCGGTTGCATCGGCCGGGTGATCCAACTCCAACCTCCAACTACCCCCCCCCTCCCTTGTGTCTCAACCCACTCCAACCATGTCTTTCGATCGCTTGAACTCGTTAGAGGCGCAGCCTACAAATACGCGCCGGTCCGATGACCCCCAGTACCGCGATGATCCCGAATTCCACCGTTTGACCGAGGGTCTCTCCAACCGCCTGTTCACCCTGACCTCCAACATCACCCGCTTGTCGGATCAGATTGCGCTCCTGGGAACACGGCGAGACACGGAGCGTGTGCGCGAACGAGTCCACACTCTCCTCGAACAGACCCGCTTGGGATTCAAAGATGTCGGCGAGGGAATCAAGAAAGTGCAGACTTGGGAAGATGTGAATGTATGTTGCGCTCATCCGCCCCCGTCCGTGCGCTGCGACCCTGCCAAGCAATACTAACATGCCTTGCGCCAGCCTTCCCAAAAGTGGACGCAGCAGAAGCTGTCTTCTGAGTTCAAAGCCACCCTCGAGGAGTTCCAGACCGTCCAACGTCGTGCCCTAGAGAAGCAACGAGCATCCGCTGTGGCGGCGCGGACTGCCGCGGACGAGGCCGAGCCCACGTCCGAAGAGGGCCACCAGCTGCAACAGCAGGAACAACTACTGGAGGAGCAGCCCCGGCTTGCGAACCAAGATGAGGTGGACTTCCAGGAGTCTCTTATCATCGAGCGCGAGGCGGAAATCCGCAACATCGAGCAGAGCGTTGGCGAACTGAACGAGCTGTTTCGGGACGTGGCTCACATTGTCCACGAGCAAGGTGGGCAGCTCGACATCATCAGCGAGAATGTCGAGCGGGTTGGCGATGACACTCGAGGAGCAAATGTGGAACTCCGCAGTGCAAGCAGGTACCAGAAGAACGCTCGGAACAAGGCTTGCTGCTTGCTTGTTATGTTGGCCGTTATCCTCCTGATCATTGTTCTCGCGGCGGTCTTGGGATAAAGCCGATCGTCTGTTTCCGTCTTCCTTTCGCGCTGCTGCTACAATGATCTATATCGTTCAGCATGACCGTCCCCTCTTTTGATGATATCCTCTCGATGTACCTTTATGCGCATGCTTCGTGCTTTTCAACTACTACAGGCGGCTTGTTGTCTTCTGCCATACCTCTCTTCATGGATTCGCAGGCGCATATGGAGCAGAGGATGTGCTATTTACATTTGTCCTTCTATCGTTCTATGCCCTATATCATACATAGCTTGTTATACATGAACTGTACACTGCGTTGATTACCCAAGACCGTACCCAAACTCCTTTTTTCGCCTCTATACATGCACCGCAAGAATGAGATTGGGGCTCTTACAGCCCCATGAAGCGGCCGAATCTCATCCGACAGCCTTCCACCGTGTTCAGCTTGGGTCGTACGTCCAGGTAGAAACTCAGCTTTCCGGGGCCTGTGTTGGCAGCCAGGCCGGGTGCGCTATCTCCTCCCGATGTTTTCCCTTGGTAAAAATCGATCACGTACTCAATGCGCTCCCCGCCGCATCTTTCTACAACCCAGTCGTGACGATCGAAGGGGAGCTGGTAGCCCATCCAGTTGTTCATACGGGCGCGCGGGCTCAGGAACTGCGGGTCCACGCCCAGACCCCGGAAAGCATACAGTTTGGGCCCTCCGCATTTCTTGCTACCCGGATCGGAACTAGGCGCTTTGCTTTCCCACCGCAGGATCTGTTGCCAGGCGCGCTCATTGACAGCGTTGTGGATGGGTATGATGGATGCGACGGTTGTTGCCAGTTCCGATGCGGAGTGCGTCGACTCGGGGGTGTTGCCCTTGCGCACAAGCGCCTCGAAGAATTGCCGTTCTGACGGGTAGATCCAGTTTCCGGTATTTGGGTCATGGCCCGTTTCAGCCTCAGCGTTTGACGGAGTGCCATGCGATGCGGCGGACGAAGAGTATGGTGACGGGGTCGCGTTCGGGGACTCGGAAGATGGGTGGGACTGAGGGTCGATGGCTCGCGGTATGCTGCTCACTTCGCGGTCGCTAGAGAGAGGGCGTTGAGATTTCCCTTTCGATTGGCCCTCTTCTGCAGGGGCAGGATGAGGAGGCGCACCGCCGCCGGATGCTTTGTGTTGTTGTAGCCATGCCTCACGGGTTTTGTGGTCCACAGGGCACGTTCCGGCCGCCGCAGGGTCGGGTGATGGAGTGCTCGCACCGGCGCCCATGATGTGTCCAACTGGGGGGGTATCGGACTGTCCGGCAAACAGAAATGGAGCGTTGTGGTCGACACCTGGTGGAATGGGATGATGATTGATTGATTGCAAATCAACCATTGGATCGACCGGACAAGGCGGAGAAATTTTGGCCGCTCACCGCCTTGGAGGCCGACAAACAAAAGCGGCCCCCAACTTTCCGTGTTGGGAAAGCCACTGCCACTGCCACTACTGCCACTATTGCCCCTCCATTGATTCTCCGCCTGTTGCCTCTCTTTCTTCCCCTCCCTCACTTGCGGCCCCTTTTCTCTATCTGACTCCCCCCGCCTCTTCAATCGAACCCTCAACTCTCACAATGGCCGCCTCTCCTGACTCCAAGGTCTTCCGGGCCACCACTACTGCCCCCGTCAACATCGCTGTTATCAAGTATGCCGACCCCCAGTTATCGTGCACACTCAGCACGCATGGTGGATACTGACTGGACTGTGCCCTGCTAGGTACTGGGGCAAACGCGATGCCGTCCTCAACCTGCCTACGAACTCCTCGCTCTCCGTTACTCTCTCGCAGCGCTCCCTCCGTACCCTCACGACTGCCTCCTGCGCACCCTTCTACCCCGCCAAGGATGAGCTGATCCTCAACGGGAAACCCCAGGACATCCAGTCCTCCAAGCGCACGCTTGCCTGCCTGGCCAGCCTGCGCTCGCTTCGTCGCGAGCTAGAAGATTCCGATTCTTCGCTGCCCAAATTGTCCGCCTTCCCTCTCCGCATCGTTTCCGAGAACAACTTCCCCACCGCCGCCGGTCTCGCTAGCTCCGCTGCCGGGTTCGCAGCTCTCGTCCGTGCCGTCGCAGACCTTTACCAGCTTCCTCAGTCACCCCGTGACCTGAGCCGCATTGCCCGCCAGGGTTCTGGCTCTGCCTGCCGTTCTCTCATGGGCGGCTATGTCGCATGGCGCGCTGGAAGCCTCGAGGATGGTAGCGACAGTCTGGCAGAGGAGGTTGCGCCCCAGTCCCACTGGCCTGAGATGCGCGCCATCGTCCTGGTGGTCAGCGCTGAGAAGAAGGACGTCCCCAGCACGGAGGGTATGCAGACGACCGTTGCCACGTCGAACCTCTTCGCTACCCGTGCGAGCACTGTTGTCCCGGAACGGATGACTGCCATTGAGACTGCCATTCAGAACCGCGATTTCCCTGCCTTCGCGGAGATCACGATGCGCGACTCGAACAGCTTCCACGCTACCTGCCTGGACTCCTGGCCTCCGATCTTCTACATGAATGACGTCTCCCGCGCCGCTGTCAGGCTTGTGCATGACATCAACCGCGCGGTTGGCCGGACTGTCTGCGCTTACACTTACGATGCTGGCCCGAACTCTGTCATCTACTACCTTGAGAAGGACACCGAGCTCGTCGCCGGTACCATCAAGGCCATCCTTGGCGAGAAGAGCGAGGGCTGGGAGGGACCCTTCTACGAGCCTCTGAAGGACCTCACCGCCCCGGGTGTGGCCCTGGACCAGGTCGACCCCCGGACTGTGGAGTCTCTCAAGGATGGAGTTAGCCGTGTGATCCTAACCGGTGTCGGCGAGGGCCCCATCAGTGTGGAGGACCACCTTGTCAGTGAGAAGGGCGATGTTCTCTCCAACTAAACAGACAGCATCTCATCTGGGGGTTCGAAACATCGGCAACTAACGAGTCACGAGTCCTTCAACAACGGACCATCCTGAGCTAATATACCCATGCCTTTGCATCTGTTGCATACTTCCCAGGTCATAATAATCTTCTAGCTCCCCCAACGGTCTAGGAGCCTCATGATGTATATACTTCCTTTCGGGCTAACCATCCCTTATCATACACGCTACGAATTGGACATTTAATTGCAACCCATCACATAAACCACTGATTCCATGAATTCAAATCTAATGACTTTTTATAACCTTGTCGCGGGAAACTGTAAATACCAACGCCATCCACCCTTTCCTAAGCCTGTACTGTACTTGTACTGTACGGTCCTCCCAACACTCAGTTCAGCAGAGCCGACACCTTCATCTCCTTGACAGCCGGAACCTCCCGTCCCTTCCCAACATTCGCCGTCGCCGTAACACTGTCCCAGAAGACACTCTGACCCGCCCCTTGCTTAACATACTCCTCACCGGCCCCCACATTCTCAACATCGACAACATCCGGGGCGGCCGACTCCTCCTTGGCAGCCTCAGCCACCAAAGCCCCAAACACCTCCTCCCGGCTCTCAACACACAACTTCAGGACCTCCTGCATCGCCTTCTCGATCGCCGCCGCCCGCTCCCGCATTCCACGACGCAACAGCGCATCCACGAGAACCTGGACCTCGCTGACGGACGAATTCGCCCGCTCCAGCAGTCTGCGCACACTATTCACCAGATACTCCTCCTCGTACACGGTCCCCTTCTTACCGCGGGCACGCTTGCGCTCTTCCTTGCGCCGCGTCTTCGACGTATGCCGCGACGACGAGGTCTTCCCCGACTTCCCGGTCTGCCCGGTATATCTGGTAAACATACTGCGGCCGGCGAGGGTGGAGGCGTCCGTGGGCGCGAGGGACACGTTATCGGGGATGTCGACGCCGGCGTCGCCGGTAGTCGGGTCGCCGCCGAAGTAGGCGAGGGGGTCGGTGATGCGACGGACGCGCAGTTCGCGGATCCGCGGCACTTGGGCGTTGAGTTGCGAGCGGAAGTCGGCGAGGAGGTCCGTCATGGTGCCCATTGCGTCGGCGAGGCCGGAGTCGACGATCTCCGGGACCAGGGCGGCTTGGTTGTTCAGCGCAAGGAGGCGGGTTGCGTCGGCGAAGCGGGCGCCGCGGCAGAGGAGACGTGCGGCGGCGGGGATGTCGCGTAGGTGGTCGGCGTGGATTTGGGCTGCCGATATGTAGTCCTTGTTTTCTTCGGTGAGGGTTGCGGCGAGCGCGGTGGCGTGGCCGGCCAATTCGGTCTCGGAGAGGGGCACCATCATGGCGCAGTAGATCGATTCGCGCCAGAGGTGGGCGAGGTGGTAGGATTTGTAGGCATCGGTGTAGAGTTCGAGGGATTCGTAGGCTGGATGGGTTGGTTAGTGTTCGGGGTGGGGGAAGGGAGAGAGGGAGCGGGCGTACCGATTCCTGCGTCCTTGTACTGGTTCCGGTCGTAGAGGTAGTCGGCGTGGAGGTGCGTCAGGTCGCGTAGTTGCTCGGGCTGGTATTTGTAGAGAGCAATGGCATCTTTGTAGAGAACGTGCTTGATAACGTATGCCCGCAGCTCGTCATGGGCGTTGAGCGCGTGGAGATGCTTGATGGCCTTTGATGTCCGTCCGAGGTAGTTGTCGATCTCAAAGTGCCGGCGGAGCTCTGCCAGTTGCTGTAGCTTGCGTAGGAAAGGAAGATATTCGCGAGGATCCTGGTATTGTGAGTGGAGGCACTTGGAAGAGCCAGGACGGGTAAGCTCACTCTTTGGGCTTGCTGGGCCACGAGCAAGGTGAGCTCGAGGTCGTAGAGACCCAGCGCGTTATCGTACAGCCGGTTTGCATCTGTCAAGAAGCACATGTGCTCGATAGCATCGTCCGCCTGTTCGGATGTTTGCTCTGGTGTACCGTGAGTACTTGTTCGAGAAAGGGGATGGGAGGGATATACGGACCTCTGAGACGTGCAACCAGCCGTAGACCGGCCTCAAGATCCGGCGGGGACTTGCAGACGTGCGCGGTGATCAGATTGTGCAGGTTGGTATCCATGCGCTTTTCAAAGGTAGCCAAAAAGGCGTCGCAGATTCGGTTGACCTTGCTGCCCTTGTTAGGTGCAGGAACAAGTCCAGGTTGCGCGGCACCTGCTTGAGGCACTTTCAGAGTATCTTTGTAGAGTGTCTGAGACACATCCTCCTCGCTAAAAGCTCTTAGCCGGCTGTTCTTCAGTGGATCGGCGAGTTACATACCTGAGGCGGGAGATAAACTCATCGATAAAATCGACCTTCTTCAATTGATCGACAAACAGTGGGATATTCTCCATGAATTGCTCTGGAGCATAGTCATGAATAATGTTCATATCCACCATTTGACTGCGACAACTCAAATACGCAGCCCGGTAGTTCTTGCGGTCAATGAAAGATCTGATGCCTGCCAAGACAAGGGCTCTAGGGTAGATGGTCTCGATGTTACCACGAGGCATTTGCAGGATGACAGAAAACGTCGTGGGCATCACCGTCACCAGGCGTCCGCCGCGTTCGATACTTCTGCACCGTTCGTCGGTCTCGGGCGTGTCCGGAGGCACATCCATATCTGCGATCAAATTAGTTGACACAAACTATACCGGTGGGTGTCGAGACATTGCTTACCTTCTACTCTAGTCAGGTGCACGAACTTAATCAGGTGTAGAGAAGTCGTAAACAGGATATGGGCCTCAGTTACGAGGAAAGAAGTGCAGTTCTTCGCGAGAAGCCTCTTGTTGGCATAAAGAGCTCCTGACCGTGTCATGGATACCAAAACATCCTTTAGAAGATTAGTAAGTAGTTGGCATGCCATGACGGTGGGGATCAAGTTACCTCATCCTCGGAGATCCGAGCGGCCTTCGCCCAGTGAGTGTCGACAGTAGGGCTTTCGAGGCAGCTCTGGACATGAAATTCCTCTGAAGAGGGCATTGAGATATAGGAGTACGAAGTTGGTTGGTTGGGCTGTTTGACATGAGAAAACCATAGTGACTCGTGTCCGAGGGACGTGAAAATCGACCCAAGCTGCTCCGAGTCCGCTGCTTGGTAGGCGATCTGCGTCGTCCGAGTCTCCAAGGCGGTGCGCTCAATACAAGTGCTGCTTGGGCCATTATGCTTCAGAATGTAGACTTCATGTTCGTTTGCAAAAGCAATCTGTCGAGGCCGGCTGTCTGGTGCGTCCGACAACGGATAACTCGACTCAAGTATCGGCACGGGAACAGGCCTCGTCTTCAGAGACCAGACAAAGACAGAAAAGCAGTCCTTCATGAGCACCGCAATACGCGATCCCGACTTGCTGAATGCCACATCAATCACATTTGAATCTAGAGCCAACTCGTTGTGAGCCATAGGGGGCGGAACTCCCGCCAATCTCAAAGGAGTCAACTTCAGGGTTTCTTGGGTAAATTAGCAAGATATTTGATGATGTTGTGAGCATAGAAACTTACTTCCATCAACAACAGCAACTGCACCAACATCGTCTGGGCTAGTAGTCGAACCCTGAGCAACTTCGAAAACAAAGTCCACGTCCAACATCGATTCTGAAGATACGTTAGTGAGATACTGACCAGAAAGATTCTAAGGAAAATATTACCCGAAGCGCCGGCAATGAATCGCAACGCCTTCTCCTGATGCCACTTGAAAGAGAAAGGGTGCGGGTATTCAGCGTTCACTCCCACTGGGATTTCCTGCTTAAGATAGTAGTGATAGTTTCCCGTTGTCCAGAATTGAACCCTGTCCAGGAATTGTACTGCGAGTACCGTCGAGTCAACGTTCCAGCTGAGTTGGATGTTCGAGCCCAATCTCGACTGCTCTTCCTCAGTGAGACGGAGGGTGAATTCTCCATGGCGCAAGCCGTTCCTTTCAAAGAACACCACATCGACCTTATCATCAAGGCGCTGGATGCTCGCAATAAGGTTGCCAGAAGGCCTCCAGCTGAGAGCCCCCTCCAGCCCGTCAACAGGCTCGCTGATGCTGTCCAAAGTTCCTTCTCTTGAATAGACTCTGACGGCACGTCTGACGCCGGCCTCGACGCTGTTCACAGCGACATATGCACCGTCACCACGCCAGCTGATAGTCGTATTTCCGTCATCACTGCTGCTCAACTTGCCCTCATCCACCTTCTCTGGGACTGTAGGATCGCGAAGGGCCTTTGCCCGCTTCCCTTGGAACTGGGTCTCGCGCTTTCCCCATCCCACAGAGACATGCTGAGAGGCCTTGAGGTCCTCGGGGGTGAAAGTAATTTCTGCAACATTTTCAAACTCCCGAGTCATGTAAAGGAACGTATTGGCTCTGGTGGTCAAAGCCAACAGCTCCTCATCCGGAGACCACGCAGCAGCCGTGATGCCAACATCGACCGAACCCACAATCTCGATCTTGTCCTCGCCGGGAAGGGGCTCCTCGCGGACAAGCACAATATCACCTCCCTCCAGCACCAGGTACGCAGTCAGGTTGTCTGCGAAGTAGTGCAGAGAGAGAACTCGGTCGCATTCTAGGTCCGGCAGCGGGCATGGCGCGTCCCAGGATGCGATGCACTCGAATGCATCTGCGCCTACGGGGTCTGAAAAGTAGGCGTCATGGCGCTTTCTGCGAAGCTCAATGACTGGGTTGGATGCGGTCGGTCCAAATGTACAAACGACGGCATCTGAAGCTGTATCCCAAGCTGTAGCTGTCAAAGGAAGCTCGTTCTGGAGCTGCACCTCGGCGAGGCGCACGGTTTTTAAGTTGCGCATCTTCTGGGTAATAGTAGTGGTGGTGGTCTACCCCGCCGCCATGAATCGACGGAAACTGCACGGGGAGAAGATGACAAAGGAACGGAGGTGATGAAAATTGAACCAAAAATGAAATAAAATCTAGGACACTTTCGCTCCCATAAATTACAATCTTAATTATGGAGAGTCGAATGTCTTTCTTCTGGTTTAAGGCGCGTTGCCGGCGGGATTGGTCACAATAGCATATCAGATGCCGAGCCAAAGATTTTAATTTTCCTACGGACAAATTCGACCAATGACTTCATCCATATTCTAATACGGCATCAGACAACCAACACCACACCGCACTTCACCCCCAGACTACACATTTTATGTTTGGGCCCAAACAGCCCCGCAGCATGCTGAATCAGAGCTCAATAAATTCTCTAGCTTTATACACAATTTCCGAGCACTCCCGACGTAGGATACAGTTTCGACCAATTGCCAATGCCCCACAAAGCCAGTGCGCGCGGAGGAAACGCAGGACGAAAGAGCATTTAGCGGGTCTTGTAGGTCTGCCAGACTGTAGAAACGAGATTGTTAGAAGGGTGGAGGTGCACCGCAGCGGGACAATGGGCAACGTACCGGCAATGCCGAAGGGAGCGAAGAAACCGGTGACTGGAGTAAGCTTGAAGTCAGCTACACGACCGATCCCCGACGTGTACGAATCAATTGGGGTTCACAAACACATGAAAGCCCAGTATCTCCAGAAGAAGTGCTTGGTCAGAGGGTTGAAGGGGATGTTGGTGCGAGGACCCTCAGCGTAGTGGTAGGGGCTGCCGAGCTGGGCGCGGGTGGTGGAAAAGCCACGACGGGCAACGAGGGAGGTGGCCATTCTGGCGCGGAGAGCGGTGGAGGCGTACATCTTGGATCGTGTCAGAGGCGATTGGGGGGGATATCGGGGGAGGGATTGGCAACGGGACACCTACTTTGAGCAAAGCAAAGCACGACGGTCGAGACAATCCTACTGATATCAACGGGCGGAGGAGACACAGCAGGACGAGTGGAACGACACTCTCGGCGGCTCCCCGGAACTCCGCTCACGTGATGCGGTGTCGCGAACGGCAAGTTTCGCCGGCGCGACACCGCCGGGGCTGCTGATCCAATCACACGCCGCCTTCCCCAACGGGATCATTGAAATTTCTCGGTGCAATCATCCATCTGTGAGACGCAGGACTGCGTCACCAACCGTCGAGGCCACTGTCCGTTTCCGCTTCCTCTGTCGCCGATTGTCGACAATGGATGAGCTTTTCGATGTCTTTGAGGACCAGCCCCAGGCGCCCCGGCCCTCTGAGGGAGCTCCCAAAAAGGCTAAGAAAGACAAGAGCAAGAAGCGGCAGGTCAATGGCGATGTGAAGGGAAATCGCGACATGAAGGAAAACGGCACCGCGCCGGATACGAACGAGGATGTCGACCTTCCTGATGCGCCCGCCATTGAGCCTGAGATCAAGAAGGACGAGGGAAGCCCCGTCGCAGACAGCAGCGAACAACCGGATACGAAACGCCCCCGTCTGGAGAAGGAAGAAGAGCCGGTGGTAGCAGACTCGTTTGAGACGGAGCAGTTGCGTGAAATCGCGGGGTCTGCTGGCCTTCAGGGGGCCAATGACTCCACGTCTGTCAAGCTGTCCCATCAAGTCCGCCACCAGGTCGCCTTACCACCGAACTACAAATACGTGCCCATATCCGAACACAAGCCGCCGGAGACGCCCGCAAGAACATGGCCGTTCACTCTGGATCCGTTCCAGCAGGTTGCGATCGCATCGATCCAAAGAGAAGAAAGTGTCCTTGTTTCGGCCCATACCAGTGCAGGAAAAACGGTGGTCGCCGAGTACGCCATTGCGCAGTGCTTGAAGAACAATCAGAGAGTCATCTATACGAGTCCGATCAAGGCCCTGAGTAACCAGAAGTACCGAGAGTTTGCTGAAGAGTTTGGAGATGCGGGTTTGATGACTGGAGATGTTACTATCAACCCAACCGCCACCTGCTTGGTCATGACAACTGAGGTAGGCGCTTGCAATGAGAGTCGTGATTCTATTCCAGTCAAACTTACGATCTTTTTTCTACCGCTAGATTCTGCGATCCATGCTGTACCGCGGCTCTGAGATCATGCGCGAAGTTGCGTGGGTCGTTTTCGACGAAATTCACTACATGCGCGATGCGAGTAAGTCTTAGGAATTCAAATATTGATTACCAATCACTGACATATTTTATAGTCAGAGGTGTTGTTTGGGAAGAAACCATCATCTTGTTGCCTGATAAGGTTCGCTACGTCTTCTTGTCCGCGACTATCCCCAATGCTATGCAATTCGCCAATTGGGTAACGAAAATGCACCATCAACCCTGCCACGTTGTGTACACCGATTTCCGGCCGACTCCACTGCAACATTACTTCTTCCCTGCCGGGTCCGAGGGAATGCACTTGGTTGTGGATGAGAAGGGTCTGTTCCGAGAGGAGAACTTCCAGAAGGCCATGAGCAGCATTGCGGACAAGAAGGGAGACGACCCCGCGGATGCGATGGCTAAGAGGAAAGGAAAAGGCAAGGACAAGAGATTGAACAAGGGCGGTACCCAAGACAAGAGCGACATCTTCAAGATTGTGAAAATGGTCATGCTCAAGAACTTGAACCCTGTCATCGTCTTCAGTTTCAGCAAGCGCGAATGCGAGAACTGTGCTCTGCAGATGAAGAACTTGTCCTTCAACGACGATTCCGAGAAGGAGATGGTTCAGAAGGTCTTCGACAGTGCAATTGAGATGCTGTCCGAGGAAGACAGACAATTGCCGCAGATCCAGAATATCCTACCTCTTCTTCGCAGAGGTATCGGTGTCCATCACTCTGGACTTTTGCCCATTCTCAAGGAAACTATCGAGATTCTTTTCCAGGAGGGTTTGATTAAGGTGCTCTTTGCGACTGAAACTTTCTCCATTGGTCTCAACATGCCTGCAAGGACTGTGGTTTTCACCAGTGTGCGGAAGTTTGACGGCTTCAGCCAACGGTGGGTTACGCCCTCGGAGTTCATTCAGATGTCTGGTCGTGCCGGTCGAAGAGGTCTCGATGACCGTGGTATCGTTATCATGATGGTTGGAGAAGAGATGGATCCTGCTGTGGCCAAGGAAATCGTCCGCGGTGAGCAGGATCGACTAAATTCGGCCTTCCACCTGGGCTACAACATGATCCTCAACCTCATGCGCGTGGAAGGCATCTCGCCCGAGTTCATGCTCGAGAAGTGCTTCTACCAATTCCAAAACACCGCCGGCGTCGCTGAACTAGAGAAAGGTCAGTTTGTGCCAACCCAATATCCTTGCGCTGTCTACTAACTCGGCTACAGAACTTCTCGACATGGAAGAGAGGCGTGCCAATTTGAACATTCCCGATGAAGGAACTATCCGTGAATACTATGACCTGCGAAAGCAACTTCGCAGATTCAACGAGGATGTGCAAACTGTCATGAGCCACCCTAACTATTCTCTGCAATACCTCACGCCCGGTCGCGTGGTTTCAGTCAAGCACAAGGATCACGATTTTGGTTGGGGTATCGTTGTCAACTGCAAACCACGCAGACTGCCCAAGAACTCGACGGAGGAATTGAATGATCACCAGAAACACGTCGCCGACGTCCTGCTTAACATTGCTGAAGGCCCTGCTGTTGGCACTAAGTCATTTGAAGATATGCCTGCCGGTGTCCGGCCACCCCAGGAGGGTGACGAAACCCGCATGGAGGTTGTGCCGCTTGTCCTCAGCTGCATCCAAAGCATTTCACACATCTGCCTCCGCATTACCAAAGATTTGAACTCCAAGGATGCTCGGAATGGTTTGAAGAATACGCTGGTTGAAGTGCAACGTCGTTTCCCAGATGGTGTTCCTCCTCTAGATCCCATCGAGAACATGGGCATCAAGGACGAGGAATTCAAGAAAACACTCAGGGTAAGCACCTAATTTCCTAGCATTGGCGGCGAGGAACACGGGCAACTAATTAGTATTGCAGAAAATCGAAGTTCTTGAGTCCCGTCTTCTCTCCAACCCCCTGCACAATTCGCCGCGGTTGCCGGAACTATACGATCAATACTCTGAAAAGGTGGATCTGGGCACCAAGATTAAGGAGACGAAGAAAAAGATCACAGATGCCATGGCGATCATGCAGCTCGATGAGCTGAAATGCCGCAAGCGAGTGCTTCGTCGCTTCGGCTTTATCAACGAGGCCGAAGTGGTACAGTTGAAGGCGCGAGTGGCGTGTGAAATCAGCACGGGTGACGAACTGATGCTCGGCGAGCTCCTCTTTAACGGTTTCTTCAATAATCTGACGCCGGAACAAGTGGCAGCCGCCCTGAGCGTCTTCGTCTTCGAGGAGAAGACCAAGGAGACCCCTGCTCTGACACGGGAAGACCTGGCGAAGCCCCTCAGAGAGATCCAAGCGCAGGCTCGGATCGTTGCCAAGGTCTCGCAGGAGTCCAAGCTGGCGGTCAACGAAGATGAATACGTGCAGAGCTTCCACTGGGAACTGATGGAGGTCATCTATGAATGGTCGAACGGCAAATCCTTTGCTGATATTTGGTAAGTCCTGCTGTCTCTTTTTCACGGTCGGTGATGTTCTTTCGGTATCGGCTTGCTAATTGGTCTTTTTTTTCATGTATAGCAAAATGACCGACGTCTACGAAGGCAGTCTGATTCGAGTCTTCCGCCGACTAGAAGAGTGTCTCCGCCAGATGGCGCAGGCCTCCAAGGTTATGGGCAGCGAAGATCTTGAGAGTAAATTCGAGACGGCCCTGACGAAGGTGCGCAGAGACATCGTCGCCGCCCAGTCTCTGTACCTGTAAGGTACTCTGCCGTCATTGGTTTCCTGTATCTCCTTGGCTCGGTATTCCCCATCTTTATGTGTAGGGTGATTGCGCGGATGTCTTCTTGGTGGTCGCATTTCCTGGCGTCAGGGTTCTAAAAGGATTTGGCTCTTCTTTTTCTTTCCACTTTTATCTTGTAAATGAGGGTGCTTTTTTGTGTGACACCACCAACACTTATTTCTAGAGACATAGCTTTGACCAACTCTTCCTACCCACTACCTATTTCAGCCACAGTCCTTTCCTGTTTATTGCTTTTATGATGGCTGGTCATCGTTCTGCCCTATCCCATCTCACCCTCGGAACGACTTCTTGGGGCATTTATTATTACACAAGTCCCCCAAGTGACACGAGGTGTGACCTCCTGTTTAGAACACGTCTCCTCTATCCGTACCATTTCCCCGATTCTCTGGTTTGCGATGCGACCTGCGTACATACGCGAGGAGTTGCATGTGCGCTTAGGCAGGGCAGGGACTTGCTTGGGGGAACGGACAAGCAAGCCGGTTTCAAAGCCAACGGTAATCTTACTTCCTCTCTTATGGATTTCCAACTACGCACTTCATAGGTCGTATTCACGACAATGGCTGAAACCGTTTCCGTCATAGCCGGTTGTGGCAACCACTCACTTTCTGTCTATTGCCTGCTGGGGGTCGTAAACTCTCGAGCAGTCTCGGATAGTTGAGGAGGGTGAGGGTGGAGGAGGGGGCGTGAGACAGCAGCCAAGTCCAGCATGCATGCATGCATCCATCATTCCATAGGTAAGTAGTACTGGTAGTAAGTAGGTGGTAAGTACCTAGGGCAGAGCACCAGTACCTGTAGCTTTTGGCTTACATTGGAATTAAGTTGGTGGTTTTGTATTTCTTTCTATACTGTAGGTAGGTATCGTACCGTGTAGAACCGTGTCAACGGTATTGTTGCAATATAGATAGGTCATTTTGGTCGCTGTTACTGTCTTTTTTTTTCGGGATAATATGGGGAACGCTATCGGCATTAGATAGTATAGGTAACAGTATTATGAATAACGGGTCCAGCCACGGAAAGGTGCCCTGATGTCGGGTTACATTTAAGCCCTGCTGTGGATATGTATTTTGGTACTTTTATAATCATGTTCATCATTTGCTCTTCTTTTATTCTTTTGTATTCAGGAGCAACGGAGCCGTTGTAGGTTTGGATTGCTTAGGGAGTAGCCCTAAATATCACCAGATTATATTGTCGCGTGAGAGAAACAGTAGACCAAATGGCATGTTTGGGAAATATCTAGAGTTGGGGTTAGTTGAAGGGAGTATCCTGGAGCGCACTGGATCGTCATTGGAACTTTGCCAGTGTGATAAGGTTCTGTAGTATTGGCGAAAGTCAGTAGTACTGAGTGGACAAGCCAGTGGAAAACCGATGATAACGAATTCCAATAAAGTAGTAAGGCAGGGATGTGGTTGGAGTCTGGAAATTTGCCCGCTTTGGGGGCTCCGAGCGCAGGTATATCCCAATATATGTACCGTTCAGCCTCTTGAATACCGATGGCTATGCTAGGCGAAAGCACAACGATTGAGGAGGAAGGGGAGGGGGGGGGTAGGCATATATTCTGATAAAACATAAACCAGAGTACCCAGAAACCTGGGTAGCTGGAATTCTTCGACGCAGCGTTCCACTAGGATAAGACCTCATTTCTGATTCCCTGCAAGGCCGTCAAGGTTACAGGTTGTGGAGTCATTCCTGGTCTGGGGTTGCATGGGTGGGTTATTGTCAGTCTAGATGCCGACGCTTGACGATGCGGGCAGGATCGGGATGGCGTCGCCCGTCAGGAAGCGGAATTAGAGAGGTCCTTAAGAAAAGATATGCTTGGAATTGAAACTATTGCGGGCTTGCATAGGGCAGAAGACAGAGGGCTGCAATCCCCAGGTCGATCTCTGGACGGCCACGCAGTGGAACAGGCCGGTTTGAGTGTCTCAGCCAGGCACTCGCAAGTCCGTTTATCGGACAGTTTTAGAGTTGACGCTTGATGAGTTGTGGTCATGCGGGCCTTGGGGATCTGTAAGTGGTTGAAGTGCTTGCTTTGCTTTGCTGCTGCACACCCTGGAGGAATCGGACGGTTGCCACGAATCAGGGAATGTACCTTGGACCGACTGGAGAAGGGAAGGCGAAAAGTGGAGGGCGAAGAGAAAGAGGAATCATCGACCATGAAAGGAAGGGAAAGGAAGGGAAATAAATGCATCACAGGCCCGCGTTGCCTCCCGCAACCCGCCCGTCCACCGCTTCTCGCTCGCCTTTCTCTTTCCCCACCACCTCAGAAAGTCTCCCCTTCATCTTTCATCCTGCACTCCGTCTTTCCCTTGCGTGATCTCTCTCTTTAGCCCCCCTGGACACCTCCTCGTGCTCCTGGCTGGTTTCCTGTCCCTCATCTCTGTCTCTCCCAGTCCGCTTCGGCTTCCTCTCTTTCCCCCTTTGCCATCCAGCTGTTTGTGGTCATCATGAACAGCTTGGTGGCTACACCACCCGTGCCTCCTCATCACTTCTACGAGTACTCCCGTCCCTCTCCCTCTCGTCCAAGTAAGAATCCCCTCCCCCCCCGACTCCCCAGGCTGCCTCGGACAGTGGTTGCTCGTCGCTTGTGGTTGTCGATAACTGACTCATATCTCCAGTGTCTACCCCAACTCACACTCCCACCAACCGAAAACGGAAAGCCGATGAAGATAATGATCACGATGGTCGAATGTCAGCCTCGCCGACCAACTCTCCCGCCTTGACCCCTAGAACCCTCCCAACCAGCCGGCACATCAAGCGTGCCCGTCCGAACGTCAGTGGGCGGCCTCTCGCTCTGCCCCGGCTGCTGGAGACCTTGGATACGGATGCCCTCCGGGGTATCCTTCGGACCATGTGTGAACGTCATCCGGCCTTGGTGGACGAGGTGGTCCATACGGCTCCCCGGCCAAGCGTGGCATCTGCCTTGCAAGTGCTTCGAAACTACGAATCTGCCCTTCACTCGTCGTTCCCACTGGGTGGCAACTCCGAGTCTGATTACGCCTATAATCGAGTCCGACAACCGCTGGGGAATCTTCTAGATGCCCTGAGTGACTTCACGCCACATTTCCTACCTCCCCATGAGTCACAGGCGTCCGTTTCGCTGAGCTATCTGGACGGGGCGACTGATATAATCCACGCATTGCCGCGGTGGAGCACACCACAAAACAACCTGGAGCGGGACTCCGCATACGATGAGATTTGCAAGGCCTGGATTCTAGTGATCCGGGAGGCCGCTAAACGTGGCGGTGGGATTCAGTTACAGTATGGTGGTTGGGACCAGAAGTTGGCCAAGCACAACCAGAACTCCGGCGGTAAAATGCAGGCAGCCGTCAATGAGCTTGGGTCCAGCTTGGGTTGGATGCACAGACCGGATGCCCAAGGCTATGGAAGCCCGGGAGGCAACGATCTTGGATCCATTCGGGAACAGCTCCTGTCGGGCACATACGGGCTCGGTACCCCCGTCAAAGTTGGGCCATGGTGAAGCCGTCAGCAACCGACCGCCCCTTCCCCCCCGTCTTTGTCCCCCGTTTCCGACCTTCCAAGCAAACCAACACTCTCGAAACACTTTCCACCCGCCCTTAAATCTCCAGAGCTACTGTCCGAATCCTCAACCGTGCACGTCCACGTATGATACGATCACGAATACCTACTGCATGAACTAGAGCTGAGGGTCAGCTTGGCGTTTACAGTGTGCAAGCAAACATTTATTTTTTTTTCTTTTTCTCTGCTTTTCTTTCTTACTTCTGGAAGCCAATGCCATCATTTTACTAGATTGCCAGGTTAAGGCCCAGGTTGCTCATTTCTATTTCTCTTTCTTTCTTTCTTCCCACCCACCCAATCATGTCACCACATACATTGTTACAGTCCCAGCATGGTTCTTCTTTCTTTCTTTCGTTTCGTCCACCTTCCCTTTGCATTTTCCTTTCCCACTTCAATATTGTCCCATTCCATGTCCACGACACATATCATCAGACCTCAGAAGTCCCGTGAAACACACCTTCTACCCTCTCTTCTGCCTCGGACCAGCTGCATTTCATTTCCTTTTTATCTTCTCCCTGTCTTGTATACCCTTTTTATCATTCCCCCTTAATACTACTACTACTGGTGTCAGGATTATTGTTCGGTTTCCCCCCCCCCCCCCCCCCCCTTTCTTTCTTCTTTTGGAGGCTTTCGTCTTATATAGTGCCGTATCGGTGGGTCAGGTTCAAGTAAGCCTAGCTTAGGTAGCATAAGATAAAAAAAGAGTATCACCTAAATTGGGATCCAGGTCCAAGTCACAAATTCCAGATTGAGAGCAGAACGGAGCCAACAAGCAAATTCCTGTCACCACCACGGAGGACCCTGTCCCTGCTAGATTAGGTACACGGTAGTACATAGTAGGCCGCTGGCGCAAGTTACCGCGAGGTTGTGGCCAGTTGTGGCCAGTTATAGCTAGTTATGACCAGTTATATAATAGTTTCTAATAATTACTAACTAAAATAAATAGTAAGTATTTCTGTTATATTATATATAATAATTATTATATTATTTTAAAACTATATTTAAGAAAATAACAAGAAAATAATTATTTAAAGCTTATTTTATAATTATTTATTATTATTAAAAGCTTATTATTTTTCTATTTTTAATCTATTTATAAAAAATTATATTATTATTTTTTTTTTTATAATAAATAAATTTTTTATAAATTATTTACTAAATTACTATTATCTTATTATTAATTTATTATTAATTTATTATTAATTTATTATTAATTTACTATTATTTTATTTTTTTTATATATAATATATATTATATTTTTTTTTATTCTTTTACTCTTTTTTTTCTTTATATTACTCTTTTAAATTATTTCTATTATTTTTTTTTTAATTTTTTATTATTTTTTTTTTATATTTCTTTTTTATAACTAGACTATTATAAAGAAGACTATTAGTATTAAAATAATAAAAATATCTAAAATATCTAAAAAAATAATTATTTATTAATTAAAAAATAAGCTAAAATATTTTTGCAGATAATATAAGAAAATAATATTAATATAAAAAAAATAAATAATAAATATAGTTTAGAATTTTTTTTTATAAATAATAATATAATAGAGATAATAGCAGTATAAAAATTAATTAAAAAAATAAAAAAAAATTATTAAAGTTACTAAAACTTAATTCTAAAAATAATTAAAGAGAATAATTAATATTAGATTTAATTAAACTATATTAATTAGAATTTTAAGATTATTTAATAAAAAATCTAATTATTAAATAAAAATATAGAGCCGGACTAATCTAGATTTAAAAATTAATAATTAAAAAAAAAATATAAAATATTATAAAATATAGTTATTATTATATTAAAAAAATTAGATAAAATCTTAATAAATATTTTATATATTTTATCTATAATATAAGATTAAAAAATATATATAAATAAAAGAAAGTATTTTTTTAGAAGAATCTTTCTAAGAATATTATAGATATAATAATATAGATTTTAAAAAATATTTTTATATAGATATATAATTTATTATAAATAAATAAATTAAATAATAAAAAAAAATTTTTAAAAAGATTCTATTAAATAAAAATTCAGAAATATTCTAAAAAAAAATTTTATAGTTAATAGAGTGGCTTAACCTGACTGTTATATCTTAATCTTAATCTGATTATAATCTGATAATTAGATTAAGATATAAAAAATTTTTAACTGTATAGTTAAGATTAGATTAAGATATAATTATTATTATAATTATTTATATCTGCTGATTAGAAAGATCAGATATAGCAGATAGATTAATAATTATAGATTAATTTATAATATATATATTCTTCTTATATAGATAATATATAAAGTATAATATATATTTAATTATAATATAAAAATAATAATATTTTTTAGATATAGTCTATTGCTTGATCTGCTTAATTAATTATATTAAGAGATATATTATACTCTGAAAAAGATTTTTATAGAATCTAATATAAAAAAAATAAGAAAAAATATAAAATATTTATTTTTATATTATTTAGAATAATAATTATAATAATATAGAAATTATAAAAATCGGGTTTCTATTTTTATTTAAATATATATAATAGTTAAAGACTTAGATAAGACTAGTTTTTTTAATTCTGATAATAATTTATTCTCTGAATTATCTTTAAGATTATTTATATTTTTATTTTTATTAATATAGAAAATAGTAATTATCTTATTTTTTTCTTATTTTTTAAGTATAAAAATAATTAAATCTAAATTAAGATTATCAAGTATATTCTAATATTTCTTATTTATAATAAAATAATTAATATATATTTAAAATATAACTGCTTTAATTATATTAGAATTAAAACAGCTTCGGCGATAATAGTAGATATCTTAAGAATTATTAAAAAGATATTTAATACTAATATTATTAATTATAATTAAGAGAAAATCTCTAGTTATCTAATAAAGAATAAAAAACTAATTATAGCAGGACTTCTAGTAAATAAGAATATTAATATATTTTATAATATCTAAAATTATATTAGTTTAATTAAAGATATTTTAAGAAGCTATATATTTTTAATATCTAGATATATCTTAAGTTCTTTATATATCTTAACTGCGGGTGAGAATCTCTGATATTTAGAGATATTATAAAAAATCTTATTCAGATCTAATAATAATTCAAAGATTATTAATAATATATTAATTATTAAATATTAATTAAAATAAAAAAAGAATATTTTTTTAAAAATAGTTTAATATTTATAATATTAGTTAATATTCTTATTTAGCTATATATTTTTTTTAAATTTTTCAAGCTTTAATATCAGATTTAGAATAATTATAATTATATAGATATAGTCTTTTATCTAATAAATATAATAATAATACTTTTAGAGCTTTTAATATATATTATATAAATTCTTAAGAATCTTTTTTTTTTAGAATACTTATTTTCTTTTCAGTCTGTTAATTAAGTAATCTAGATAATTAAAAAAATTATTATAAATATTATAAATTTTATAAACAGTAGATTCACTGTTCTTAGAGAGATAGAAAATAAAAAAAAAAAAAAATATAAAAATTTAAGAAGATATTCTATCTATTTTTATTTAATTATAATAAAATAAAAATAATTAATATTATTATATTTATAATATTAAATAAAATTTTTAATTACTTAATAGAGTTTAAATATTTAATAAATTATAAGATAAATTAAGTTTTAGCAGGTTTTATAATTAAGAAGAAGATAATAAATTAAGTTAGATTTAAATTATTAAATAAGTAAGAACTTCTCACAGTATTAAAAATTTATATTTATAAATTATATAATTTTTTAAATTTATAATTAAGAATTAATATAATAAACTAGCTAATAAAAGACTTCTAGAAGCTTTTTATAAAAAAAGATTTTATATTAATTTTTTATAAACAGCTCTTAAAATATATTTTTTTAAGAATTCTTAAAATATTAAAAAAGACTTTAAGACTTTTATTATTATTTTTTTATATATATTTAATAATATTATTTAAGATCTTAATCTGAAGTTTTTACAGAAGAGTATTAATTATAAACTAAATTATATAAATAAGATAAAAAATATAATACTGATTTTAAATAATTTTTAAAAAATTAAAATTAACTAGAATATTATAAAGCTAAGTATTTTAACTAAGTTAAGTTTAAAATTCAGCTAAGATTATACTAAATATTATATTATTATTACTAGTATTATTAATTATTATATCTAATAACTAATAGACAAGATTATATTTATATAAGACTAATAAAATAATTATAGCTAGATTCTTATTAATATAAGATTTAAATATTAATTAAAAGTCTAATAAAATTTTATAATAATCTATATTTTTTATTAAAAAATATTTAGTTAAATTAAGAAATACTTTCTAATTAAAGCTGATTTAATAGTTTACTATAATTAATATTTATTTAATATTCAAGAATTTTAATAATAATTATATATATATCTCTTTAGATAGTTTTATAAGATATTCTTTAATCTATATTTAATTAGAAAAACTTGATTTTTAATAAGAAGATAAAATAGCAAGATTAATTATCTATTTAAATTAAATATATTTAATAGTTCAAAATAATAAATAATAAATAATTATAAAATATAGAATTTAATTCTAAAAATTTTATTTATTATAAATTATAAAAGTCTAGAGAAAGATAATAATTAGAAAAGATTTATCTTAAAAAAATAGATAAATATTTATAATAGCTTTTTACTTAATATCTGACTAATTATTTACTTAGATATAACTAATAATAATTTCTTCTTATAATCTTTATAAAAATAATAGCTTATAGAACTAGTTTCTGAGTTTTTAATTTCTAAATATTATAAAATATAAAAATATATAATATAATAAATATAAGAAATTTTATTAAAAAATAATATATTTTTCTAAAAGCTGTTTTATATTATTAATAATTTTTTTTAATTAAAATAAAATAATAGTTTTTTAGTTTATATATAATCTTTAGAAAAGATTATTTTCTGTTATTAATTCTAAAAAATAAAAAAAAATTTTTAAAAAACTAGATATAAGATAATCTTCTGATTTCTTATAATATATATAATCTTAAGATTTAGAAGAGAAGAAAAGATCTAATTTAAGAAATTTATTTTAGTTTAGATATTATTATAATTT